CCCTAACCCTAACCCTAACCCTAACCCTAACCCTAACCCTAACCCTAACCCTAACCCTAACCCTAATAAATCTATTAACCATGGTAAATTATGAATCATACACCTTGAATTCCTCATGCTCTGACATCTTTCAATCCCACAAGATAGTGAGGAATACTGCATACTGACTGAGGGTGGCCTGGCTTGCTAACAACTGGTGATATCACGACTACTCCCGAAGTGGTGGTATGCAGGTCCTTTGGATGAACTACCAAGGCTCTTCGGAGTAGGTTTTTATGATGTAAGAGTGGCTGGCGATGCCCGTTATATTATAAATATTTGCATCTAGAAAGTGAATTGAGCACTTCTTTCATCGTCTGTCTATACCAGGCGTACCAAGTCACCATTGCAATATTCCAACATTCCAACATTCCAACATTCAAACATCCCAAGATTCTTCTCTTTCTCTCTCTGTATTTTCAAACCCCCTGTTTCAAAATGGCCCAACCTCAAGATGCTGTTGCGTATGGGGCTCTGCCAGTTGAGCAGGAGTCCCAAGGATACGGGGCTCAGCCGGTTGATCGAAAAGCCTATGAGTTCTTGCCAAGCGTTCAGCTGGCTCCTGGAGCAGCCAAGACTTTAAGTCCGTCTGCCGATATCAGTTACTTAATGACCCCTGTCAAGACCCAAAACGGACTCAAATCTTGCGTTGCATTCGGCGTGGTAGCGATCCTCGAGTCCCTAGAATATGGGAAATTGAATCCCCTCCAGGAGCAATCTGAGACCTTCAGTTGGTCCAGGACAAAACGTCTGGAGGGAAGAGACCCAAGGGACAATGCTGGCGTGGTCACGTCCAATGCTCTCACAATAGCACAGGTCGATGGAAATTGCTGGGAGAAACTCTGCGATTACAAAAAAGCGCCCTTCGCCGAACCCAGTGAAGCTGCGGTCAAATCTGCACAAAATATGAAAGCCCAGAAACCAATCACGGTCCAGAGCCTTGAAACCATCAAGGGAATGATTGACGATGAAAACAACCCTCACCCTGTGCTCCTTCAATTTAAGATCGTGGGCACCGAGAGCCAGCAAGCAAGTTACATTAGAGGGGACACCGAAAAAGACGGCTACATTAAAATGCCTGATCCGAATTGGACCCGGACTGATGGTCATTGTGTTGCTGTGGTTGGATACGACGACAACAACAGGCATGGAAATCTTCAGGGCTATCTTAAACTCAAGAATTCTTGGGGTATTGATAAAGGCGATCATGGGTATTATTTCATGCCTTACGATTTCTTTCATAAATATTCAGAGGGTATCTGGTACATTCCGGGTCAGGAGTTTGACCTTGGCCAGGATCAGGTTAAGAGCGCTGCGCCGTCTTCATCTTACGGTTTGGATCCCAATAAGTTCATCATTTGTCCGGGTCAATCCCATTGAAAAGTAATGTCAATTTGAGGCTGGCTGTAAGGGCGCTGGGATTTTTGAGACAGCCGTTGAATTGTATGCAAGGGCGCACGAATCTTCAACAAGAGCAAATCTATGGTCAGTTAAAGCAGAGGACGGCGGTATAACACTCTTCGTGTTAGAAAAAAAAATTAGTAAGAATTTTGTATGTGAAAATTTGGAATGCAACAGACATTGTGTCTTGGTTTTTTAATTCACCAGCATACTTTACCACCTGCCACCTAATTATCAAGACCATAATCTCTTAAAAAGGAACCTCTAAAAGCTGTACATAATTGATATTATACAGAGATCTTTTAGCGTTGTGAACTTAAGAAATTAAAAAGGCTATACATATATATATTTTCATCAATCCGATATCAATAAAATCTATAAAAAGAGTAGCTAGATCTACTTTTTTGGTCAATTAATCCTATTTCTAGTATTTCTGTAAAGGATATCGCTATGTTGTGAAAATTTTCAGGCAGCAGGCGGTATCAGGCGGCAGGTAGTAAACTACATTAAGCCATGATCCCAAATATTCTTTACCATGGATAGATTCGAGCCCTCGGACGCAGAATACATGCATCTTTCTTTGTATAAAATAGTTACAATTAAGGTTTCTTCCGTTAAGGTTTCTTCCGTTAAGGTTTCTTCCGTTAAGGTTTCTTCCATTAAGGTTGCTTCCGTTAAGGTTGCTTCTGTTAAGGTTAGTAGTCCTGTGGATATCCCCAACGCTAAGAGCACGCAATTCAGCAGTCAGCTGTTAACTGTAAAGGGAATTCTTTATCTAACATTCAACTATGTATAAGGAATGCTCATGGCCCCTGCGGTTATTTATGTAGGTCTCAAAGAGGGGTTTGATAATGCAGCATTCCTCTCCGCATTGAAAGTGCTGATCTAATTCGCGACATTCCTTCGCCGGATGCTATATAACAGGGCCACATCACCTATGGAGGCTAAAAACCCTGAATTTCGATTTAGTGGGCTTGCAAGGAAAACAAAACAAAAATGCTTTTTTCACCTCGTCTTCTCTTTTCCTGCTCGCTGTTCGGTCTTGCAGCAGCGGGTGGGAACCCATTCTCTGAAAATAATCACCACTCCCAAGGCGCGTGGAAGCCTACAGACTCACATCAACATCCACACGTACCTAAGCCGGATGTAAATGTGGCTAATTATATTCCTACCATCAATACTGATGGCAACAATGATATTGGCAACGACAAGAAGTCTGGTTGGGGTGGCGGTGGTGGCTTCAACAATAACCACGAATACCACAATTGTTGTGATGCGTCGGCGACCATTACTGTGACAACTGGGTAAGCATTGTCTGCCTCTTCCATTGAAGGTTAAATATATTGACATGTGCGGCTCATCAGAGGGGACACAGCCACCACTACTCTAACGGAAACGACAACAATCACCAGTGGCGAAACCACTACTGAGACCGAAACAGTTACAACTACCATCAATGAGGGCACTACTGAGACCGAAACAGTTACAACTACCCTCAATGAGGGCAGTACTACGACAGTCACGATTCCCGTTGAAACATGCAGTGAGTCTAGTGGTGCTGGTGGCTAGATATTGAAGACTGGATGAACATTTGGTAATTTCCATGACGTGAGACGGGTGTTCAATGTTTTAATGGAAGAGAAAGCAGATAGAGGATAGGCCTAACTTCATGTGTTGAGAGATGATACAGGAATCTTCGCATGGTACCTTTCCCTAGACTATAGGGTATAAACTGCCTTCCCGATTTATATTTTGTATTGGGATGGGAAGCTAAAGCTGTTAGCAGCAGATAATGTATAATGTGGTCTATTTTTGTTGTCTTGATATTTATGCATAAGCCTCCAAGCTGCTCTCAGCATGTGTTGTTGTTGGGCTCATGAACCAAGGTTATATCCTTTTCTATAGAGGGTGTACACTGACTCGACCCTCTGACACTGAGGGTGTCCATTACCATCTCTAGTGGATCCGTGGTAATTTTTTTTTTTTTTTTTAGTAGGCGAAATGAAGGTGATGTTCAACCACTAAACATAGTATGAATCATAATTTTTTAATACATATGAGTAGAGTATATTATATTGAATAGGAATCTTCTTCCCCTTTATTTATATCTGTTTTCCCTGATTTTATACCATAATTTAAAGGTATACTGTCAGATAGTCTAATAATTTAAATTATTCTAGTATAGTCGAGTTATACTAACCTAATTTATAGTATTTTTATATATAAATTAGTTCATGGTATTCCTTGCACTTTACTCTATATTGTTGGTAGCTGGAATGTTACATTTGATGAAAGCCAAATTGTTAGGGCCTGTATGATATACTGTATGTAGGAACTACTACTAAGACTATAACATGGATATATATACATGACTATATGGTGCGCATCTCTGATTGTGGGTTTGGAAAACCTTCCAAACCAGTGATTAGTTCTACAACTAATTGACCGCTGCATTTACCACACTATCTGTATCGATAACGAGTCTGCGTACTCGTAATATCGCACACTCTCACAAATCCGGACTCTCCCCTCTAGAGGGGCTTCCGGGCATCCATTACAAGTCCTCTAGGTGTCAATTTAGCCATGCGGCTGGCTTGATATCTATCAAGAAGCCGAATATCCTGCCCGTGGGGAACTGGGACCAGAGTTATTTCCCAGCTTTGACCTCAACTTGGCTTGTGGTACCGAATGCAGCAGCTGCTTGCAACGGATCGCCTGATGTACTTGCTTCCAAGTGAGAGTGGCGCAGGTTTGACGGACCCGATATGACGGTAGTGCGCTGAACACGCCTAGACTCAACGTCTTCAGGCTTTCGGACAAGATACTTGCCCAGTACTGGGATTCTGCGTCGAGCTTCCACAGCGTGCGGCTCATTGCTTAGGTTCTCGCTCAGCACCCGGCCAAAGGTCCGAGGCACTAGGTATCCTACCTTTCCAAGTGGGATACTGAGCCCATGGACGACCTTACACAGCGTTAGATGCCTTGGCAACAATAAGAAGGTCTAAATAGGGCGACTTACAACACTGCAGACTACAAGGAACCAGACTACAACCCGAATTGTTTCACCAAGGTCCTCAATGTCGCTTCGAGGAACACCATTTTCATCGCTCAAATGTTCCTCAACAAACTCCATACTAACAAATAGGTAGAAGACGGCAGAAACACCGATGGGTCCGAAGAAACCCACGAAAATGGCCTGCCTAACCTCTTCAATCTGGTAGATCCATTTGTGCATGCCAAAAACCCAAGGCAGACGCCGCAAGAGGAGCACCAGAGCACCAAGTACGACGAGGCGCCATATCGAGATGACAGAGTTGTCACCAAAGTGGTCCCAGGGTAGGTAGGCGCCGTACCACAGGAAGATGGTGACATTGAGGAGCATATCGATTGTCGGCTGCAAGGAGTCGTCCTTAGTCCGCAACCGGAACCAGTCATCCCACGTAAATGTGTTGCCGGCGATAAAACAGGCGAGCACATCGTCGGTGCCCAAGAGGCCGCACGTGCCCAGGACGAAGAGGGCGATAGCGACGGCAAAGACGAGAAAGCTCTCCCGGTCGATGTAATTGCGCTCCTCTGCCCAGTGCAGCAGCTTCTTGCCCACCCAGCCCACCACGGCGCCATACAGGACGCTGAGAATGATTGTGTATCCCCAGGTCAAGCCAAACCAGAGGCCCATGGCATCACCGGCGCCACCGGACGCAGCACCGGACCCCACATACTTAATGAGATAGAGCGCAAAAAAGAGGAATGGGTAGCCGAGCCCGTCATTGGTGCCCGACTCCGCAATAATGAGGTTCTGGAGGTCTTTAGGAATATTGAGGTCTGCAAACTTACCCTTGACGATGACTGCGGAGAGCACGGGATCCGTGGGCGTAACACATGCACCGACCGCGAGGGCATGCAAGAAGCTAGGCGTCCTGACAAGGCCCCAGACGAGGAGGCTAGTCGCGATCCACATGAATGTCATGCCCGGTCCGACAAGCAGCAAGACCGACTTCCATTCCTTCTTGAGGTACTTGCTTGGGAGCTGCACGCCGGCTAGGACCAGCTGCACGCCAAGAACCAACCGGGAGAAGTTGAACGTGATGGCATTAAGGTGGTCACGGCACTCGATTGCCGAGACGCCTTCTTGGTTGCACTCAGCGTATTCTCTCGGACGGATGAAGTTAGCTCCATTGGGTCCAAAGGCGACCCCCACCAAGAGCGAAATGACTAGCTTATCCTCCACAAGTCAGTTTTTTTGGCTCCGTCTATGCCATGATGCCTCGGTACTGTAGAACAAGCGGTGACGTCTCGTACAACGCCCAGTGGACACTGGGAAAGGAACTTACGAGCTTCAGAGAGATAGTAATTCTCCTTTAGGAGGTATGACACGAGTCCAAAGAGGGAGATGAAGCCACCCAGCACGGCGATTATAATATTGAAGTTGGAGAGCTGGAGCGGGATCGCCCAGATCTTGTGCACCATCCTGGCGGATTAAGATGTAAGGAGAGGGGCTTGTGGTGATGACGATAAGGGCGAGGGCCACGAGGTATTTATCACTGCTCGCTTTGTCGAAAACAATATGGATGATCGCGCAAGTAACCAATTTTTCAGTCTGTTTGTGGGTCGGGCCGCCACAAATATACCCGTTATTCAGCCCCACTGTTGAAGCAGCGGCGCTACTCATCTCGCTGCTTTCGGAACCGGCCAATCATATGGCTTCAGCTGTCTCCTGAATATCGTTGCCATTTCATTCATTTCAACGACCATATTTCGCAACGCATTCTAGAGCTCATTTTGCCTGCATATAAGGCCGCATATTTCGTTTAGACAAATAAGCAAGACTCTCATTTATTTGTGCTCATGATTGTACTGTAATTTCATGGGATCAAGCACCGATCCGCATTATCATATCTCCGTAACCTCAACGTGCTGGTGCGGCAGACCTGAAGCTGAAGGGGGTCTGCTGATTGAGAGGACAGATAGTTCTGGCATCCATACGGAGTACAACTTTGGACATATGATAAAGTTTAATGACCGAAAGCGGGATATGGACTGCCTTTATTGGCTTGATAAATCCCGCAACCAAGCCACCACCACCATTGAGTCCCTCTGTTAAAGGACTGCCGCTTCAACGGACTTGTCTCACCAGAATCCCAAAACTGGGCCTCTGATTACTTTCTATTGCATCTTTAACTCAGAAGCAACTCGGGCATCGAAATTACTTGAAATTCAATGATACACAGACTTTGTTATTGCTAGAACACTTTGTCAATTGTCAATCTCAAGGTTCTTGGCGTTGTATCCCAAGCGCAGGGAGGCATGTGGAAGCCACCTTTGAATTTCATCACTCTGCATTGTGCGTTTGACATTTCTTAACAGCGATTGCCCTAAAACTGATTTGTTGGCCAGATGCATATATCTTATCATGCAGTATTTCGGGACTCATCATCCTCTATCCTTATGGCAACCTGAAGGCCGTCGACGCCTTTTTCTTTGGCGCCAGCGCATCTACGGAATCAGGTTTAAACACGTAAAGCTCACCCTTGAATCAGACACAGGGTGTTGCATTAGACTCACGGAAAGGCCATATGCAGTGTTGATGTGAACGTGTTGAAGACCTACCAACAAGTGTTCATATACGTCGTACCGATTATAACGAACTTTATGTTTATTAATATTATCGTCGTCGCGGTTCGTCTGTATTGGTTCGAGAAGCGATTAAAACAGATAGGTGACGTATTCTTGTTTCGCCCTAATAACTGCTCTTGTTCTGACTGGACTTCCATAAAATAGCACCTGCTGTCCTATCTACAAAGGCCCGGTCGCCTGGGTTAAGAGATGATCGATATGTTCAAGAGGCGGAAGCTGGCAAGCTCCGGGATTCAATTCCAGAGCAAGAAACAGAACAGACACCAGATCAGCATTACACGAATATGGAAAGGCAGAACTCAACAGCCAGGTATGTGAATTTCACGACATATCACTTTGATTGAATGCTAAAGATTTGGCTTTGCCATAGCACGAACAACCATTCTGGGCCTTCGGGTGAGTTTAGCGCGGAATACAATGGTTTTAAAGACAAAAGTATTTCGTTTTCCAATGAAAACAAGGCCCTGCGCATCCCGTCTCCCTGCGAACACGATAGAGGTAATACTTTTTTATCATGTCATGTGATGAGCCCCTGTTTAACAAAAATGGCAGGTCAGCGAATACAAGAAGTCGATGAGGATTCAATTGCAAGTAGTACGTGATATTGATTATTATCTAGACCTTGGCAGGGAAAATGACTGACAAAGAATTAAGATGATGACAGGAGGTCCGAGGAATTCCGGCGCAGATGGAGGGACATCGCAAGCAATACGACTGGAATCCCGCTAGAACGTGTCGCCTCCTCCATGTTTGTGATTGGGAGACGGCCAAGCGAGCAAGGACAGCGGATTCAAAGAGCTGTTTCCCTCTCAAAGGATTCAAACCTTCCAGGCCTCTCTTCACAAGCGTCCGTCGGTCGAAACTCTCAGTTTTACAACCTCACAGCTAGAGACAGAGAAACCCTCGGTGGTATCGAGTACCGTGCACTGAGAGTGTTATTAAGGATTGTAATTGGTGAGAATTTCGCAAATATATATATATATATATGCATGATTGGCAGCATGTGTTTGCTGACGCCGGGTATAGGGTATCTCGTTGGGCTTCACCTACTTGGTGCAATTTGCCTGGTCCCCTGGATCCTGCATGCAGATCCCAAGTATAGAAACTATCTTGAGGAGTGTGGGCAAGGAAGTGTCTGGTGGTATGCATTATCTGAGAGTATTGCCAATATTTCCCGCAACTAGCGTGCTGATATCAACAGGGCTTTTTATTCGGCCCAAACGATGGTTGACAATCTCGGTTTTACTCTTACTCCGGATTCGATGGTGTCGTTTCAAGATGCCACCTGGCCAATGCTGCTGATGAGCTTTCTTGCATTTGCTGGAAATACTCTCTATCCCTGTTTCCTGCGCCTTGTCATTTGGACAATAAGAAATTGCACCCCGCGAGATTCTTCCCTGAAGGAGCCATTGGATTATATCCTGAAATATCCACGCCGCTGTTATGTATTGCTTTTCCCCAGCAATCCAACTTGGATTCTCTTTGGAATTATCCTTTTACTGAACGCTGTGGATGTCCTTTTGATTGTCGTTCTCGACCTCAACAATCCGGCAGTGAACAATCTCCCGGGTGGTCCAAGGGTATTGGCAGCCATATTCCAGGCGGCCTCATCTCGGCACACAGGAACGTCGACGTTCAATCTTGCCGACGTCAATCCAGCAGTTCAGTTCAGTCTGTTGGTTATGATGTATGTCGCAATCTTTCCGATCGCTATTAGTATTCGTGCCTCCAACACATATGAAGAACGTACGCTGGGTGTGTTTTCGAAGGACTCTGATCCTGACGAGAAGAACGGTTCGAAGTACGTCATTTCGCATGTGCGGAACCAACTTAGTTTCGACCTATGGTACATCTTCCTTGGGATCTTTTGCATTTGCATTTCTGAGTCAGACAGGATCATGCATGATACGGTGCGTCCATTTTCCACTCTCCATCCTTAACAAATGTTATTAACCATTGGTGCCAGTCCTTTCCAGTGTTCGCAGTATTCTTCGAGGTTGTTTCTGCATAGTAAGTAATTTTGCACTGGCCGACACCAAATGTAATGGGACACTGATATAGTTCTAGTGGAAATGTTGGCCTCAGTCTTGGCTATCCCACCGTACTCACTTCCTTGAGTGGGAAATTCAACACATTCAGCAAAGTCGTGATCTGTCTTATGATGATCCGAGGCCGCCATCGTGCACTGCCATATCGACTCGACCGGGCAATTTTACTTCCAGGTGAGCGACTCATTGACGACGATAGAGCTGGCCTGGGGTCTACTACTCTGTTTTCCAGCACAGATAATCGATAGCTGAAAGACAAGAGGTACTACACGCAGCAGTGTAGTTTCCGCAGGAATGCTGCTGACCCTCGAATTGGGTGATATTTTCCCGATAACAAGTTAATTGATAGGATGCTTAATTGGATATGCTGCTTTCTCAGCGATATATGTACTGTGAATCCTAGTGTCTACAGACAAAGTCCATGAAACCATTTATCAACGGAAATACACCACTTGGTTGTCTCAGATGCTGCTGATACGTAGATACCCATGACAATAAACAGTGCATGCCCATAAAGCATTTGCTGTAATCTTCCATTCCCGTATAGGTTGGATAGGGTTACTTACCAGTCTCCATCAATCTGGTAAAGTTATTACCTTGCTCTTGAGCGCACCTCATGGTTTCGCGTCGTTGACGCGAGACCAAGCTAAGCCGCTGCCAAGTGGCGTTTTTTAGTGTCATGGCCAACAGCAAAAAATCCCGGAAAAACGAGACTTGTCTGGTGAAGTGCGATTTTACATGGGTGATCAAGGAAAAGCACGAAACTGCCTGCGAATATTGCTTTATGTGCCCGTCCGGTCGCCATACCACAGATTAGTCTGTCGAAGAATATCTGTAAAGCATTGGGCTAAGCTCAACAGATCTATAAGGCCTAAGAATGCTTGAAGATATCATATAAATGGGAGTCTTAGAGCCGTATGACGATGGCACATGTAAGCCAAGCCCATGGAGCATGTTCCGAGACTTCACCACACAGCCAGGATATCCAGACCGCAATCGTCTTCAGTTCACATGGGACAGACCTGGAGGATGCTGCTACAACATTATAAAGTAATACTTTGAAATATTAATAATTATTAGTGTATGAAGCCGCCACCTTTATTAACAGGCCGTTAATCATGTCCTGCAGGATGTACCGAGTTATAGTAATTATAAGTAGAAAAAAGGTCGGCTCAACATTCACTTATAAAATAGATATTCTATCTTGCGAAAAGCCCTAGAAGTTGATATTGACTTAATATAGTCAACGCTTATGCAGTTATGGGAAATATGTAAGCTGCGATCCACCTCTTAGGTCATAATATCAACTCCACGCTATACATTAAGCAGATTTTAAAACCTCTATAGTGCTGTTAGAGGGTTTATATAAAAGCTTACTAGATTTCTGTTATCAAGCTTTCTTATAGTAATCCAATATGCATCATATGTGCCACAGCCTGCTTGCTCTATTTAGAGCTCGGATCTAAAGTAAGGGCCAGTCAGTCTTACGCTAGAATCCCTGGGTCAGATACACAAACGGACTTTTGATGGTGGAGTCAGATGATTAATCCCAGAAGTAAGCAAGAATAAAATAGAATAAAGAGGACTGGCTACACCTGAAAATTCCATCTTAAAGGCAGGGATGTGCCAAGCACCCAGTAATGCTGTGTCTGTACTTTCACTACAATAGCAAGTTTCAAGAAAGATAACCAGCATCCAGTTTAAATACATATACCAACAACTCTCTGCTTCCGATCCGAAGGTATATAGAGGCAGAAACGGCCAAAAACCACAATTGACTGACTTAAAGTCTTCCCTCACCACTTCCATGAAAATAACATGATTAAGATTATGCTCCCAGTTACTCAGCAATGTTGGCTTCTGGTAGCTATCAAAGCAGAGTTGTTTCTTGGCAGTCCTTGGAGGATCTTAGCAACCTCATCAATTTAAAACCATTATTAATGGTTAATGGTTGACCCACTAGTTGTTTTAGGCCGCCGCTCTAGTGTACGTTACTATGAAAATAGGATGGACCCTGTAGAAGACAGCAACCTACAGAGATGAGTGTTTCCGGGAATATGTCGAAATTTGCGAAAAATAGTTAAATAAATGAAGAAATGTGTCATGTCAGGTTACCCATAAGCTCTTATTTCATTTTCTTAATCAATTTTGTTGATATCTAATTCTATCAATACAAGACCAGAGACAGCAAGTCATACAATCCATGTTAGATGTCGAGTCCCAGCGTAGACCTGGAGCTACCGAGATATAGAGATCACCATGGGTTCAGGGGATTAAATGTTGTAAGGCTGTCAAATCGTGCCTTTCAGACGGTGACGCCTAGGATACATACCTTTTCGATTTCTGCTCGGGTACTACTTTTCCATGCCTACCTTTTTCTTACTCTACAACCGACCATACTACTGCAAGTATCGAGTGCTCAAAAACAATGAGAAATTAGTACTAGGCCTACTGGAATATTGACCAAAACGTATCTCACGAGAGTAAAAGCCTCGAGACTGGACTTCTGTGCCTGCTTCAAATTGTTATTTAGAGTTATCTATACTGTGGGGGACACATAGCTCAGTAATAATCGATTCAGGTAAAACAATCAAAATGAGTAAAAGTTCAAGGTATAAATAATTAGGCACAATAGTTTGACAAACAGAACTCGAGCAAATGGACCTCAAGATAGATTCTTTATCTGAACATTTTTGAAGCCCCCACTGCCATTATTCCCGTAAAAGCCGGCCATGCCTCGAGGAAAGGTCTCATCGGTAGCTGTGTAGCTATGGTTTGATCCAGAAAGTGTGACTGTGAGACTATCTGAGCGAACCGCAAATAACAAGTGATACCATTTGTTAGCTTCAATGCCCCCAGGAAGAACCCATGAGTGCAGCGGAGTGGAGGTATTGGATACTTGGTAAACAGTCAGGTTACCAGTCGCACTACTGATGACTGCCGTATACATTTTTAAATGATTTAAACCACTTTCTAAAGCAGACACCCGCGTACTCAGGCCAACATCGCCAGACTTGCTCCAGATCATGACGTCCGCACTGATCTCGTAATCCGTCCACCCGGATGATCCGGTCACTGCGACTGCAGCGGTATCTGTCGTTGGTGTGAAACTGTACTGATCGCCAGAGATGGACCAATCTCCCCCGAAATCGACCAGCCGGCCTGGCGGTTGGTGGAAAAGTTGGCTGTGTAAGGCAACACACCAATCGGTGCTTCACCTGTCCGTTCAGAACAGAACCCTGCGTCCTGGGGTGACTGAGTCGTGTATCGAATAACGCCGTTGGAAAGTGGAAGCAGGTTGGGACTGCGGTTCGACGTACAGTTGGTACTGGGTGGAACTGCCTAGGGGGACGGAGACCAGAACCATTCGCCCTTACCGTGGTCTTTATTGGTGAAGACGGAACGATGAATCTTGGGGGCATCATTCTTGGTTTTGTAGTCGAGAAATTGATCCATGCTTGCCAGGACTAATTGTTTCGTGGATGGATCCCACATAGTGTATGGGCTGGCCTAGAGGGTGATACTGTCAGCAGTCGCAATCGGATTTCCCATGTTAATCTTGTTCCAGTTAATGCCGTCTGCTGATGTCTTCCCATGAACTGTGCAGTTGGCATTGACTTTTGTACAGAACTCATAGCTTATAAAGTACTCCCCATTGTCCATTTTGGCCATGGTGGTCATTCTAGGACGATCTTTACTCCTTGAACTGACTACATCTGGAGTAAAGGTTCCTTTGTCCCAAGCGTCACCGCCGTCTGTGGAGATAAGATGGGCCAGTATCTGACCATTGTCTGCTCTGTTTCGCTCGTTGGAAAAGACTGCTAGAAGTCTGCCCTGACTGTCTAGATAGAGGAAAGGCTCCCAGATCCCACTACCACCACTATAAGTTGCGCCGCCGTGTTCCCATGCTCCCACAGCATCCCATGTCTTTCCATGATTTTGGGATCTCCAGGAGAAAAACTGGGTATTGGTGCCATTGCACAGATTACCAATGAGAAGGATTGTGCCTGCGGGATATTTACCAAGCGGCTGAGGGAACTTGAAGAGGAAGGGTTGATAGAAATAAGGGCTAGGATGGCCAGGGCTGGTTTGTGGGTCATGCACATTTGCCAGAGTTGTCTAATTACCACCTTCCTTGTCACTCTCCTGAGTGATGAAGTTGCCTGCGGTTCCATTAGAGGAGTTGATAGCCATTGTGGTGTTATCCACATACCAGTGTTCCCAAGTAGCCAACAGCTTGCCATTCATATCGCCGGCATGCTGGAGCTCAATGACGCGGGCATAGCTATTAACTTCATTTGTTGCTGCTCGTTGATAGAGAGAGGATCCCGGTGAGTCTGCGATTACCGGCAAGGTAATAACCAATGCAGTCACAGAGAACAAAGCACGCACTGTGAGACTCGTAATCTTGATCATTGTTGCTAGAAATTCTGCTGAAATGAATTTAATAAAGTTTGAGTCGATGCCCCCTTAATAATACCAGAAAAGCTCATTTATCCTCTTTACTAAGATCTATTCTTAGGCCCACTCCCCCAGTTCGAGGCAAGATCTCCGCACCGCCACAATCAGGCCTCCCATGTTGATCCGGCCTGATCGACAATTAGGGGCTTAATTAAAAGCTTAGGGAACGGCAAGTGGGGTGCCAGCAGTGGGCCATAACTATGACCTATATAGGTAAAATAAGTCGCCATGAGGGACTAGTCATGAGTTATGACGAGCTACAATATTTATTTTCAATGGGAAAAATATTAGTGGACTTGCTTACTAATACTAATATTCATCCAAGAAGAGGCTTCTTCGCTAACTATCAGGGCAGGGCACTCTCTTCACCATAGCCTAAGTTAACATGTCAGATGGAGCAAGCTTAGGTAAGAACTAAGGCAAGTGACTGAAGCTAGAGGTGATTGTATCGACCTAACGTCTATACTTGGTTAGCTCTGTACATTGAATTGAATCGGAATGCGGCGGAATGAGTGTTGGGGGCCAAAACATTAACCAATTAAATCCCCAACGTGATGAACATTGTACATAGTCTATCCCATTGCTTACATCTACCCAAAGCAGCTTTCCAAGAGTCCACTCGATGAATTTTAACTGTTATAATATGTCTGTTGACGTTGTACAAACTCTACTATTCTTCGCCGAATATTTTGGTCTCATCAATGACACACACTGGCAGGAGAGTCATGAATTCGTTAGGTTTAGATAGAAATGGTACCATTTACTCAATTTTTTCCACCTTCTATCTGGTTGAGATCGAGGCCTTTTTAAATACATGGATTTGTAGGTGACGGAAGTGGTTGTGGCGATGAGAAACGAAAAGTGATTCTGGATACCTAGGTACAGTACTGAACCGATATGTTCGCGAGTCATCATTCCCATCATTACCTCCATCATACTTGGGTTGTCATGAAGTGTATATTAAAGACGCGGCACCGTTTTGAATAGTGATAAACTCAGGGAAAAGTTCATCATTGTTGTGCAGACACAATGATAGCTACTGCAATGGTGAATTTTTACAAACTTCCAAGCAGCGCTTTAGTGTTATCGCGACTGTGTTTCAATTCAAGTCCGTTACTACTGTAGCTTTTCCTGCACCATTAACTTAAATTCTCACTTCTCGGTTCCCTGATCTACTTCTGGCATTCCTTTACTACCTTTATCAATATCATGAACCGACAAAGCTGGATATATCTATAGGCTAATATTATAGACTCACAGCTCATAGGATCATCTATATGGTTCCTGGAACCTTACACTGGAGTCTATTAACAAAACCGTAGGTTGGTATCTGTGCCCAAAGCAGTTCGCAAAATGTTTTTTCTTTTAACACTGCCGGGCTTAATCATGCCTCGACCAGCGGACATTTATAGTCGACACATTGAAGATGATATAATTCCTAATTTGTTAAATATCTAAAGTTCACTGCTACATCTACCACCTTGGGCACTTCCCAACACTTCTTGAGTGTAGCAACCATGTAGCGGCAATGAGCACTTGCCGATATTCGCAATACAGCTGAATTAGAACTCAGCCAGTAACTTTCACTGAGACATGAGCTGAAGAGGTAGTATACAGAAAGCGGGCCGACTTTTGAGAATACTGAATGATGACCTAATCTGTAGACAATCAATTACCATAGAGATATCACCGGGGCTGGGGCACTTAATCCAAGAATTTGCCGCTTTAAACACGTTCCATCGCTTGGATGACTTTGGCACTGTCAACCCGGTGCTGAGCCCACCCAGAGCCGAGTTGCGATATTTTCTGACGATTCTTCTCCCTGAAACTCGTTCGTTACGCTACTGAGCCTACCGAAAGCTGTTAAGCCTATCATTTCTTTTGTGTGGTTCCCCTCGTCGTTCAACTAGTTATTTTTGAGGCTCTGTGCGTTTTCACTGTGAACCTAGCTCTTCACCTTTTGTCCACTAGTATGCCCATGAACACGGTTCGCAAACCTGTTCTGCAACAAGGTAAGAGTGTTGGCTTCCTCATGCAATGCGTTGAGCAGTTGGTCGTGTACTATAGGCTCCGGGCCGTCCGGTTGGTTTTTGTGGAAGATGGCATATTTATAGCTTTGCTTTCCCCGGCTTACTTGCATATTGACATCTCTGGCTTGTTTTCTCTCATCCCAGTCAATTCGAAACTCATACTTATATCCTGGATCTGAGCCGCCCTCAGCGCCACGTGCTGGAGAGCTATGACTCGCATCGTCTGCGCCAATAGTATATAATTTCCGGTCCCTCCTGGGGAGCAACAGTTGCTTGTTGCTGCTGCCATTGAAGCCGTGCAGTAATTCATTTTCAGCGCTACCGACACAAAGGGTCTTTAATCCAGCCCCAAATTCCCCAGACACTTCGTTGATTGCAGGGCTCAACAAATGTAGCGCAGTTCCAATAGGGTTATCGTATTGGAGAGTAATCTCCTTGACGTCGTCCTTGTCGGAAATCCGTATATTGAAGTCGGCTCCCTTGAGATGATTCTTTCCCCCTTTGAACTTTGCCCACGTATGAGTCACAGCACTGGGTACTGTCGGTATTGTCTTTCGTACCCTTATCGGGCTGATGCTTCTTCACATTGCCTGTTGGGTGATGATTATTGACTGGATCATTTCCAACATAGGCATAGAGGTTGGGGCCATCAATAGTGCCCTACGGATCGGCAGAAATCCAACGTGCCATCCAAGGCGCATAATACCGCAAGCCGCAATGATAAAGCCCGTTTTCTTTGTCGCGCTCGTAAGAAGCGAAGCGATATTTCCGCGGCGCTCCCTTGCACCGATACTGGCAGGTGCTGACGCTAAAAGGTCTGTACTCTTCATAGGAAATAGGTACCGCAGAATCGTTGTGCTCTAAATGTGCACCTGCTTGATATCGGACAAGGAAGCCAGAGCCATGTCCTTCTTCAAGGGTGGCAAATGCCTTCCCACCCAGGGCTGCATCGGCCACGGTCGTGGTAGTTATCTGGCTCGTGATGCTTGTACCAGATCCATTGTAGGTGGTGAAGACGTCATGAATGGGCAAATATCGAGTTTCCTTTTGTTTTCCTGTCGGTGCTGTGCCACCAACACCTGCGCTTCCTTCTGTCTTGCGAACTCGACTTCCTCCGGCATTGTAAACATACCAAGTCGTTTCTGCCATTGCATCACCGCACCCGTTGCGTGGAAAATGAGTGCAGGTGGTCTGCGTAGTTCCAATCCAGTGAGGAATATCCAGGGATCTTTGTCATACACCCATGCTCTCCGTCCTCCCCTGTGTATTCGTGCCTTCGCTCTGCGCCGCCACTCGATGTCCTCGTAAGCCAGTTATTGGTCTCACCTGGGGTAAATGCAGCTTCGCTATTCGTTTTAGTACTGTCTTGTCCAGCCAGAGAAAGTGTCCCCTGGGACGTGTCGTAGATGAAGGATATTTCCCGCCTTGACATAAGTATAGAACTCCTCGTAGTAGATTATCTGCCTACCGTCTCCTTTTGTATTACTGGCTTTTACGGCGTTGAATTCCGGTAGCTTGAGTTGTTTTGAGCTCCCATGTGCCACGTTGACTTGCTCCGGGCCAGATGCCTTAACAAGCTGACCAAGGAAGTCATACCAGAAGCGACCCACTGGTGGTGCAACTTCATTGAGAAAGAAGATGGTCTGTTGCACCAGGTCAACAGTGCATACTATCTTACCCATGCAATTGTAGGTGTGCGACAGATCTTGCAAGACCTCTTGATTGGCTATCTGCACAGTTTGAGTTGCAATTTTCCGTCGAGTTATCCTATGTATGGCTATTCTGGGGTCTATTTTCAAATGTCACGCTCTTTGATTAATTATTAGGTTCATATTCAATATTAAATACAGATAAGTCACTGTTTTTCTATGCAGGGCAAATGATCGGACTGACTTAGATCCGCCAGCATCATTATATTCTCATCATATAATGCCCACTTCTGCTCGCATCTCAACCGCCTGACCCATGGCATTAAGGACGGTTCTGGTGCTGTGTATCTGCTCTTCGAGGTCATCTGTCTCGCTGCAGGTCGACCAGTCGATCAACTGCTTGTATTCCCTAGCGTAGTGGGTGACGAACAGTGTGCAGTTGCCTTTAAAGTCAAAGCGGTTGTTTCTGCGTAGCCCCGATTGATCATAGCACCTCCACAACTGGCCATTTAGATTTAGGCTGGGCGCTGTGACCAGCCTCTCCATAGATCCTTCTTATTGGTAGCACCTCTCGTTCGTCGGGTCTTGCCTTGACCCAAACATCTGTTGGTCGTCGAAGTTCGTCATATTCCATACGCTGGCGAATTCCTCGATCCGACCAGTATAAGAGCGGAGCCCCTGATCCATGTTGTTTGTGTGAAGTGGGTTTCCCAGCATGTCTTTCACACTGCTTGTCTGGAGAATTGGTTTTCGGGGAATCAGAACCGGTGTCCGATCTACCAGAGTGTATTTATTGAGGCGGAGGTATAAACTCACCCAGAGTAATAATCCAATAACTATATCGGGTATTAATATGTTAGAATGTAGATTAGAGTGATGACGTGATTTGATCTAAATTGTTGTTATTAGCTATTTTAGTATATTAACTGAGCTTATTCAGATCAACTGTGAGTCATTGGTGCCAACAAAGATGTCTCGAACTCGAAGACCTGTCTATTAACAGCACACTCGTCTCTAATCAAGGAATGCAGTCAATCTCGTCCAAAAAATGGTTCGACTTCGATCTAGATGACACACTGCATGAATTCCGCAAAGCGCCAGCTCATGCGTCGTCTTCTGACTTCACTGCCATCCATAAAAGAACCCAAACATCACAATTGATGATCTAAAAAGATCCTATCGCAATACCCTCCACTCTATAACAGTATCTGCTTTTTCCGACGGTCGAACTTCAACAGAATATCGCTCTGAGCGGTTTACGCTGCTCCTCCAAGCACACGGCCTCAAATGTCTTGAAGGAGCAAATCGACGTTCTCCTTGAGATATATCAGCGCAGCCTTAAAGAAGGACTCACTCTCAAGCCAGGCGTGATGAGTTTATTTCAGTGACTCAAGAGTCTGAATAAAAATATTCTCGTGGTTACTGAAGGACCGCAAGATTCGCAGGAATGGACGGTGGATCAGCTCGGTCTGCGACAATATATTGATATCCTGGTTACCACGAATGAGATCGGCAGGTCGAAGGTCGAAAGACTGTTCGAGATTTTTCTGGATACATATCAAATTCAAGCTCGAGAAATTGTCTACATTGGAGATAATGCGGTGCAGGACGTGCTTCCCGCACGGGGAGGCAGGGATTGATGCTATTCGGTACGATGAAAATGGAGATTATGAGGACAGCACGTGTCTGAGATCTTTTACTGATTTCCAGAATTTATTCTGCAGATATGGTTGAGTTTATTATAGATCGCGGTTGAATGTGGAGTTCCATCTGCACATCTCAATTTCCCACTTCCGTCGCCAAGCGCGTGCCAGAACGATGCAAATCCATTCGCGGTTAAAACAAACAGCCAAGAACAATGTTGATATTGGCTTGGCGACGTGCAGTGTAGTATCGATTGTCAATTTAACTCAATGGCATTGTCTGAGCGATTTTCCAAAATGTAAGATTATAAATAAGTCTTTTCCCCCAAGTAAACAATGGTCTTTCAAATCAAACCAACCTAAGATGTTTTTCCCTCTTCTCCTCGCCGGCGTGGCAGCCGCTGTCCCCATCCAACATGGCAATGTCAGCACCAGCACCATCACCAACATTCAAGTCGGGCCTCGTCCATATTTCCTCGTCGATAAGATGGACCCCAGCCCCCTGAAAACAAAATTGCAATCCTGCGCTGAGAAACCAATTACCTCGTCTCCCGCGTTTGCCATCTCTCACCGTGGAGGACCCCTGCAATTTCCCGAACACAGTCGTGAAGGAATGCTCGCTGCAGCTCGAATGGGGGCGGGAATCATCGAATGTGATGTGTCCTTCACATCTGACGAGGAGCTAGTCTGTCGGCACTCGCAGTGCGATCTGCACACGACTACGAATATCCTCACTATCCCTTCTCTGGCGAAGAAATGCACGACCCCTTTCACGCCCGCGAAAGATGGTAAATCAGCCACAGCGAAATGCTGCACTTCCGACATCACACTGAGCGAATTCAAATCGCTCTGCGCGAAAATGGACTCCTCCAACGCCTCTGCGACCACACCGCAGGAATACCAGGGCGGAACGCCTGATTGGCGGACAGATGAATATGCCACCTGCGCGACCCCAATGGAGCATAATGAGTATATATCTCTCATTGATTCCTTGGGACTGCAGTTCTCTCCGGAATTGAAGGCGCCCCAGGTTGCAATGCCGTTCCACGGGAACTATACACAGCAGATCTATGCGCAGCAGATGATTAATGATTACAAGAACCGTGGAATTGACCCATCGCGCGTCTGGCCGCAGTCCTTCCAAGAAGACGATATCTTTTACTGGATTGACCATGAGCCCGCGTTTGGAAAGCAGGCCATCTATCTCGATGAGCGGGTCGATTCGCCTGAGAACTATACCAAGGCTGTGCAGAGCTTTCCTGATCTCGCGAAGCGCGGAGTGAAGATTATGGCTCCCCCGATCTGGGCGCTGCTTAACGCCACCAGCGAGGGTGAGATCGTTCCCTCTCAATATGCGGTTGAGGCGAAGAAGGCAGGCCTGGACATCATCACCTGGTCGCTGGAACGGTTTGCGCCCCTGAAACAGGCTGCGGCGCAGAAGGACTATTATATCCAGTCTATTGCAAGCGCTATTAAGGGCGATGGCGATATGTATCGCATTGTGGATGCGTTGGCGAAGAAGGTTGGCGTGAGAGGCATGTTTTCGGATTGGCCTGCTACTGTTACTTATTATGCGGCTTGTATGGGTTATCAATAGATAGATAGACAGACAGACAGATAGATAGATAGAGCGTTTATCATAATTCATGTTGTTAATAAGTTGAAGGCATGACAGATAGACTCTCTCCGTTGACCAATAGCACATTCCCGTTTAGACACGCACCGGCCCGACTGGCCAGGAATAGAATCACCCCGGACATGTATTCTTCATCGCCGAATCGTTTAGCAGGGAACATGATTTTCGAGGGCGGGCCTCGTGATACTAGCGGTGCTGATAATTCAGATGGAAATACTGCCGCAATTAGTAAATCATCATCATGAAGCAAAGGATACAAGTGCGGCCCTCCAGGTGCCAGCGAGTTAGCCTACCTATATAAGCCGAAAGATTGATACCGATCAAGGGCGGAGTCTTGGCATATTCGAATGGATACTAGTCGTTGCCGGTTAGTTACGGCGGACTATAACGAGTTTCGTGCCCATACTTTACCAAAATTTCATTTAACCACCATCCGAATATTAAATACACATACATGTAGTCTATTAAATAACCCCCTAAAAACTACCTTTATATAGTATTCTATTAATATTATAAGCGAATATAGTGTAAAAAATATATACAAATATTTTTAAAAAATTAATATAAGGGGGCTATTTGTAGAGTGTAGTTTAAAAATATGACTGTAGGTATACGGTGTAGATATATATATTCTGAGGTAAAAGTAATATTTCATATTTATATTCTTTTTTCATAAAAAAGACTATGTTTTTTCTAATTGAATAATAATGATAGAATAGTATACTTAAGAAAAATATATTTTTAATATTTTTTTCTTAATTCTTTTCTATTATTATTTATTATTTTATTTACCTATCGATTAATCTTAAAATTGATGATTGATACAGAGTAATTTTGCCATAATAACTGAAGGCGGTAAAGGGTGGGCGGTAAAGGGTCGAGATAAATCCTTTAAATTTTACTAGTATAGTAAAGGTGTTGATTATGTAATATAATATGTAAAGGTAGCTGATTGGCTAATATATAGAGAATTAAATATCATTATGTGGCAATATCTTAGAGCAGTCGAAATTATTGAAATTATTAGGTGTATGACATTTGGCACGGAACTCATTATCACCGACCATATTAGTGCTGATTGACTATACCAGGGAATGACAGGCGGTCACTGCTGCTTCCACCCCGCCGGCAATTCCTCCGGCAGTCAACGAGACCTACTGCGGGGTATACGGCTGGGTATGCCTTAGCTATGTATGCATTCATTGAACCTTGTGGAATAGATGACCAATCATGGACTGCTTCTCTTTGGTCATGGCAACTATGGCCATTGTGGTAGATTTTTAGTCGATGGCCACCAATGAGGTGGGCAACAATTCTCTTCCCTCTTGGTGCCACCCCAACGTATAACTTACATAGAACGGATCTGTGTGGGTCTCAAAACAGATAAAAAGTTGCCGCGGAACAAAATAAGCCGTCTTCCCTTTTCCGTTTCTCAATGAATCACAAATTCCGGGTTCTACAACTTCTCAACTCTGCCCCGTTCTGCACTCCATGGAAGAGAGGTATCCGTCTCGATCACGAAGGGCCGCCAAGGCCTGTACTTTTTGCCGGCAGAGAAAAGTGAGTGGATTGTAGGATTTACCTCGGGACACTATTCATCGTTTTGTTCAGTTGCGCTGTGACGAAAAGCTTACACGTTCCAATTGCGAGGGATATGGAAAAAACTGCATGTATTTGGCAGATCCCCCACGCCCCAGGTATGCTGTCGCTTGATTCTCTGCTCAACGAAAATGAGTGCATAATAGCCTAACTGGGCGAGGCCGTCCAAAGCCCGGGTCGCTCGTCTACTGGCGGAAAATGAACAGCTTCGCGAGCGACTCCGGCACAGCCTTGCTGACTCTTCGTCTGTACAGGATGTACACCATGTGCCTCATCAAGAGACACCGGTGCACGAACCGCCGAGCAGCGGAAAACACGGCAACTTCCAGTCGGTTGTGTCTGGTATCTTTATATCCGCCAATGGAGATTCCAGATATCATGGACTTACGAGTACTCTGTTTGACGATTCGCGGATCTGCAGGCAGGACCATGGTTAGTTCTCGGATGCCTTGGTGCTCGTGGAGCTTATCCGCAAATAGCTTATGGGGGAGGCTGCCTATCAACGTACGTATATCTACTAAATTGATGGTAAATTAACCAATCTGACAAGACGATAGGGTAGATGGAGACGTTAAACTTTCAGCAGAAGAAGTTCGACTTTGACGGGGTAGATCCGGAGCTGGGGATGCATCTGCTGTCACTGCATTGGAACCGGCAGCACCATGCTTTCCTAATCATCTATCATCTGGCTTTTATGCGAGACATGGCTAGTTACTTCCCACGGATGCGCGACCGGCTGTGAATGGTCCGTGGAAACTCTACATAGGAGTTTCAAGATGAAGGGATATTGCTTGTTGCTTCGTCCTTTGCACTAGCGAAAATATATCCTGGTATGCTAGGCTCTTGCAGGTGATGTTTACATCATGTCCCATGCGCTGGACTAGGACAATGTTTGATTCCCATGACGTAGCTTCATTGCTGGATATCATGATTTGTAATGGCCTTAATCATTCTAAAGATTGAAGGCAAGACTCAAAGACTTTCAGTAACTGACTCAACAGTAAGCTAACTACTGCTTAGATACAGAGTACTCTGCCTTAGACCTTCTCCTTCTGTTCCACACTCGCCTTCTCTTCTCCTCCTTCGTCATCTACTATCTCCCCCTGGGGTATGTTCCGAGCCATAGCCACAACATGCCACACGGAAGGGGCATCCCGGAAAACATGGTTCAACGCTTCCAGATTGCGGTTCATAGTCTCGGGATAGAAAAAGTACACCGTGACGGGGATGCTCGCAGAAATCGCAGCATACACAATGTAGTACTGATAACCCAGGGTATTTATCGCGATGGGGGATACCATGACGACGATGAAATTCCACAGCCACTTGTTCGCGGTCGAGACGGCTGACATGGCCACGCGCAGGCGCATGGGAGCCACCTCTGTGCAGTAGAGGAAGTTTGCGCCTGAAAATCCGATGGGATAGAAGAGATTGAACAGCCAAATGAAGACGACAGAGGTGATGGAGACCGACTGGTGTTCGGGGTCAAAACTCGTAGTGATGGCTAATACCACCATGCAGATGCTCATGCCGATTCCGCTGACGATGAAGACCTTCCGGCGTCCGACGCGGTCGATGGCGAAGAATGGAATGAAATTACAGGCGCACTTCCATGTCAAGGCGCTGGCGGCGAGGATCCGGGAGAGATCATTGCCCAGCTTGAGGTTCTCTTCAAAGATGGTCGATATATAGGTTGAGATCAGGTTGCCACCGCACATCTGCTGGAAGAATTGCGTCAGGATGCAGAGCGCAAATCGGTAGAGAAGGCGTTCCTCATCATTACCGAGCAACAGCTGCAGAAGCGAGAGACCGCCTGAGTGCGTAGAGAGCTCCAAGGATGATTCGATGCTCGCCATTTCCGCCTGCACCGTTTCATCGTCCACCGGGAGGCCCTTGTACGCTGCCAGACTGCGTGTGGCCTCTTCGGGTCGGCCGACCATGGCGAGCCATCGCGGCGACTCTGGTAGCAGGAAGACCGATCCAATCACAGCAAGTGGGAAGCAGAATGAGATGGCGAGTGGAACGCGCCACTGCGTGGACCCGGACGCCTTGCTGAACCCAAAATCGATCCAGTTGCACAGCACGAATCCCAAGGTCATGCAGATGCCATCGACGACGACATGCCGCCCGCGGTGCTTGGCTGAGCTGCACTCGGCCTGCCACACTGGGACCGTGGCGCTCAACTGCCCAATCCCGAGGCCGAGAATGACCCGGCCCAGGCTGAATTGAATGACACCATAAGAGGTGGTCTGTAACAGCTCCCCAATAACGGCGATGACGGCCGCCATAAAGATGGTCTTGCGCCGGCCAAGCCAGTCACCAAAATAGGTGCATGAGAGCGACCCCACCAGCGCCCCTAGCTGGAGAGCCGCGATGAGAGCACCCTTCCTCGTCGCGTTTCGTGCCTTGATTGCTCCTTCGGTGTTAATCGTATCGATCTCTGGAAATGTATGAACCCTGTAAACGGTCAATCCCAATCTTAATTCCATTTTATGCCTCGAGTGTGGGAAGGTACCATGACTGCAACGAAGCAAGCGGCGCTACTCCTGCTTGATTGTATCCGTAGGTGATAAATGCTGGTGCCACTGTGAGAATGACTTGCGCCAGATGAAGCGACCTTCCTCGTAGCATGATGATTAGATGGGAGTGTACTTGAGAGAAATCTAGATACTCTTGTTCAGAATGTCTTAGTGACAGTGATTTATACATTCCCAAACTCGGGTGGACATTGCGGGGCCCCGCATATTACGTCTTGGCTATAACAAGGTTCATAAACCACATGGAATCTCTCTATTAGAAAGAAACTCTATTAGCCAGGATATCTAAACGAAGAGGATGCGGATCTTCCGCGGAATATCAGGTCCCGCGGGCCTGAGATAGCGTATTTATCCCTGTATTTGGTTTGACTCCCCGGAAAATGATTTAAGCAACTTAGTGGTCTCATCAATGCATTGGCAACTACGGTAGGAGTACCTAGTATAACCACAGATGGGCTTTCCTTTTGGCCCCTCCCATTGAATCCGCGGCTTGGAACATCCCGTGGGTTAACACGAGCCCGGCATGAGTTGCATTGCATTAATGGCGTGTTCAAAACGCCCGGTCTTACTTTCATCTGTGTATAATTTGCCCACTTATCAATATCTAGTTGTGTTTATCCTGAGAACTAATATCGGAGTAGTGATGTGTTATGCAATGTGAATATTATGTGAGCTACTCAAGATACACGCATTGAAAATGAATCTGTAGTATTTCAATGGGGTTCTAGTATAACAAGAGAAAGAGAAAATACAGTGAATCGCGATAATCAGACATGGTGGTTGGGTTTGTGGGACAAACCAGCCAAACAGAACAAACAAAGCAAAGATCTGAGTCCGCCAGCCTAGCGCGGAGCGCGAGGTTGCCACAATACAAAATACATATAGCAGCATTTCCATCCTAATGCTCAACTAATGCTGGATTCGTATCATAGTTGGCTTGCTACTCTACATTCCGAGAAATATCCACCAGATCCCTCGTGTAGGCTTTCTGGCTGAGCGGCCAGCTCGACATTCACGACAGCAGAACTCTGGTGACTTTTACGATAGAAAAACGGCAAAAATCGATCAAATGGAAACATGTTTGGTCTGGTCCGGGGCAAAAACTGATTAGTTAAGGGTTACATGTATTCCAGTCTCTCTGCTGTTAGTATAAATACTCCATTCACTATATCATTTTCTAACAGATAGTAGCCGAGGATTAATCAGGTATCTCAAGACAGACTAAATTATGGTTCTGATCTGGACGATCGTCATCGAGTCATTGAGCTTTCTGCCCTTGAATAGGAAAACAAACTGTGCAACCCATGGAACCTTTAAGCTTCTCCACACCTACTTATTCTCGACATCTGCCATAGAGTCTCGGCCAAATATTCATCCGCATACTCATCTGCGCTAACAATGGATGACTGTAGAGATGTCTGTCTAGTTTGTACAAGGGAAATATAGATTTAGCCAATTGGTACACATACATCCATAAGCTGGATGTGCCCGTTCCAATTCTTATTACCCTCTGCTAGGCTGCCCCATTGATCTAGTAGGATTGATTGATGACCATTAATTACATCATACACAAAACACCACTCTTACCTCATCTTTACACCCAGAGCGTCCTTTCTTTCTATGACCCTATGACTCCATTAAAGGCCTAGATTATGTAGATCTAGCTATTGGTTATACTTTTATTGTGTATAAAAGGGTCAGGCTACTCTTCTGGAGAAAGCTATCATCGCCCAATGAACAATCTTTCTGGGAAAAGTGAAATTTTTGATAAATCAACATCATGATATTTCAACTGCAACAATCTATATCTGCTATTTATGTGCTGTTGTTAATCCTACCTTGGAATGCAAATGCTGCTTCTGATTGCACACAAGATGACATTTCCCGGCTATCTGTGTCTAATTGTGACTGTCGTGATCGGTTCACTACATGTCCAACTACCTGTCCAATTCCAAATGCCTGTGGAACAAGTTTCGGCAAATTGCGAACTTGTAACCAAGGCTGTTCAGAGTGCAATCATGATTGTGACGCATGCAATCTGTACTTTGGAGGCTTGTGTCGGTGCTTGAAGCAACAGGACTGTTTTCATGATAGCAATACTGGCTCCTGGACATTGCTACATGCCGAAGATTTGATCACCACACCACGCCTTCTACCAGGAATCTTGGAGTTAAATCAAGATAACGGAGGCTGGAAACTAGGTCAAATTGTGCAATTGAAAAGGCCTCACCATACCTTTGCCAATGGAGCCCTGGCAATGAACTCGGCCGCCGCAAGAACTCAGGAGCAGATTCACATACATGTGTGTGAGAATCAAGGCAGTGCCTTTCGTCAGTACATTGAACAGAAGCTGAAGCCGACCAACTTTCAAACTCTGCAAGATACAGGTTTCTCGGCCCCCTTTTTCAAAGCAAAAGTACTATGCCAGGCACAAAATTTACAAGGGTCAGCTGATTTTGAAATGGGAAAACTTATTTTTAACTATATGAGTAAGTTAAGTCAAAATTGCGATAAGTATCATTTGGGGGCCGGGCTTATCAATGATAAAAATGGTTTTACTTGGGGGTGTGTTACCCAAGGTGGGGGAGCAGAGGAACTTTTCTGTAAGAATTAATACTTTACTCCAGAAGGAAGAAGATCTTCAATAATTGCATGTCCTTATTGGCGGGATCTCTGTAGCTAGCTAATCCTCGCAATAAATGCTTTCTGTTTCTGAAGAATACTATCTAATTACCCTGCATTATGGGGACAGCTGAGAAATTTTCGGCATTTCTTGATATGTTTCTGAACCTAACTGTTTCTGGAAGAAAGGCTGGCTGAAAATGAAATGAGAGATCAATGAGATTTTTTAAGGGGGCGATTGGCTTATAGTCAACCAATAGAATTCAAGATCACGCCATTTGACAGAACGATGTCAGCGTTCCGCACCCTGACAGTAGTTCAATCCTGCGGTAGGCTCAGCCTCATCCTGCAGTAGGCTCAGCCTCAATTTCCCACAATCCTGATGTTTAGAGACCCTGGTTTCCCATACCGAGGCTTAGCTTCGTTCTGTAAGATTGAGAAGTAGCGTATATTTTTAGACGGGATCGACACTTACGGGAAATTATCATACGATAGTCCGACCGGACTCAACTATATAAGTCACAAAGATACTGCCTTGCAGAAACCATTTCCCAGTAAACACTGAAGACTCGAAAGTTTTCATTGATTCGTTTATTGATCAGAATGAATTACTTTCTCAGTATATTGGTTGGAGCTTTGCTCCTGTGCATAGGTATAGTCTGTCACAGCTCAAAGGTTTCGATAAATGCTTACCAACTCAGATTCATTTGCACTTCCAACAGCCCAGCCGGAGTCAGACTCACGTTTGCCTGACGCTAGCCATGTCCTTCTGCGGACAATGCCACTAGGCGCATCTATCACATATGGGACGAAGTCAACGGATGGAAATGGTTTTCGCAAAGCCTTTCATGAGAAACTCCGTGAGGCTGGCCATCCAGTGGACATGGTTGGGAGTCGGAAGGCAGGAACCATGAAGGACAATGTATGTCTTATCCCCCAAAGATCGAACGGGACGGGAACTGGAATCACTAATGATTAATGTAGGACAATGAGGGATGGCCTGGATTTACGGTTGATCAGGTCCATAAGAAGGCGAGTGCCAACTTTGGGCCCAAGCCAAACCTCTACCTAATCGAAGCCGGGACGAATGATTGTGTGAAGGAGGTTGATGTTGCTCATGCCCGAGAACGAATGGAGAATATGATCAATGACATCTTCACTCATGTTCCCAGTACAACAATCATCCTATCCGGCCTCCTTCCACTGAAAAAGAATGATACCTGTGCTCAGGAGATATCTGCTGGCTACAAGGAGTTGGTAGGACAACTTCAGGAAAAGAAGAAGAAAATTGTCTTTGCAGACATGCACAATGGCCAAATCAAACTATCAGACCTTGTTGACGGGACTCACCCCACCGATGCTGGGTACAAAACAATGGCAGAAATCTGGTTCAGCGCATTCCAAGATGCGGCCCACAGGAACTTTCTCACAGCTCCTTTATCAAACAGTTAATCAAATACAGCATCTGACAACTGAGATGGCATCAACTGCTTCTGCAATGATCAGTGTCCTTTCTTGACAATTTTTTTCTTTTTCGAGCCCCTTGCAATTGGACAATGCTCGGCTGTTTTACTGCTATGGTATTATTAGATAGCTATATCCATTATCACATTATTGGTTTGAGTCTTTTGTGAACTGAGCTGCGTTGTGCTTTGCTGTTTATTTTAACATTTGACTTTCACCTATGCTGTTTTTTGTCTGGTGAACTGTATCTACTTATGAGTCTTGAGTGTATATATATCTGAAAGACTTACCCTGGACCGCGATCCCGTCTGATCAGTATGACAGGTGAGCTAACAAGCACTGTAATACCAAACCCTTTTACTGTCCGAACATCAGGTCAGCTCTTTGATCTTTCTGATTTTTTCAGGGTCGGTACTGGTTGTTATCCAGTTTTGAGGAGCTGCATTGGCCTCTTTAACATTTGCGCCATCCAGAATGCCTGAGATTTCATTTCCATATGAAACCCCCCTCTCTTTCAACACCTCTGCGCATCTCGAACAGGCAGGTTTTGAAATCCCAAGGATTGGGATATCCTTATTATTGATAGCCGCATAGCTCATAATCTGGACCTCTGCGTGCCACAGTGCGTTCATCTTAGCATTCTATGGCTCTTCTGTGGGCGCGATGATAGTGACAGCGGTTTGATTTGTCTGAGGATACCACTCCAGGACATGTTGAATCGTCTGTTCATGTCTTCCATCATAAAACCCGAACATAGTATTATTCCAGAACTACCGACAAGTTCCAGGAGCGAAGAGAATATAGAGAGCTTTTCCCTATCTGTCTCTGGGACCTGACGGTCATGTGCCAGTGACTCTATAGCACTGTGCACTGAATCGCCCCCCTTGGCTTCAGCTTCGATGGACTTGAATGTATCCTTCTCCTCTTCGAATAGATAAGGAAAGACGGATTCAAAGAGTCTATCATTGTCAGATAATGGAGACATCACGACTGCTGTAGAATTCGATTGTAAGCCCCAAATAGTCTCTGGTCAAGATCAATTGGTTTTCAATTTTTCTTACCTCGTTAGAAGTGAATTTCGTATTATTAGAGAAGATAAGTTATACAATATCAACGCCGATCCAACACTGTCTGTAGCGGAGCGCTTCGTTATACGACCAGCGATTCCGGTTCCAAGTGAATTCAAACTGCCCAGTAATCCGTCTAGCTACCTCTCCCGTCCAGCTGTGGTTCAAGACGGCATGATCCAACCACGTATATCCTTGCCTTCCTCTTTCTTCCCCGCCTGCGTCTTGTCGATCCAATTCGGAATCAGCTCTCGCAGTGACAGACTGGAAGGATGTCTCAGCTCATCCAGGCCAATAACCTGACTGTGTAACGTTAGGCACCTACAATGATGCAAGAGAAACTCGCCATAGTGGGCTCATCACAGCTGTCACTGCGGGGAAGTTCATCACCGTTTGAGATTGTCGTATTTGATAATTACACAGTTTCGTATTTCGATGATATTCCTCTTCAACTTTCCAAGTTACTTTTTATCATCCAATTAGGTTAGTTCATGGCCGACAACAAGCACGTTTTGCAATTTGACCATCTCTTTTCATTTTATCTATTAATCGCTGTTGAGTCTATGGCTCATTCGTTCAAAGTTAAAGAGTCAAGGAGGATCATTGAGGAGAGATGGTCTTCCAGATGCGATTTGTGGCCATGATGACCAGTGGGCTCTCAGAATACATACCCGACTGCAGCACTTTGGCATTCTACATGGTCAGCCATTACAAATGGAGTCAATAATCAGATAAAAGCAGGGGTAAGCAAATGATAGGTTCTATCACTTATGTTTTCATTTGCAATATGCCCAGACACCTTCTCAGGCCTTGAGCTTTATGGCACTTGTTACAGTTGGACGAGAGTATAGTATTCCTTTATGCCTGCCCTTGTATTTTAACTAAGTTTGTATCATTTGATTTTTGTCTCAACTATAGCTTTCTCAGTAGCACACTTGGAAATTTCAGAGATATTAAAGACCGCCATTAGAGAGCATTTGCAATAGCGGTATATGCGTTCTTAGGGTTATAGTTGCTGTCAAAAAGCAATGGGCTCTCGTCGGAGCGCCACGAATCCTAGGGGAGATAGTATCAGCATACAGTCTTTTATTTAAACATAAATGAGCATTACCGGGTCAGCAACTCCCCAAACTGTGATTCCGATACATTTGGGCTGATCGAGGCAGGCTTCGACAACCTATAGTAATAAATGTTTAGCAAAGAAAATCATGACAGTGGTGGCATTGGAAACTCACATTGACATAATCGGTAGAGCCGGCGCCAGCAATATCAAGCTCAGTGATGGCAATCTCTTTTGTTCCGGCACCGGCTAGAGCATTCAAGGCTGTGAGAGGGGTCAGCTAATGTTCGGGAGACAAGAGGCAAGGGTACTTATCCAGAAATTGCAGCACCGGCACCAGCGCCCAAGTGGGTTTGAGAGCCTTGAACGAGTAAGTATCAAGACACAGTGAAATGCAATAATAAGTATCTTACCGATTCCATCGATTGGAATACCAGCAGCAATCCACTTCTTGACATGGCTGACCATACCGGCCAACTTGCCATAAGAGGCGGAATCCAGGCTTTGAAGATTAGAATTCGAGCACAACGAAAGAGCAGAGGGCTGACTCACTTGTAGTCATTGATATAGAGCTTTGCACCTGGGTCTGCAGCACGAGCAGTTTCAAAAGCGATGCGCACAAAGTCCTCGCCAAGAACATTGTAGAAGACACTGTCACGTAGGGAGCCGTCCTCATTGAAGATTTCATTCACAACATCCTTTTTCAATCAGTAATCTGGTATAGAACTATATTATGGATTAACAGACCCAGGCATAGATCTTGCCCTTGTAATGCTTCATCACCGTGGTAATGTGGCTCTTCATGACATTTGTCAGAGTTGTTTTGTCGGTGATGGAAGAGACCCAAGATGGGAGCTGAGAATGCCAGACTTGGCTAGTTTAGCTTTCCTATTGTGATATACTTGAGTCTAGGGCCTTAAATCTTACCGAGAGTATGGCCACGGATCAGCTTCCCATTGGACTGGGCAAAGTCGACCTAGAGTCTGTCAGGACCAGAAAAAAGCAATCGGGGTGGGAAAGCCGGGTACATACCAGAGCATCCGAACCACTGAAGGAGAACTGCCCTTGAGTTGCTATTTGAAATAAGCTTGCAATACTTTATCACCCAAAGACAGTTCTACTCACGCTCTGTAGCATCCCACTTCATACTATTCTCCGGGGTCAATTGGCCGAAGTCGGCCTTGATGATCGCTGGAGTCTTTTCATTCTTGCTAAAGGTGTACTGTTCACCAATGGTTCCCAGATACTTCTTCCCATGAGCCTTGAATTTGGCATCAATGCTCACAGAGGCCTGTCGGGATTCAATGGGTGTAGAAAGCACCTGCCCAGCGAAAAGAACGGCCAAGGTAGCTGCTTTGATTTGAACCATTTTGGGGGTGTTTTGATTCTTCAAGCCAATAATGGAGAAAGGGGTGAGGAGGCATTTTCTAGATAGGATGGACAAAATATTTATACAGCCAATAATATTCTTAAGGATAAGAAGTTTATACTTAGTAAACAGGAATCTTCCCTAGTTGTAACTCGATGCACATCTATCCCTTCACTGATGGAAAACGGAGGTTGCCGATTTTACCCAAGGTTTACTGAGTCAAGGTGCCGATATTCTCGGGGACAAGAAGCTCATAGTTAGTCAACGGGGTTCTTTCCTAATCAAAACCGGATGCTCATCTATATCCTTCACTAATGAGGAACCGAGCTTTCCTCAAGGTTTACTAAATGAATCAGGAGATCACCTTCGATCATTTTTAGCCTAAATGATTGCAAGAATGTGCGGAGCTACCTGATCCCTGTGAGACATGCTGTCTCTGAATACGAGTTATCAAACCGCTAAGCTACTGGCAAGGTCTAGCCCCGATGTAACAACAAAAGAACCCACAAATATTGGCTGCTGTTGAAGTGGAGCCGATGCAGTCGGTAAATGAAGAAAGGGTCCTCCCAAGTGGAGATGAAAATGATCGCCAACAAATCCCGTCCAAACTACTTTCTCCGGGGTATTTCCGAGCGGCATTATTTATTTATTCCTGACACTCTTCAGTCGTCTTTTGCCGAGCTGCCACGATTAGTGTGTTTTATACAGAAACAGCCGTCGGGTATCAGGATAATATCAGATGCACTTCCGCAACTCCTCACTTTCAATGAAGCCGATATTCCGCCGCCCAATTTTTCTGGCTAATTTGACCTTTTTTTTAGAGTAGGAAATTAAAAACATACGAAACCTCATGTGTTTCGAATTGAAAATCATGGGCTTACTTGGGAAGCGAAGTGATTCATCCAATCCCCTCTCTCCCGAACAGTACAATATAAGCCGTCTTGGATTCTTTAAAGAAGATCGCCCTGCTTGAAGTCCTCAATCTTTTAACCACCTCTGTTTGCAATCCAACGACAATGAAATTCTTCAAGGCGCAAGCTGGTGTGCCATCTGGCATATTCTTGCTCTCTCTGGCACCAGTTGTCATTGCCGACTGCGCTCTTCCGTCAACCTATAGCTGGACATCAACTGGCTCTCTGGCAGATCCAAAGTCTGGATGGACGGCGCTCAAGGATTTTACCAATGTGGTCTCCAACAACAAACATATCGTCTATGCATCAACCACTGACGCCAGTGGAAACTACGGCTCGATGAATTTTGCCTCCTTTTCAGACTGGTCTGACATGGCATCTGCAAGTCAAGCCGCGACGAGCTTTACGGCAGTTGCGCCCACTTTGCTCTACTTCCAGCCAAAGAGCATCTGGGTGCTGGCCTACCAATGGGGCTCGAGTACGTTTACCTACCGAACGTCAAGCGATCCTACCAATGCCAATGGATGGTCATCCGAGAAAGCTCTTTTCTCTGGAAAGATCACCGGCTCGGACACTGGCGCCATTGATCAGACCCTTATCGGTGACGCCACGAATATGTATCTTTTCTTTGCGGGAGATAACGGCAAGATCTATCGGTCGAGCATGCCAATCGCCAACTTCCCTGGAGACTTCGGAACGGCGTCAGAAGTCGTTCTTAGTGACAGCCGGAACAATCTCTTCGAAGCAGTCCAAGTTTACACCGTCGAAGGGCAAAACCAGTATCTGATGATCGTCGAGGCAATTGGAACAAACGGCCGTTATTTCCGTTCATTCACCGCCAGCAGTCTCGACGGTTCGTGGACAGAGCAGGCAGCCAGCGAGAACAATCCCTTCGCTGGAAAGGCCAACAGCGGTGCGACCTGGACCAACGACATCAGTCACGGCGATTTGGTTCGCAATAACCCTGACCAAACAATGACTATCGACCCATGCAACCTGCAATTCCTCTACCAGGGGCGCGATGCGAGTGCCGGTGGTAACTACAATACCCTGCCGTGGAGGCCAGGTGTACTGACTCTGAAGCACTAAACGGCTTGGCTATTGGAGGAGTATGGGTGGGAATGGTGTGAAGCAAGTTGTGGGACACTACTGTAAAATAGGTCTATCTCACCAATATTGCTTGGATGACTCCATTGAAGAATAGGACTGTGTCTTGCGAACGCTCATTGATAGCCAAATACAATTTGATATAACGGAAAATATAATAAATGCATCCTCACGATCATAGAACTAACAGATGCTTTTGAAGCCTCTCAGCATGACAGTCTATTCTTGCAATTGGAACTTTTGAAGTAAACCAGAAAGTGCCTGCACATCTAGCGTATCATATCCGTCATTTTCCGCGTTTGTGGTGCTCTTTCTTCTTCCTACAAGGTGTGCACCATAGTATCTGCTAGTGCCCAATATCTTATGGCCTAATTTGTTGGTTTAAATCGACCATTCGCACCCAGGCTCCTTGCATGCCAGTGGCCTTTCCAGTTCTCGAGAGCCCTGGTGATCGGGGCCCTTATTTCGGGCAGTGGAAAGGATACTTGTAGAAAGAGGATGAACACATGACGTGCTATAGCTGTCAGAATACTTTTCTTCTACTAAGTTGTAGTTATATATCATGGGTCATTTTGACAGGACTATACTTATCAACATGTGAACAAGACTGCACGTCCCCATTGTTTGTGCTGCATATCTAGCTCGTGAGGAGAGTAATCAATCATGAAACCGTTACTGGTGTATTTTCACTGAAAGCTTGAAGTTGGCGAAGATATAATGAGGTAAATTGGCCTGGAACGCCGCCTCCTGACTGACCAAGTTCATTTCAATTTCCACGCAGACATTCATCACGGAGCTTGATACATAATGATGTAGGTCATGTTAAGGCAAAAGATGAAATGGATGTTCTCCAGCGCACCTAGCATTCCTGAATAACATATCCTTGAGATATACGACAATCTCCACTGTCTTGATGCAATTGTGCCAGTTGAACTTCTGTAAATCCCTGTCTTTGCGGGAGGCATGCGGGATGTAGTGTTATGAGCCAAGCCTATGGCTATCTAATGTATAGGTAGTGTATAAAAGAAACTATTCAAGAACAATGAAAATAGACATGTAAAATATAGCTTCAAGGTAGAGGTTGTATTTAACTATCCCTTACGGTGTATACAGCGCCCGGTCCTTTATATTGACTGCTTTATTATAAGTATCATATTTATAAAAATATCGTCATACAAATAACCTTTTTAATATTTAGAGAAGGTCTCGAACCATAAATTATAGTAGCATCAAAGCACTATCCTCCATCTTGATAAAATGATCCACAACATGAGCAGCCCATATCAACAAGTTACTCTTCACAGCCCCATCCTTCCTAGCCATCGTCTTGTCCAATGTATCAGTAAGAAAAACAGCCATGAAGATATACCCCACAATGAAGAGAAGGTGGCTTTCTGTCTTTAAGTACCTAACGCTAACCGTCTTTCTTCAATCCGGGTCACATTTCTCTTTGATTTGATGAAGCAATTGCCAGCAGATTCAGTGCATGCCTAGGTAGTCAGTCCGCATCTCAATGACATCACTATTGAGGGCAGTGCAGAGATTATGGAGGGGTTCAAGCGTGCTGGGTTGGTGTTGATCTTGCAACCGTTTTTGGACGGCTTTGGCAGTTTCTTTTCTTTCTTTCCTTTTTTTTGTAATGTCTTGGTCTTTGCGTCATTAGGGACAGTGATATATGGAATAAGCAAGTGTTACTCTACGGCGATCTCATTCCGTAAAATTCTTCAAGACAGGGGAAAGGCAATCTTTAACCAAACACACTGCTTACTTGCTTTCTAAGATAGCAGTTGGTAAAAGCTTGTGAAATTAGTCCGACTGTCGTCGTATGAGAATGAGAGGTGGCTTGAAAAGTGTCATGGATTTATCAAAGTGAAATTTGAAGCTGCTGGTCCGAGTGAGGTGATGATAGACGCCAGACTTGATCTATTTATGGAGCAGCATAATAAGATAGCTCAGGCACGTGTCCTGGATGTCGACCACAACCGGTTTTACAAAGTGCTGTAGGACAGTGAGTTCGTGTTTGGCCTTCTTTTCAAACGACACGGGGTGGGACAATAAGCAGTAAGCACGAGGCAATGGCATCGGTGACACCATGAAATCCGGAGACCAATCTACCTCTCGATCTGGACTTTTTCATCCTGCTCTTTTCTGCCCGTGGTATCGTCGGACTGCCATCTTAGTCAAACTACGCCGCCGGGAATACATACATGAACGCTCTGGCCAGGTATCGCGCCAGGCCTTCCTCGGGCTTCTCGACCATCACTGCGGCCACGATCAGCCGATCCTAACCTCGGCCACTGCCCATATCATCATTGGTGTGAAAATAACCGGCGAGGGATACATGGGCAAACTCTTTGCGCGACATCGGCTGTACTCTCATCCCGAAGTGGTGACTCTGAACGAGAAAGACGACAATGGAAAACCACAGATAGACGCCCGTAAGGTCCTACTTATGGCCACTTCTTTGCAAGACGCGCGGCGGATTGTGTCGCAGGCCCTGGTCAACAAATGGACTTATACCTACCGACTCATCGCCGAGGACACCGAGATCGATCCGCAAGCCCCGTTATACACATTTGGCGTGGATCCGTTGCTTCCGAGCTGTGCAAGTGGGTTAAAGCTCAATCTTTAAGAGGGTTTCACTAATGAGAGTAGTATTATTTACAGGAGGATTCTTTCAGAATTTGGATAATACTTTTCTATTAATATAGCTATAAAAAATATTGATGTAATATTATATACAGATATGAACACTGTAGCTAATATTAAGCCCACCCTAGAGAGTCGGAAAAGCATTAATAGGGTAACTGTGATATTCCCACTAGCTATAGAACACTACCTTACCATTTATAATTTTTGAACTATATCCTTAGACCCTACCCTAAGATAAAGGACAGCATAATTCTATTTAAATTATTACTATACAGAAAGGCTACAGTGATCCCTCTTGATATAATGGGCTATATAAATCACAGAGGAAGTTAACTGCTGATGTCGAATGTAGGTTTGAGGGGACTTTAATCGGTGAGGTCGGACATGAAGAAGGAAGGCACGGCAGAATATGGCAAAGCTGAGTTGAAGATTGTATATAAATGAAAGCTTCCAGACAAGGCCTAATTAATCTTAGTAGTCTTGCTATAGACCTTTCTTGACTTGAACCAGTTAGATCTCCAGACTGAGAGGATTATATCATGACAGTCAGAGCTCTGTGGATCACCTGATGAATGTATGGGTATTATGATAAATATGAGAATAAGTAACAGAACAATAAAGGCTCTATAGATATAGGAATTTGGATAACACCAGTCAGTCTATGCTCCTCGGTCAAGGTCTCACCTTGTATTAAATAGTTTTAATTTAGTCATTATGCGCATGAAAATTCTGTCTATAATAGGTACCCATGGCGTAAAAAATAGCTCATGTAGTGGTAGAACTTACTTCCTATTACTTATATGAACTATATTAGTATTCTACTATCTTATTAGAGGATTAAAACATAGATAATTAATAAGTTTATATAGACTAATGTATGGGTTCTTCACTACATAGCTGTCAGCTAAGACGATCTGAGTTCTATTATGCCAGGAGTAGAGGCCTGATGCTCTTATTAAGGTAGGTCTTCCTACGGATGCCTTATCTAACCTATAGGTATGTTTTATCCCCTTGTAGCTTATTGGATTAGCAAGGCTAGAATAAAAAGGGCAGTAGGAAACTAATAACTACCTTACTAGTTAGGTAAAGGGAAATTATTCATAAATAGCCTAATTTATATCCTATCTTTTTACCCTAAGGATTCTCCAGCACCATCCGCTTCGAATTGTCAGGTGGGACTAGGGCCGCAAGGCAGATAGTGAGGATTAAGAATATTTACCCTACTAGAATTTAATTAGATGCGACCTTCTAATTAATAGAAGATGAAGACACACACCAGAACCATACAGGCACGTAGGTAACTAGTATGCTATTAGATATGTATGTTAAGAGGTCATGCATAGTGTCTCCTATGAGTTGAGCACTTTCCAACTTTCCAACTTTCCAACTTTTCAACTCAACTCATGAGTAGAGTTTTCCATATATTTTTAACTCTTTATATTACTCATGACTCGCGAGTCAAACTCATGCCAAGCTATGAGTTGATTGATCAGACTCTTACTCACTTTATTACTCACAAGTCGAGTCAACTCACTGGTCAAACTTGACTCGCGTGACACTCTAGTAATGCATATAGTATTATGAATCTAGATATATTCAGGCCTGCTAAAAGGATGCATTGCCTTAAGGACTTTGAGATTTTTTTCTAAATAATTAGGAATATTATTCATTAGCTCCTTTTATCTTGGTTTATGGGGAAAGTTGTTTCGCTTTGTGCTTTGATCTATCTTAGTATAGTAGCAGATAAAGTTTTAGATGGCATATGCCAAATACTAGTGGCCTTTGTATTATAGGTCCCATTAAAGTTAAACTAGAAAATTATGTTCTCGCCTGACACATCCTTAAATAGAACCCAAAACTCGCCCCACTCCGGATGCAACTCTACTGCGAGGTTGGCAGGTTGAACCCTCTAGATCCTGAACCCACAGCAGGTTCTGATTAGCCGTCCCAAACCCACCCACATGTCAGGTTGTTTAGGGGCGGAGATCGCCGGTTGGGTGTGCAATTTAAATAATAATAAGCTAATATGTATAAAGCTACTAAGACTAAGACAGCTAAGAGTAGTTATCTACTAGAAGGGGGGTAATAAAATAATCTAGGAGCTATACAGCCTAACAAAGTAAAGGTAGTTTATTCTATTCCTATCTTTATGCTATAAACTCCACCTTCTATATATCATTATCACTTCTAATAATCCTTCACTTCTTCTCCTTTTTTTTAAGTCAAGCTTTCTTGTATGATAGCTACGAATAAACTTTATCTTTCTTATTGAGCGTGTCACATCACTGTCAAATTGACGGTAGTGACAATGTTACATCATATCGGCGATCCTAGAACATCTCACATGGCCTCAACACCGTTTGCGGATATGCATGTATCCGTCTTGACCCGTTCACGTTGTTGGCGCGCTAAATGCGGGAGAAACCTTGTTGAATTGGTTAATTCAACACTCTGACTCCTCAACAAAGGGAGTAGAGACTGACCTTATACAAGAAATTTTCATTTCGGTTCTTGCCTATCTGAATCGTCATTACATTCTTTCCAAATGGTTTACAGTCTACTAATTCTGAACGCCACAACAGGGAAGAAGGCCTAGACATAAAATGATGATCTAATGAAGTGTCTAAGACCCTCTCAGAAAGCCTACCAAGCTTCTTAATTGCATCATGAATATTCTGAATATGCTAAGCATTACAAGATATTTAAGTAGCGATCTCGCACTGAAAATTTGGGGGCCGAGTCATACAAAAGTCTCTGGCTAGATTCAGTGGCCAGGTTTCAAAAGATTCATTATTCAAGTACTTCCATCCTAATACTCTTGCACAATGGGATCACTTGGCGAACCAACGTATCTTTACCAAAGTGCCAGTGGTGAGTGTAGCTTGCCAATGGTAGAATCCGCCGAAGGCATTTACTTCACTTTGGAAAATGGCCAAAATGTCCTGGACGCAACTGGCGGAGCTGCCGTGTCTGCGATTGGCCATGGTAACAAGCGTGTTAAGGATGCCATTATCCGCCAAATGGACAAGGTGGCCTACGCGCATCCCGGGTACTTTCAGAATAGACCTGTTCTTGAATTGGCCGATTTGTTAGTCAAGTCAACTGGTGGACGACTGTCGCGAGCATGCATCCTTGGATCTGGTTCGTGTTTGCCAAATTTCAGTGGTGACATTATTTCTTATGCGACTAATTTGGGATATGTACAGGCTCCGAAGCGGTCGAAGCAGCAGTTAAGCTCGCTTACCAACATTTCGCTGAGTTGAAGCCGGAGTCTCCACGAACCAACTTCATCTCAAGACGAGGCTCGTGGCATGGTTGCACTATAGCCGCGCTCGCTATTGGAGATATCAAGTCGCGGAAAACACTTTTTGAGCCTCTCTTAATGGAAAATGTGTCGCAGGTATCGCCTTGTCACCCATGGCGAGATATCCGCGAAGGAGAGAAAGTTGAAAATTATGTGGCTCGATTGAAGGAGGAACTCGAGAATGAATTCCAAAGGCTCGGTCCTGAAACTGTCTGTGCCTTTATTTTGGAACCTATGGTTGGAACAGTAAGTCACATTGTCTATTTCACATTGTTCAATGGATGCCGGTTGAATTCCCTTCCACTAGGCTTTAGGTTGCGTCACGGCAGCACCCGGGTATCTAAGTGCGGTAAGGGAAGTATGTGACCGTCATGGAGCACTTCTTATCTTTGATGAAGTTATGTGTGGTCTGGGCCGCACCGGGGCTCAGCATGCCTGGCAGCATGATGACGTTGCCCCGGATATTCAAACTGTGGGAAAAGTGCTTGGTGGGGGGTACGCCCCAATCTCTGCCGTATTGGTCCATGAGCGTGTCCTTTATCCACTGAAGGAAGGGAGCGGATCATTTTCTCATGGGCAAACGTACCAGGCACAGCCACTTATTTGCGCCGCGGCGCTTGAAACCCAACGATATATTCAAGAGAATAATTTGATCGAAAATTCTCGTTGCATGGGTGACTTTCTCGGGGCAGAACTTAAAAGGCACCTCGGTCAGCACCCCATTGTCGGTGACATTAGAGGCCGAGGGTTGTTTTGGGCAGTCGAGCTCGTGAAGAATAAAGTCACCAAGGCTCCGTTGGACCCAAGGTTGAACGTTGCCAAACGGATCCGAGCTCGAGGACTGGAAAAGGGCTATGAAATTTGCATATTCACTGCTACCGGTGCTGCAGATGGTTGGAGTGGAGACCAGTTCCTCATAGCTCCACCATTTACTGTTAACAGATGTGACGTGGAGGAAATTGTGAAACGTGTGACCAAAGTGATGATTAGTGTGTGGAAGGAAATCGAGGCAGATGCCAAAATGTATTGATCTAATATAGGTGTTGTTATTTTGTACCGATGCTTTATTCGCAACTCAATTGAATCGTCAGCTTTCCTTGTCCAATGGATAGGTTGTTTCACAGGCCTGCTGTTAATGTCGAGTTTAATGCGGGTTTACAGAGGCAACAAAAGGCTTAATGGGGTGATCAGTTCTTATCGTAAAGCAAATCAAATTATTTCATACTTTTGTTTCTCAGTAATAATAATAATAATAATAATAATAATTATTATAAACCTAATAGCACAGAAAGAAACATGACCTGAGAGGCCGAAACTTTTTAGATACATGTGGTGGACATTGGTACACCACAGCCTTTTCTGTGTTCTTTGGCAACAAGACAGGCGGTCATTGATTGGTAGCTAAAAACTATATTACTGGATTAGCTTAGAAGCACAGAAGAGTGATGTCAAGACTGCTAACGGGAAGAATGAGGGGTTGAATAACGAACCAAACAACCTGGACAGTGCTCTCCTAGACGTTTCACTTTCTTGGACCTGTGCTATATTCGACTGGAAAACTATAGGCTGGATCATAATGCATCTCCCAATATCTATCCCAGACTTTCTTCGTGACCGGTCCAACCTGACCTTTGCCCACTGACTGTCCATCAAATGATGTGATGGGCATTATGCCGCCTGCTGTCGTGCTCATGAATATTTCATCGCAATGATAGGCGTCCTCCACAGGTATAACACCAACATGAATGTCCATCTTATTTGCGCGTGCCACATCAATAACGCTCTTGCGGGTAATGCCTAGCAGTACACCACGGTCTGGGGTGTAAAGAGCATCATTCTTTACCAAAAAAATGTTGAAGCCAGAACCCTCGGTAAGATTGGTATCTCCATCTGTTAGGAAGGGGAAAGTCGCACCGCGGTCCATAGCTTCAAATAGCCCCCTTGTCAAATCACCCCACTGAAGGTTCTTGATCGTTGGATCAAATGCTCCCGGGGGAATCCGCCGCACAGTGCGTGCAGTAATGGCAGTTCCACCCGTGCGCTGATCCTCAGGCTCCATAACCCAGATATACGGCAGGACGAGTAAATAAAGATTGTTATAAAAAAGATCACCTGGTTTAGAGCCTCGAACACCCTTCAGACCACGTGTCACAATGATTTCCACAAATGCATCTCGGATACCACTCTTGGCCACCATGTCAATCATGATTTCTTTAACCTTTTCTGGTGGAAGAGGAAGCTTTAGACACATTTTCTCACAGCTTTCCAGCAGCCGCTGCATATGGTCATCAAGGCGAAAGAAGCGCCCATCCCAGACAGATGTGACATCGTAAGTGAGGTCACTGTGCATAAACCCTTCGTCAAGCATTGGAATGCGGGCGTCTTTGGGCACGATGAACTCCCCTTCCACAAAGGCGATGCCTACGGAAAAAGGGTTATCACTCTTTTCAAGAGCGTGCAGGCGCTCATAGTATTCCCGGAAAACCTTGTCCATAGACGCCATGATGAGTTTGATACAAATTGGTGCTGCGCATGTAAAGCGCTTGCTATAAACAATTCGATTGATAGTGAGGAAGTTGAGGGAATTCCTAAGGCCACTAGTTATTCAACTACGGAATTTGCCTCTGCTCCCATTTCTGGACGAACTATTGTTCATACATGACGTAGATGTCGGTCAGGGTGCCAGATCCATGGTTACCTAGGAAGGGCTAGATTACGCCAGACTGGTGGATATATGCTCTGTAACAGTTGATCTAACCAAAAAAATCGTCCCGTTAAGTATGCGAATTAGTGATATTCTACTATTGTGTCAGCGCTAGTGAATATTCAACTTGTCACTTGTAAATAAGTGCTTTCTATCAGAATCTTCTCATGGGTTCTATATTTCCAATCCCTCATCACAGGGAACATTTCGAGCATTGCACCTATTTAAAGACTACTTTGGAGTAGGAGTCTAGACCAACGGCCAAAACTCTCATTATATAAGTCCGATGATCACATCACTCCCCACTGACAAGGAGGCTGCTCTTAGCCCTCAGCCACGGTCGTGGTTATTTCACCAATCATGAACTATATCTAACCATCCGGGCAAGTCAAATGACTGTCTACTACTTAATAGTGGAAGCTAAATTCCCATATCAGCTAGAAATTCTTAACTCCTACGTAGGTTACATTCTGACAATGTTTTTGGCCCCAAAATACTCCAGTTATATAAGCTTGGTCTTCACACTATAAGCCATATCAGGCGCCCTAATTTATTTTTGGTTAGCGTCGATAATAAACCAATATGTTTGTAAATGGTCATATCTAGGGTGGTAAAAATAATAAAATATTAACGGTATATGTAAGTATGGCGCTGCGAAACAGTACTCCTATTATAATATCAAGTTATTTATTTAGTTGTGTATAATTTTCTTTATTAATCCTTCTTGACTGAAATAAATTCGCCGCGAGCGGAGTATGATATGTCTCTGGGTACATAGAAGGCAACATGCACTATATACATAGGTATATTGCATTTAGATTTCCATTCCATGCGATCAAAACAAATCTTTTGTCTTAACACTGCGTTCTGCTTCAGAGCTCCTTCACAGTTGCCAAGATTGAAGCCCAATCATCGAAGGGGACGAATGGTATTCCTTCTTGTTCACAATATCTAACTAGACCTAAGGAAGCAGTGTGAGCTTTTTTCATAGGAAATCAAAGAAAGTATCCGCAGGCAGTACTTAAACAGTGTGGATAGGTGACAACGGAGACAAAGGGAGATGTATGTGGCATTTTACTTACCCATTCCACTCTTTGCAAAAAGAATTTCTGTTTCGGATGCTGCTGATAGATCCGAAACACCGTCTCCTGCATATGCCAAGACCGGCCGCTGGTGGCTTGGTAATGCAGCGTATGGCTTGATAGAAACCGATTTATCGTGGCCGAAGTGACTTATATCGTTAATTATTCAATCACGGGTCGCTAATATGGTTGGCGTACTACTTACCTTTGGTCGCGAAACGAGATTTGCCAGCCACCTTCGGTGTTAATATTCTTGCCTTAACGAGGCTGAATGTCATTGGCCACCAGGAAAATATTTTCCAGCGGGCTTCCCAGTAGGTTCTCCAGTAGTGCTTTTATAATCGGTGTCATTCCAGAGGATAGCACAACTATGGGGATGTTTTGCTTTTTGGCCCAGTGGTAAAAGGTAGTAAACTGATGATCGAACTGAATATTGTCTTGGAGAGCTTGAAGACATTGGTCAAACGGAGCTCGCACGCTATCAAGCATGGCCTGAAAAGAATCCCTGATAAAATTATATGTGGCTTGAAACAGGTAAAAGCTTCTCTTTCTTACCTGAATGTTATATTACCGTTAAGAAGTTCCTGCTCCAGAATTTCACGTTTTTCGACCCCGAAACCAAGGTTATCAACCTCGTAGCAGAGTTTGTTAGTGGGATTGGTGATCGCGGATGGTAACATACCAAGTAGTCATTGGCTTGACGGGTTCTAGTATCAGTGGAATGAAGTCTTCATGGGTAGGGAAAGTCTTACTATCTTGTAATGTGATCGTTCCATCAAAATCAGTGAAGAAAATCATACTGGGATGGTTCTTGAGATATGGGAGCTGCTTAGCCATCTTTTATATAATAAAACTAGCCTCCTCTATAAACATAAGATAATTAAAGATAAAAGGGACATGTGCTCTTGGAGACAAGATAGAAGAGATATAAGTTAAGAGAATCTGTATGTAATGACAGTTTAGAGAAAGAGGTCCGTGTGACTGGATTACTGTCAGCTTAATAGCATTGAGATATTTCCAAATCCGGGCATAAAATGGGATGGCATTTGAAGTGTGGATACTGTTCCACTTAATTTGGGTTGACTTTTTAGTTCCAAGGACAAGAATGTGCCATTTTGTGTTATAAATTAGAGCGCAGGGTTTGTAATGGTCATGAAAGTTCCTTCCCAACATATTTCACTTGTTGAGGTGGTGGAAGGGTCGGGTGTGTCGGTAGACGGAGATTATTCTTGACCTAATACTCCTCCATACTACTTCTCAGTTCTTTTTCCGCGACGGATATAATAACTGGTGAATCATCTCCACGGCGCGCCCCACCCACCTGCAACAAAGAGATGGCTAATAACTTTAAACACTAACCCTATATGTTTTTTGAAGTTATTGCATTGCCTCTATTACTAATACAAGGCATTTCTAACCACCGAGATATATACCTATTAGTATTGTCTCGAAGACAAAATGAAAATATTTTGTCGTTTTTATCTACACGATACCTGTAAATAATAACTTGTTGAACTCATATTGTAGGAATATGCTAGTATTGGTGAGAACATACTTCTAGACACGGTTTGCTCATGTAAATAAGATAGTTCAATCTAACATACAATGGGAAACTCAAAAAATCTCGGTACTAGAAATTATGCAATGTAACCTTATAGAAGTAGAAAGGAAATCTAGTCAACTCATTACGCAAGAATATAAGAAATGACTTACGACTGATTCATTTGACCCAAGACAAGTGCATATATTAGGTAGACGTAGCCGAAAGGTTCACATGCCAGGCTGTAGTGGTATACTATTAAATTCAAAACTGTGGCAATAATAGTAAGCCACTGACGTAGAACAAACTAATAATGAGCGTCATCCATTTATTCCCCAGACCAGAGGTTAACCATGCCTGTGGTTACGCATCCGTTTAGCTTATATAATACATTAATTGCGATGCTTCTACAATGCGTCCAGGTACTATCACGTGTGGAGAGAAACCCCAGTTCCACATACCTGCAAAATTTGAGCTGGTTCTACTTATCAATTTCACTCCCCATAAATAGACATTTTCACTAAGTGTGGATTTCTCACATCTCGGGTAGTCACTATCTTTGACCTCCCACTTCCTGTGACCTTTGGAGTTTTCTGAGTGTCTTGTTCTATGATTGAATAAATGGCGCGGATTGACCTTTCAGACGACCCGACGACCCCTCTGCTGCAGTCGACAAAAGTGGGAGACGCGGCAGCCCCAGGCGAAATAATTGAGACTCAGAGAACTACTGAGGCTGATTTAAGCCTTCAATCCTCGCTGGACAGATGGAATGACCCTCCGATCAACGTGTGGCGGATTCTCGCCAGCTTCTTCAGCTTCATTGTGGTCGGCGCAAGTGATGGAACGTATGGTGTATGCGGAGACCCCCCCTACTACTTGCAAAGACATCAACTAACCTTTTTGGTGTGGGTTTAGGCATTAGTCCATTATGTACGTGATTGCTGTTTGCCGAAGACACCTTGATACCGTCCAAAAGCTAATATAGTCCGCCCCTGTCCAGCTTGGTGAATACTACAAACTCGACTATAGCAATTTGTCTTTGGTATTCCTTTCTCCTTGTATTGGGTATGCAGCGGCTGCTCTGTTCAACAATTCCATCCATGCGCGTTTTGGACGCCGCGGTGTTGCGGTTCTGGGGTCAGGATTCCATCTAATCGGCTTCGGGATCTCCACCCAGCATCCGTCATACTCCGTACTCATCTTCTTGTTCATATTTTCTGGCTTAGGTAATGGTCTGCTGGATGCCGCATGGAATGCCTGGATTGGTGCTATGGCAGACAGCAACAAACTGATGGGTATCCTTCATGGATTCTATGGGCTTGGAGCGGCCTTAGCACCAGTGACAGCCACTTCTTTGATAGACAAACATGGATGGCAGTGGTACGAATACTACTACCTCATGGCAGCCGGGGCGATGATTGAGACCATAACTTTGGCTACTGTGTTTTGGTCGGCACAAGGACACTCAGTGAAGATGAATGACCGCACCACTGGTGAGAATGGCAATGATGACAATGATCATTGTCCGCGGTCCTGGTGGGAAACACTGGGCAATAGTCCACCAATCCAGTCACTTGGATTTGCCTCCACTTGGATAATTTGTCTATTCATTTTCATCTATGCTGGTGTGGAAATCTCTGTGGGTGGTTGGGTTTTAACCTTGCTTGTTGACAACCGGGGCATATCCCCATATAGAGCAGGCGTGGCAAACACTCTTTACTGGACCGGCCTTACTTTGGGTCGTGTCCTCCTAGGATTTGTGACGACCTACCTACAGTCTGACGGGCTGGTGGTGACAACGTACTTAGTGGCGAGTATAACATCTCTCACGGTTTTCTGGTTGATAGGCAACTTTACGGTCTCGATAATTGCGCTTTCCCTACTAGGATTTTTCCTTGGTCCATTGTGTCCGGAAGCCATCATTGCTCTGGCTCACATACTACCGAAGCAACTGCATGTCGCCGGTATTGGCATTGCAGTAGCACTCGGCAGTGCTGGTGGGTGTGTATTCCCTTTTCTGACTGGCACTTTGGCAAAGATCGCCGGTATCCAAGTATTGCAACCGTTTGTTCTAGCAATGCTTAGTCTTTGTTTGTTCATATGGGCTCTCTTTATTGTTTTGTCAAGACATGGTCGGATAGAAAGCCCACCTAGAAGATCTCCTGATATTTGAGTTACAGGTGTCATCATTGGTATACTAGGGGAAGCACCAACGGGAATCCATCGTCTGATTTATCTATCGCCTCAAGATCTTTCCTGTCTCATCCTTGTCAACCGGACCCTTTGTGAGATCGGAACGTCCTTCACCATCGTTGGGTCTTGCATTGAACAATATCAGTTCCGAATACTATAAAGATAAAGACTATGACTGTCAAGATAAATACTAGGAGCCTTTAGTCTTATTACGTGCTAGGTTATTTCATCTCATAAATTCAACTACACCATCCTCATCCCGTTTCCTAAAGCTCTCTTTAAGAACATCCGATTCGTCGACTCGAGCCAGCAAGCTAACCATGTCAGCGGTAAAGAGAGTCGTGTAAATCGCATCCTGGCCCACATCAGAGGTGGGCGTGGTAGAACGCCCGATGAGCTTACGGGCCTGGCTGCGTTGATTCAGAATGCGTGGACCAAGATTGTTAATTGTGGGACGGATGTTGCGGAGAGGAAGTTGAATGCGGTGTTTGATGGATGATATTAAGACGGGTGTGGAAAAGGGGAGTCCGCTGCCGAGGATGTGTATATTCTACTCTTTTTGGATATGGTTTAACTGATCCTACAGGCCGGAGAGGATATCAGTTGGCTGAGAGGGCATCAGTCGGAGTTTGAGGTTATGGCAAAAAAAGGAAATCAAGACTATGCTGATCTTGTAGAGGAGATACAGACGAGGGAGGACTCGGTGCTGTACTTAAGCAGTAGATGATTGCGGTTTGACTAGGATCATTTATTTGAGGATATATTGCAATGTATTGATGATATTGATCAATATGTAAGCAAGTGCGGGGTTACGCCCTATGTGTCATGGTCGTTAGCCATGCAACTGTGTAAGATACATCTTAGTCATGCTTTGAGGGAGTGTTCTTCTTGATCGCATCCTCTAGCTCTTTGAGATACTGGTTGATATCCTTGGTTTCAACCTCACTGATGAACGCGGTGTTGACGTATTTGGTGGCTGCAAGGCATGGTTAGCAACATATGAAAACAAGAAGACAGGACATACTGTAGTCGTGCACTCCGTTCCACTTCTCAACAATCTTATTGCCGTCCAATCTGGCGATTACTTCGTTGAGTGGATGCTTGCCGTCATTCTTGACCAGATCGTGGATTCCCTGGAGATCGCCTCCGATGATTTCCCAGGCACCTTCGATTTTACCGACAGCTGTGATGGCCCCCTTGATCATCGTTACCAGGTTTTGAAGGCTCGCCTGCGAGTGTCAGCGCTGGGCTTGAAGTATGGTGGACATACTCACATCCATGCGGTGGATGTCGGTGTCCAGCTTAATGTCGGCGGCCAATTCGGCCTGCTCGTCGCTGATTGTCTTTTCGAGCTTGTGGATGGTGTCCATCATTGCAGCGGCTTTGCCGGCGAAGACTCCCATTGTGATGGCGCCGGGAATATTGCCGATGATGGGGCTATCCTCGTCAGCTACGTTTGCATGTCTGTGTCCTGGGATCCATGCACTTACATCCAGGCATAGGAGATCTGGGCGTACATGACGGTCATATCTGAAAGAACGGTTAGTGATAAAAGCCATTGGGCTATTGTGCGATATGATGGGCAACATACCATAGTCATAGTCGTCCTTATCCTTTTGCAGGTCGTCTTGGTTCGTCTTGATCTGTTTCCGGAGAGCCGCAATCCGTCCTTCACTTCCACCCAGCAGATCCATGACTTTCCTCTTGTGGTTATTCAGCGCGGCACTTTGGGTTTGAGTTTTAGTGTCAAATTCTTTCAGAGTCTCTTTGGTGGATTTGACATTCGTGGACAATTTGTCAATGGAGGCCAGCTGGTCCTTGACGACTGCGCTGATGTTCGCCTTCAGCTCAGCCTTCTTGCTGTCATCCTTAGTGGTGCAGTATTCCTTGACCCAGTCCAGGATGGCCTTGTAGTAGGATGAATCCAATGTACCGCCTGCATTGCCTGCATAGTCTCTGATCTGAGCTGCCAGATCCACAACAGCCGGCCAGGTCTTGTCGCGGAACTCGGTCGTGGTGGTTCGGATCTTTCGTCCATTCCAGTCAGCTTATCATGTAAGAATACACCACGAGAAGATAACAGACCTCGCCATAGGAACCAATGATTGAGTCCAGCTCGGCTGAAACATCCTTGTTCAAGTCCGATATCTGGAACCCAAAAGTCGTGGCATAACTATCAGGCGTTTGCGGTAGCAGACAGCCTTCCCAGACATACCGCATGAGGGATATCATGTCCTCATGTGCAAAGGCGAAGCCGCCCTTGCCATTGTCCAGCTCCTTGGGGGAGAGGAGGGTGTCGTCTGTTGCGGGAGGTGCCATGGTGGGTGAAGTGAAGATAAACTGCTCTTTTGCTGTGTTTGTGTGGCACAATCTAGACGGCAATTGCTGGGTTTTTATGTCAATCTGCTATGCTGCTGTAGCTGTGATCCTACACTATACCCCTCAGCTCGCAAACCACGCATCCCTGCAGAGCCAAGAGCGGAACGCCAGCCGCGATCTCTAGCTGCAGATGATCGACCAGATTCACCCCTCAGCGCCTGCTTGCTGCCCTATCGGATCTCCCGATCAGAAACTCACGGCTAGGCAAAGGGCCGTCCACAGTGCCCGACGTGCATAATTCCCTCGAACCTGCATCCATACGAGTGCAAACCCACTTTTCCACCACGTCACTCTCTACATTTTCAGCCAGCCATGCTATCTCGGCTACTTTTCAGCTGAGGGATTTATTCCTCGATTTATTTACGGTCATCAGGAGATCCACACGACGAACTGATTGGCAGATAGCGAATCTACGTCTGGTTGCCTTGTTCTTCGTAGCTGAAGCTGCATTGTCAGATCCACAGTGTGTTGTCAGAGCTGCAAGTCGCCCTCGACGAGGAGCGGGCTATTTGAAGGACGTTATTGACCGCCTGTTTGCAAAGCGCTTAAATGTGAAATGCGATCGCACTCTGATCACCGGTATCTGCAACTCATCCAGCATGGCAGTCTTTTCACTCCAGAAAGAACAATCCGGTCCCGTGGATTGGGAAAAGGATTACGCCAAGCTCGAAGCAGTGTCCAAGGTGCCGTTCAGAGATGTCAAGCACGAGAATAAAAATGCGGTAAGATGTTCCATTCTGACGGTCATCTGGATACTGACAATCGCAGGGCTTTCTCAACGTCCGTGATGTCTATCTGGATGCAAAGCAGGCATTGAACTCAGATCTGGCCACCGTGGCCATCTTCACGGATGTGCTTGCCTTCAAAGAGGAGAAGACCGTCATCAAGCTTCCAGCGTCGGGCTCGCTTTCCATTTACAGTCGCCTTCTGACTACATCTGGAAAAGCCCATCTTGAGCTAGCCCCTCAGCCCAATAAGGACGGTGCAGTACTCATCTATGCCTCTGAGATTGAAGGCGAAATCACCTACTCCCTCTCCGGATCCGCCACAGTTTCCCAGGTCGAGTTGGGAGTGGGCAGCAGGCATGTTGCAATCACACTTGCCGTCGGAGCGGGTAAGGTTGAAGCCTTCTATCAGGATGCATATGAAGCGGTTGAAGACTATCATGAGTACTTCCAGCAGCTGCTGGAAACCCAGCTTCGCATTGCATCCGTCCTATTCTGGTCCAAACCGGGCTTTTCCTTTTCCCTTGCCTCGCATGTCGCCAAGGCATCCGTTCAGAGCACGGAAGGGTCAGGAGGCCTGGTTAATATGCAGGCCGTAGCACTCGGACAGCAGTTGACGGCGCAGGCCATGACCGGGCCGAATATGAACTTCTTCCCCGTCTTGCAAGTGGGTTCGTACCAAGAAACATTGCAGATGGCTATAGATGCAGCCGATGCTTTTGAAAAGCAGTACCAGCGCTTCCAGGACAAGTCGCAGTCCGTCGACGACCGACGCCAGGCAGGCGAGCAGATGCTGGCGCATGCAAAAGGCAAGTCGGAGTTGAGCAACACGCTTGTCGAAACGGCTCTGGCCAAATATGATGCTGCGGCCAAAGCAGTCAGGAGCACCCAGGCGACGTTTGAGCAAGACAGGTTCGTGTTGGAGAATGCCTCGAGAGACCTGGAGCGGGGGATTGAGAAGTGGAAGGAGTCGACCAGGTTACAGGCAGCTTTCAGCATCATCACCGCCATCATCTGTAAGTCTTCGGTCCTCCATCATGTTCATCTTGCTGACCGTGCCAGCTTTTGCCGCGGCTATCGGTTCCATTGCCATGGGCGATCCCTCAAAAGTAGGCGATGTCGCAAAGGATGTTGCGGCATCAGAGAAAGCAATTGAGGCTGTCGAAAAGGCTGATGTCGTGATTGAGGGTTTTAAGAAGATTGTGCAATCGGCTACCATGAAGAAGATCTCCACCGGTGCCAAAGCCTTGTTCGATCTCTATGGTCCGATGGATAAATCGGTGCAATCCATCAAGAGTGCCCAATGGAGTTTCGACCAGAAGCTCCCCACCACCGATGAGGTATCCGGGGCTAATGGCGATGCTGCTGCCATCCAGTCTCTGGCCTCCTGGGATAAATGGAGGCTGGAAGCAGATGACCAGCTGGCGTTCCCGATTGCACAGGGCATTGGAGGGGCTTCTGCATACCAGCTAGCCCTTCGCAAACATGCGATCAACGGGAAGCAGCTCGCCCAGGCACAGGCAGAAGCCATCAAGGCAGGCCAGGGCTATGTCCGCGCCAGGCTCGAGCAGCATCTCGCGGGCCAGGACCTCGCAGCCTTGAAGACGCTCGTGGAGAATCTCACAGCCGAAGAACACACGTATAACGTGGCCCAGGCCAAGTTCTTCGATCGCTACATGGCGCTGCGGACCACCATTGCCATTGACATGCAGAATCTGATCTGGGCCGAGAGGTTCATGACACTCTCCAACAGCAGCGTGGTCGTCGATCCCTTGAAAGAGGTTGCAGACTATAAGGAGGATCTTTCTCGCATTCATCACGAGATTGAGACTGCCAAATCCAAGTACTCGAGCGATTTTCAAGGTCAGTCACACTTGATCATCGACAGCGTTCGCTAACATTCTCGCAGAATTCACCTACAAGGTTCCACCCAATACTGTAAGTCTTCCCGGTCGCGATTTCCATCTTGACACTGACCCAATTTGCCTTCAGCTTCCCTCGAATTACCTTCCAGATATGGTCCAGTCACTCAGAAACGGCCAGCCGGCCACCTTCACACTCTTGCCCAACACATCTCACGCCAAAGGACTAGGCGGTCCTTTCAAAGAAGGCTACCACTTCCGCATCGACGGGATGGAGGTGACATTAAAAGGAGTAAAACCCAAGAATCAGGATGACCGCGTAGTCTCTGTCATAATATCAACCTCCGGGACATACGCCGACATTCAAGATGACCAGGTGTACAACTTCACTAGCCGCCCACTCGAACGTACCTTCCAGTATCAGGTCGACGCACAGGGTAACAAGGGGGATGTGGAGATCCGGGCAATCTACGAATCAAAGGACTATGCCATGCCAACCCCATTCACACAGTGGACTGTGCAGGTGAAGCATCCAGAGTCTCTGGACCTGAGTGGCCTGGAAGAAGTTGTGATTGAATGGAAGGGCAAAGCGCGATTCTTCTCCTGATCATAGTAGGACAGCAGATGTCTTGATGTATATAGAATCAAGACAGGAACTATGTGGTATTCGGCTGGTAAACTAAGAGCCGGATATCATTCTTTTGTACTGCTCGCACCAGGGCTATTGGCCAAAGACTTTGCTGTTGTAATTGTGTCGTTTCTATTATGTCAAGACCCCATTCTGCTGTGAGTATGTAAATAAATAAGATAAAAATCATTATATAGATGCGTGGATGCCACGTCTTGGCATCGGAAAACAGAGTTTGATCTAGCCATTTCGGGCGAGTTAACAGCCGCACTTATCATTTTCCCGTCATAGATTTCCTATACATTCATAACTATTTACAACTCATAACTAAAACATCCCCCCGCTCATTCCATCAAATCCACTTCCCTGGCAAAATCCTGGTCGGCCTCCACGATGCTTCCCTGGTGTTTCGCCCATCGCCATCCCAGCCACACATCCTCCTGCTCCAATGGCCTCTCGATCTGTCCCTGCCACACAGTTTCCTGCTGCGCCCAAAGCCACGTTCATACATAGCGGATCAGAAGGGTATATATCTTCATGAACCCCTGGGTCGCGCATGTGCGGGCCATGCTGAGGTAGGTCGCAAGGAACACCCCAAATGCTGGTCTGAGATGAAATATCCACATCGTGACCACTGTCTTGGGTGAAAGAATGTCTTTTCTTTCCAGCTGATTTCTCGTTCCGTCTCCGTACCTTTTCCCAATTCTTTTTCAACTCTTCAGTTTTGGCCTCCGAGGCGCGAGGTGCAGCTTGGCCTTGGGCACGAACAGCATTATGAGAGGAAATATGAGGGTTTCCACCATTGATGTTACTATTAGACATGACTGAAGCATTTGATCTTCCACTCAAGGCGGATGATAGTGATGTCAAAGACGACAGGCGATTCTGGGATTCTCGGACAGCTTCACAGTACCAACAGGTGCATTCGCTGTAGACCTTGCCGCCAGTCAATTTTTGATACTGCTTTGACGTCCATTCAAAAGCGTCGGATATTTTGACTTCATCAACCTTGTCGTCATGATCAATCAATGTGCCGTTTGTCTTTTGCGTTGAGAATGCATAGTAGCGAGATGGTGACAGTTGATGCGTATGCCAGACAAGATCAACATCCAGTGTTGGAACGGCAGCACGGTCTTGATTCAAAATCATTATGTCCGTAAACACGCCGTATTTAGCAATCAGACTGCTCATGGTCGATGGGAGACTCGGTGACTGGAGCCACTTCAGCTGCTCTATCTTCTCGATGAACTGGCCCTGTCTGATTACAGCTCCGGTCAAGTCGAGCGAAAAGGGCGATGCATTATCCCAGTAACTCGACATCATCCGGCGAATGAAGATGCCCTCGGAGTGACTGATGCTTGTTGGTATCATGGTATTGTTGACCTGGCACATCAACCGGCGGTTCTTCAGGGACCGTTCTAGTAGACTGCGGATGCTTTCAATGCTGGTATTTTCATTGTTGGCTGGGTCTGTCAATTCGAGCAGCTCAACCTTGCTGCCCATGATAAGGCGATTAGGAAATGAGCTATCCCGATTGTCCTTTTCGGCTGGAGTGCCACGCAAGCCCAGTATCGTCCCTGGCATGGGGGTGCCGTCCTTCAACAAGGCCTGCACATCACGACGGAGCTGAGAGACTCGAAGGTTGGCATGAGTGACGCTGAACCTGCACGACGCACATTGGATCCGGAAGGACTTGTCTGCCAGCCCAGTGCAGTGGGCAAAAGCAACATCCGGATCGTAACCGACGTTTGTCGCGGTGGTCCACGGCGTGTCGATCCCAGCTTTGCAGCGAAGACACGTCAATGTCTTTGGGGGATCCTCGAGGCTTTCCCATGCAAGGCCCGTCTGAGACTCAAAGTGCCGGATTGCCTTGTCGCCTGGATAGTAGGAGAATGTCTTTTCTTCGATGCACGATCCAACAGCTCCCCAGGGCATTCCTGAAGCCCAGAGTCCCATTTTGGACAGTCGGATACAGTCTTCAAGGAATGAGCGGGGATGGAGCATGTATGAATGCCACACCATGAGGACATCTGGATGGGTTAGCTAGCCTGTCTGATCTGCCATCGAAAGGAGTTCTCACCAATTGGTGGTAGTGTGTCAGCCGTCCAGGATATTCCTGTTTGTCCGCTCAGCAAACTTGAGGCAGGATCAACAAAGCCATCTGGTATGCAATTCTGCCACCAGGAGATGAATCTATCCACTGCTTTGGACACATACACGGCCCATCGCTTTTCTCTGATTCGTGCCTTGGCCAAGTTTCTCTTTTTGCCGGTGAATTCGCATGCCTCGCTGTCTTCGATGCCGAAAAGACGGTCGCTCGTGCTGATATCATGCCGCAATTTGGCAAATGCTGTGAGAAGCCGCAGATGAGCTACGCATTCTTCGACTGTCACTGGTCCCTGTGTGTTGTTATTTCCGCCATCACGGTTCCTCGGCATGGAGGTGCTTGAACGTTTCATCGTGTATGGTGAAGCACTTGATCTGTCTACTTTGGTATCTCAGTTTTTCATTGCGATAACGATAATGAGTTTGAAGTCAATCAGATTCTTTAACTGCAAGTAATCGACACTACTCTACAGAAGGACATCCTCCGCAAAACGACCAGCTGGCTTATTGTCAGCATCACAAGGCTGTATAGCCACTGCCAAGAAGATGGAGGCAGACCATAATTCTTCGGCTGCTGCGCCCCGCGATCGTCCTTCCAGGCGGGATATTTATATCCGCCGCGGCGATCAGGAAGATCTTTCCATTATTGTACAATCTCGCATTCAAAGGTTACAGTCGCCCCGTGCCGATCACTTTATCATAGGGAACCGAGGCATGGAGAGCCCCATTTTATCATCCATGATCTTGATTCTTGTCATTCAGAGTAAGATTTTTAACCACTTTTATACAGTCCGTCTATCGAATAAATTGTTCGACAAAGTCTACACCAAATCCCACTGCTTCATAATGCTTTCTGAGCTGGGCTCAAAGTAAGGGAAATGAAGTCTAATAGTTCGGTAGAGGTATATCAACCCTGAACTGCGGCAGGAATCTGCAAGAAAGACCAGGGCAGTATTTGGATACGAACGACAGGTCCACCTTTTCAGTCTCTGCTCTAGGACTTGACTGGTCTCTAGGACGTGCATTGTAAAAGCCAGTTTTGTTGGGTCATCTCCTTTACCTGTGAATTCAACGCTGCAATATCTGCTATCACCACCAGCACGTCCGATGCCAGGCCAAAATAGGAATCTGCTGCTTCGCCCTGGAGGCAGAGAAAATTCACCCGAAGCCAGAAAAGGCGATCGATCAAGAGCAACTGCCATCAGAATGTCATGATTGGCAAAATTACAAAGAAGCCATCTTCCTGCATTTTAGTCACTGAACTTGGACAAGATCCCATCCGGGCCATCCTCGGGCACAGCTTGAAGGGACTGGATGATTCCCGATGCACCAGCAAGATGTGTATACCATGCACCATCCTGGCCTAGCATAATGCTCTCCATCGAGCAAAGAGCAAGACGCGTCGCTAGATTCATTTCAAACGAGCTCTTTCGAGACTCGAGCGAGCCAATCAGGTTCTTCATTGTCAATCCATGGCTCTCGAGTGCAACTCGTTGATACTGCCCATGTCTTAGTGACAATGCCCACCGGCCCATGCTACCAGGGCATCCAGGAGGATCGGGCTGTACATGGCCATCGGAAGAAAAACTGATACCGTTAGCTCGATCTAGAGGGGCATTTCGGTACTTACCTGATAGAAAAGAATTATTCTCCAGATTTGTCATCAGCAATGTTGTGAATGTCTGCGTGTAGTACTGCAGAATGGGCCGTCGGCTTTCTGGAGAAGCGCAATCCGTGTTATGATCATCGGCCCAAAACAAACTTGGATCCGGTTCGCGTGGCAAGGATAATACCATATCCTCCTCTGCATGTAGTGTCCTGTTGTATCTCACCCCATCTACATTTGGTGGCAGTCGTGGGATTTCTCTTTTGCAGACATAATTCAGGCGTAAGCAATGTCCACATACTGGATATCCCAGATCACAACGCTTTTTGCTAAGAGCGGGTGAGAATATTATTTCTCATCATACGAGGGGTGGTGTAATACCGTTGACGACATGTCAAGCACCCTGTGCGCTCTCTTGTGGTGCCAGGTCGCTTTTGAATTCTACGCGGTAGATCCAACGAGCGTGGCGATCTCGCAGCAGGCCCGGGCTCCATTTTGCTATTGAATAAAATATGCTGATCACTCAAGATATGGATTGAAGATCAAAAAGAATACCATAGCAGAGATCCTCAGCGGTAATGGCGGTGGTGACTGATGAGCATCAAATAATCGAAATTCAAAATGTGCTATTTGCGGCATTTCCATACACGCCAGTGGGGCGCTTTGAAGAAAGTTAGAACAACCAATCAAATGTCGCTCAGGGAACCTGGGCGGGGCTGGAGTTGACTGGGAGCCAATCGGAGAGCAGGCGTCAACGGCGGTGGTGCACGGACGCACAATCACCTAAGGTACCTATTGGAGTGTAGAGAACATCCAATAAGTCATCAAGTGCCATGGTTGGGAAGATGTCTGCAGGTGATTTAAAAGATCTGGAGTGAAGTTGATGGTTCTATTTTGAGAATTCTCAAATCTATGAGCAAGTATATGTATAGAGTGATAGTCCCAAGTTGGTGATATATAATCGACTGTCATCTCCGACAACACTGGCATTTTTAAATATATCAACCACAAAGTTCAATCCAATGTTCTTCACCGCACTCTGGGCAAGAAGCCAATGAATGTCGTATCAGGAAAAGGCATCTCGTTTACCCTCGACTCTGATGAGACCATCATCGATGCTGCCTCAGGCCCTTCCGTGGCGTGCCTGGGGCATCACCAGCCCGAGGTCACCGAAGCAATGCTGCGTCATCTCAACAGCAATATCGCATATGCCTATTCCGGATCTGCATTTACTACTAATGCCACCGAGGAACTGGCATCGTTGTTATTGCAAGGCCGACCTGGGGGCCTTTCCAAGGTAATCTTTGTGAACTCCGGCAGTGAAGCGACCGATGCTGCTGTCAAACTGGTCATACACTACTGGCAGGAGAAGGGGGAGAACCGGACTCATTTTATCGCCCGGAGGCAGAGTTACCATGGAAATACTATAGGTGCTCTGTCTGTGTCTGGTCACGAAGGACGTCGGGGAATATGCAAGAGCTTCATGTCTTCAAATGTCTCGTTTGTGGATCCGTGCTATGAATATCGTATGAGGAAGAGCGACGAAACATCAGGATATTGTGTTGATCGCCTGGGTCAGCAACCTGAACAAGAAATTCTGCGAGTTGGTCCTGAGAAAGTGGCTGCGTTTGTTGCAGAGACAATCAGTGGCACCACTTTGGGATGCGTGACGGCGGTCCATGGCTATTTCAAAAGGATCAGGGAGATATGCGATCGATATGGAGTTCTGCTTATTCTTGATGAGGTATGACTTCATGACGAGTATCAACGAGTGATACTGATATTAGAGATTATGTGCGGCATGGGTAACACTGGCACGATGCATGCCTGGCAAGACGAAGGCATTCGAGGACCAGATATCCAAACCATCGGAAAGGCATTGGGTGGTGGATTCATTCCACTGTCTGCTGCTTTGCTTCATGAGAAGATCTTTGACGCTTTGTGCGGTGGGAGTAAGGCATTGGCTCATGGGCATACATTTCAAGTATTCCATCCTCTACATTATATGATCATGTTGCTAATACTCACAGGCCCATCCTCTTGCATGCGCAGCTGCAGTTGCAGTCCAGAAGATCATCCAACGGGATAACCTCTTGGAGAAGCTGCTCCACGCTCGCTTTGCCTGTCTGCCATTTGTTGGCGATATTCGAGGTCGTGGTCTATTCCGGGTAGTTTAATTTGTGCAAGACACAGAAAGACGACTTCCATTTGCTATTGAAGAGCAATTCTCCGATAAAGTCGTAGAGGAGGCGTTGCAATTGGGACTTCATATTCTGGGCAATTTGGGCCGTACTGGGGAATATCACGTCGACCATGTCATCATTACACCACTGCATACTGTCACTGCAGAGGAGATTCATACGATCGTGGAGCTATTGGAGCAGGCTATTGTGACTGTTAGTACAAAATATCATGCTTAAAATGGATAGAATGATCATCATCGATTACAGGCGGCTGTGCTTTTTGGATGGTACATGGTGCTGATTGTGGTTGTTCGGTCGATGTCCTGTTATTTTATTTGGGATATTCCTAACAGGAAGGGAAAAAAAAAAACAAAAAACAAAAAAAGAAAGATTAAGTTCCGACACGGGGAATCGAACCCCGGGCTGTCGTGTGAGAGACGACGATGTTAACCACTACACCACATCGGATGGTTGTTATGTAAGTCTCCGTTAATTGCTCTTGTAAAGAAGCACATCACTGCAGTCAGAATATCTTGATTTCCGAGGTGAACCACACCCTAAATTTCTTCCCGATCGGGACTCAAATTGTCCACTATACAGGATTGGATCTCCACTTTTCGTACGTCACTTCTAGCATCGAGAACACGGGTGCTTTGGCCCATGCAGTCATCTGTCTAATTAAAATCCCAAGAATGATGACTGTCCCCAGCCTCAAGACACTGGTTCTGCTGCGTGAGGCTGTTCAACCTACTGTGGCCGAACGGTGGCTGGGGCACGTTCGAGTGTTCAACGCGTACGGCATCGGAATGCTCGGCCAAGCCAGCTGTCGGGAGCTAACGTCGGGATGGAATCCATTGACCTTTCGAACTGCATGGGCCAGTGCTCTCTGAGTGGTTGAGGAACAAAACCACTCGACTCGTCAGAATGGAGGCACCTGGAGAGCTCATCAGCGTCTCAACCTCGGGAATAGCTCAATCAGGAGGCTAAGACGGATTCTACATGGGCTACAGGTTGCGACATTGGGTCTGGCCAACGATTTTACTGAACTGGTGATTTGGTGCAAGCAGTCGTTGAAAAACATCGCACGCTTCATGGCAGACTCTATAATACTGAGACAGGATGGACACTAAAGATCATCCCACCTCGCGACTCATTTACCTTCACCGTCCACGATGTGTCCAACTCCAATGTGGTCAATCTGATATCATCTGCAGGAGGAGACTTCAATCTGCACGATGGCCCAATTTTTGCCGTCCACCTGATGGAGACAAAGAATATCCAACTCATCTTCTTCACCGCGAACCATCTCGTGGGCGATATTGTTTCCTGGCAGATCATCTTCCGTGATCTTGAGGATTTGGCCAGTCGTGTTTCTGGTCTACAACTCATGGACCAAGGATCCGCATCGTGTCAAAGCTGGACTACAATGCTATCAGAATACAGTGAAGAGTCTTCATCGTCTCAAAGCTCAATGCCTGATATTCCAATCATGGACTGGACTTATTGGGGCCTGTTCCCCGAGGACAATGTCTACGGAGAGCGAGTGGGCGAGGAAGTTGTCCTCGACGAAGAGCATACTTCTCTCTTGTTCAGCGAGAATCAACCATTGCGAACGGACCCAGTCGACATTTTTATTGCTGCTTTATTCCACTCGTTCAGCAAAGTGTTCCCCGATCGGTCTGTTCCAGTCATCTTCGATGAAGGAGACGGAGAAGAGCCATGCAGCAGCTCGATCGACCTGTCGAGTACCGTTGGCAGGTCTACAACATTAGTGCCAATCTATGTTCCTGTCTGTGGCGATGATGATCCTCTCGATATCCTGCGACAGACCAAAGACAAACGACGAATGATTCCAGAGTGCAATCCTGTCAGTTTCTTCCAGATGCAGGAATCGGGGATACAGCCAGAAGTCACCTTCAAGTATACCGGGCAAGAGGTACAGACCGGCAGCAATGATAGTCCATTCACCATTGACTACAAATGGAATCACCCTGAGATGGGCAAGGCAGTCAAGCGAATGTCCGTCATCGAAATCGAAGTGGCAGCACGACAAAACAAGATGCATATTGCGTTCAATTACCATCGAGGAATGCAGAGGCAGGAGGCAGTGAGACAGTGGGCGCATTACTATCAATCGTCTCTTGAACAGCTTCTGCAAAGTCTGTCAACATGTCCTCCATCGTACACAATCAGTGACATTCCCGGAATGGGCATGACCCATGACGATCTCTCTCTCCTGCAGTCCAAGTATCTGCCTGAAGCAGGGATCAAAGTCTCTGAAGTCGAGAATATCTATCCATGTTCGCCCATCCAACAAGGCATCCTGATCAGTCAAACCAAAGATCCTCAGACTTACCAGGTCTATCAGGCCTGCGAGGTCATTTCTCGGGATCGTCCAGTAGATGTAAACCGGCTTGCATCTGCTTGGCAAGCAGTCGTTGCCAGACATGCCATCTTGCGAACCATCTTCTTCGCGGCCAGCTCCAGTGTCGATCCTTTCTACCAGGTGACACGAAAGCACTGGAAACCAGAGGTTCTAAGGACCGGTTGCCTTAGTCCATATGGTGTGATCGCTGCATTTAAGAATCTTGGTCGACCGGAATATGCAGAGGGCCATCCTCAACACCGACTGGCATTTTGTGAAACAGCGACAAAGCAGATATATCTCCAATTCAACGTCAGCCATGTGTTGTTGGATGCACCCTCACTTCAGATTGCTCTGCAGGATCTGTTCCGTATCTACGATGATAGCCCTTTCCATGTTCCAGCGCCATCATACGACACCTACATTTCATTCCTGCAGGAGACACCGGCAAATAAATCTCTCACATACTGGACTGACAGACTGAAAAATGCTCCATCGTCCAACTTCCCACGATTGACAACTCGACCATCAGAGAAGAGGCAATTGAGACACGCTGTTGCAGAGTTTGACGATGTCCAACAGGTCAATGCCTTCAGGGACACTCATGGCGTGAGTGTCGCCAACATTATCCAGCTGGCATGGGGTATTATTCTGTCGAGATATACCAGATCAGCAGATGTACTATTTGGCTCCTTGTCCAACGGCAGAGACGCTCCGATTGCCAACATCGATGCCATGGTTGGGCCGATGATCAACATGACTGTCACTCGTATTCAATTGCAAGACGGATTGTCTCTTGCAGAGGCTGCCAAAAAGGTACAGGATGACAATCTGGCCGCATCCCACCATCAGCGAACGTCACTTGGCGAGATCCACCATGCTCTGCAACTCGGTGGTCGACGCCTTTTCAACTCGACAGTCTCGTACAAACGGGAATTAGTGGCCAATCCAGCTGATGCCTCTAGCCTCACAGCCAAGACCATCTCTGCCGAGGATCCTACTGAGTATGATGTGAATGTCGATGTCATCGGAGGACGGAACAGACTCAGACTGTCTCTTCAATATGCAACTTCGCTCCTCGATGACAGGTTAGCCCATAGGGTGTTGGACAGTCTACAATCCACTCTTCGATTCCTCATCCACAACGCCTCTTGCCAACTTCGCAACGTGGAAGTCATTTCACCCACAGATGTTGAATTACTCCGACAGTGGAACATGGTGATACCAGAACCCAAGCACAGGATGGTGCATGATCGCATCGCAGAGAAGAACTGCCTGTCTCCATCATCTCCTGCCGTCACTTCATGGGATGGACAATTGACCTACGCGGATTTGAATCAGCTCGCAGACAGATTGGCATGGCAATTGACGAAGCTCGGCATTCATAAAGAAGTCATGGTTGGTTTGTGCTTTGAAAAGTCCATGTGGGCCATTGTGTCAATGCTCGCGGTCCTTCGAGCTGGAGGTGTCGTTGTGCCTTTGGGAAGCCATCTTCCTCTGCAACGACTGCAGTTTATTGTTGAAGACACTGCTGCGCCTGTTATTCTAACATCCAAGTCTCATGCTGGTCAATTCAAGAAGATGTCAGATCCTGCGCATGTTCTGATCATCGACGATGCCTTTATTGCCGAACTGCCTCGAAAGGCCAGTCCCATCGTCTCTCTCCCCTCCGGCCCCAGCAATGCTGCTGCTGTCATCTATACGTCTGGCTCTACTGGCCAGCCCAAGGGAGTCGTCCTCACCCACCAGTCTTTGTCGACCAGCATCGAGAATCATGGCCCAAAACTGAGAATTGGTCCAAACACCAGAGCGGTGCAGTTCTCCGCGTACGTCTTTGATCTTAGTTTGCTGGATATCTTCACCACTCTGCGATTTGGAGGCTGTGTCTGTGTGATATCCGAAGAAGACCGCATGGACAGCAATTGCATGGCCGCTGCGATGGAGGCAATGAGAGTCAATTTGGCCGTGTTGACTCCCACTGTCGCTGCGCTTCTCCAGCCAGAGAGGGTGCCATCATTACGCACTCTCATCCTGGCTGGTGAAAAGCTTCCTCCCACAGTGGTTGACAGATGGTATGGACATGCTTCTATGTTCAATAGTTATGGGCCGACAGAATGCTCCATTATGTCTCACATCAGCAGTCCGATCGTCAACAAAGAGCGATATGGCAACGTTGGAAGGGCAGTTGTGGGCACGACATGGGTTGTTGATCCAGACAATCACAACAATCTGATGCCAATCGGTGCCGTGGGAGAGTTGCTCATCGGAGGGCCTCTCCTCGCACGGGGATACCTTCACAATATCCAACAAACAGCAGAGTCATTCATCTTCGACCCTGGTTTCGTCAAGAAGTACGGGTTTGCTGCTCCTGGAGGTCACAGACTGCGCATGTACTGCACTGGCGATTTGGTCAAGCAAGATCCTCGTGATGGTTCGATTATTCCTGTCGGACGAGTCGATGATCAGATCAAGATACACGGACAACGAGTGGAATTCGGCGAGATTGAAGATGCAGTCAAGCAGAGCCTGTCTGTCCAGAACATGGCTGCATCAGTCTTCAAACCCGAAGGAAAAAACGACTTCCTGCTAGCTGTTGCCTTGGAGATGCCAGAAATAGCCGACACTACATCTGTCTTGATGCCTCTGTCTGATCCTCCGCGTCAATCTCTTCTGCAGCTATCGTCTACTTTGACTGATTTTCTACCTTCTTATATGGTCCCGTCATTTTACATTCCTATGCGGAAACTCCCTCTAACTGCCTCTGGGAAATTGGATCGGATCTCCCTTCGCCAGGTCTTGGAGGGTCTGGATGATGATAAGCTGTCTTATTACTTCCTAGCTGATGATGCATCTCACGATATCCGTCCAGCCACGCGAGTCGAAACGAAATTGCAAGATCTGTGGGCTTCAATCTTGCCCACCGTCAAGGATAAGATCAGCATCAACGCTCATTTCTTCCGCACTGGAGGTGATTCCGTCAGTGCAATGCGGTTGGTCAGTCTCGCCCAGAGAGCGAATCCTCCAATAGACCTTACGGTGGCTGACATCTTCCATCATCCTGTTCTGTCTGCTATGGCGAGTGTCGTCGAGACTAATATTGGTAGCTGCTGTGCTATTGACGATGATCCATTGCCATTCGCTCTGTGGAATGCTTCACATGCACAGTCTGATGCTCGGACTTCAATTGCTGCTGAATGCCAGGTTCCAGCTGAGGCAATCGAGGATATCCATCCATGTAGCCCGTTGCAAGAAAGGCTCACAGCCATCACTGCCCGGCAGGCACAGGCATATATGGCCCAGTTCACCTTCCGCATGGGTGACAAAATCGATACGGATCGCTTCAGAAACGCATGGCAGCAGATCTTCGACATCTGCTCTATTCTGCGAACCCGTATTGTTCAGGACCCACTATCAGGAAATTCCATGCAAGTAGTGGTTCAACAGGATATTCCTTGGATCGATGTTGCGTCTGAGTTGAAGGCATTCTTGGCTGACGACATGGCAAAGCCAATGGGCTTTGGTAACTGCCTGTCCAGGTTTGCCGTTGTTAGGAACTCATCCGAGCGCTTCTTTGTCTGGACTGCTCATCATAGCATCTACGATAGATATACTGTGCAAAGGCTTCTTGAGGCCGTCTGGCGAGTTTATCACAACCTCTCTGTCCCGTCATTCGTGTCGTATGCACGGTTCATTCGACACCTGCAAAGCGTGATGTCAACCGAAGAGACCAACCAATACTGGCAGTCCCAAATCCCACAACACACTCAAGCCAGTAGCTTCCCATTCATGCGACAAGGCGTCCAACTATCTTCATGTCGACGATTTACCCATAGTATCAACTGCACTTCCGGTCAAGGCGAAATCACCACGGCTACACTTCTTCGCAGTACCTGGGCACTTCTTCTATCCAGCGAGACAGACAGTCAAAACGTAGTCTTCCCAACAACTCTTTCTGGCCGATCAACTGCCATTCCAGGCATTCTGGACGTGATGGGCCCGACAATAACTATTGTGCCGGTTCACATCCAACTCGATCGACAGCAGACGGTGTATGACTATCTCAAAAAGGTTCAGAAACAGGCCATTGACATGGTTCCTTTCGAGCACACTGGCCTGCAGAATATCGACCTGCCCTGTGAATTGCAGCATCCATTCATCTTTCAGGCGTCAGCCGACCAGCTCGATCAAGTCTTTTCTGGCCTTGAGCCGTTGCCTGTTGAAGCACCCGAATTCTATGGCTGTCCTCTGGTGATCGTATGCATCCCTCTCAACGGGTCTGAGAGTGGCATCAACATTAATGTTCGATTCGACCCGACCCTCCTCCCTGATGTAAAGATACAGAGTCTGCTAGAGCAGTTCGAGCATGTCTTTGGTCAGCTCCAAATTGTCGCCGCAACCAAAAAGATGTCTCTTGTTGGTGATATCGATCTTGTCAGTCCTCGAGATATCTCCCGTCTCCGTGAACTGAACAGCAACACCAATCAGATCACCGATGACTGCATCCATAAGCTCGTCCACCAGAAGGTTCTTGCTCGTCCAGGGGCACCCGCCGTGTGTGCCTGCGATGGCAGTTTCTCCTATGGCCGTTTATACAATTTGTCTTCCAAGCTGGCACACCATCTTGTCCATATAGGCGTCGGGCCTGAAGTCCCAGTGGCGTTGATGTTTGAAAAGTCGCGATGGGCCGTTGTCGCTGAACTGGCCATTCTCATCGCCGGTGGTGTGATCGTTCCTCTCCATCATCAGAATCCAGAGGGTCAGATCCAGACCATTCTCGAAGCAACCAAAACAACGATCATGCTGACTTCCTATCGTAACCGACGATTTCGCCATCGCATCCAGCATACATTGGTTGTCAATGAACAACTCATTGGAAGGCTTCCTCGCAAGCAAGGTTCGGCCTGTATAACTGTCGGTTCCAAAAATGCAGCCTTCATCATCTTCACGACCGGAAGTACCGGCGTTCCCAAGGGTGTTGTGCTTGAACACGGTTCTCTCGTCACCAGCATGCAAGCCCATGGCTCTCTCTATGCAGGGTCTTCCAACCGAACCTTGCAGTTTGCTGCTTTCAACTTCGACGCCAGTATTTCAGAGATCTTCACCACGTTGATCTTCGGTGGATGCATCTGTGTCCCTTCTGAGGAAGCCCGTCTCAATGACTTGGCTGCTGCAATCCAAAAAACGTCTGCCAACTATGCCATGCTAACACCGACCGTGGCTAGTCTGTTGAAGCCAGAGGATGTCCCTTCAATGAAGAAGATTCTGTTCATCGGTGAAGCTCTGCGCCAAGAGGTTGTGAAACGATGGATAAATAGTTCTGCTGAGCTTCACAATGGATATGGACTGACTGAATGCTCTATCCTGACCACCTTTAGTCCCCGCATCACAGATCCGAAGCAGGCTTCAACACTGGGCAGGGGACTGGATACTTGCAATACTTGGGTCGTGAATGCGTCTGACTATCATCACTTAGTCCCAATTGGAACAGTGGGTGAGCTACTCATTGAAGGACCCTTCCTTGCTCGTGGTTATCTCAATGACGAGGAAAAAACAAATGATGCCTTTGTGACAGATCCAGCATGGTCTCAACGTGTTGGAGCAGGAAAAAGAAGACTTTATCGAACTGGAGACCTGGTGCGGCAGAATCCCGATGGCTCCATCGTGTATATGGGACGACGCGACACCCAGGCCAAGATCAACGGGCAGCGAGTCGAGATAGGTGAGATTGAATTCTGCATCAAGTCGAAGTTGCCTCAGGTCGGCCAAGTGGCTGCTGGAATGGTTGAAGTTGCATCCTCAGGAAGCGGCAAAGTTCTTGCTGTGGCGATGGAGATGAACGGTCTATCCAAGGAAAAGACATCACTTTTGCCTCTCTCGGATGATCTACAACAATCTTTCTCTGCGCTGCGAACTGCCCTCCACGATGTCCTGCCATCATATATGGTCCCTCGTCTGTATCTTCCTTTCTCGAAGCTGCCTTTGACCGATTCAGGCAAACTGGATCGCCGGGGAACATGGACCATCATCCAAGAGACTCCCTCGTTGCATGAATACTTCCTCCATGGCAAGATCAAGATCCCACCGTCTACCACAACTCAAGCCCAGCTGCACAAGCTGTGGGCAGACATCCTCAATATCCCAGGTGACACACTTGGAATCAATGATGACTTCTTCCGCTCGGGAGGGAATTCGATCACAGCCATGCAGTTGGTCACCAAGGCTCGTGCTGATACTCCTCGTCTTGCTCTGAAGATGGCGGATATCTTCCAATTTCCAGTTCTGTCTGATATGGCTGCCAACACAAAACAGCTGAAAAACGAACACCCAATTATTCCTGCTGTTCCATACAAACCCTTCTCTGCCATGGCTGATGACGGCAAGTCTGTTGATTCCCTCAAGCAAGCTCTTATTCCCTTACTGTCAGCTCCCAAGAACATGAGTATCGTTGATGCTGCCCCAACAACAGACACACAAGCACTCTTTGTGGTTGGATCCCTGCGCAAGTCCCGAGATGCTCTGGCTCATCTCAGTATCGACGGTGAAGGGCTGCCTGATATTCCTTGCTGGAAAGCTGCCTGTCTGGAATTGACCAATGGACATGAAATGCTGCGAACATCGTATGTCTACTACGAGAAGCGATTGATTCAGGTTGTTCAAGAGACTTATCGGCCGTACATTCCAGTCTTTGAGACTGGTAATATAACCATTGATGAATTCACAAAGGAGCTCATTGAACGAGATATGGGTCGCCGTCCTCAGTTGGGAAGACCATTAGTGGAGTTTGCCATTGTCACCTCGAGACAGTCCGGCTGTCATCGTATCATCTTCCGCCTCAGCCATGGCGAGTATGATCAGATGGCGCTGTCGTACTATCTGGATACTCTGCAGGCCATCTACAACAGCCAGTCCATCGCACAGTATCCGTCATTCTGCAACTACATCTTCCAGCTTCAACAACACAATAAGGAGGACAGCCGGTCATACTGGCGCTCTCTTTTACAACGATCATTTATGCCCGTCATTGGGACCAGAACAAACAAGGGATTCCAAACTCCGGCCAAACTAATTCATCACAAAACTTCTAGAGCTTATGCCACTGGATCTCTCCCCAAAAGCATCACTCCGTCAATCGTTATACAGGCAGCGTGGTCATTGGTTCTCGCCTGTCATGTCGGTCGCCCTGACATTCTCTTCGGTGAAACGGTGTCTGACCGTCATTTGGATGATCCTGTCAGTCAAAAAGCAGCTGGTCCTTGTGTCAACGTCATTCCTGTCCGAGTCAAGTTCGACGAGTCGTTCACACTTGCCCAACTCTTCCATTACCTGCAGGAGCAGCATATTGCCCGGCAGCCCCACGAGGCATCGAGTCACCGTGACATTCTTCGATCCTGTCTCGCACGGCCAACGCCATACTTTAGTTCCCGGTTGAACCATCTCAACAAGATACCGAAGTGGTCGCTGTCGATGGGCGGCGTGGATTATCGTGTCTCAATGGCCTCTCCCGAAAGCGCTCAAGACATGCCTGATATCTCCATCACGACTGCTTTGCATGGGGATTATGTTGAGATCAGCTTCGGGTATCTGGAAGGCATCGTGACCCCTGAGCTGGCCGACAATCTCCTATCTTTGTTCCGCCAGACGTTGGATGTCTGTTTCAACGGATCTTCAGATATCAAGCTAGAATCTATTCTCAGTAATGGTCGTGATAATATCGTCGCAAACCCAAACAGGGGAGAAATTGTTAAAAGTGACACTGTCCAAAGAGATCTACTCGACGCAGGATATGCAGCATTTGCACTGCAGCAACAGGGCATGGACGTCACAATCGATGATATTCTGGAGAGGCGTACGTTGAGTATACAGGCAAAGACAAAGGGAAGATTAAGGAAGTTCGGGCGCTGGTTTCTGTTTGCTTCGTTTGTGGTTTCTGTTTTTTCTGTCTTTTTCTCTTGATTTTCCCACTGTTTATAATAGTGTGGTGTTGGACTAGTTAATATGTTGGGGCTGTCAGCACTAGGACAGGAAATTGATATGTTTATTTTGCTATCTAGGCACATAATGACTCTAGCTGGTGTCATTATGAACATTGGGATAAACCACGGGTCCAGTTTGGATTCACATGGCGGGATTGTAGCGAGATGCGAGATGCGGGCAACGAATTATCACGAGTCACGCCTCAGATGGGGGAGAATGGAAATAACGGCCTTTAAAGGACTACTGGCTAAGGTGGATGGAGGCATGACCACTCTGTTCTGTGTTCAGTGTTCTATCAGCCCATTCACCATCTCCCCCTATACTCGAGGGAGTATCATATCCGACGTTGGAATACCATTGGCGCCCATTGTCATACTATCTATAGTTTAGCTTTCACCTATGCTTGTATTCTTGCTGCCAAGGCATCTTGCAATAGCTGCACCACCTCCTGGTGACCATTCCAAGCGGCAAACGTGCGCGGCGTCCACCCGTGTGCTCTGTCTCTTGCTTCCAAGTTCGCCCCCTTCTCTAGGAGTTGCCGCACGACTGCCACATGCCCATTTGCTGCCGCATATGACAACGGGGTCCTGCCTTCGAGATTATCCTCTGCTTCTGGATCTGCGCGTTTCTCCAGTAGTTGCTGAACAACTGCCTCATGCCCATTCCCCACGGCCCACGAAAGAGGCGTTCTCTGCTGGTAATTATCTCGACACTCGATATCAACATCTTTGAGGAGCAATTGCTGCAACACCCGATCATGGCCATTCACCGCGGCCCATCCTACTGGTGTCCATCCATACCAGCAATCTTTGGACTCTGGATTTGCACCCCTTGACAGGAGGAGCTTCACGACTGCATTGTGACCATTCTCAGCTGCACTTATCAGAGCCGTCCAGCCCTCCTTGTCTTTTGCCTCTATATCAACACCCCTTTCTAGGAGCTGCTGCACAAGCGCCAGGTGACCGGCGCGAGCCGCACATAATAACGGCGGCCATCCATGGCTATCCCTCGCCTCGACTTGTGCATTCTTGGACAGGAGCTGCTGTACAACCCCGTCATGGCCGTTTACGACTGCATGTAGTAGTGGAGTCCGGCCATTTGTATGGTCTATCGACTCAATATCCGCCCCCTCAATGAGCAGCAGCAGGACTATCGCGCTATGGCCATTGCGCGCCGCCCATGCTAGTGGAGTCAACCCGTCCGTGTCTTTGCTGTCAACTGTGATCTTTCTCGTCTCGATCAACATGTCGACGATCACCTCGTGGCCGGCCGAGGCAGCGTACGAGAGCGGGGACCGATTGCTGTTATCCTTCTGATCGCAATCAATCTCGTCCTGTGCGAGCAGGAGCTCCACGATAGATGCATTTCCTTGTTCGGCTGCGTGCGATAGACGCGCTCTACCGTTCTCGTCTTCCAGGTTTGGATTTGCATCGACTCTTGTTAGATGCATCCACAAGGTTTCAAGATCACCATGTTCCGGGGCCCGTAACGCCATCATTGGGCTCTCATCGGTGTGATCTTCATTCTCGATGTCACGGGCCAGGGGCCTCTCAGCCACTAGACCCTCGAGAGATTTCAGTGCCCTCCTCTTTCGTGAACTCGCCGGCCGTTTCTGCTGAACGCAGATTTTCCGGATCGGGTGATCAGAGCGCCTGTATTTGGTGGGATCCATCACACCGAACCGGGCACAGTTGACTCTCTCGAATATCTCCAGTGTCATGTGCAAATCCCGCAGGTAAATGCCGATTCGGCGATTTGGATGACCACGCTCCACGCAGTTGAGCATGGCTAATCCAAGACCTTCGCCTTGCGCGGTCAACTCGAGCTCCAAGTGGATTCCCTTATTTGTTTGGGTCAATGGTCTGTTCAGGGTTAAAGCGCGATCGTGTGAGATGATATTCCCAGAGTCACTGAACGCATCTGGAGAGGTTGCCAGTAGACCACTAGACTCCTCGTTGGACCTCCAGGCGAAGATTGTTTGATCATCAAACACCTTTAGGATTTCCTCTTGCAGTCTGATGAAAGCCCTCCCCCCTTCGCCATATATCAAGGGCATATTGATGCCAAAGATGCCTAATAAGGAATAGGCCCTGTCTTCTGGCCGCGTTGTGACCCTGAATGCAGCCCATGACAGTCGCTGTGCAACACTGATCGAGTCGAGGTCGTCTTGACCAGATAGAACACCTGGTGGAATACCAGTGAGCAGAGCAAGAGTATCTCGCAGCCCATCCTTTGTTCCAAGAAACATCCATGATTTATTGAAAAACAACATATTCAATGGAGCGATCAGCTCTTGAAGGGTCCATCCTCTCGTGAACCATCTGCTTGCTGCAATCTCAGACTCGTCTTCAATATCGACAAGATATGTATAGCATACCACAGCATTTTCATACCAGCGATACATCGAGTTGATCGCCTCAGATAGCTCTGCACTGCTTGTTTTATCAATACAACAAGTGTCAACCCAGGCATATTCTATCCCATCTTGCCTAGCCCTGGCGCAGCAGTCTTTGATTTTCTGGAACCCTTTCTTAGGGACTGGGCGCCCGGTGAGGATCTCTTGAAATGTGACCTCCTCTTCGTTCCATGTGTGTGAGAGAATAGCGTACTCCAGTGCTTCTTCGTTCTGGAATTCCTCGATACGAAAGCCACCGCTTCGGGTTTCTTTCGTGTGGAGAAGACGCATCCTGATCGGTGGTGCTGCTAAGATACCCCTTGAGTCAAGCTTCCACGTCTTTGCCTGTGTTTTGTGCAAAAGTAATAGCGCTGAAAGCATGGAGGGGCAGGTCACATGAGCTGCAGCCTCGCGTATTGGTGGATACACGCCAACAGCGCCTCTCTCGTATCCAGCCGCGCTTCCACGTCGCTATCTCCAAAGATCCAAATCCGAAGTCAATGATACTACCAACGTATCTGAAACCCAAACCAGATCCTCCGCCCCAACATGGCACCCACCTCGAGCCGGGTCTGTTTCTATGGTTATCAGGATCCGCTGATCGACGATGTGGAGATCATGGTGGAGCGGGCCATCGAGCACAATGCCCGAAATGCATTGATCACAGTCCCGTTAGAATCCAACTACAATCGTCCCGACCATCAGCAGCCGGGCGGTCACTTATACTACCAGCCTGATATATTTTCCAGTCGGCTCTGGCTGCCCGGCAGCCAGTTGAAAATTGGCTTCCTGGCAGGAACCGACTGGCAGCGAGATCAGGTCAAAAGATACGCTCCCCAGTGGACCCAGTACGGAAACATCAGCTTCATCTTTCTTACGGATACCGATATGGCATCAATAACGCCCGATATCCTCGTCGGTTTCGATTCCTCAAAGGGGTCATGGGCCTGTCGGGGAACCGATTGTCGATATTTCAGCTCCAGGGGACATGTGTCCGTGAATCTGGGATGTATTCTCCAGCAAAGGTCTCAGGTAGACAACGCTGCCACCGTCTTGCACCAATTTGGACATGTTCTTGGCTTGGTCCATGAACACGCAAGTACCCGGACATTGATTCCATTGATCGAAGAACGCGTCCATGAGGATCTTGGCAGTCCGCCCAGCAACTGGGACGAGGCCCTGATAGAGCGGATCTGTCCCACGCACCATGACCATTCGAGCGTTCAAAAGCCAGCTTTCGACAGTTGTTCCATCATGTTGAAGTACTATCCCCATACTTGGGTGAAGCATGGCCACTGCCCTAGATTCAACATCGCTATCTCAGAACTTGATAAAGACTACATCAGATTCTACTATCCCCACCAGAATCCAGGGATTGGAAACTTTAATACCCTAGAGTTGACCCGAAATATCACACACCTGCCACTCTATACAAAAGAAATATCCTTCCAACAAAAAGATCAATATCTTCACGGTATCATCGTCGGTTTACATTGGTTTGATACTGAAAGCTCCTGCACCCTACGGATCAGGGTCAAGGCAGTCGTGAAGGATCAGCAGACGTTGACCCCAAGCATCAGTACCTGGGCTGACTCGGCAATTTATTCTGCGGGAATAAGTTGGCTGGGGGTGGGACCGAAACTTGGATTCCTGCAGCATGGAATATGCACAGCCGAGCTTACGGCTGCGAGTCCCCGTCCAGTAAACCCCACACTTGTTGAATTCTCGACACCCTTCCGCACGCCGCCAAAAGTGATATGCTTTCTGCAAGACATCGACATGGATTCTAACGATAATTGGCGCATTAAAGCATACCCATCCGACATCACACCACAAAGCTTCAAGATCAACATTGACCCAGGGGCAGGGACTATTCTCCACGAAGCAAGCGTCGGTTGGCTGGCGTATCCGGCCGAAACTGTAGGGGTTGCAAGCGGCCGAATCGATACGAATGATCTGAGGTCCTGGAACGATACTCAGCAACACAATGCTTCATGTACATCATTCAGCAAGCCCTTTTCAAAAATTCCCAATGTGTTCGTGGTTCTTGATTCTTTTGACTACGATGGGGATCAGAACCCACGCCTTCGAGTGAGTACTTCACTGGTAACGCCGGATGGATTCAACTGGAGTTTGCAATCCTGGGCGGACTCGATTATGTATCAAGCCGGGGCGAGTTGGTTTGCATGGGAGGACTGAATCAATGGTTAGAATTGATCATTTCCGATAAGTATCCAACAAGCATGACGTTCCTTGGCCTTTCATACACGCCTCATCCAATCACCAATACAAAATAGTAAATAACAGCGGTCCTTCGGAGCCATTACATCGCATATATAATAACCAGAACAGAGACTCGGACTGTTACCACCTCTAGTCTGGTTTGCGGGTCCCTCTTCTCCCTTCGGCTCTTCTCGCCGTTCGAACAATCCATTTTGTGTTTCCCAATTTTAACTCCGAACGGATCTCGGCTTTAATTAAGCTCATTAGATTTCGGCCTAGCGGCATCCGGTAAGGCCGAACCCTGCCGGGGTGGGGCGCCGCAAACCCGTACCCAAAGCGGAAATCCATCTCGATCCGGAAGGTTCGGCTGTGGCACGGAGTGTCAGGTTTATACGTCGGACGCAAATACAGTCCGACAACAGATGGATTGGTTTGAAAGTCGGACAATAGCTTGCCTCGGAGGTAAGAGTTAATTTAAAGGAGAATGAGTTGAGCGTGGGATGACGACGCAAGTACGAAAGAAGTGACGTTTAGGTCTTCATCAAACCTTGGTCTTACTGTATCAGTTTCAGGCCGATATTAGGTTGAAGACTATGGCTTTAAAATAGAGTATGAAAAACGTGGAAGCACTCCACATGCTAGTTTCCGACAGACCCGACGCGTATGATGGTTTCAATTCAATAAACTATATATGAACTTGATCGTCTTCAGGATTATCTTTTTGAAGCCATTCACTTGACAGACATCATGTCATTCCTTACCTCCAAGGCAACCACTGCTTTGGCAATTGCAGCAACCATCCTCCCTGCCAGTGCCCAGCTCTACAACAAAGTCATCAACATCGAATCCGGTCCTGTTCAGGGCTTCAAGTACTTCAATGAGTCCACTCTCGAAAGCGTCTGGGGTACCAACAACAGCAACGTGGCTGCCTTCCTAGGCATTCCTTACGCTGCCGACACTTCCTATCAAAACCGCTGGAAGCCCCCAAAGCCCCGTCAGCCATGGAATGAAACCTTCAAGGCCGACTCCTATGGCCTTCCGTGCCCCAGCTCGTGGGTGTCGGAGATGAGCGAGGACTGCCTTAGTGTCAACATCTGGACGGGCGCCAACTCGTCCTCGGATAAGTTGCCTGTTCTGGTTTGGAACCAGGGCAGCGACGAGACCAGCAGCAACTGGGACTTTTCGGGCGGTGGTCTTGCCATGAAAGGCGTTATCGTGGTGACATTCAACCGCCGCGATGACGCGTTTGGATATCTTGCTCATCCAGAACTGAACGCCGAGTCGCTGGCTGAAAATGGCCACAACTCCTCTGGCAACTACGGCGTTCTCGACCACAAGTTTCTTCTTGAATGGGTTCAGAAGAACATTGCCCATTTCGGTGGTGACCCGGACAGAGTCACTATTGCTGGTCAATCTTTCGGTTCATCGCAGGTCTACCATGCCGTCAACAGTGAGCTGTTCAGCGGCCTCTTCCACGGAGCCATCTCCGAGAGTGGTCTGCGTTATCCCTACGACCCCATCCTGGCTGGAATTGCCACTTCATATGTCACCATGGAGGATGCCATTGCGTTTGGACAGAACTACACCCGCAAGCACAACGTCTCGTCTATTGCTGAGCTGCGCACTCTGTCGACGGAAGATCTTCTGCAAGGTTCTCAGGACCGGAACTACAACATCTGGTGGGTGACCGCGTTGACGTGCCAGTACCCGCTCATCTCCAAGCCTGTTCTGGATGGATACGTTCTGCCGGAGAAGTATATCGACATTCTGAAGAGTGGTCCTGCCAACGATGTTCCTCTCATCACCGGAAACAACAAGGATGAGAGCGGTGCGTCAACCTCGACCAACTACACCGTGGCTGAATACAAGAACGACTGCACCCTCAAGTACGGCAATCTGTCAGAAGAATACTTCAAGCTGTATCCAGCCAACAACAAAACCCAAGCCGACATGTCCTGGAACGCCGCTGCCCGTGATACCTCCGTTGTCTCTTCCTGGGCCTTTGCCAACGAATGGGTCAAGAGCGCCTCCAACCCGTTCTACACTTACTACTGGGACCACGCTCCCCCGGGTCAGTCCCAGGGCGCCTACCACGAGTCGGAAGTGGGCTACATCATGAACTCGCTCTTCAACGGCGTGGACTTGTATCCCTACACCTGGTACGACTGGTACCTGGCGGATGTCATGTCCAGTTACTGGGCCAACTTTGTCAAGACGGGCAATCCCAACAACGGCGGTTCGTACAAGTATGACAATCTGACCTACTGGGCGCCGAATGATGGACACAGCCAGACTGTCTTTCATGTCGGTCAGGCGTTTGGAAATCGGTCGATTGCGGAGCCGGAGCAGGTGAACTTCATTATGGATTACTTTGCTCAACAGACTCCTTACTAGTAGAGTGGATAGAGTGGTGCAGTAGTTGTTGTGTATATCAGTCATTCCTTGAACAATATTACTAATACATCCTGACTTCCATATACGTGAACAAGTGCCAACTGTGATTTCTCATTGTAGCAAAAGGAAATTATACCATCTTCTAATTAGTGACACTAACGGCTCGCCACCGCAAAACATTTTGAACACCAATAGCAGTTAAAGCCAGTAGTTGCTTGCTTTTGCGCCTTGCTCGGGATCATGCTGCTCGCAACTGTCCTCAGAGGCCGGGCAGCCATAGCTTTTGGCCCCAGCTTCGGGATACGCAGCGACTAAAGTCACTGTGGCAAGGAAAGTCATAATATTGGCCAAATGTATCGTGATCAGTGTGTTGGGGCAAGATCAGTTTTGTGCTGTGTAGAAATTTTGACTTCAAGGATAACAATTATGGGCTCTAGCTACAGTTCGGGGAAAAAGAGACCGCTCTCCACCCATATATTGAAAGAGTATTAGTGAAGTATACAAGTGGAAGCTCTGTTTAGACAGAAATTGGTCGAGATAATAGTCGCGGTAATTTTTGTCAGTTCCCTGCCGATTCTAAGTATATTGCCATCTGACGTTCCACCATGCAAGGTACTCATCGCCCATTGTAAATGCATCCACGCGCACCTCGTGTTCAAGGGGCGCAGATCTGGGATAACTCCGGAGCTAGGGCTCGGTGCTATCTCCGCCGGTCTGTCCTGTTCGTGTCTGACCATTACAATTCGGCATCCCGATCCACCTGCATGGCCGGAAAGGCCCGTGTCTTTGACTTTGATCTGGATGTTTTCCCGAGTAAGGACCCAACTTACGATTGTGCGACCATTGAAGTGCTCGGCGTAATCACACAGTCTCGAAGGCTTGACTCTAAGGTAGGATAAGACAGAAAATGGTATACAGTAATTAGAGAACAATCGTTATCAAGACAGGATGAAGACGATTAGGGATGGAACATCCGTCCGGTACGTCTCCCTGGATTTCGTTGTACCTGAAGCCTCTGGACTGGTAACCTTGACAGCCTGGTCAGTCTGGTTTAAACCTTCTTGCCGGAGTTATCTCCGCCTAGTGAGACCAATGAAGGAATAACCACCGTGCACCTTCGAATACCGCAGCTGCGAACGAGTGGCCTTAAATGACTGCCGTATGCTTCTATTAAGACGGTTGTGAAGACTTGCCATATTACGGTCGGGCACACTAGATTTTTGTTGAATGATACTCGTTTCTGTTTGATATAATAAATACCTAGCAATAATTCCCTCCGCACAAGTATACATGGAGAGCTTTCCACCCCTGAGAAGAACCTTTTTGCTCCGGGCCGCGACTTCGGGCCGCTTTACGGCCGTCTACGGTTGTACCATAGAGTTTGCGCCCCCGAACAGAGGGTGCGTCTGCGAGGATTCCTATCTGATCGGGCCGAGAACTGGCAACTCGGCCTCGTGCAGGGTCGGCTGATGTGATCGACGGCCGACAGGTGTTGAGCGTGTGGTATGTGAAAATCCCGATAGGTTAAAGGAGCCGTGAATGAGATTTGCAATCGCTGATATAAGACGGCATGCCGTTGTCTGAGGCAGTGACACTGCAGATAGCTAAAGCTTCATCTCCATCTTCGATCGTATAGAAAGCGAATTGAGTGGGTTGGTTCGGTCGCCACAAAGCCACAAAGTCGAGAACTCGAAGGAGATAGAGAGTTGGACTATACAGGCCGTGCCTAGCATCTTGGCCACGCTAGATATCCTTCCTTTTCTCTCATTTGAGCTCATTCGACTCTGCCAGTCCCATCATTTCACAAAATAGTCTCGAAACCATCCAGGCTATCAGAGCAATTGGCAGAACACTAAGAAACGCAATTTTGTCGACATCGTATTCAGGAACACTGTCAACAAAATTTCCTCTTTTGAATCACCGGAGAAGATGTCTTGGTGTTTCTTTTGCTTCTTGGAGATACCTTGGCGACTGGAACCGCCAATCCAAGTGGCTTTCTTCATACACATGCACGAGTGATTGTTGGCGTCAAGTTCATCATAATCTCGGGCGCGGCTTTGCTTTCTTGGCCGTAGAAAGGACATGTTGGTTGTGAATGTAGTCGGCGTTCTATCTTGATTTTAATGTCCTGCCTCGAGATACTATATATACTACCCTCTTTCGCTCAAAGTTGAAGTATCCCATCGCACGCCAGTCTCTCCTTTTCTTCTCTACTCTCCCCCTTCCAATTCATTCTCCAGCATGGGGCTTCAGACCCTCGCCACTCTGCTTCTCGCCTCATCTGCAGCTGCCTTTGTCGCTCAGTCGCCAGACCCTACTCCCAAATTCATCACCAACCCTGCCACCGTCGCCGGCAAGAAATTTGACTACATTATCGCCGGAGGTGGTCTGACCGGCCTGACAGTTGCCGCTCGTCTGACTGAGAATCCCAAAATCAGTGTCCTCGTCATCGAATCCGGCTTCTATGAATCCAACCGCAGCCCCATCGTCGAGGATGTCAACGCCTACGGCCAACCTTTCGGGAGTGAGATCGACCATGCCTATGAGACTCTCATGGAGATCAACAACCGTACGGAGATTGTCCATTCCGGCCATGGCTTGGGCGGTTCGACACTGATTAACGGCGGTACTTGGACCCGGCCTCACAAAGCCCAGATCGACTCCTGGGAATCCGTCTTTGGTAATACGGGATGGAGCTGGGATGAGCTTGTGCCCTACATGCATAGGATTGAGCGTGCGCGTGCTCCAAATGAACGCCAGATTGCGGCTGGTCACTACTTCGACCCCAGCTGCCATGGATTTAATGGAACCGTGAATGTTAATACCCGTGATACCGGCGAGGACTACACACCGATGATCAAAGCGCTCATGGATACTGTCTCTGAGTACGGTGTCCCCGTGAGAAGGGATGTTGGCTGTGGCCATCCTCATGGTGTATCTATGTTTCCTAATTCCATCCACGAGAACCAAGTCCGATCGGATGCTGCTCGCGAATGGCTGCTCCCCAACGCAAACCGTCCGAACCTGAAGGTTCTAACTGGCCAGATGGTCGGCCGGGTCCTCATGAACACGACCATTGATGGAAAGACTGCCGGCACCCCCCAGCCCAAGGCTGTGGGTGTTGAGTTTGGCACCAACCGCCAGGCCAAGTATGAAGTCTATGCCAACCGTGAGGTTCTCCTTGCTGCTGGCTCGCTTGTTTCGCCTCAGATCCTTGAGTATTCCGGTATTGGTACCAAGTCTGCTTTGGAAAAGGTTGGCATCAAGCAGGTTGTTGATCTTCCCGTTGGCATCAACCTGCAAGACCAAGCAACTACAAATGTGCGGGCGAACATTACTGCCGCGGGTGCCGGCCAGGGTCAGATGATTTACTTTGCCAGCTTCAATGAGACTTTTGGTGACCACACCTCGGACGCACTGAAGCTCATCAATAACAACACTAAGCTGGAGCAGTGGGCCGAAGAGGCTGTTGCCCGTGGTGGCTTCCACAATGTATCTCTGCTGGTCAAGCAATATGAGAACCAGCGAAACTGGGTACTGAATGAGGAAGTCCCCTTTGTCGAAATGTTCATCGACACCGCCGGTGTTATGAGTTTTGACGCCTGGGTTCTCGAACCATTCACCCGTGGCTCCGTGCATATTCTCGACTCCGATCCCTACCTCCGCCGCTACAACTACGACACACAGTACTACCAGAACGAACTGGACCTGTTCGGTTCTGCAGCTGCTACGAAGCTTGCCCGTGAACTGCAAACCAAGGGCGAAATGGAGCAGTATTTCGCCGCCGAGGTATTCCCAGGACACAACCGTCTTCCTGCCAGCGCCAGTGTCGAGGACTGGTCTGTGTGGATACAGGACCACCTCCGTTCCAATTACCACGGTGTCGGCACCTGTTCCATGATGAGCAAGGAGATGGGCGGTGTTGTTGACCCCAGTGCACGTGTATACGGTGTTGACGGTCTTCGTGTTATCGATGCCTCCATTGTTCCCACCCAGGTTTCGTCTCACGTTATGACGGTGTTTTACGGAATGGCGGAGAAGATTGCAGAGTTGTTGATTGCCGATTTCCAGGCTGGAAAGTAAGCCTTGTTCTGTTTCCATTTTCTTACTGGCATACCTGCTTGTTCCATGCTTCCACTGGTTTGGCATTTGACTTGGATGTTGATATGAGCTCGTGTTATTGCATAGACATATAGAGTGATAGACAGACAATATAGAAGGAATGAGAATACGTTCGACATCAAGGATATCACTAGAATTCCTTAGCAGTGCTTGAGTGAGATATATTCCTGAGGTTATGGCTATAGTTTTCACTCCAAAGAATACAAGGCTGCGTTTTCACTTGCGGGCCGTAGATCCGTGTGTTGGTGTGAGAATCTCCCAGTTCTCGCAATGGTGGGCCGCTCGTAGACAAATGCGTAGGCGCTATCCCGGACTCTGACACGCAGCAGCTACAAAGCACATTGCATCTGATTCACCTGGATACAGTGTTGATGGCAAAGTCTCTAAAAACGCTATAGCCATATGTGCCAGACTATGCCACGTCCACTTTCGACGCGATGGACGCCAAGCCGTTGACCAGTCAGTGATTTGGTACAACACAACGCAATCCACAGTAGGTGCTCAGACCAACTTCTACCGTGGAGCTCGACGGACTGATGGCCTCGGGCGTCCTCGTCGACGCCGTCATGATCTAGACCCCCCGCCATTGTTCCTGGCTGTTGAATGCGGCAACGAGGATCTGGTGGCGCTGTTGCTTGAAAAGGGGGCTGATCCGGATCTCTACCGACCGGATCCACTGTACCGGGCGGTTGAGGACGGAAGACACGATATCATTCGCCTGTTGCTTGATCATGGAGTCAGGTACCCTAACGCTGCGATAAAGCTAACAGTGTATGGAGGGAATAGGGCGATGCTCGAGTTTCTGCTGGATAATGGCATAAGCATTGAAGAACACGGTGGTTTCGCACTAGTCTTGGCGCAGCGAACGAGCGACGACATGGTTCAGCTACTGGAATCCAGAGGAGCAAAGCGGGATTCTGACAGCAAAGAAGGCGACGATAGCTGGTATCAGGGGGATGCACATGGCATTCAGGCCCAGCCAAGGGCTAGCTATGGCTATGGTGGTTATGTTGGTGAGGAGCCAGAGCCTGAGGAACCTCTACTGGCTGCGTCCTGAACAGTCAACCGAGGAGGCCTATACTATGACTGCTCACGCTAGAATCATTATAATTTCATATGCCTACTCAATTGTTGGTATACACTTATGTTTGTGCGATGTAATACTGCTAAGTTGTGTCTGCCAAGAGTTATAAGCGCATTATATGCCAGCGTTACTGCTGACTCCGGTGTGTTTCCTACTTCCCACCTGTTCAACAGCCTTCCATGCACTGAATAACGGCCCTGATGTGACGACGATATCGACCTCAGCGACCACCACTCCCACCCCTGCCGGCTCAATCACAGTCTCTGGCACTGCTGGGCCCACTCAGAGTGGTGCTATTCCCAGCTGCACCAAGTATTACCGTGTCCAGAGTGACAATACTGGCTATACTATCCAAAATGCCTACATTTTCACTTTGCCGCAGTTCTACTCGTGAAATCCGTAAGTCATCTCCACTTTGGATGCCTTTTCTGATCATGTATAATTCTATCGCCACCAGCTGTTCAGGTCTTTAATCTGGATATTATATCTACGTTACTACTAGAAATCCTTTAACTTCTATCTTTATAACTTCTACTCCTGCTTTCTCCACTACCTCCCTAATAGTAACTGGGACTTCTTCTGTGTCAAACCATGAGCCTTATTAAACTGGTATTCTATCTAGCTGTATGTGAATCCACTTTCTCTCTGGCTAAATACTAACATTTAACAGGTAATAAGCGGTACTTTATGGTAGATAGGATAACTGTGATACTGTCACCACTCCATTCAACATTACTAAGGAGCAATTCTTTAAGTAGAATCCTATAACTGGACTGACCTGCTCTGCTCTCTGGCTGAAGAATTATATCTGTATTAGTGTTCCTAGTAGGTCTCTATCCTCTTATATCTGGCATATCTAATATAGAAAGGCTCCACTTTTTCAGCAGTACCTACCATAATAATTAACTCCATTATATCAATTCCCTCTATAGCAGTAATAATAATGAACAGCTCAACATTAACTGGCCCCTCACCCACCCAATCTGGAATCACCTCCAACTGCGAAATATACTAGCAAGTATAAGACAGCTCTAGCTGCTGGTTAATTATGAATGAGAAATACACCTACCTCACCCAATATCTATTCATTAAATGGAACCCTGCCATTGGCTCTGCCTGCGCGCCTCTATTAGGCTACCACTATTATATTACAGTGATGAACACCCAGCCCATGCTGGGGATGATCAGGACCTACACAACGTGGCATCTGAGTGCGGATGGTGATGCTTGCTGGCAGATTGAGCAGGATTATGGTATTACTGCGGCTGAGTTCAGTGAGTGGAATCCAGAGGTGGGATCGGATTGTTCTGCTTTGTGGTTGGGATATTATGTGTGCGTTGGTGTTTAGCCTTGACTGCCCTTGGCTTGGCCTGTCAGTTTAACTCTACGGATGGTCCAATTTGCTAGAGAAAAAGCAGACATTCTTTATAGGAAGATACTCTACCTACTGAATTACATAAGTACTAGGGATAGTAGTAAAGTATCACTTTCATATAATATAAATAAGCTATAAGGAGTTCCTACTTCTATTTAGCTTATTATTAGCTATACTATATCTATTAAAGAATCCGTATCTAATCTCTATTGAGGGTATATATTCCTATACACATCCACTTCATACCCAAGCTATAGTTAAGGCGCAGAATGCCCTGCCTTTTATCCAGGTAAAAAAAGGGATCAGTTATACTAGAGCCTAGAGTAAGTATAAATTCCATGAAGATGCCTTCTCTAGTGGATTAAATCTTGTAGTAGAGCAGTTTGGTGCGGAGTTGCCATTTAAGGCTATGGATAGTAAAAATCAACATTTCCGCGGCAAATACACAGCACTATGAGATTAGCACAGACCTCATGGTGAAATTCCTGGGCCCCAGAATAAAGAATTTCATGTTGTCTGTAACCGCATCCATCCATGTCACTAGATTAGGCAGAAAACGCAATGCTGGAGCAGCATATACTTAATATAATTTAGTAAGTGCCAGAACATTATGTTATATTATCAAAGGCATTATATCTGGTAAATAACTAAACTGATGGCCATGCTTATACTGGAGGAATCTACACTCTAAGGGGGGACAGTGGCTCTAAAGATTGAGTAGCTCATATGTAATACAGTATAGTATTTGATAGATTCTGTAGGGCTCTCTTATTTATAGTTATTTATAGATGCTATTTTAAGCTTGGACATACATCTAACATGCAAGAAACTTTGGATTGTCCAATAGAGGTAGCGAAGAAGATCTAATATACGCTTGTCTAGAACATAACGGCCCAGAAATATATCTTCATCTTTTTATACCATGTCCAGCCCACTGATGATTTCCTTTACATTTAGGACCAGTTTCCTTCATCTTCAACAGGCTTGCCACTCTCCGAAGCGTCTAGAAGCTCCTTGACAGTCCACGGCTTGTATGTGTAGCCAGGTACAGAGTTCGTGTTCTTGAATGGCGTACCCTTGAGGAGGTGCTCCGCACATTCGCCGTAATTCTCATATGCGTACTGCTCTGAGTCATGGCGTAGCAGCCAATCTCCAACTATTTTGCCTAATATCTGGGGGTTCTTGGCGACGGCGTCCCAGTCGGTGTTGTGGAAGATCTCGCGATTTTTGAAGCCCATTTTCTGTGCGCAGGAGACTCGCTCAAACCTGTTATCAACGTGTGTGTTATCAGCCCCTGTAGCATCTACTCCTAAAATCCGGCCGCGAAATATGGCTCTTTGGCTGCCACATACCTCAAGTGGTTATGCACTTTCGTTGCTAGAGATACATCCTTCTTCCCGGCAATATCCAAGCACGCTGCCAGAGAATACGCATCCTCCATGGCCATAGTCCCACCACTGGCTGAGGTCGGCAGAAATGAATGTGCGGCATCACCGACCTGGACGACGCGGCCGCCAGGTGACGTCCACCGCGGTTGAGGGTTACGCCACATAAGCTTCCAGGCAAGAACGCTGTGGTTGGGTGTTGCCTTGATAAGCTCGGTCACGAACGGCTCCCAGCTCTCGACAGCCTGGAGGGCCTTGTCGATCGATGTTGTCTTCGCCCAGTCTTCTTCGGCAACACTGCCTTCCTCCTACGTGAGGTTAGTATACAACCGCACAGCACAGGCCGTGGTACGTGAGGATACATACCCTGCGAGTGAGCAGCCAACAAATCTCTTCCGCAGTTTTGCAAGTAACGATGTGTGCCCCCGGACCTGCGTGTAGGAATGTGCGGTCATTGAATCCTCCAAGCTCCGCCGCGATGACTGGATTTTCGAGGGCCGGTGCCACCGGGAATGTGACACGATAAAGCACGAATCCTGAACTGATTGGGGGGTCGTTGCTGCCAACGACCAATGCCCACGATTTGGAGCCAACGCCATCGGCCGCCACCACTACGTCAGCCGTGAGACAGCGCCCATCAGACAGGACCACACCACCATGGTCGTCCGTTTCGAAGAATTCTGAAGCAGTCGCGGAGAACTCTATCGGGATGCCGAGCTGCTCGGCGTACTCGGAGAGCAAGTTATGCAGCTTTGATCGGTAGATGGGCAGAGATGGGTCGTCTGGGATACCGACAGGGAAGGATCCGATCACTGTCCCGTCGAACTTTTTCATGACGATCGTCGGGGTGACTGCCTCTTGTCTCGCCCGTTCCATGAAACCCGGCCATTTCTTCGGGGTCTGGAGGGCAGGGCTTGTAATCACAATGATTTCGCCTACATCAAGCGTTAATGCGCCACTCAGTGAGCTAGTATGTACAGCACGGTGATGTGTATGAAGATGTGAAGGAGTTGAAGACGGTTCTTACCCGCAGTCTCCCCACGGAGTCGTCGTTCGATAATCTGGACATTGTGACCCTTCCGGTGAGCCTCAATAGCGAAGGTTAAACCTGCAATGCCACCCCCGATAACAAGAATGGAGATTCCGGTATCTTTTCCTCGTTCCATGGTTGAATTTGCGCGGGCCAATAAAAAGATGGTCGTTTTAAGTTGGATCCTTGCCGGCTTTTTAAAGGTTTGATGTTGTTCGTGTGTTGGGTGTACCCAATACACTGAGAGATCGGCTTTTATAGTAACGGACGACTACGGCAGATCGGCGGCCAAGGCCCATCCGGAAGATCGGGTTGTTGCTGTATCCGCTGACTTGGCGATTTTGGTTGATCCAACTGGGTAGCTGTGCCATAATCCCACACCATGCGGTGTAAATGTCTCTACTGTGGTCCGGAGCTTACCTACATAAATGCCGCTGTGGGGAATCCAAGCTGTCATACCAGCTAAGACGTAGAGTCGCAGGGTTCACGCCTTAATAAGCGGAATTTCGAAACTCACGCCTTAATAAGCGGCATTTCGGAACTCACGCACTCTCGGAATCCAGATTGAGTTATACTCTGAATGGGGACGAAGATATTAGGCATCGAACTACTGTATAGTACTACGTTGCCATAAACATAGATATGAGGGGGTTCGGAAAATCATCGGCAAATTAATAATGTTGACAAACAGCTGATAAATCAAGTACGAGAGCTCTGCTCACTACTGTCCAAACTATGGGATATTTACTATCCGCAGCAACTTGGACATCCTATGCCACAACTTCCGTTTTTCTTCTATTGCTAAACACAGAGATTCTGTCCAAGTGTAAGACATATGTCGTCGCAATACTTGTGCGTCGAGATTCCACTGCAGCGGCGTTCCACCAACGAGGCATCAAGACCGTTGTGGGAACTTTAGACGGTGAATCTATCATCTGCCAACATGTATCTGGCACAGAGTGATATTGTCATTCACGCTGCTACTGCATATTCAAGGCTTCTACTGTAATGCATCTGCAGGGTGTGCTGTGGTACACATCATGGGGTCTTCATGAGAATGCACTAAGACTCGCTTGCCAGAAGAGGGAAAGGCGAACAAAGCGGATCATTATAGTATCAGCATACAGCCCGAGCCTATCCCAACCAATATAGATTCCAAAGGGTCTTTTATGAGCCACAAAACATAAAAATAAACTCGTCGCTTTTCCCATACTTGTTCCAGGCATGGAATGTTGGATATATATTCTACCGTGTACTATTGTAGTCATAGAAAGCTCTGAACATTCGAACCCTAAATCAAAGCATCAAATCATACTCTTTGCATCCCACTGTACCTTCCTAGCGTATTTTTGTCCTCTCTTCCGCATATTTCACATTCCATAGTACGTAAAGTTAGCCAATCGTATAAACTTTACGGATCTGCACATATAGAGTAGGGTGTAGTTCATTACTAGGAATTGCAGAATGACGAGAGTAATAAAACCTGCTTAGACACGCGAGAAGCATTCGACAGAGTTTACAAATCATCACCTATCTTTCACAACCATGCGCTGGAAGGGGGCGCCCAGGTCTGGCTTGGGTTTAATTAGAAGGGGCATGCCCACTAATGATCCCAACCTAGAGCGTCATGAATTATTTTATGCATAGTACCCTATTACTAATACATACATGAGGCTCATGATCTGAAGCCAATCAGAAAGGACCATCAGACCAAGTTATGCTCAACTACAATATATTTTCATGAAAAGAAAAGGATAATGCAGAGCAGACACTGAGGTAACGCAGCATCCAATTCATTATAAGCAAAAGGATAGAATAGCTATCTTAGATATGGGGTGAGTTCCTATTAATTTTATATAGATAGAGTACTAATTCACAAATATGGTTAGGGTGCTATATTAATATATCTACCTCAGCGATTTCCTAATTTAGATATTATAATATTATTAAATTCAACAACCTAAAAGTCACACATTAATAATCTAGCAAAAACCTTAAAATTAAAAGGGCCATAAAGATTTATATAGATATTACTAATTATTAGCACCATCAACAACATTGGATACACCATTGAGAGGGTAATTCATGGACGAAAGGCAGACTACAATGCAATTTCGCAGTGGAATCACCGCCCTGCCCTACGCCTTTTGGCTTAGGGGAGGACGATGCTACAGGGCGTTCCTTTTCTGCAAGAACGTGGGCGGAGCTTGATGCCGCCCTAGACTCGGATATGCTGCAAGAAGGTATGGCATTGGAGTTGTAGACGTGTTTATATATCAAGAGGACTGCATGGGCGAATTGAGGGATCTACTGGCGGGCGCAGATACCCAGAAAAAAGAAGAACTGATATTGTAGTACTCTTTGCTAGTTGTCTTGCCAATTACATCACACCTGCTGGATTTTATATTTTTCCACTGTTTTGATGTCCCCTTGGGTGAAATACTTTTTGGAAAACAAGAGGCTTGACAGGAAGCAAGGCGACGCATGGAAGTCGCGGAAGAGGCAATTGGGCCCATCGAATATCATTGGCAAGCGAGATTCGAAACACCGTAAAAGACACGTACGTAGGAGATAAGCCGAAAACAACAAATCATATGCAGGGCTGAATGAACACAGGGGCAAACCGCTACAGCACGATGCAACACCGCATCGGCGTCGCGTGGGAATTCCCAAACCAGCGACCGACAAAAGCGGGCCAGCCAATAGCGTGCTGTACCGGTCTTACCGGGAGGAATGCGGGTCTGCCATCCGGTCTTCCACCCAATCATCTTCGTCGCTAATGTTGCTTAGATCAACCCCGCATTGGACGATCCCCCGCTTCTGGGGTACGGTATGAGCTCACCCACACCGGCGTCCACGATGGACAAGCTGTGGATTTATGTATAAGTATTCATCCCTAGCAGGCGTATATTAACATTCAGCTTGCCATTGATATCAAATTCGCCCCCCTTCCCTCCCAACAGCCACATTCTTCCGTATGGAGCCCGATGCTTCTCCCCCACCCCCTGGAAAAGACCCCAGAGGCCATGAACTCGACCAGATATCAAGAGTTGAAGACTCCCACCATGAAGTTGGCACAATTACCAATATCGAAAAAAGAAAGACGGTCGAGGGAGAGGCAAAGTTCCGCCGACTCGGCTGGAAGCGCATGACGGTGATTCTCATTGTCGAAGCCATCGGGCTCGGTACTTTCAGTCTCCCCAGTGCCTTTGCAACTCTGGGAATGGTCGCGGGCGTTATCTGCTGCGTCGTTCTCGGTTTCGTTGTTATCTATACGGGGTATATCGTTGGCCAGGTCAAGGTTGTTTACCCACAGATCAACCACTATGGCGACATTGGCGGGCTGATCCTGGGTCGATTTGGACAAGAGCTGATAGGCACTTTGTATGCGCTGCAACTGATCCTCATGACGGCGTCATTCTGCCTGACAGGGACTATTGCCTTTAACACCTTGAGCAACGAGGGTGCTTGTGGCCTGGTGTTTAGTATCGTCTCTGGTATTCTCTTGTTTCTCCTCGCGATTATGCCGTCGTTTAGTGAGGCTGCCGTACTGGGTTACATTGACCTGGCCTCGGTGACGATCACCATTGGCATCGCGATCATCGGTTCCGGGATACAGGCTGGAGAGTTACCGGGTGGCGTGGCTTCGGTGAACTGGTCGGCATGGCCAGCCGCTGATACGACGTTCAAGGACGCCATGGTGGCCATCTGTAACATCATGTTCTCCTACAGCTTCTGCATGTTCATCACCCCGTTCATGTCCGAGATGCACACTCCTACGGATTTCATGAAGTCGATCTGGTCCCTGGGGATAATCGAGATGGTAGTCTACACAGTGATTGGCGCCCTGATCTACGTTTTCGTGGGTCCAGAAGTTCAGAGCCCTTCCTTGCTATCGCTGCAAGGAGTCCTTCCAAAAGTTGCCTTTGGACTGGCGCTTCCTCTCATCTTCATCTCAGGCGCCATCGGCAACACAGTCACGGCCCGATACGTCCATCTCCGGCTTTATGAAGACTCTGTGATTCGCTTCGTCAACACCCCAAAGGGATGGATTACCTGGATTGCGGTTCTGCTGGTCATCACCATTGTTGCCTGGGTTCTGGCCGAGGCAATTCCTTTCTTCGACGACCTCCTTGCCCTCAGCTCCGCTCTGCTCATCTCCGGGTTTGTTCTCTACTTTCCACCTGTGATGTGGTTCATCCTTCTTCGCGAGGGTAAATGGTCCGACACAACGAATATTCTACATGGGGTCACCTGTGCCTTTGTCTTTCTCCTTGGGTTGCTTGTGCTGGTCGGCGGCACATACGCCAGTATTCAAGATATCGTGAGTCGTTCTGTCTTTCCCTGTTCTCCGTGGTTACTGACGTTATCGCAGCTAGATAGCTACGCGGCTGGTACTGTCGGAGTGCCCTTTTCTTGCTAGACATAGATTTTTGTATATTGTAGATAGTATCGAGAGTGTTTCTACCCTGTGAATAAATATGGTAGTAGAATTGGTAATGCCAAGGATTGTATATATATGATCGGTGCACTGGATATTGGAAAACAACGGGCATTTCCGATTTGTGATAGGACAAGCCACCGAAGTACCAACGTAAACATTTATACAGAAGGTGGACAATTAATCAAGTGAGTGATTCTGAAGTATTGCTCTTTGCTCGCATCAGCTGAACGGGACAGATGCTCAGTGCCAGACCAGTCCCCAGTAGTCGCTGGCTCCATCGTAGGCGGAGTCGAAAGGCTGGCATCGGGGATGTTCGTGATCCTCCACTGTGCCTTGAGGCCAGATTGGAATGGCACAGAATGCGTCATCCGGACAATCCTGGCATTCTTTCCAAACAGACCAGCCAAGATAGTCCATCAACTCGAGGAGCCGAAGAATGGCGGCATCAAAGCTGTCCTCGTACAAAACACTAGCTAGGTCAGAGCAAATACGCTCATTGATGCTGTAGACAGCACGATAGGCAATAGACGACTTAGGTACGCCCGGGAGGAATCGAGTAGCGCATCGTTCAACCTCATCGGCCAAATTTGACCTATCTAGATCCCGATATGATGCCCAGATGCGTGATATCTCTGCTGACAACGTCTCGATGGTTGTGAAACGAGAGACGAGATCTCGTAGGCGTCGCCCGTACTGCTTTACCGTCATATCGGCAATAGCCTGCCAATTCGTATGCCCATTTTTGTGATGCATGGCCATCTCTGTCAGACGCTGTCTGATTCGTTGAAGACAAGACAGCGGCAGGTGATTGAGTCGAGGCATGGTGCTACCAGCGAAGAGATCAAGGTCACTGTCGTATGCAGTGACAAAGTGGTCGTAGTTCACAACAGCCCGATCGCCTCCAATGCCATCATATCTCGAAGTGACGACTCGCATTAACTCCCCAGGCTTTCCACTCTTTGGCTTCTTTCTACTCTGTTGATGTGCCATCTTGGCTTTATTTACCTCCAACATGGCAAGGTTATCTTCAGGCGCACAGAGTATGATTTCGAACCCAGCAGCCATGCGAATAACACCATCAATTCGGCCGTTCCACTCCTCAGACGCGATGCGACAGACTGCCTCGGCACGTTGCGATTCCAGGCCGACTCCGCCGGGAGGAAGAGTGTCGTTGAAGAGAATACGATCCTGTGAATCCAGAGTTCCGATGCGAGACTTTCCGCCTGAAAGTCCATCGATGTAAACAAGTCGTATGTCTCTTGTAGTTTCGTACGTATGAAGCCAGCCAGCATTTTCTGTAGATTGGGATAGGGGCTGCTGCGCATCGTTGACGTTAACAGGGACTCGAGGCGGACGGGCAAACACAAGCGCATGCTCAGGGTCAAACGCCATCCAGCCAATATGGCGGAGAGTGTCTCGATGAGAGCTTCCATGATACAGCCTTGTTCCAGCTGGGACAGAGGCGAGGAAGAACGACATGCCATTATGGTTGAGGGAGGAACCCCATTGGCGCATGGAGGAGTGGATGGCGTTGAAGATATGGTTGGCATTGGGGATGGAAGCAGCAGATATGGCCGAAAGGCCGAGAAGAAGAAAAGGAAGATGCATTGTTGATGATGAAGATGAAGATAAAGTGAGATTCTCTTTATAAGTAGATGTAATATATCTTCCATACAGTATTTCAAATACAGCTCGGAGATAAGAATGGGGGAAATATACGCTCCCGAACCACTCGGAAGGCACCGTCAGCCTATGCTTCGTATTGCAGTTACACGTCGCTGACCTGTCGGGTGAGAACCTGCGATGGCTGTTCGCTTTCCTTCTTTCCCACCATCTCGGTCACTTCGGTGTTGTTCGCCTTCTTGCTCTTCCATGGCAGTTTGGAGGTAAGGTTCTGGTATCTCATCTTGAGAGGAGTGAGGACAGGAACATAGCCATGCTGCTCCTCGTATCTCATCGCAAAGTACGACAGAATGATCACAATCCAGTACAGATTGTACGAGATGACAGTCCCATACGTCGCCGAGTTGGTCCATCCAAACAGAGCGTTGAAGATACCCCATCCACCACCGCCACCCAGTTCGGGATTGCAGCAGTTGACATGCCACACACTCTGTCGGATATCGTATGAACCAGGACCAGAGCCGGTCTCAGAAGCATCGCCTCCGATGACATTGTTCCAGGTGTTGTTCTCAAAGTACCACACAGCACGAGTCATCAAACCGGCAGAAACGAGATAGAGGAAGCAAGTTGAGATGACCAAGAAGTACTGCAGCTTGGCCGTGTTTCCACCACTAGATCTTATTAGCAATCGTCAGTAAGATTAAATATATACATACCGGTACATGATGTATCCCACCAAACATCCAGCCAGAAGTCCACAAACGACGGCCAGCGGAAACGAAGTGGCCGGCAGACCCAGTCCAACACCACCAACATAGACAATCGCTTCAAGACCTTCGCGGAGAACAGTGATGAACGGAAGAAGAAACATGGTATACTTCTCTGACCATTTCTTGAAACGTCCCCAGAAACCAAGGTTCGAATTATCCTGTGGTTCAAGTGCCTTGGCCAGCTTGACGCGCCATTTGGACTGCATCTTGGACACTCGAAGCAATCCAGCGCCCATGACAGAGATGATGATGCAGGCCATGATACCAAATATGCCCTCCCAGATGTCCTCAGTGCTGCTGAAGGCATCTGTACCCAGGCTGTAGAAGGCACCGATCATGCCTGCTCCGATGCAGAGACATATCACTAGTCCTAAAACGACTCCTAACCAGACCTGAGGAATTAGTAGTATCCATGCATGATTGAACAAGACATACCTGCTTGAGTAGGCGTTTGTATATCGTCTTGTCATCTTCATTCCCAAGGGTCTGCTTGAGGAAGGATAACAGCACCGAGACGATGATGGTACTCTCGAGACATTCTCGGAAGCAGATGAAGAAGACTGGATCTTAGTACACATCCTGACAGTAGAGAAGAGACATACCAGTAACTGCAAACACGGAGTTGGCCATTTTGCTTTTGACTTGTTTGGTTGACCATAGAACATGGCAATATGGCGATTTATAACTGTTTGCTACAATGTAGATTCCGCTCAGACAACTCGGTTACAACTTTGTATATCCACATCACCCCCATCCGGTATATTAATCGTACGTAACAAGGATAATGCCAAGAGTGAGACTATATTAGCACAGTGAGCTTGTGGTGAGACCTTGTAGTAGTTCGAATTGGTGGATCTGATAAAATGAGCTCCACCTAAAGCACAATTAATTACCGTACCAGCAATACATCACCATTTTTTACTGTTAAATGCCGCCATTCTGCTTTCTCTTCATCATCAACCAACATTCACAAGATGAAGTTCCTCTCTGCCTTTGCGCTCGCCTCTCTGAATGGCCTCTCCTATGCAGCCACGGTGAATCTCGATTGGGATGTCACCTGGGTGGACGCGAACCCAGATGGGCTGGCAGAGCGTCCCGTGGTGGGAATCAATGGCGAATGGCCACTGCCTGTGCTCAACTTTACGAAGGGAGATCAAGTTGTTGTGAATCTGACCAACAAGTTGGGCAATGAAACGACAAGTCTTCACTTTCATGGCTTCTACCAGCAGGGCTCGACCGAGATGGATGGCCCTCCGGGGGTAACTCAGTGCGATATTATGCCCGGTGACACAATGATCTATAACATGACAGTAAGTTATCCATCGTAGCGATATGCATAGGCTAACTATCCAGCTCAATCAAACTGGCACATACTGGTATCATTCTCACTCCAAAGGCCAATACGGAGACGGATTCCGCCAGGCGTTGGTCATCACCGACCCGGACAATCCATACCTGGGCCAGTATGACGAGGAGCGAGTCATCACTCTGTCTGATTGGTATCACGACCAGATCCCAACGTTGATGAAGCAGTTTATCAATGTGGCCAATCCAACTGGTGCAGAGCCAGTACCAAAGTCGGCGCTGATGAATGACACGCAAAACTTTACGCTGCCGGTGGAAGCAGGCAAGACGTATTTGCTGAGATTTGCAAATATTGGTGCCTTTGCTAGTCAGTATTTCTGGATTGAAGATCATGAGATGAGCATTGTCGAAGTGGACGGCATTTGGACGGAACCAGCCAATACATCGATGATCTATATTACTGCTGCTCAGCGTGTCAGTGTTCTTGTCACGATGAAGAACGACACTTCGGCCAACTATGCGATGATGGGCAGTATGGATACGGTAAGTTTCTATCTGATCTATCAAGTTCTCCCTAACATAATAGGATCTGTTTGACACAATTCCCTCAACGCTGAACTGGAATGTCACTGGCTGGCTGGAGTATGATTCTTCGGCAGACAAACCAGCAGCCAAAGAGGTGGCCAGCTTCGATCCATATGATGATATGCAACTTGTGCCGGTCGATGGGATGGCCATTTACGGTGATGCCGACTATACCATCACTCTCGATTTGACGATGGATGACCTTGGTGACGGAGCTAATTAGTATGTATTACCCATGCCTTTCGAATCATGACTAACTTTACAGTGCCTTCTTCAATGATATATCCTACGTCGCACCAAAGGTCCCTACGCTCTACTCGGTGCTGACGACAGGATCTGCAGCAACAGATGCGTCCATCTACGGCACAGACACCAATGCATTCGTTCTGGAGAAAGACCAAATTGTCGACATTGTCCTTAACAACGACGATACAGGAACCCACCCCTTCCACCTCCACGGCCATGCATTCCAGGCCATCTGGCGCAGTGATGAAGACGGCGGTCATTACAACGCCAGTACCGCCACGTTCTCCTCGACTCCAATGAGACGCGATACGCTGTATGCACCGGCCAGCGGTAACTTTGTCATCCGGTTCAAAGCCGACAACCCAGGTACGACTTCTACCCTCGGTACATTTTTCCACTAACAAAACAGGCGTCTGGTTCTTCCACTGTCACATCGAATGGCATCTATCAGCGGGTTTGGCCGCCGTCATGATAGAAGACCCAATCTATCTGCAGAACCATCTCACCATCCCCCAAAATCACTACGAGGTCTGCAACGCCAGTGGCACTTTAACTGCCGGTAACGCAGCGGGCAACACCGAGGACGTCTACGACCTGACCGGTGAGAACAAGGCCGTGGCGCCCCTTCCGGCCGGATTCACGCCGCGTGGTATCGTTGCGCTGGTCTTTAGTTGTGTTGCTGCGTTTCTGGGTCTGGCTACGATTTCCTGGTAAGAATTTTCCAACCAATTACGTGAGTCATTGCTAACGATGCTAGGTACGGTCTGGCCCCGATCAAGGGCAATGCGAGTCCGATCCAACTGTAGCAAGGTAGAGGAGCGATTAGTGTGGTGGATATGGTTAGAATAAACGAATACAGAGTGTAACAATCAATACAAGTGCACAATCTAATCAATCGCGGCGACTTTTTCCCGAAATGGACTCGGTGTTAAACCTGCCCCACTTACTGATCGATAAGACGGTGGGGGTAGATCAAGCTTCATACTAGAGTAGTCACATCAAAGCATGTAGAATGTTCATAAGATCGTTGAGCCCTACTATCTATCCACTTGTCCTTCGCTAAAAAGCTCCGGTCGAATGAGGATCGCGTTCATTGCCAAGACACTGTTGTATAGATGTATCTCCCCCACTCATGCAATCGGATACATAGAATAGACGACTGCCCACGCAATGCTACATTAACTAGATGGCACAGAGGGGCGTACGGTAAAACCTAGGAAAGCCCAGACAGATTGATAATGGACAATCGTCGGCCTGATCCGACAACCATCCCACGATTATCAATCTGACTTTGTATATCGACGCCTCCAGCGGAAATAGCGGTAGTAATAGAAGTCGTGGATAGTATACCAACATTTCATCGCACCCACAGAACCATCGCGAGTAGCTGTCTAGTCCCTCACTAGCTGTATCCATCGACAATATCAAGCCCTCGGAGAAATATAAGTGAGACATAACCAGACAACATGGCGCTTCGGATATTTGATTCCTGAATGAGTGGGACGATGTCTATATCCTACTGTCAATGCCAAGGACACCTCGGGATATCAAGCCTTCGGATCTACCGACAATCGTCTTCTGAAGCTTTGATCCCAAACTGCCAGATAGTGGTGGAGATTCATTTATTTTTCTTGGCATTGGTGTTTTCGGATCCTTTGCGTTAATGGATATGCCCTCAACCAAGTATTCGACGCGCTCGCTCTACAGTAGTGGACCTGACAGAATTTTCAAGTGCGAGATGTGCGTATACTTGGTGGGCTTGGTAGGCTGAGACAATATCAGAGTAGACCATTTGTTCCAAATGAGCGAACTCCACAGAGTAGATGAATTTACAATGTCCGAGGTTGGCTATGTAGCCATCCCCCCGGAATAATCCCATATAAGAAAATATAAAACGGCATATGGCGTGCCGATCTCACCCTCACCAGGTATACCGTCAAGATGCACTGCAAAGCTACCCTCTTCGCCCTTTGGGCTGTCCCTGCGCTGGCTGGACAAGGTGGCTCTCACATGAGTGCCCCGAATCTGGCTGATTATTGTTTCTATTCGATCTATTCCTCTCTGGCATCCTATACCTTTGTCGGCAGTACCACCATCTCTTCTGGTTCTTCTGGATCCTCCAACTCTTCATCTGCCTCTCATGGCTCGTCGGTGGCATCGACTTCCCACGGATCCAGAATGGTCAGGCGAGGCCATAAAGGCGGCTCTACTACGACCGGATTCTGTCAGGCACCAGTGGAGGTGATGTCCCTCTATGCCAGTGCAAAGGTGTACTGCAACAAGAAAGCACTGGCTGGTCTGCAGTCATACTGGGAATATCTTTGCGAGCAGGACAGTCTGACCTTGATGGATCTGAGCAGCGCAGAGGCAAATGCAACAGATGCTTATATTGCTTCGTTGCCAATTATTGATCCTTCTGTCAACGATACTACATCGACTGGAACGATTGAATCGCCTGTTCTTCTTAGTCGATCGTATTTCAACAGAGCTTACAAGTCTTATGTGAGTATATCTCCCAGTCCTTACGGGCGGTAACTGACCAACAGGTCACTCACGACTATGCCCTGGCCAAGGACAAGCGATTTGGATGGGGTATTATGGGCTACTGGGGAGGAGTACTTGTGATCGGGATCATCATTCGAGGATGGAACTTCCTCGCTGACAAGAGAAGAGGATCTCGCTGGGATGCAGAGAAGGGCACGGCACAGTCCAAGCCATGGGGCCCACTGGGGACTGTCCTTCACTTTCTGCGGACGTACATCATCATCCCAGCAAGTTTCGCTCCGCGACTGACGTATCATCAACAACTCTTGTTCTGGCACACCATTCCCAAGAGAATCGATTCATTGATCGTGTTTGGCTTCTGGGCAGTGACCATCATTCTCAGCTGTGTGGATTATCAGAGTTTCTCTGGAAATATTAGGTATGTCTCTCCCGTTACCATATGGGTAAATCTAACATGATCAGCACACCCAATCTGGCCCAGCAGAACTGGCAATATTCCTCTGATCGCACTGGCATTCTATCCTATGCCTGTCTGCCCTTCTTATGGCTATTCAGTGGGCGCAACAACATCTTCCTTTGGGCGACTGACTTTAGTGTTCAGTCGTTTAACATCTTCCACCGTCATGTTGCGTGGGCGTGTACGCTTTTGGCAATCGTGCATTCCATTGCATATACCGTGGTGTTTATTCTATATGGTAAGTAGATCCTCGAATTATGTAGGGCTATGCTCACTCTATAGATGGTCGATTCCAAAGTGCCTGGAAGCAGAACTACTGGTATATGGGTGTTGTGGTAAGTACCATCCTCTGTCGAACCCACCTATACTAACGACCAGGCCACAATTGCGATGTCTTTCATGCTCGTCCAATCGACCACGATGCTCCGGCGCAAGTTCTACGAATCGTTCCTGATCATCCACATTATATTGGCCATTCTGACTATCTACGCCCTCTTCCGGTAAGCCATCATCCTTAATGTCTGGCCTATTCTGACTCTTCCAGCCACACCAGCTTCGATGGAACCACCTATAACGGCTATCTCTGGCCGATGGTGGCAATCTGGGGCTTCGACCGAACAGTCCGGCTAGTTCGAATTGCGTATTGCAACATCCACATCCGTCTCGGGCAGCAATTTATCGCCACCACCCGCTCGACCGTTGGATATAATGAAGAAAGTGACCTGGTCAAGATCGAGATCCGTCCGGCTTCCAAGACACTCACTCCGGGTGCTGGGCAGCATTACTATCTCTATCAACCATTTACGCTGAAGGGATGGGAGAACCATCCGTTTACACTCGGTGCTTATACTTCTGTGAAGACAGAAGTTGTCTCTGAGCATAACTTGATCTTCTACATCCGCCCGTATGACGGTTGGACACGACGTCTTCGCGATGAGTGTCGCAAGCGGAATGGCCCCATCCATCCCACTCTTCTTCTTGAAGGGCCATATGGACACCAAGCGCCACTTCATACGTTTGACACCGTCTTGATGATCGTTGGCGGGACCGGTATCGCCTCAGCTGTTCCATATATCCAGGATCACATCTCACGTGTCACGAAGGGAACGACCAAGACAACAAATGTCCATCTGGTCTGGTCTTCGCGGCAGAAAGAAATGTTCACCGATGTCTTTTCTGATGATATCTCCGGTGTACTTCAACACGGGCATGTCAACACCACCTTCTTCTGCACCACCGCCAACGTTCAGACACCTACAAGCGATTCCGACTCATCCAATACTCAAGAGACTCCGGAGAGTTCCGAAAAGATCGGACCGATGGTGAAGTCCGTCCCAGACCCCGACGTCCAAATCTGCTCTGGACGACTGAACGTACGAGCGACGGTTTCCGCGGCCGTGGAAGAAGCACAGGCGAGTTCGGCCAGTCTAGCTGTGATGACATGTGGGCCAGCGAGGATGGCGGATGAATGCCGGGCAGCTGTATGCGATGCCAGGAGTGGTGGATTTAGAAATATTCAATATTTTGAAGAGGCCTTTGGGTGGTGATGATGGTGATAGAATATATATAGTGGGGCTGCGCAAAAGAATACCAAAAGGGGTTAGTGTCATAGCAGCAGTGAAAATACATTATTTACTTGAATACTTAATTTAAAGATTTATCAATATTTATTAGTTCGCGTATCGTTAGACAGCTGGTAATGCATCTTATATCTGCTAGTCATGTCGGCATTATCATCCGAATACGGCTAAAGTAAACCTCGGAGATAAGAAAGCGTGCGTCATCAAGGCTTTTATCTCAATTCTCAATTCTCCATCCTCCGATTGAACAGATCACTCAACAAATCCTTTCATTCATGATGGAAAACACTCTCCCAACAGTCCATATTGTGTGTCTCATTCCCATTGCGCTGGTCGTCGGGATATCCGCCATCATCATATTCCGAGTCCGACATTTCCCCATAAGTCTGAGTGAACGATACGAATATCAGGATGGCATTGCCCCTGAGGAGTCGACTGCATCATTCTTGCCTCTCATCAAGATCCCTCCGCACAATGGATTCGACTTGGACTGTGAACGGCTCTTTTGCTCAGCTACCCGACCTTAATACTCAGGGAGGGGCATATATTTCGGTTCAGACAGGCTGCAGTGATGGGTTTTGCGTGTTTGGCAGTCACTGGGACACTGCTTGCCGAGGGAATACAATCGCTATACACTCGATCGTTCCAGCATGGTCTTTTTCTTGCTTCTTTGTGGGGAGTTTCTGGCCTCAAGTTGTGCCTGTATAGCAGGTCTCTCAATTCCACGAAGACCGGATGTAACCCACAGTGGAGCCATTGTCGATCGTAAATCATCGACCTGTGGACTGCAGCGAGTTTTCTTTGGCTGGACTGAAAATTTACTCCATAATCAGAGATTGAATGTTCATTGTAATTCCTCAGTTGGAGTATCTAAATCGATCTTCATATCTCCACATGTCTTTCCGTGATGCTAAAAAGCCTTCTCCTAGCTGCAATCTATGGCTAATCCTAATAGGTTTATGGTAGGGTGCTTTTCACGTTGGACAGGAGGTTCTGGATGAAATCAATGTCTTTAATTGTATTATGCTGATATCGCCTCAGTCTCGGGAAATGTATGTAGCCTTTAGAAGGCGCAAATGATATGACAAGACTTTCCAGCCAGGACACCGACAAATAATGCACATAGGGCATTTGTCTCTCTTGTAGCTATTTATCAGTAAGTGAAAGGTATATAGAGGGAATTGAGCGTGCCATATTAAACTATACTAATAAAAAACTAGCCTAATTATTATTAATTATAGTTATTAGTTGAACAATTTCCAAGTAGAGCATAATCGACAGAGTTTTCAAAGAAAACACCAAAAGTAGACACAGAAGCACAACCACAGCCAGCCAACTCAGGATTTTCTCATTCTATCTTGACTTGAGTCACCCCAATCAGCCCTACTGTGCCTTGCAAGCCCCATTAATCTGTGTCTGGGGAGGGCCGACGTCAACAGTCTGCGCACCATTGACAGTAGTAACACTGTGGTCAATTCCATTGAAAGTGCAAATAACACCACCAGTGGTAGACACAATATGCGAAATGCTAAGGGGGTCGCCTAAATCATTTCAGTCAGCCAAATGAGCCGCAATACCCGAGCGCGGCATACATACTGATCTTATTCTGCGAGCCATCAACCGGGAACCACTGGGTGAACTGGGCATTTGCCGCGCCCTCGAACGTAATCTGAACGACGCGTGGGGGTGTAGAGCTTGGAGGAGGTGTAGATGGAGGAGGTGTATTTTGAAGCAAGCAGGATCCTTGGATCTGCGTCTGTGGAGGTCCGACGTCAACAGTCGCCGCGCCGTTTACGGTTGTGACGCTGTGGTCGATTCCGTTAAAAGTACAGGTAACTCCGGCAGTGCTGGATGCGATGTGAGAGATACTCAGGCGGTCAGCTGGGGTTTGTTAGTGGGCATGTATCAATATATAGTGCACTGCATGGAGGGACTTGCTGATAGCAACTTTGGATCCATCGGCAGGGAAGTCCTGGGTGAACTGGGCATCGGCTGCACCGATGAAGGTGATATGGGCGACCTGCGACCGAGGGATGGGTTCGCTGGAGGCGAGATTGGCAAGAAGAAGAGTGAATGCTGAGATGCAGTACATTGTGGAAAACATTGTTTAGTTTATGGGAGAGTATGGAGGGGACGATTGATGTCTGTTGATGGTAATTGATGCTGATGAAAGAATATCTCTACGGAGGGCACAGAAGGGGCTTATATAGATTTCAGGGGTCCTATATCATGCTCGTGATAGAGGCTAGGCTGGTTGACAGTCGTAAAAAGTATTGAATCAAGGAAAGTCACTCGATCCGGCGTTTTCCAATAGAACATTCAGGATATATCGAGTAGGGTCATAACAGCATCATAGACTCCGGTCAGCACCATAGCACCAATCATCACTTTGTTCTTGTTTGGATGTGTTAGGCAAGAGTAGGCAGTCCCATGACTAGGATTCAAGCTCGTGTCTCACCCTGATCTAAGCTCTACCGTAGACTCTTTAAATGTACTAGGTAACGCTTAGGACATAAGGTTTAGGATAGACTAAATATATCCATTGCCACTGAGGCTATTGGACGGAATCCGGTTTCGATTTGTAGCGATCCATGGATAGTCTGCGACATCACAAATAGGCGAATGGTGTACAAACCTTAAGCGCGTTTTGAATCCTCTCAAATTCAATACTTTTTTCGGCAAAGAAAACCTCATAAGCACGAGCACTTGCTCTTTACATCTTATACGCCTTATATCCCATTAGGGTACTCGTGCGTGACTTTCAGAATAATACATGAAAAGTCAAAATGAGCATTCAGCCACTTCCAGAGATTGTAGCATAGAATTACGTACACCGAGAGCCGGTCATTACTGCATATATTATTATTATATTATATTTTATCTTTTTTGCTTATTTTTTCCTATTCATGCGCCCAAAGTCCTTTTTATTTACAGTCCTGTTCTTGCCAGCCTAGGGCCTCTCTCTTGTATGAGGAATATTTACTAGTCCAAAAGATACAAGTCATACGGGGCCGGAGCAATTTGTGCTTGGTTCTCCTACCTTATTTCTATATGAACTTTATAATGCTACGTATTCACATGGTCGTCTTTGATTAATTTCCTCCAAAGGTCAATCTACACCATATCCTTGAGCCGATCCCATCGCCCAGTGATACCGCTGATTCGCCCGAAATAATGTCGCTTAATGCCGATCATGATGATGATAAGTGTCAGCGGAATAGTGACAACCCAGTAAAGTCAAAACTTAGTCGACACGGTCCAGCTCTGCTGAAACCCTGATACGTTCATGTTGAAAGAGTTCATACCAAACACACTAAAGGATAGTGTTAGCTATCGCCAATAAGTATAGCAGGGGTCATAGATCTTACCGAGACAAAGCTCCCCGGTAAATATATCATACTAACAAATGCTAATGTTTCCATGGCAGATTTTTCCTTTTCTGCTTTTTATTGACCGAGTCTTGAACCCTGGGAAGATCAGCACGCCTGTAATCCATCTGCCAGTGTCTCTTACAAGCTCAATATAATGAGATACTCGGTCATACAGCGGTTACAGTCTGGTTTTGCTAAACTGCACACCTTCAAGGGCATAGAAAAGCCTGTGTTGGCTTTGAATCCATATCGGGTCTGCTTTCTTCGTGCAATATTCCATCCTCCACGTTGTCTGGTCGCGTATAATGGAATGTATGATTTGAATAGCAATTTGCGTGTTTTCATTGCTAATAGATATGTGTCGGAAGTAGACTTTTAAAGTTCTGATTAATATCTTATTGTTTCGGTTCTCCGCAACTACCTAGCTGTACAGATAACATTGAAAGGGCCGAGACACCTTTTCAGTCGACTGTTGACTTCAATATCCAAAGCGACTCTTCAATAGCACAGTTCCACCCCCTGCAGGCTATATTCTCAATCTGTTCTCAACTAACTTTGTCCTGGTTCAATTCACAACTGAGATATTATTTTAACTCTGCATTTAGAGCTGAATCTGAACTGGTGAAAATCATGGTCACAGTATCAATAGTCAATCCGGGGTTGAGTTTATCGTCGCTGCACCATCTCACATTGTCATTTACTATGCCGGGAAGTTCATCAAAACGGTACGCCGACTGAAGAAACCAGAAAGCAGCCTTCGAGGCCCAATATTTGATCTCATTCGCACAACAGTCGGCGTTGTTGGACGAACAAGCGCAGGCAAGTCATCACTTTCATTGGCCTTGTTTCAGTTCCTCGAAGCCCAGGAAGGCAGTGTTCTCATTGATGGTCTTGATATCGGGACAATCACACTCCGTCAACTACAGCGTCGTCTTGCCATTGCCCCTCAAGATCCTATTCTCTTCTCTGGGACTATTCGATCCATTCCGGTCGGGCATTAATTGAGGGGAGTGTAGATAGGGATCATTAATGATCACTAAGGTATAGATAGATATTCGAGTTGAAAACATGGACTGAGATACGCAATGGAATAAAGCGGCCATGTAAGAGTTTAGTAGGATATATCGACTCCTTAAATTCCAAACAATCATGCGGACAATAGTATTGAAAAAGCAAAACATGAATATAAACATAAGGATGAGATGAGTGACACAAGGCGTAATGAAAAAAAACACAAAACATATAAAAACATAACACCACTAACACTGAGCATATCGAACAAGATTACCCCATGGATATGAATTTGACCAACCATTCTGCTACTACCTGGTCCTATTCGGCCCGTAAGGTTTGCCATGAATATCCATTCGTTCTTTCCACTTGCCAATCTTCTCGTCTAGAAAAGCATCATCCTCTCTGAAATTTCGAGCTGACCGCCTTTGTTTGTTTGCTTCCTCAACATGTCTCCCAATTGCTGCATGATCCTCGTACGCCTGTGGGTACTTGTGGTCAAAGCCCGTGCGAGATTGCGCAGCTCTATCAAGGAAAGTTAATATTCACTGTTGATAATTGTTAAGGAATATTTTATCTTACATGTTGGCCATATTACGGCCCTGCACAGCAAGATCCTGCCCCTCATAAAGGCTGGCACGATGGTGTTCGTGGGGGGAAACCTTTCGACCTATTCTCATGTCCTTGTAGCTCGCTACCTTGTCTGCTATAGCACCATGCCCCTCTGACGGGCCTTTATAGGCCGCGTAGTCGGCCTTTGTGCGGGCAGTGTAGGGATTCGGACGTTTCTTGTAAGGATCGCTGTATTGTGTTTCCAATATAGGGTCATGATAGGAATGGGCTAGGCCGTTGGTGGCCGGTCGAGGAGCCAGGCCTTTAGTGTTCACTGGGTTTAACGGATCCCAAACTTCCGTTGAGCCCCGGGAATTCCAATACTGTTCCTGAGCCGGAGATTTCTCAAAGTGCCGACCATGATATCGCTCTGGTGAAGGGGAAGCGTAGACACGCCCGGGCCGCCGGGCGTCATACTTGGGCGAAACGGTTCGGCGAGAGGACATTGTTTCGGCAAGACAAAAAACTTGGTAGAAATAGAATATAGATAGAATGATTTTTGGACACAACGGGATAGATGGTTCAGACAATTCTGATATGGATGGAAACAGAAGGACAGTGAAGGGTAATATATAGCCTTCAGATGGACTGTCACCGATCACAGTCTGCTATTATCTACAAATATGAAACGACTACTTGGTACTGTATGAGGCTCTGAGCGAGACGGCCTTTTGGCGTCAAGGAAGATGTGATCTACATGCATCTGGGCGGCAATCTCTAATCAGATACCCTTGACTGTTGCATCGCCTCGACAGAGACAGTCTACGAGTCGATTTTGACACACTGCTTCCCCAACACGAGAATATCAAGATGAAACTTATTGGCGCCGGGCTATTGTTAGAATACTCCAAATATGGAGAGGCTGAGAGTATCGTAGCAAACCAAAAGAAGCCGCTAGAATGCAAAGCCAGCGGCAAAAGATACTCTAGCGTTAGGTCGGTTGGAAGGCCTGTGTGCTACTGGGATACACACGTCTCAAAATATACCCCAGCACTGTAATATCCAGCCCCCTAATCGTCCCGACATGCCTTGTATGCTCCGAGCCTATCATTCTTGTCTGGTGGAGTAGCAGTTGAGGCTGCCCGGTCGCTGTGGGGCCATCCGGCGCTGGTTATTATGGAGTAGTACTTCGATAACCTTAATGCCTCACCACCAGGCACTCCACGATATCTGGACTATGTACACGGGATTATAAATCAACCGTATCATTAGAATTGAATCACTATGCGGCGTCAACTACTGCCTACGAAGGGCTCGTGGCCGTGGCCATGTTTTAAGCGCCTATCATGCCAATTCCCTAAATTGATTGGTGTGGCCGACGCTATTCCCCACCGTAAGCGCGTCCCCGCCGATCGCCTAAAAATAATGTCGCTTGGAACGGCGAATATCGCCCACGGCGCCATCATTCGATGACAGTATCCTGTTTGCACACGCGCGGCTTTTCATCACACAGCTAGCGTTGACAAGTTTCAAAGTTAAATTGGTGAAACCCTTTGTCAGGGTGACGAGGCGCTTCAAGCCTCCGAAAGATTAACCCCTCTTCTTCATTGACCCCTCACTTCCCCCTTCAACACAGCAGTCGTCTGTAGCTTCATGAAAATGGTAAGTGTGAAGCATCAGCTTGAAGAGTAGCAAGCTAAAACTTCATCAGGCTGAACCAACTCTGGACGGTCTTCCCACTGAGCTCAAGATCCTCATTTTATTCCAAGTCGGGAATGTGGATACCCTCAAATCGCTGGTGTTTGCATCACCCGGATACCACCAGGCATATCTTGTCGTGAGACACGAACTACTAGCATGTCTTGTAAAAAGACAATACGGTGGATTTCTAGACATGGCGGAGGCCCTCACTGCGATACGATCTAAAGACATTTATTTTGGCCTCCAGACGGGCAACGCAATTTGCTTGCTGGACAGCTGGCGTCGCCGAGATGAGATTCGCAGTCACGCCTCACCAAATCTAATAGACGAGCCTAATGGCCTCGAGGAGGTTATACAGCTGCTCCATTTCCATAGAATGTTGTGCTTTTTCCTCGAGGACTATTCAATCAACGCACCGAGGCCCCCATGGATTGAGCCTGCTCAATGGGAAAGCGAATTCTTGCCTTTAGATCTGTCGCCGTGTGAGAAAGGACGTTTCCTCAGGGCAATGTGCCGATTCCAACTTGTGAAGAATCTCTTCGGAGACCCAGTGTATTGTGAAGACTATGGGACCTGTGATTCATGCGCGAAGAGGAATACCTGGCAATTAGGGGAAATAGGTGAATTGAAGGGGACGGAAAGCATTCGCCCTACTTGGCAGATTCGCGAACAGGCATATCGGTTATTCTACGGCACAATACCCCCATGGGAGCACGAAGAGATGGGAGGCGTGTTCAACTATCTTATGGCCAAGATCGAGACTATTTACAAGGAGATTGCACATGATCTACGACAGCTCAGCAAGAGTACACCATGCGAGTTCTTTTGGGATATTCTTCCGAAAGAACAACGGCCGCCTTCAGTTTCTGAAATCGAGAGTGAACGGGACCTTGTTCACTTCCCCCAGCATTTCGATGGATTAGCGGGCCTAGGACCCGAATTTGTCTATCGCACTCTACGCAAGGATCGGCTATCCCGGCGGAATATCCTCTGCCTTAATATCAGGGGGTTCTGGGCCGGGCCATTCGTTGGACTCAAGATCGGGATCTCTTGGGACGAGAAGTTCCCGTTCACCGACCCAGCGGATCAGCATGAGATGCCAAATTTCGAACAGTTCTGGTCTACTCTATCGCCTCTTGAACGGCCAACTTTGGGTTGGAAGAAGGCATGGCTGTTGCCTCATAATGAGCATGACATGCTGGAGGATTGCATGAATTTCGAACGAAAGACTGAGACGGACTGGGAATGGGGTTACGCTCTTTGGGATGACAGAAGATTGATGGAGTGGAAAGCGCCATTGCTAGAGAACGGCCAGGTTTGAGGCCTTTTCTTCTTACTGAATATGCACAACCTGTACGACAGTAGCAAAGATGAGCTTTTTAATGAATTACAAATGGTATAGACATGAGGCATTAAGACATTATACACAAGAACCATCATCAGGCAATCTGGCCAATAGACATACTCCGTCCAGCAAAGTGCAGTCCCTGTTGACATAAGAAGACCTGTTCTGGTGTTGAAAACCGACAGCTGACAACGACCCGCATGGGCCCACGAAGAATATATCCATTCGCCAGTTTTGTGTCTGGTGATGGTTGAAATTTTCTGTATGCAGTTATTGTTCCAAGCGTTGAAGCAACAGTAGAGCAGATCATCTCGATCAGATTGCTGATTCGGGTACCCAGGTCCAGGAATGGCTCGATGGGGTCATCGTCGATGTATAGTTGACCGAGTGATATTCCAAGTGTATTCAGATGCTGGCAAAATTCCGATATCTGCATGTAGAATATTATCTGTGCACTGTATATCGTAGCTAAATAGCATGTCGTCCACTGATCACGTTGAGCTGGGATTGCCTCGGTCTCTGTCGGTTGATATTGACGCTTCCAATGGCCTGGGATAGCTTCATGCCAGGTATCGATTTCGTCGATGAAATAGTGTGCTTGTTCTAGTAATCTAGAGACCGAATCTTTGCCATTTTGGTTGATCGGTCCATGGTTTAGAATATTTCTGATCTCGCCCATGGATCGACACAGGTCTGATATCATCCCGGTGACGATACCAGCGCGGTAGATGATGTCTGGCTGGTACATCATGCGGATGGACTGAGGAAGGGCAGCATATCGAAATTCATGATGGGCAATGGCTTGTGTTTGCTACACATATTAGCATGATTTTCTTCTCAATGAGATAAACTTACTACTTGCGTGACTGCCCAGCCAAACAGTTCTCGCCCGTATTTCGTGCTCAACTGCAGTCTATCTCGGACTTGCATAAGGCCGTATGCTCCGGGTATATGAGGATTTAATGAATCGCCATCTTCATTGCTCAGATCCTGAACAGTTAGCAGAGTTCATTCAGCATCATCGCAGACATACAGTAAACATGCTGAGAAACAACGAGGCAGCAAAAACCTCATCTTGCACTGCTGTCTCTGTCGACTTGAGCGCTTCGACAAGATGATGGATAGCAGAACCGTAATGCTTTCTCGCCTGGAGATGCAGCACATCGACTCTGGCCGTATTGTACAGCGCGAGATAAGTCACACTGAGAATAGCATGTCGCAGACACGGATCATCGCCCTTTTCCCGATACAGCTCGGGAAAAAAAGCCAACCGCCCTCGACACGGCGATCGATGGACTTTCAAAACATGTTGATGCACGAAATAACACACCGACTGCCACTCGAGACTCAACGCAGGACCGGATCGCAGACGCGGCGATCGACAGCGCACCACAGGAGGCTGATCCCGCTGCTGCGTAATTAGCGCCGACTGAGGCGGCGATGGATTCTCCGATTTGTACGGTCTGAATTGAAAAGCATCAGGATAGCCGGTGCACTCGACGCCCCGGGAGGTGCAGTGCTGGCAATGCGGTTTGGCGCCGTCGCACTGCGGATGTGTCAACGAAGATCCTCGGAACGGCGGATACAGTCACGCACCTTGACTTTACGCCTACGGCACACAAAACAGCCTGTGCTGCGTTTTCCGGGGAAGACCATCTATAAGTTATAATAAAAAAAAATTAAGAATATATAAGAAATGTATATTAGGAATAGAGGTGTAGAGTGAGTTAATCACAGTCAGATAAGGGGTGCATTTTCACCGCGTGGGGGAAGAAATCGTGCCGAAAGTGGCGACGCAGATCATGTCATGTGATCGTTTCAGCTGTTTGTCAGTTTCAATTCCTCTTGGTAGTTTTATAATGCCTGGTGGCGTAGCAAGCAACTTTCTTAATCTAGTAATAATAAGTAGTACTCGTGTAGTATTTATAAGCATCCATATAGAGCTAACTTATATAATTATAGGCAGAGTGCAGCCACTGCAGTGGTTTAAGCCTTAGAAGAGGGTATATAGATCTAGGATATAGATACACAGAAGCGAGTTGCTAGGCTTAAGGCTGATGGACAGGTACTATCTACTTGAGTATTTATTCAATATATCTCTATACTAGTGTTAGGAGTATTAGCTCTTAGTATTCCTATAGAACTGTAGATCCTAGTAATCACTTCTAGTAACCTAATATAAACCGCTATACATTAATATAATATAAATTGCAAATACATTCAGCTTACTATATATAATAGTATCTATAATATGGCATGTTAACTATATATTTTTTCTCTTTATTCATTATAATTAGTTGAGCTAAAGTTAACTCCACAACTTCGTCCAACAGTCGATCTTCAACCTAATCCACACTTTGGTCGAGACCTCTTTTTCCGGCCACTTCGGTAATGGCTCAAGTCGATCGGGTTGATCTTGCCTATCCGAACCTACTGATGTATCCTACCAATAACCCTACGGTTTGAAGTATAATACGAACAATTCGGCAAACGAAAGGCAAAGATGCCAGCTACTTGGACTATCCTGACCTTTATAGAAATGTAATCATGAGCTCATATTCGATCTATATTCTTTTTATGTAAATACATCTACTGTCTATTCCATGCAGCGGAATGTATTAAAATTTGTGTGAGCTTGGCAAAGCAGTCGGGGTGTCAGTACGCGATGTGCTCTGAATCAAATGGTGGAAGGGGGCAGCCTTCTCAACACGAGGGGTGAAAGGTTCAAAGTCCCACAGGTAGCCAAGGGTACGTAGCAACGAACTGGCAGAGTAAGAGACCTGCGATCCATCCGAGTTGGTTCCCTTCTGCTCGACGAAAGCCTTTTTAACCCAGGGGGAAATGAGGAAAGTAGGCATACGGCCACCAAGACGGTCAAAGTCGAAGGTATAGGGCTCTCCATTGGGAGTCGTAGCAGTGTAGCTCAGGTTGTCGGGACGGACGGCCAGAGGGGGAACCATGTGGTCGTGGAAGCCACCGGTTTCGTCGAATGTCTATAGAGAAGATTAGTGGCAGCGCCCCAGATAGAATAGAATCATTACTGACAAGAACAAAGAGGGTCTCATTCCACTGTGGACTGGAGCGGAGAGCATCGTAAACATCTCTAATCAAGGTCTCTCCATCGGAGATCAAGCCAGTAGGGTGCATAGAGTTGGTGCCGACACCGCAGCACGAGGGGTCGATGTAGCTGAATTGAGGAAGAGAGCCACTGGAGGCGTCAGTGTAGAACTTGGCCAGAGGCTGGGCCTTGTCCTGATTGCCGCTGGTCCAGGTCCAGTCGTAAAAGTAGGCATCAACCATGCTGGTGCTAGTGTAGTAGTTGGTCCAGGTCTTGTTAGTCTCGGAAAGCTGCTGGAAGATGGATCGCTGCTTGAGAGCGTGCTGAGTATCTCCGAAACCAGCATCATTTGTACCATGGCCTGCAGAGGTACCTGATGTAAGAGCAGCTCGGTTGGGGTTGGTGGGCTGTATCTATTAGCTTGTGTTTATAATGATTGGCGACGACAGGTAGATAGACTTACCCCCGGGATATCAGAGTGCCAGTGGTTAAAGGTGACATAGTTTTGCACGAGGGTAGTCAGGACAGGGACCTGCTCCTCGGTATAGTAGTTCATCACCTGCTGACCCAGCATGGTCTTGTTGGTCTTGGACCCGTACCGCCGAAGCTGTTCGTGCACAAAGCCCTGCATGGTAGGCTTCAACTTGCCGTCCTGGATCTGCGAGTTGTCCGGAGTGAAGTCGCTGTAGAACTCGATATTATTGCCGTAAATCGCATGATCAGGGTCATTGAGAATAGAATCGTAGTCACTGCTGGCGGAGCAGACTGTGCCTTCAGATGGATTTGTAAGGTTCACAGGGTTGCAGTAGGGCCCGTTGTTGATGGGATTTTCGAGGCCCTCGATGGTCTGTCCTCCGAGGAGGTTATCTAGTGATCGGTTCTCCATGCACAGAACGACGACATTCTTGATGTTTTGCTTGAAGTTCTGGATGTCCTGGAGAGCAATGGGAGAGTTTCCTGTGGGAGCAGCCTCGACTGCAGCGGCGGCAAAGGCCAACAGACCCAACAAAGCACCGGGATTCATGATGACAGTGTCTATACAGGCAATTGAGTATATATACTTGTAAATGCATCCTTACCTTGGCCTGAGAAGACAGCCCCTTTATACCCATTTGTTTACGATGGCTGCTGCTCCAAAAGCGAAACCGGCACAAAGAAAACATGTCGCAACTTTCTGTGACCCCATGCAGTTGGGATAGGAACCAGTCAATCTTTCACGTGTGGTGTAATGTGGTGTCATGCAAGTTTTCTGTACCGCATGCTGCTGTACATTCCCGCTTTCCAGATGATCTGAAACTCTGACAAGCTCGGTGAGAGCGGGAATGGTGAAGGCTTGTTCACAAGCATAAAGTAAGCGAAATGCCCGAGACACGGCTATACCCTGTTCTGGTACATTTTTTGATCGGGCCGAAGCGACTGACAATCCAGATCTAGATGGCGCCAAGTCAGTAACATGAAGATGTGTATAAACGTGCCGGATTCTGCCATCCTATTGGCCCGCATCACTCCGAACAGCTAGTGCCGTCGGCCCGGACAATACATCCAAGGCAGTCTTTTGTCACTCGCAAATGAAACTGGCTGGATTTGAAATTTTCTGTAGACTGAAATTATTCCGCCTGCGTCTCAATGTGACATTGACCCTGCGAAAAACGGCAGAAGCTTCGCACTAAAATGTCTACTGTGTAACCGAAAAGGTCGATGTCCAAGTCGTGAACAGTACGCATTGCCTATTGCTATACTAAGTGTTCTGCCTATATTCCACCGATACTGTAGGTAATAAATATGTGTCAGATAACCTAGCTCTTTACATTCCACCCATGTGGTACTCCCCTCATACCAGCTATCTGCAAGCCCTCATCACGTTGTGGAAACAGTGTATTCTGCCAAACTCAAATGATTGAACACTACACTTTGAATGAGCTGAATTTTTATCCATTGTAAAGTAGGCACGAACCTTAATCTGCCTTGTTGCTGAAACTGGATAAACACGGCCGGAATCCCAATGTAGATTTATTCTCCGATCGGGCTGGTCCTTGATAGATAAGTGACTGGCTAGATTATCATGTAAAGCGCCAAGGCACCATTACAAAACAAATAAATATCAAAATTGATTGTCACTAAAAGCTTCGCTTTTCCTGGGCATCAACGATCCCCACTTATGACAGTCAACTTGCCGTCTGCGGGGATGTATGTACGGAATATTCGCTTGAGTTCTCTAGAGTAGACACGCGAATTACCCGACTGTGAAATGGCACCCAAACCAGGCCAGAGGTTTCACCTAGGATAAAAATTCTATCACTCTTGACTACCTGCGACCTCCATAGGTGGTCTATAATTTTATCTTGGATGTTATCTTGATGATGGTATGCTTTTGTTCTTCCTGAGAGCCTTATATATACTTGTCTGACTATTGATCACCAGTTATGTCGGAATAATTTCAAATCACAGTATAGCATAGCATATTTTTCTAGCAATATGTCCAATTATCAAGAATTCATCAAGCCGTCGGACCAACGCCTGTTGATATCCTGACATATCATTGGCTTAAACATGACGTCGCTAAACAACACGACTGACTGGGTATGACCAGCATTGCAGACCAATCCTCGTATACGAGGTCATCCCAACGCTACTTTTCGCATTTACTCCACTTCAAACCATTTTACGGCTCGGAATAAACATAACTGCCTCAAAGAGCAATTCTGATCATCGGTAGACGCTTCTTTGTGGTCGCCGTGGAGGTCTCGACCTCAGTTAACAAATTTATTATCGGTACTAAAGAGTCTTTGATTAACTTCCCACATGACTAGGTAAGTTGACAGTATTAAAGTTTGGCTCAAATTCCAGTTGTCATAGATCTAACTGAAAGATACGTTAGCTTATCATATTTGAATCCTAGCAACCTCCTATGAGACATAAAGTTTCTATATCTCGTTGTATGTGTCATGATCTATACTCCTAGTGTCATTCCATAGATGAATCGCCGCAAGACAAGAGAAAAAGAACTGCATTCCAAGCCGACCAGATGGATTTGCTTCTAATTGGTAAGATAAATTGGACTAGTATTAATCATTCACTACTGTCAGTCTCAGTTGATAAGCGCTGTGTAGTAAAATCACATAGAGTAGGAGCTAACTAGTCATATATCTACACATGTCGGTCATGGTCATACCAACTTCCACACTGAGGAATCTCATATGCTTTCTCACATCTTCTGTCGCTAGCTACCATGGGGGCAAAGTAGTTGCCCTGATTAGCTAAATACAAGACGGCTACTCAGTTTGACATGCAGTAATCATATTGAGTGAATGACTCTTCCTTAGTTAGCACCGTCGTAGGGAAGGGCAAAGACAGGAGCGTAAGAGTCGTTGCGTCCAAGAAGACCAGTCTTGCCGAACCAGTTCATCTCCAAGGTAGCTGGGATGGAAGAATGGTTGTAACGAACGAAGTCGTATTTGTCGTAAGTATCCTTGTTGATAATCGCATCACCCCAGATGGCAGCGTAGATGTGGTTGTTGTTATCACCATGAACAGAGTTGAACCCAGTGGTGTTCCCGGACTCATCCATAGAGAGGTAATTAAGAGCACGGGTGTTGAAGTACGTGTTGTGGTAGAAGGTGTCAACCCAATTCTTCTGAATGTAGTTGGCCCAGTAGGTGGAGTTAGTGTCGTGACCATCGTTCAGCAGGTTGGGAACAAAGTAGGTGAATTGAGGAAGCTTGCCCTCCTGCAAGTGCTGCCAGAACACCTCGGAGTTGTAGAGCTTGTTGCAGCGAGTCTGGTTGCTGTAGATGCTCTCGAAAGATACGTGTGGGAAGTGCTTGCGGACGTAGGCTGCGAAAATAATCAGATCGAGAAAGAAGAAAATGTTATTAAATCTTGGGTCCCGAAGCTTACAATGAGGAACTTGGGTTCCATTCTCAATAGGAGCATACGGGGTGTAGCAACCCTGGGTGATGGGGTAATCCTCAGCGTATGCACCCCAAGAAATACCCTTCTCTTCCAACAGGTCAATGATGTTGTAAGAGTCGGCGCCTGTGAAGTTGACTGGTGTATCTGAATTCCAGCCGAAGGTGGTGGCAGCAAGATGGTCAATGTAGTTGGGCTAAGAATATAAAATCGTTAGCGGATCGCGGTTGAAGCAGTAGGCCTTGTTTTCCTTACCTGGGAAGGATGAGTGACAGCATAGTAGTTGGCAAGAAGACGTCCGTTAGGAGCGTCCTTCCAGAGGCTGGAAAACGTGGGCTGAGCCTCGAGATCCCAGAAGTCCATGTTCTCGCCAATTATCATGAAAAACCGATCAAAGTACTTCCCAGGAACATAAGGCTCGCCATTAGGACCAGTTGATGCCCCAGCAGCAGCAGCGCCCTCCCTGAGGCCGGAAAGAATACCGGTGATGACAAAAGCAGCGTTGATCCTCATTGTCAATAGTAGAGATAAACGAATTCGATGCCTGATGTGTGGAATAGATTTATGATTTGATATTGGGCACCATGGGATCCTTTATATATAAGTAATCTACGTGCTTTTATGGATCTTCAGGCAGTTGTCTGATAGATGGTCAATCAGGCTACAGTGACAAATTCCACCCAGTATTTGCTGACTTCCAGATAAAAGCAGAGTCAAATCTTACTTCCGGTGTAACCTAAAGCGCTTCGGACTGCATCAAATTCTTTTTTTGGTAATCCCAGTCCACACATAGCCGTAATAAGAACTTGGTATACAGCCCGTGCTTTAACCCTCGTTGACCACTGGCCAACTTAATGGCAGGGGGTGGACCGCGCGCAGAATGCCGTCATTCACACAATCCAACCATGACAAGCTTTGTACAAGCTTTTTACAAGCTTGGCCAAGCCTTCCGCACTAGATAAGGTATGGGTTACCACCATGATATAGATTAATAGATCTTTTCAAGTTCTCCTTAAATTCATAGTAGAAATATCAGGCATGTGGATAACAGTTTCACAAACTAGGTGGATGCTTATTTCGATTGATACCCTGAACAGTTATTTACACAGGGAGTTTGGGGAGACTACAATAGTCAAGCTGCCTTTGATTTCAGGGTTCACTACAGATAGGATCAGGGTACTTGGACTTATTGCTCTGAGCGGCCAGTTTCACCCCATCATACTCTCACGCGCATGCAGGTTACCTATTAGACTCACTGGAGTAATTTCCGACATATCCCCGTATATCCGTTTTCATCTCCTGTTTGTGGATCATTTTTTGAAAGGGTTAAACTCCGAAAACCTGCATCCTGCCTCAATGTATGCATAGACAGCGTCTCACCCTTTTCAAATGTAGATCAGATAAACCAATTGCAAGTGCTACTACGTCAACGCAGAGTACGATGTCCTCCCATGGGCTAGGAGAACACTTAGTACCCTGGGAAACCACTGTAAATGTCATATTTAGCCTTATCTTGCTTGCGAGCAGTTTGATAAAGGATTTTTGCATTTGTAAGATAGTACCAAATCCTTGCATCATTTTTTAGACAAAATCATCTATGCCATTATGTTCTATCCTGTAGTGCTATGTATAAGACATTTTAATGCTGAGGTACTCTCATAATCTGAACTGTAAATGAAATGAATTATCTTCAATCAAGACTCCCAATCACGCCATTCAACCCGAGAAAACCGTATTCCTCTGAACATACAGAAGGATCCGCTGGTCTGTTCGTGATTGGTCATTTGCTGATGGCTTGAGCACTCGGCCGAGATACGAAGGGTATCCCTGTCGAGGAGCCGCTCGATTATGCCGCACCAACGATACAGCCCCTCGAAATTCTCGATGCTGTCCGGCGCATGCCAATGTGGTCACTGTATAAAGCCCTCTAAAGGCTTAGCCACATTTATTTCCCCGTAGCCAGTCAGCCGCCGCATCGCAGATTTCCAGCACCGTGCGACCCAATTTCGATGGGAAAAGCCGGGCAGAATGAGATTCTGGAGTACTTGCTCTTTGACTACAAGTATTGGAGTCGTATGAATCGCACGCAAGGGCTCTGTAGGAGGAGTATCTGTTGTGAAGGAAAGTCCAAGAGATAGGAATGACGATTGCGGTGCAGTGACATGTTGAAAATGCTAACTAGAGTAGATTTTGGTGAGATATATATATACGTACATCTTCCTATAAAAATCTGAGACTCGCAAATTAGGTAATATTCATAATCATTCGATATTGGAGTATCACGACTATAAGAGTTTCCACTTATTGAAAAGAACCTCGAGTAAAGAAATGTTGCCTTTTCCAAGACTAGTCATAACTATTAACTTCTGTTTACTATAATCATCCATATTCTATGATACTCAAGTATAAAGATCACGGTCAAGATAGAGTTAACAGAGGATTGTATGAGTAAAACTACTCATTGGATAATTTTACAAAGAACAATTTCCACTGTATTAATCAGTGGGCCCTATAAACAAAATATAACATGGTTACTGCTATTATATATAAATACATGTATCCATCAACATTGCTATCGCCTGGCCATCTTCATGCTAGGAATACTTGGCCCGTGCTCATCGTGGAAGGCTACATCAATATTATCATTATAAAACTCACCATTACTCTTCACTGGGACTTGGAATACGGAGAGAGACTTCAACGCACGCCCCTTCAGTCCAGTCTCCGCGAGCACACCAACCTCGCACATGATTCCGAGGTCTTGCGTCACGGCCCTGAGACCCTACGCGCGTCGTATTGCGCTAGAGCATCTTCGTACGCTCCGGCGGCGGCATAGTTGCTCTGGCCTCGATTGCCAAACACACCGGTACCACATCAGAGGGAGAGTGGGACAGCACCAACTTTCCGTGGTGTTTACCGGCCTGCATGAGACGGAAGGCATCTTCCATCTGAGAGACTATATAAACCCTAATAGATTTTATTATAGTATTACCACTAACTTAATACTAAGATTATATTAACACTATTAGTTATAGTAGATTAAATAATAAAATAGTACCTATACCTTCTAGTTTTATCTATCATTGATACTGTGTTGTTAGCAGAACTATTCTGGATAAAGATTAAACTTTATTGCAGACTAATTTAGGGAATTATCTTAATACAGCATTACCTTTCTTATTCTAATTAAAATATACTCTTTTCTAAAGGTAAGGAATTATAGTTGGAATGGCGTAGTAGGTCTTATTAACTTATGGAATTAAACTGAGTGTGGTGATATAAACATCACACTAACCAAAATATATAACGGTAACATAAAATATATAAATAACCAGCAAGTCTAATGAATATCACGTCAAGATAGCTGGCAAAACATCATTCCAGGTCTTATTAGCAAATGGAGGATACGATGTTTCACAAACAGTCCCAGGTCGAGGCAGAGTGCCATTTGTAAAGTAGGCCTGGATAGCCTTTCCCGTACAGACAGAGCCATGTTGTTGCGAGCAGTGCTGTCAAAATTAGATAGAAACCTTAGTATGAGGAAGATGAACTTACACCGTATCCTCCATGCTCCAGCAAAACGCTTCCCTCAAAGCTGGCAGTGATATTGCGCGCAGATTGGATGGGGGTAGCGGGGTCATAGGTATTGCCAATGACAAGCATGGGATGCTTTGTCTTGACGTTAAAATCGCCTGTATATCGCTCCTTTGCGTCGAACTTCCACTGGGAGCATGTCATAGCAACGGCAGCGCCTGCTTGTCCTAAGAGCTTACTCTTATCATCAAGAGCAGTGAGTGCAGGCATCACTTCCTTCAGGGTGTGTTTTCCTGTTCTCTTTTCAGAGCAGGGAATGCCAAACAGAGGTTCAGCCAAGCCATCACTGCCATACTTAGGAGCGAGGGAGGCTTGAGTTGCAAGGAAGCCAGTTACATTCCCAGCAAGCAGTGACTCCAAGGCAAGGGATAGAGTAGGCCAGAGGGAAGGGTTGTTCAGAGCAGATCGGATGGTGCCTTTGACCACGCTGTGGTCGATCAACATGCTGTCGAATGCAATGGGATTGTATTTCATGTCGTCAAAGAGGCTGTATAGTGATTTCTCTAGACCGGCAGCAGTGGCATTGTGGTGGGCCAAGGCACATCGATCTGGGGATTTGAGGCACTGCTTGAGGAAGTTGGAAAAAACCATGTCTGTGTCTGACCACATTTCCACATCACTGCATCGTCAGTATAGTTTTGGTAGTGATGAAGAGACATACTATGAGTGGTAGTATTGGTGTGGATTCATGACCCCATCAATGATGATTCTGTCGATGCGATCAGGGAACATGGCTGCAACGGTTGATCCCAAGACGGTCCCATATGAAAGACCTGACATGTCAATATGATTCATTCATAGTCATGGTAGACATACCCCAATATCTCAATAATCCATCGTCTTCAACTGCATCCACGATCTGCATCAAATCCCTCGCAGCGAATGCCGTGCTAATCAGTTCGCCCTTGTCTTTAGAGTCTTTGTATTTATGGCAGGATTCGGCAAACAGAGATGCAGCCGACCACTGCCTTCCCAGTGGCATTTTTTCTGAACGGGCTGCATATTCGTTGAATCGATAGTAGGTAAGATTGGCCAGCCTCGATTCGGCATCCTCGAAGCAGGAGAAGGTGAGAGTATTGGCAGTTCCTCTGTATTATGTCAGTCAAATGAAAAAACTATTAATATGTTATACATACCGTGGATCATGTGCGATAAGATCATAATAACCGCCAGTCAAACTGTCTTTGTCAGCTATAAACAATACCCCCTAGATATTAATCTTACATTTGTAAAACCTTGGCTTTTGATGCCAAAGACGGTCGTGCCGCCACCCCAGGACCACCAAAGTTGAACAGGATACTTCCCTTCTTAGGCGTATGGAGGGAAGGAACTTTCAGCAGTTGGAGATTGAGAGTTTCATCAGACTTGTTGCTCGTATAGTCCAACGGAACAGTCAGATTGCCACATTGGACGGGCAGAGTGCCGTTCATTTCGCAGGATCCCCAGGAAACTCCATTAGAGCGGGTGAGATTTGAAGGTGTGGCATAAGCACTTGATATGAAAGAGAGTATAGAAAGGGTGCGTATGAAATACATGATGATTATTGTGGATGGAGGTGGAATAGTAACAAGAGGAAATGAGATGTTGAGATGCCGTTTTATATCCAGCACCTGTTCATCTCAATGGTTGCTGCCATGACGATCAATCGTATTCTACAGACTGAGTTCCTTGGCTTAACAGACCAATATGGATCAAGGCAGTGTCTCTAATAGCAAATAACAAAACGGAGCATGATGGAACCGTTGGAATCCAGCAGTCGCAGTATCTAACTAAAAGAGGAATCAGACAGATAGTATTTTGACAGGGTAGCTTCAAGCCATGTTGATCGAATCTGACAGTTTATGCAGACATCGTGGCTGTGCAGAGCGCTGCATAAGGCCAGATCTGGAATAGTCAGATACGCCAACCAATCATCTTTAGGGACGTTTGACTTGTTGGTTATGCAGGGTTGACTATTTATACCTGAACTCTGTTGATTGGATAATGAAGTCAACAATATCTGGAGGCTGAAGGATGGAAATCTGCGTCATTGACGCATGTATTCTATTTTAGACCGAATACGACTATTTACAGTCTTTGAACAAACCAGCAAAGTGGTCATTCGCTGCTGCAGGTAGAGCTCGATACTGGCCCAAATGGCCCCCAACAATGAGATCATCAATAGTGGACTTGGAATATCCCTCTACATCCCAGATATCGTCGCCGACCATCTCAGTTTGCTGTCCATTTCCCCATATCTTTCGACAGCAATGCGCAAGAGCAAGGGGACTTCCTGCTTCTAGCTCCGTCTCAATCCGACGGATTGTATCTTCAGTACTCTCCAAGGCTGTTGATGGTGCTCCGTTGAACTTCTTTGTCAGGGCTGCTGCGATTTCATTGCCCGTTGGTCTCAATTCTGAGAGTGCCAAGAATCGACCCTTTAGTTGGTCAATGGGAGTAGAGGCAAATATGGATGCATAAGCTGCTGCCACATAGGGCCGAGTGCTATTTTCTGTTAGTAGATGGTGTGAGGACAAATAGATGGACATACCAAAGATTGACTGGCAGAGTAGCACTATCGCCGGAGAAAATCATCTTGTTGTTCACACAGTCAACGCCCATTGCCCTAGGTTGAATATTTAGCATGCATTTATTTCAATTGAAGGATGGTATACTTACCGCGTACCCAAGGCAAATTCTGCAAAATTGCCCGTTAGAACAATGGTAGTAGGAATTCCCGCTTGATGTGCAGCCTCCTCGACTTCCCTCTTCGCTTTGTTGAGTGGAATTCGCAGACCCAGAGAATCATACCGCGAAGCCAGGTCTGATGGAGAAAACAGTTGGACATTTGTCTTGGGAATGACTGTGATAAAATGATGTTGGATGGTGACACCGTCATGTCCGACCAGGGAACTAGTAAGATTAGAATGAAGATCAGTCTGTTTGTCTATCCAACTCACATCACAATATCGATATCCTGAAGACTTCTTATCAAAGCTTCATGATCAGCCAAGTCAACTTCGACCGTGTCGACATTTTCTGGTAGAGTTGAAATGTCAGATCCCGGACGGTATAGAACGCGGATGTATGCCCCCGACGCAGCGAGACCCTTGACGATCTCCGAACTGACCCACCCACGGTGGGAATATACAGCAATGCGATTGAAAGGCATTCTCTGATGATAATCAACTGAATTATTTATTTACATTCAAAGGGTACAATTCATCTCTTTAAATAAGGCCTTGTCACTCACATCGTGTTTGTCGTGTTTGCAATATTTGAACAGAAATCAAACTCATTTTGGCCAATCAGACTACTTCCTCAGACTTGTTTGCATGTTTTGTCGGTTTGCACTCTTTGTCCACCTCAGGGTTGCTTGTTTGCAGTGTTTACATCGTTTCATCATCTTGACTCAGTCAATCAACATTCCTCACCTCATCTTTATCTTATTTTTACCTTCTGTCTTTTACTATCAGCTCTATCATTATGTGCCCTCCGCTTGGAGTAGTCGAGACTAACCAGTCTATTTCAACTGATATCCCGAAATGCATACCCGCAGATTATCTCTCCCAGGGCGCCTACAAGCTCGCCCAATCACATCTCCCTCCACCCATCCTGAACCACAGTATTCGTGTTTTCCTGCTTGCAGACTTCCTGGCACAACGTGAACAGTCGGGATGGGCTACTCAAGACAGGCGAAGTCTGCTCTGCGTTGCCTGCATCCTGCACGACATCGGATGCGCAACCCAATTCGACGGCCCGCAGCGTTTCGAGGTTGAAGGGGCTGATGCTGCAGCTAATTATCTTCGACAGTCTAACACTGCCCAATCAGACATTCATGAAGTCTGGCAGGCGATTGCTTTGCATACGAGTCCGGGCATCGCAGAGCGTATTAGCCCTCTTGCCCGTCTGGTGCGTCAAGCTGTGCTCACCGACTTCGGCAGACAGTTGGACCAAGAAGGCGAAGATACTCGATCACCTGTGGAGCAGTCATTTCCACGACTTGGTATTGAAAAAATCCTAGGAGATACTGTCGTTGATCAAGCATTGAGACGGCCTGAAAAGGCACCACCGGCCTCCTGGCCTGGAATACTCCTACGCGCCAAGAAAGAAGCACCGGAATGGGATGGCGTTAACAAAGCATTTTGATAGTTATGGACTATTATATAAGAGTATTAAATCTTTGCAGGATATACTGCTGCTCCTCTTCCGTCACTTGCATTCTCGTCAGATTGTATCCATCTCGGAGACGAGCATTCACAATGATCTTTCTCGTCTTGGACCGGACTGCTGATTCGATGCTTTTAGCAATGCCATGGAAAGGATATGCTACGAGGCCGAGTCCCGCTATACGTTGTCAGTTTGGCTTAACATACTCCATGCGGTAGACATACCTGACGGCACCTTGGTGGCGAGTCCTATCGTTCCCTTGGCAAATCCCTTGACTGCCCCTAAAGCTCCCTCATCTCTGGCTCCCTCAATAGGTTGGGTGAATAATCCTCTAAACCCATCCGTCATTCCATCCACGAAATTCTTCCCTCCAACGGTAGCACCAGTTTTCCAATTACGAACTGGTTCATACTCCTTTGGCTGGTCGCCGTATAATCGTGGAACCTGTCGGAAGCCCTCTGCTGCAGCATGGGGAATATCGACAACCACTCCCCTGAAATATGTTCCTGTAAACTTCCCCAACCCTTTCAATGAAGCACCCATCATAGACCCTGCAGTGAGCCATCCATTTCTCCGTTCGCTGTCTACTATGCCAACTGGATCTGCATTCGCAGGATCTGTGTTCGCATGGGGAAGTGCAGTAGGATCGGCTGTTGCTGGACGCACAGGGAGCGACATGCTCCGATCTGAACTACTCCCAGTTATCCTCGGTGAACGTCCACGATTGTATTCTTTGTACGGTTTGTAGAACATGTCGGTGGTTGATTTCAACATGTCAGTTCCAGTGTTTGTGGCTGCAGATAGGATGCCAGTTACTGGATCCCAACGGCGGTTTTCTATGACGATTCGTTTAATGTCGTGGCTAGATTCATATTAGCATAATGAGTTTACTTGAGGAATAGCATAGTACACACGGTCGAAGATGCTTTGCATCAACCTTGTCATGATTGATGAGAATTTGAACAGCCGCTTTGGATAGCCTCAGATTGTTCTTCGTCTTTGTATACTTCCACACAGCGGCTTGGTTTGGTAATAAGCTACAACGCATTCTGTCTAAGGGCAGATTGCGATGGAAGGATTGAACAGCGGTCCGCATGCCAGACTCGCTCTTCATTTTCAGTGAAATGCCATATGCCGCTTTCTGTGCTTCTGGTGTCAGGCCCAATCCAATGGCATCGGCTAGATTGGTAGCGTTTAGAGAGGCGTATGGAATAGGTCTGGCGCCGGCACCAGCTCTTGCCACCATATCGCCCCAGAAAGGTTGGCTGAATCATTAGCTTTTTTCATATGCTTATGGCAGAAATACTTACTCTCCAAAGAATGGCACGATTGTAGTTGGTCGTCCATTCAAAAGACCGCATGCCGTTGTTCCAGCGCCGCCGTGATGAACGACTGCTGCGACGTGCTGGAAGAGCCATTCGTGTGGACAATCATCGATGTAGTAGATGTTATCATTTTGAGATCCCCCCAGCTTACTCCATCCTCGTGATATAATAGCACGCACACCTGTCTGTGACACGGCGTGGAGGATAGTATTCGTTAATGCCTGGGGATCCTCAATGACGATACTACCGAAGCCGATGTAAACAGGGGGTGGGCCTGAATCGAGGAACCTCTGTAGTTCCACAGGGGGTGTATATGATGGTGCCTCTCGAAAGAAGAATCCACAGACATCTTCCTAGTCAGTATCGCTCATAAATGATGAATATATCACAACATACCAACATGACCCGGCCAGTCCTCAGGCTTCGGGACGAGAGCAGGCGACCAACAATATGTAAAAGGGACTTTCAATGTCTCAGCCAGAGTGGCGCCTTCAATCGCCGAGATTGGCTCCAGGTCGATCGATGATCGCCATTTATTGATCACATCTCCTAGACTGATATTGTCAGATATGCCTCTGTTAATATTTAACAGACTTACCCCTGCCATGTTAACCACTCTACCACTCCATACGAAACCAAGTTTGCAAGCGGCCGGTTCATATTGGAGGGTCGGAGATTAGCAAGAGGATGTGGAAAGGCCCTGGTACTCGTCCATGGCATCGTAAACATGAGATGAACAGGGACGCTCAACGCCTGTGCGCAGTGGATATGGGCGAAAGAAGGCGGGTTGGCGATGATTGCATCTGCCACAAACGGTGCCTTGGTGATCGGATCATCTTCAATGCATGATTTCCAGCAGCCATTGAGGATCTCCGCCATCATGGCTCTTTTCTTCTGCACTTCCCCTGCGCGTAGTGATTTCATCTGTGGGATTAGACCTGGGTTCTTGACCATGAAGGCCATTAGCTCTTTTGGGTCTCCACCGATAGGATAGAACTCCAGTCCAGACTCCATGACGAAGTCAGCAAAAACATCGTGGGTGGCGATGCGGATCCGATGGCCGTATTTCTGGAGCTCATTTCCCAGCGCTATGAATGGCTGCACATCTCCACGACTGCCGACTATCTGGATGACAATGTTGAGTTGAATATCAAACTCCACCTTTGCTGGTTCCTGCCAGTATTCCGGTGGCGGATTCTGCTGATCCTCCTGTTGCAGATCGATGATTCTAGCGAGTGTTCTCGCAATTCCAGAATCGAGATCCACGTCGATCCGGCCGTTGGCTAGACAGTTAGCGGGAACGGTGAACGATCAAGATCTACGAGATCGACTTACCCTGTACATCTGCCGATTCCGTCGCCAGCCCACCGTCGGCATATGGCGAGTACGGAGGAGGGGCGAGTACATCCAGCGAGTCACGGTCATGAAGACCAGACTTTGTGGAGCTATCCATGATTGAAGATATGGATGGAGTGGAAGAGGGTGGAAGAAAGGCAGAAATTAAATTTTCATGGAGTCAGGCAGCTATATAGTGAACAGACTCGACAGGCACCAGTAATCGTATTCGTATTGTTTCCCAAGGGTGGATAGCCGGTTGAGGCTAGTAGGCTATTTGCTAGCGCAACCAAAGTATTCAATCAGAGTTCAAATAGTTTAAATCTCGGTGACATTAAAACAGATCGCCAAGTCCGACAAGGCAAATATAATAATTGACCTGAACGTCATCCTGCGTACTCGTATAAGTTCAAGAATTCAGATAGGTGGACTATGCCACTGAGAGAAGAAATCCTACCGTAGTGCTTCTAGCTCCTAAATAGCGCTAACATAACTGCTTCCACACAACAGCGGATCTGTGGATCACCACGATTGACTTTTTCTATCCTTTTTTTGGTTTTTTTCTTTTTTTTTCTTTTTTTTTTTTCAGCGGTGGATATATTTAGAGTTAATATGGGTCCACAACAAGAGCAGCCAATGGCAGTCCGAATAACGCCATCGCCTTCGTACTCGTATAGGCTCCCCATCTCGAATACCTAGCTTTGGTATATCTTCGACCATCTTCATCGTGAATACTTTTCTGATCTCCCTAGTAACCAGACAGCAAGTCCCCTTTTCATCATCAAACATGATAGTCCACAACAGCACGCTCAGAGCGACGATGAATTACGACCCCGTCGATGGACAAGACAGGCCTGACCCGCCCGATGTGGAGAAGCAGTCACTAGAAGATAACCAGGTATATTGCCAACGGTTTATGCCTTGCTGTCCGATACTAATATCCCAGTCAGATTGAATCAGAGAAGGCCAGCTGGAAGGAGGCTATTCGAAATTTCCTCCATTGGGTATTCACACCACTTGGCTTTTTGATAACAATATACGCTCTCAATATCGTCGCCTGGGGAGGGATGCTGTTCCTTCTCATGTGCAATGCCGCACCTGCCATGTGTCACCCAGATTGCAACAGCCTTAATTCATCACGAAGGGTGTGGATCGAGATTGATTCCCAGATTCTGAATGCGCTGTTCTGCGTGACTGGCTTTGGTCTTGCCCCGTGGCGGATACGTGATGTGTACTTTTGGTGTCTATGGCGATTAGGGCGCACAGAGTATCGCCAGCGAGGTCTCGATCGTCTGGCTGTCATTCATAAGCGATGGTTTCAATCCCCTTTAGATATGCAGAATCTGCTGAAAGGTGATGACGCATCGGGGTGCGCTATGCAGTCACCCACACCACACTGGAAGATGGATGTCGTGGTGTGGGGGAATATGTGGAATACCATCTTCCAAATCTGTCTAGCGCTTTGTATGTGGACGATGAACCGATTTAAGCGACCCAGCTGGACAACTGGTCTGTTTGTTTGTTTAGCCTGTGTGGTGGTTGGAGTTGCTGGATTGACCATGGAGTTGGAGAAGAGGAGAGTGAAGAAACATACTCAACTCTATAGTGAGTCAAAATGATAGTATGATACATATGCTATTTATACAAGGAAATTCATCGCTTCCATTCCCAGACTCCTTCGTTCCTCAAATCCACCTGTTCATCCTTCAGGACTTGATCCAAGTCATCGATATCCTGTTTGACTGCAACATCTGCCCTTAAATGCCGATCAAGCTTCACCCCCATGACAGCCATGAGACTGTCTTTCCATGCTCCTACTGGGCTGTTTCTCGTTTGATGCGCAATCAGAATGAAATACACTGTTGTAAGGACGAGAATAACAGCAGGAAATGTAATCCACCCCCATCGGACGTGAATATAAATCTGATCGTGATATACCGTCCCCGCATAGTAGTCATCGGTACTGTTATCCACGGGATACGACTGCTGCAGAGCCTGTGACATGCTTTCGGAAATGCTCTTGATCCATGGATGCATATCCCGGATATTCTGCATCATGGTGTCAATCTGCGAACCCTCACCAGCCGGGTTCAATGCTTTATTTGTCCCGTTGAATATCCTATTAGCCGTGGACCGTGCATCGTGCAGCGTGTAGTTCTCTATTCCAAAGAAAGAACCCGGTGCAACGTTGAAGCTTGGCGGCGGTGATGTAAAGTTGACGCCGTATTGATTTCGTGGCGCATATTCAGACCAGGTATCGACAATCTCTCTGTGTTGGACACCGTTGGAAGTGGTCACATTATATGCCTGGATGCAGAACCACAGAGCGCATTCCCAGCCTCCTAATGGCATGTATGCACTACCATTTGGATAGGTTATGGCCTCCCCGAATCCAGCGACTTCAAAGTGGGATAACAACAAACGGCTGGACGTTCCATTAGGATATGTGGTTGAACTATATGTGTAATTGTTGTATGTCGAATTGGAACTAATCGGGGCAGCCCGACCTGTTATCTGTGTACCATCTGCTCGAGTCTTACTCGAATAGGTGAAGCCATCAGGGAGAGTGTATACGCCGGAATAAAGATCATCATCCTTGAATTCCATCATGTCGCTCCAGTCGGTGCATCCTCCACACACAGCGAGCGAGGGGAGAATAGGCCAGGTGCAGTTGCCAGTCTTGCAAGGTGCATTCAAATCGGTGAATTTGGCTCCGTACATACCACGGTATATGGCTGATAGCATGGGATAGTCCATATTTTGGACATTGATGGCTCGAGGGGCAGAGCCATTGTAGTATTGTGATCGGGGATATTTGGCATCGGGAGATGCATCACCGACTGTGCGGGACTGGATGGAGAGGAGCTGTTGAGAAAATGTGTCCATTCCAATGCCAACAATAATCAGCAACGCGCCAATCGAAGTGGGATGAACCGGCATCGTCTGGCATAAAAGACGCAGACTCCCCCAGATGCCGCGCGAAGCCTGATCGAACATTTCAAAATCGCGCAGGCGTCGTTTCGTGCCCTGTGCGAAATGAAGCCATTTTCCCTGACTCAGTCCAGCGGCAACGACAAACATGAGCATCGATCGAGTGATGGTGGACAGAATGGCGATCATGCCGTTGAGCGTGATAGTGTGATATGGCCATGTGTTTTGCGGTAGGCCTTCATAGTGGCGAAGAAGTGCGATTTGCACGATAAATGCTGCAAAGGCACCGATCAGAGCGAGGGTTTCATAGGTCCAGTATAATTTTTTCTTTTTATGCGTGATGATTTTCTGCTTCCCATCTGATATCGAATTCGTGGATGATCCCTCGGATAAAAGGGGCGATTGCTGGAAAGTGAAGGATTTCATCGCGATCGTGTGAGAAGTGGCAGGAATCGGCGGATTCTTCTATTTAATTCTGAGATTGTTGATGAGGTCAAGAAGACCCATAAATGCTGGTGTTGGGGTCCAAAAATCGTTGGTATCGCCTGTTCTGATTGGGCGACGATCATGGACTATAAAATAGCCCCTTTGGTCTGCCAATGACAAAATGACAGGCTGACAGCTTCATCAAAGCCACTTGGCATTCGATCCTTCATGATATGACTCGGTTATGCTTTTACCCTAGTGATTTGAAGATATTCGAATCTGATGATCTTGTATACAATCAGCTGACATACGCGATATTTTCTTATAAAGCATTTGAAACTTGGTAGACTGACATGCGGTTGATAATCACAACTATATATATCCTCCACAATCCGACACTATCAATTGAGATACCTGCCTTCACTCTCGAATTCGATATGCACGGATTCCAACTTGGATAATCCAGCCCATCATTGAAATCTTTATTATTTCTTACCTCTAGCTGCCATGTCGCAAACGGCCCTACGAGAGCATACCCACCGCCCGCCTTGCCAAACTCGCCTGGAAATGCATCACCTTCTTCAAAATTTCCACTCGCCAGTTTATACTGGAAGAGCACCTTGAATGACCTCTGACACTGCTCTGATGTCCGAAAAGCCTGAAAGCCTACAAGGAGCCAGCATACCATTGGCGGTATTCTCAGTATCGTATCAAACGTGATCAACCTGGACAAGAATCTAGTCGAAGCATTCGTGAAGTACAAGGGATACTACCGCTACATCAAGGGAGTGATTCTAAAGAAGGCCCGCAAAAAAAATACGAAACTCCTTGAAAGAATTAGCGGTAGATGACTTGAAGCCACTATTCATCGACCGAGCCGTGGAGATTATCAACAAGGAGATCAACAAGACCCATAACATAGACCCGGAAGGGTTCTCGAGGCTACCAGAAACGAGATCCTAGATGCCATGAGGCGGGAAATGCGGAGTGAGGAATACTTCAAGATTGAAAAAGAGTGCAGTGCTGCGATTGCCCTGGACGTGACAGAGACGGATGCTTCGGTTGATGCTGGGGTCAACGACGATGCTGCTGCTATGTTTACCGGCGAAGCATGTGACGCCTATGTCAAGGCCATAGTCGGTCGAGTCGTGGCATCTCAGAACAAGGACGAGGCTATCCAGGGTAGAAAATTGGTCCAGAGAAGGGTCAACGAGGCCCTCGAAAGAATCGAGGTTCAGAATAAAGAAATGAGGAAATAGTAGGATCCGGAAAAGAAGCGGAAAGCAAAAGAAAAAGGAACATCAGAGGAAGACTGGGAAAGGAACGAGAGAAGTATGAGAAGGAGATTGACACGATATCTACCAACATCAAAGCGGACGAAAAGCAACTGGCGGAGGAGCGGACAGATAACAGCCAGGACGAAGAGATCAAAAGACTCAAGGGAGAAGAAGAGAACAAGCAAAAGGTTGAGCAGGAGAAGGCAAAGGCGCTTTGGGAAGACCGCAAGAGGGCTGGAACGGAGGGTAATTGGTGGGTGTAGATCTCTAGGATAGACATATATTAGGTTGATGGGATTTACAACCTGAATCCAGGCAATTTCCAGACTCGTATAATGGCTTCTGCCATTGGTCCGAATAGTTCTGCAGCTCCACATTCAGGCCCCCACGCTTAGAACACTAAGACCCCTAGACGTCCCAATCAGGGATAGACTGTCGGTATCTTAATATTACAGCCAATCATTGTGTAGCAGACCCTTGATCTAGCCGGTTAGGTTTAGCCCATAAGCATTTCGGGAATAGCGACATGATACAGCCTGTCATGCAAGGCTTGCAGTCTTGAAAACTTGCGTTGAGGCGCAGCCCGAGGCTGAGAGTCGCCCAACTGCGTTTCTGCTGACACTTTTCTCTCCTTTTGGACTTCAACTTCATCTCCCTTTGCATCCTTTGATTCCGCTTGTCTATCGACCGTCATGGCGGGCTCCCGACGCTCTCGATCACTTGTCATCTCCTTGCTTTGCCTCTTCCTCGCCCCTCTCGTGTCAGCTGGTTCCGTTTGCTACAGCCCCGACGGCACCAGCGAGTCGATCGATGAATACCAACAATGCAACAAGATCAGCGGCACAAAAAGCATGTGCTGCGCGACTAATCGCAAAAACAAGTCCGGCGGCGATAGCAAAGATGGGTTCACTGCGGATGGTTGCCTTCCGAACGGTCTTTGCGAGAATGTTGTCAGCATCAACAATACAGAAGTCACCACATACTGGCGGGAACAGTGCTGGAGTCCGTATTGGCAGAATGGAGATTGTCTGAACGTTTGCACGCGATATACGGTATGTCAATCCGCAATTGGTTTGAATTCCTCTGCATACTGACTTGATGTAAAGAACTCCGGTATAACCGACGATAGCAGAGTACGAATCACGCCTTGCGACGGAACTGCGAATTCAAAAAAATGGTGCTGTGGTTTGGATAGATCGTGCTGTGATACTGGTGACGCCTTCGAAATAGCCGCAACGTTTACCCCCGGTGCTACTACTTCTGCTACATCCACTGCCACATCTTCAACAGCACCATCGACTACAACATCAGGGTCAGGAGTAATCACAGGAACATCCACCACTGAGCCCCAACCTGACTCAAGTTCAGGCTTGTCGACCGGGGCAAAAGCTGGACTGGGAGTCGGAGTCGCAGTCGGAGCCATCACGGTGCTTGCGATTCTCGCGCTTTTTCTTCGCCGGCTGAACAAAAAGTCAAAGACACCCGGGCTCTTAGCAGACCCAGAACCAGAGCCAGCTTGGCAGCCGGTGAAACATCCACATGAGTTCGACAGCAGCACTGTTGTCCATGAGGTGGCAGGTGGTCCAGGACATGAGACGCATGAATTGTCAGGTGAAGGCTTGGGGAGTGTACGGCGATAGTGGATATCCGTGTTTTTATATTCTATTTAATTAATAATGTTTATATTGTCTACAATATAAAGGTATGTGTGGATAGCCCAATAGAAGATTTATCATAATAGCCATTGTGGCTTTCGTAATTATAAGCACGGTATTTCTAAAACTCTGTCCTCATTCTCTCTGCTTCCTTAATATAAAATAGCACACGATCGCTATTCCAGCTCCACCCCTCGAGATATTCAGCCTGACAAAGATGCGCCAAAGACTTAGAAAGCCACTGTTCTTCGGTGATGCCAGGAAGACGGAGCAGGAATGCATCACTTGCCGTACCGATCTTGAGTTGGGTTCGACATGCTGAAGTTGCTGTTTGCATACTATCCTGCAGTCGGTCTTTTCTGCGGTGGGCATATTTTTCCAGACATGCCTCAGCATCGGAGACGGAAATTGTGCTCTGTGAGTCTGTCGAGTTGAGAATCGGGCGTAGGTTGTTGACAAAGCATGCTGCGGACTCCATTGCTTGGTTTGCTCCCATCGCCGCATGAGGGACCATCTACTTTTTATCAGTATATGTAGCAGTAGGGTTGATCAGATACATACCTTATGAGCTGAGTCGCCTAGAAGGAACATCCGACCAGAATACCACACATTGGCCATGCCCTCTTCCAGTACCGTCATAGTTGCTGCCTTTTTGTTCCGATATATATCACTGAACCGGACACCAGGGGCGATCATTGTATCTGCCATATGACAATAAACGGCCTCGATATCTTTCTCATCATATCGTTGTTTCTGTCCATATTGAATCGGCGACTTGAGATCCTTGAATAGAAACCAGTACAGTACACCACCTAGTCCACTGAAGACCAAGGCTGATACATCACGTCGATAGACGGTGAATGCCCGACCGGGCCCGATCTGGGGGACACTCGCTGAGATGCCATAGACACAGGCGCAAAGTGAGTCGAGATCTATCAGATTAGCAATGCCCATAGTGCAAAAGGTGTTGCTTACAATCTGGCGCCATTTTGAAATCCACCGTCGCTGCTTCAATCTCCCTCCGGACTATACTGTGCACGCCATCTGCACCTGCGACAAAGTCACAGGTTGTTCGAGTGCCAGCAGCAGTGGTGACGGTAGCACCTGTGGCATGGTTTGCCACAGAGACAACTCTGGTAGATGGATGAATCCTCGATTTATCCTCGATGCTCTCGTAAAGAATCTCCAGTAGCCGCCGTCGCTCCATGAAGAAGGTGTCGTACCCAAGTTTCTTATCACAGGCTCCTGAAGCATACGAACTCGTATACAATCGACCATCATCATCACCATCACGATGCTCCCACGAGTCACGAGGAACAGAGTACGCTTCGACTTTATCGATAATTCCCAGTTGATCAAGAATGCGCAGTCCATTTGGTGTAAGCCCGATACTTGCTCCTGCGGGCGGGGCGATCTCGTATGCGTCCCAGAGTGTATAAGAGATGTTGAGTCTTTCTAGCATCTTGGCCAGCGTGAGACCTGCTATGCCGCCGCCGACGATGCCGACTGTTACGTGGTTTGCTGCCATTTGGAATTGAATTGAATGTCAGGGAACTTTGTCATAACATGCAGGTGTAATGGCTCCTCTGGTTTAATATAAAACATCGCAGTTTATATAATAGATGCACAAAGGTAACACCAATACATCCCAAAAAGGAAACCCTGCGAAAGTCGGGCCACGGCGGCTATCGGAGCCGACGAGATTAGGTTACGGCCGAATTGCCAAGCCCCGATGCCAGCGGACTGCTGTATTCCTATTGGTCAGTGCGTCGGTTTTTATATGGCCGAAAGCGCGATTAGTAATGCAGGCAGTCGAGAACATTGATGTCATGCGGGGGGAATGACTCTGTGAATATTTAATATAGAATTGTCGCAGTTGTGTAACCTATCTTCTTCCGATTACAATTAATTATGTCTATACTCTGCAAGAACGGGACATTGCTACTACATGATGAACATGACGTGGTTCATCCTACCAAGGCCGATCTGTTGATTGAAGACACCAGAATCAAGGCTATCGGCGAGAATATCGAAGCACCACCTGGCGCATCGATCATCGACTGTTCTGGGAAGATCATCTCGCCTGGCTTCATTGATACTCATCATCATCTCTGGCAGACATGTTTGAAAGCAACCCATGCGAATGAAACGCTCATCGACTATTTCTCGAGTGGTGAGTCAAATCGAAGATTCGTAGTTAGGATACTGACGAACAGGCCTATTTATGAATTCGTTCCTCTCACCCGATGATATCTTCTGGAGTCAGCTGGCCGGTTCCCTTGAGTGTGTGGATAGTGGAACGACCACGGTAGTCGACCATGCCAGTCTCAACTACTCGCCTGATCACTGTATGTATTTCGCCCCAAGTCCGAATCATCCTAATGAATACCAGCAAAAGAGGCACTGCGCGCTCTCATAACATCCGGTATTCGTTCAGTGTTCGCCTACTCCCCAACTAGTCGCGTGAAGCAATGGACGCCCGATTTCCTCGTCGAACAAGATCTTTTAGCACCGTGGGTTATGGAAACGTTTGATCAGCTAGCGTCGATGAATCCGTTCGGTCCATCGGGACGAGTGACATTGGGATTCGGATTTGATGGTGTTTGGTTGCCGGGACATATTGTGAAAGATCTATTTGAAAGGGTTCGTAATGCGGGTGCTCAGTTGATCACTATGCATGCAGTTAATTATGCTGCGTTTGGAGGTGAGTACACGATCATATACAAGGATCAAGACTGATAATTGCAGCTCCGCATGTCCCGACGACAGTAGCCACCTTGGACAAGCATGGATTGCTTGGTCCGGACATTCTTCTGTCCCATAATACCAATCCCACTGCAGAAGATATCACGACCATCAGCCAGAAGGGAGTGAAAATATCAGCAACACCAGGAACAGAACTTCAAATGGGCCACGGCAACCCTGTCTGTCTCAACGATGGTCTTGAAGAGTACTCATCTCTGGGAATTGATTGCCACAGCGTATGTAGTGCATATATTCCAGCGCAAATGATGCTCGCCCTGCAATCTGCCCGCGCACGACGACACGAAGAATTTGAAAAGCGCGGCAAGTGGGCTGAGACGGTAGGAAGCACTGTAGCGCAGGTGTTCAATCTAGGAACGATCCAGGGGGCGCGCAGTATCGGGATGGAGAGTGAGATTGGTAGTTTGGTGGCAGGCAAGAAGGCAGATATCGTGATTTATGATTGTCAGACACCGGGGATGTTGGTTGCTGCCGATCGCGATCCTGTGGCTGCGATTGTTTTGCATAGTACGGTTCGGGACGTTGATACGGTCATTGTTGATGGAATTGTGAGGAAGAGAGAGGGCAGACTTCAACCTGTTGTAGCGCCAGATAATATTTCATCGACTGCAGAACAAGGCAAGCGGATTGAATGGAGGGGGGTGACCGAGCGACTGATCGCACTGAGTCGACAGATTGACGAGAAGAAGAGGACGATTGTCGATCCTGACGTGGCGAGAAAGGGTATACACGAGGGATTCCATTTGAACCTGGCTGCTCAGTCGAATTAGTCCGATATAAATATCTCTTACCTACAGCCAATGGTTGCTCTCTATTTGTCACGATCGGGCTCAATTAAGCTTCGCCTTTTGTCGGTCTTTGGAGATCCCTCGGTCCGTGCGATGGCCTGACATCTGCTCCACCGACTGTCTTTCCAAATGCTGTGGCGGCTGAAATAAAGCAATCCAAATAGTTAATAAATAAATTAAACAAGCTTTAATTATCCCCTTCTCACATAAGTACAGCCGTGGCGCCGAATACAAAAGTCCGACTGCTCGGTGTTTGGGCACCGACGGCGGCCGATCAGCATCCCGACTGTACGACCAAATGACGTGGAGTGATAAAGAATAAACAAAGCCATAAAGGAAGCTCCCTGCTGTTATATTTTATTTAACAGAATCATCAAAATGGCTCTCAGACAACTGCCTCGGCTGTCCAACACTACCGTCTTCTCGTCGCTCGCCCTCTTCGGCATTGGTGTTTACTGCTCCTCGTCGCTGCTTCGGACGGGCCACGCAGAGTCCAACGAACCGCCCAAGATGTTCTCCGGTGTGGGATTGACGACGTTGCGGCTGCAGAGTGTCAAGGCTGTGAACCAGAATACGAAACGTCTTGTCTTTGAGTTTCCCGATGCGACTGCCACCAGTGGATTGAGCATGACTTGTATGTATGGCACACACATATATATATAGGCAGATACTGATGGAATAGCTTCTCTTCTCACCGTGTCTCGTCCTGAAGGACGCTGGTTTCCTGTAATTAGGCCCTACACGCCCATCAGCAGCTTGAGTAGGTATCCCCCGATTATCAGCTGAATACAGCTAACAACCCCAGCCAAACAAGGCTCTGTCGAATTGATGGTCAGGAAATACCCCAACGGCAAAGCTAGCACCCACATCCATTCCCTTGCACCCGGCGACACCCTCACCTTCCTCACAGCTCTCAAAGGCTTCCCTTGGTCTCCGAATAAATTCTCCCAAGTCCATCTCATCGCCGGAGGAGCTGGCATCACACCCATCTTCCAGCTGATCCAGGGTATTCTCGACAACCCCGCCGACAAAACAAAAATCAACCTCATTTTCGGCGTGAACAATGAGCAGGACCTGCTACTTCGTGAAGAATTGGAGAGCTACAAAACGCGATTTCCCGATCGATTCAACTACATCTACACAATCAGTCATCCGAAGGAAGAGAACTCACCGTACAGAAAGGGGCACGTCACGGAGGAGTTGCTGAAAACTGCCGTCACAGTGGACAAGGACAGCCACGTCTTTGTATCTGGTCCCCCGGCAATGGAGGCATCATTGCTTGGATCGAGGAGTGCTCCTGGCATTCTGTCTCGATTGGGATTTGCAAAGGGGCAGATTTACCAGTTTTAGATCTAGATTATACTGTTCTTTCATGTACAAATAGGGGGAGTTGTCTTATTAGAATACCATCATGTCATTCCATTAATCCAAGATATTCCACTAGACCATAAAATGTATTCGGTCAAGTAAGTATTGCTTTTATTCCTATCAATGCGATGTAGCAGACAAACTATGCAAACATTATGCATCCCTGTCTAGCAAAAGCAAATCAAAACAACCTCATCCCCTGTTTTAATACAGAGTACAGGCAAATAAAATATCGTCAACATGTCTTCTCTAGAGGTAAGCTCACCTCGTCACATGTCATACACAGCTAACATGGCCAGGGCGACACAGAAGCCCGCAGCATCGGCGCCCTAGGCACCATGGTCCGCGCCGTCGGGGGCTGGACCAAGCCCAGCGGGCGTGGACTGTACATGTTCCGCAGCCTCATCACAGGAAGCTGCTGCGCGGCTCTCTTTGGACTGTGCGGTGCCGGCCTACTCGGGTACACGATTGGCGCGGGGGGAATCGGGTTCGCAGGGGGTTCATGCGTGGGCTTCATCGCGGGGACGATCACGTACTTTATGGACTGTCGTCGACAGAGCTTACTCGCGTTGGCGAGATATCCGGAACTGATGCGGTTGCATTTGTTTATTAATTACCCGTCGAGAGACTATCGGATGCCGTTTGCGAATGACGAGATGGATTTGGAGATGAAGGGGATGCTGATCTCGGCGTGGCATTCTGCTGCGACTACCATTGAGGTGGGTTTTATGAAGTGTTTCTGCGACGGTGCTGATGGTATAGGAAATCCAATACGACGAGGAGAGAAGGATTGTTGCGGGGTATTCGAAGGAAATGGAACGCATCCATCAGGAAAAGGACAGTACTTAGGCAATTCGCCAGCTAGTTGTACACCACAGCTATTGTGATCGATCGGCCTATTATTGCGATCTGCAATTGAACAGTCAGTACATATCGATCAAGGTCAATGTCATTGCGTGTAATCCATCTCGATGGTATCTTCAGGACCCTTGGGGTAATCAATACTGTTTATCTTTGTCCATCTACAAATCCATAATACTTCAAGCCAATCCATATTCAACATCAAACCATTCTATTGCTAAATCGACATATCCACAATCTATATTACAAATGGGGCTGCGGCGGAGTAGATACCGGAAATCCGCCGTTCGGATGGATCAGCACTTTTGTATATCCGTCCTCTCTCTTGTCGAACTTGTGGTAGGCGATCTCCGCACTGTCGATGTTGATCTCGTGGGAGATGACGAAGCTGGGCTTGGCCTTGCCGGCGATGATCATGTCGCGCAGGTATCGGTTGTATGCTTTGACGTTGCATTGCCCGGTGGCCAGAGATAGACCCTATATATGTTAGACAGCTGATAATAGCGTATAGTCGAGGGGGGTACCTTTTCAAACAGCTTTCCAAAACTAAGACTGATCAAGCCACTGGCCGAGTTGGAATCGGCTGCGCCGGGGTCACTGGGGACGTAGAGACCCGGAATACCCAGTCCACCACAGGCTCTTGTTACGCGGATCATATTCTCGAGAACAATGTTTGGTTTCTCGGATGAACCGCTGGAGTCGACAGCCTGATAGCCGACAGCATCCACAGACCGGTCCACCATGCCGTTGTTAATAGCGATGATCTGGTCGACAGCGTCGCCTTTGGTAAAGTCGATGGGGATAGCGCCGATTCTCTCTGCAACCGCCAGTCGCTCAGGGACACGGTCGACGACGAAGATGTTGGATGCTCCGCGGAGGCTGGCGGAGTAGGCAGCCATCAGACCGACCGGGCCTGCGCCGAAGACAGCGATGCTCTCGCCGGATTTGAAGCCGGAGATCTCAACACCGTGCCAGCCTATGCCCATTAGTTACTCTCCTTCATGAATACCGTAGGACGTACCGGTGGGAAAGATATCCGCGAGAAGGACAAAGTCTGCTTCGTGCTCTGTGCCCGGTGGCAGCAGGAGAGCATTAAAGTCTGCATACGGAACTCGAATATACTGTGCCTGACCACCCCGATACGGACCCATGGCGACGTAGCCTGCAGGGTTAGCAATTGAAGTAAATATCATATATCCAAGGGGGACTTACCATAAGCACCACCCGCAAAGCCAGGGTTGACACCAGTGCAAAAGGCAGTGTTGCCCTCATCGCAGTTGCGGCATCGACCATCAGCAACATTGAATGGCATCACCACACGATCTCCTTTCTTCAGAATTGTAACACCTTCTCCTAGTTCCTCGACGATTCCCATGTTCTCATGACCTGTATGTCTTAGTTTTGATTCCTCTTGTTGGTAATGTCCTTACCGAATGTGATGCCGGGCTCTGCGGCAGTTCGGCCTTCGTACATGCTGCGCGTGTGAGTTACATTCTCCTCGTTGACTCTGTATACTTACTGCAGATCTGAGCCACAGATAGCAGCCTATCCTGTTAGCGGAGAAGAGACAATTGCTGGGAGACGTACTGTTGTGACTTTGACAATGACGTCATCTGGATGCTCCAGCCGGGGCATCTCGACATCCTGGACCTGGACCCTGTGAGGGCCGATGTAATTGACTGCCTTCATAGTGTGCGCCATTGCGATTGAGGATAGTTTGGTTGAAATTTGAATTGGAGGTCGTTGGCTGGCGATTATCTTTATATTCAATACCCCGCATTGTCACGCTGCCCCTCATCGATCCAGAGGCGGAGTCGATGTCGGCTTTTGAATCTCAACAAACGAAAACCCCTCAACATCAGGATGATTATGATGATTGTAAAACAGCCCGATGAGGTGATCAAAGCGGTAATTGAAAGGTTCAGAATGCGGGGAAAACTGCCCAAAGATAAAGTGGGGGGAGGGCGCGACCGGGGATCGTTGCTGTTTTAAGACGATCCACACGGGCAATATTGCCTTGTTCATCTGCTGTCCCGAAAAGGTAAACCTCGATGCGATGATGTTATTGCCTGTGGAGATGCAATGCGGGGATGATTGTTTGAGTAGAAATTGAAATAGAATTGACAAGACCCCTCTTGGAAATAATCAATTCAAGTTCATCAATTGACTTAACATTTAACACAATGTCAGCCGTACACCGATTTCGCTCCGTCTGGGGAGTTGCGCCTGGCGACAACTACTCCCACTGGCAGCAGTGGTTTCCGACTCTGAAGCAGCAGGGCTATGGTGCGTCTCATTCTGGCTTTCCAGACAGCAATTGACTCGTGTAGTTGGCGTTGAAATCGACATAACCGGACACACTGACTTGGCCACTATTCGTCGCATTGCGGACGAGGCTGGTCTCGAGATTAGTGTTTTGTGAGTGTCTCCCATGATATTGAAACTCTTCTAATATTAGTAGAATCCACACTCAATGGCCCAGCTATGCAGGCCCCAAGCCTCCAGGCCTCACACCACAGGATCACCTCAACGGATATCGAGCCCAGCTTCAAGCTGCCAAAGCCTTGAGGCCAGTCAAGATCAACGCACATTCTGGAGAGTAGGTGAATCCATCACTTAGAGAGGATGATACTGACTGTACAGTGATGGATGGACAACCGACCAAGCAGTCGAATTCTTCAGCGGCACCTTCGCCATCGACGCCGAAGTTGGATTGGAAGGCAGAGTCAGCCACGAGACACACAGAAACCGGGCATTGTTCACCCCGTACGCGACTGCCGCTGTGGTCAAGAGAGTGCCCAAGTATGTCAACCGAGTCGAAGATATTGCGCTTGCTAACTTTGATAGTATCCGCTTGACTGGCGACTTTTCCCACTTTGTCGTTGCTTGTGAGCGTCTGCTTGATGTGGGCGAGGAGGATAAGGAGCTTATCAGAACTATCATTCCTAATGTGCGTCTGTCCTATATATTTCTTGTTTGTCTCCTAACTATCTAGGTAACCCACATCCACGCACGCATGGGAACAATCCAATCGTCGCAGATCCCCGAACCCACAAACCCCGTCTTTGCCGAGGAGAGAAAGTTCTTTGAGAATGCGTGGAAGCAGATGGTCCAGTCGATTGCGACTCGCTATCCCTCTGATCCCATCACATTTGTTCCTGAATATGGGTATGTCATCTTCATCTTTATTATATACATAGCTGACGATCCAGACCATATCCATACCATCCCTTTGGCTCTGCCACTGATTACTCCGATGTCGCGGACAGTGAGGGAAGTCGTCTGCAGCCTATCTTTGAGGCATTCGCGAAGCAGGCTGCTTAGATGTGAATGACACTTGTTGATGACTTGGTTTAATGTTCTGCTTAAATAGATTTAGAAATGAATGTCTTGACGTTACACTGCTATGGCCAGGACCGGGTCTAGGGCAATCAGTTGGTGTCACTATAAAAAGCCCCTGAGTATCAAAATGAACATCATAGAAGGTTTGACGTGGTAAGACACGTAGTGCATGGAGAGTATAATTTTGGATGTCACTATGACTTCTCAGGGGCACTTTGTATTCACCCTTCGGATTTTGTCGCATTTTGGAACAACAAAGACCAACGCCTCTGATGAAACACCACGACTTATCGGCCATTCCTGTTTATTTGTTTCGGGTGCCTGCATCTTGGCCGTCTTTTGATATTTCAAATATCGACACTCACCTATCACATCATCTGCAGCTTCCCGCTGTATACAGGGTTGGCATATCAACTAATTCCAGATAGTGTTGTTACATCAGGTATTCCACCGTTTCCATCGTACAGCTCGTTTGACATCCCTTGTTTATTTATGATTCTTAATTCATCGTAAATACTCCTTGGCTATCGGTTCATCCTCAACCCTCAATCATCGATTTCCATTATCCACAATACCATGACCAAAACACCTGCAATCAATCGCTCCGTCACCCTCCACTGCGTCGGCGATTGGGGACAAGCCAACTTCCACCGCATCCTATCCTGGCTCACACAGGAATTCTGCGATCGCGCAGGTCCCCAAAGCCGCACTGCCATCTGGTCCGTTCGCGATGGAGGCATCGACACTCTCCGCCAGATCCATCACGGCGAAGCGGATGTGGGCATCTGTACACCTGCCAATCTGCTCAAGGCCGCCCTGACCGGAGAAGGCATGTTTGAACATACCACTGGCCCAATGCCTGATGTCCGGGCGCTGGCTGTTCTTCCGCAGCGTGATCGGATGATGTTCGCTATTGATCCACGATTTGGAGTTACTTCTTTTGCGGAGATCAGAGAGAAGAAGCTGCCGTTGCGGATTGCCGTGTCGAGCGATGATGGGACGAATTTCATCGGGCATGTGTCGGCACGTCTTCTTGAGGCACACGGGCTGGATGAACAGACAATTGTATCATGGGGAGGGGCTTGGGTCACAGCCTGTCGTCCTGAGCAGGTGATTGCCCTCGTAGAAACTGGCAAAGCAGACGCCGTCGTCCAAGAAGCCATCATGACGCCGTGGTGGAGAGATCTGATCGAAAGCAACAACCTCCTTCCTGTCTCTTTTGACGACGGTGTGATGAATCAACTATCCACTCAACACGGCTTTGACAAGGCGACCGTCCCTGCGGGTTTCTGGTCCGCCGTCAAGGAAGACGTTCAGTGTGCCGACTTTTCCGACTTTCTCGTTCTTGTTCGCGCCGATATGCCAGACGACATTGCATATCTCCTCACATACTGTTTGGTGGAAACAAGAGGCAAAATTGAAGCGCAGTATCTTCATATTCCGGCTGAACGAAGTCCGCTTTCATACCCAATAGACCCGGTCAAGATGGCACAGTCGACGGTCCAGCTTCATCCTGCGGCGGAGAGGTATTATCGGGAGAATGGATATTTGGGCTTTCAGAATGGGAAGAGACATTGTTGGGATGGATTGTATTGATGTTGAAGATATCTCGGGTGGCTGGTTTGGATACATTGTTATCGGATATATCTCCGATGCAAATACGTCCATCAACAGAATGCAGGAATTACTATAGACAGGAGACGAATTCATTTTACTTGAATGGTTTTATCTATTAATTAACATCACAAAATAAGATAATTCAATCCAAGATGTGCAAGCTGCAGTAGTAATTGTAATGTCTAATGTGAAATGGACAAGTGCGGGGTGTTATCTTTCCTCGGCTTCCTTCCGATTCCCTATCTCCATTCTTATTCGTACCTCGTCCTATAATCCATGACAGCCTTTCATATTCAATAAGAATATAATATCCATCAGACTTCTTTCTCATCATCTAAGATGACTCCACGTAATTCACCACTCACCCGAACCCCTCGGAAAGAACCACCCAAAGCAGCGTACGTTACCATCATTTTATTGAAAGACCTCTACTCACAGTCTAGATGCCAAACATGTCGGAAAAAGAAGGTCAAATGTTCCGGAACTCGTCCGTGCCAATATTGCAGTAAGAGAGGACTGGACTGCGAGATTCCCGAACAGGGGCAGAGGAGGGTTTATTCCATTTCGTACGTCTTCCTACTCCTAAGTGGATATTCTAATGAGAATAGACGAATACGAGACCTTCGGAACCGGCTGGCGCAGTATGAGAATAGTAGCTCTACTGGTATACCACACGATACGACAGCTGCAGTGGATGAATCGAATGCAAATCCAGTCACCTCTACCCAAACTGCAGACACGGAACTGTCACCTTCATCCAGTAAGTTGATCTTCCTGGTTCATTCATTTACTAACAGCACAGCCATCCATGCCGATTCCTCCTTGAGCTCAAGTTATATATTCAGCTCTCGAGTCCAGAGTCTACTGGAAAATCCTACACCCCAGAGGCAGACGACTGCCAATCATTGCTGCTCCAAAAACGACAACATACCCAGTCTACCAACAGAAGAACAAGCTCATCGGTTGCTAGAAGTAGTCATCTTCTTCATTGGCGAAACACAGCATCACTTCGATCTACGAGATTTTTCGGACCGACTATGTGCATTTTACGGCAACCCATCAGACAAGAAGACCCCGTGGTTCCTGCAGATGTTACTCGTTCTAGCGATAGGAAAGCTATTCGCCGGCGACTTTGATGACAGAGATGAACTACCGGGAAGTAAACTGTTTGAATACGCGCATCAGAATCTGCCTACGCTGGGAGAACTATATGCGTTGGACGTGCTTGGAGTAGAGATTCTAGCACTGGTTGCTGTCTATCTTCAGAATTTGAATCGGAAGGACGAGGCTTATATCTATGTATGTGATATCTCTGTTTGTGAATTTACTAACTAGATCAGATAAGCACCTCGTTACGATTGGCAATATCGCATAGCTATAACCGGACGTCGGGAATTAGAGGCTTCGTGCAGTCGAAAAGGGTCCATCTGAATAGGTTGTGGTGGACAATCTATATGCAGGAGAGGTAGGACATACCTTTTATGTATATCCAGTTCTAACAGATTAGACGACTGGCAGCTGCAACTGGTAACCCATTCAGCATCGGCGATGAAGGAATTGATCTCGACCTGCCATCAGATTGTCTGGGATATTCCACCACTGCGCCATTGCGGACGAATATCAAGATATCCAGAGTCCTTGGACGGATCATCACAGGTAGTCATCCCTCTCCTTTTAGATCATCTCCTAACTGCAGCAGTGATTTATGGACCACATCCTCACACCGAGGACGCCTTCATCCCGAGTGTTCGTGAAATCGTACAATCCATCTTTGACATTTCACAGGAGATACCCTCTGAATCAACCACAAGTTATCCAGGATTGACTCCGGAGTCGTCGATCAGAACATCAGCATATCTTCAATTGATGCTGTATCAGGCTACCATCGTGACAATCCGTCCCATCATGCTGCACGTCGCGAAACAAATTCTCCACGGCGAAACCATGGACAAAGACACCCTTAATACTTCACCACTCGGACGACTGTCTCGAACATGTTCAGAGGCAGCGCGGAGACTCCTTGAAGTTCTGATCACTCTACGCAAGCGAGATATGCTTAGTATGTTCTATACTTTCCTATACCTGTGAGCAGTACTAATGGCCATAGCTATATTTGGATTTTTCGACTTCGACGCTGCCTTTTCAGCTGCATTTATCATGATTCTCACGTCTATATTTGATTCTGTCTGTGAGGATGGGAGGCGTGCTACCAGTGGCCCTGGACTGAATGATGCATTAGACACGTTGCAATATCTTGGTGACCGGGGGAATCATTTCTCGAAGCAAGGATATCACGAGGTGCAGCAGATATGGTCTCATTTATCTGAGTATCTCCAAGCCAGACAGAGTACTCCAGAGCACCAGCCTGTCGGTGACGCTGATGTCCACTCTGCTTCTGCCGATTATATCGAGCAAACCGAATCCAACACAGAAACCTCAGTTGACAACACACTACTAACTGGTAATGCTTTGAGTGACATGCCGATGGACACCAATCTCTGGGATGACTTTTCGCATCTCTGGCAAGGTATAGATACGACTAATGTCTCTCATATTGCTGGAGCTGATGCGCAGAATTACTTCTATCCACTTTATAGCAACTTGGATATGGATCTAACGGGCGAGGATATGGAGGATTTTAATGAGTTCAGGAAGAGAGTATTGAACATCTGATATTTATGTATATGACCAAAGATATTGGATAACACATAATCATCAAGCAGTGAAATATAAAGCTAAAAATTCCTCGATATATCCCTCCCCTCCCGATCCGCAGCCAGCGTCTGCGTGAACGTTTCTCTCCTCTCTAATAGCAGGCCCCTCCCAATAGAATATGTAGATCGGAATCGCCACAACACAGCAATACATCCGAGAATCGTGCTGCCCCATGCCAAATGGAACTCGCCTCCGACATTCTCACACAGAGGCTTGGCATACATCGTCGCAATCTCTGTCAGAAAGTCGCGGGCGAATGGTCCCACCTGTTACTGAGGCCGAGGTGTTGGGGTATCTTTCTTTTTACAATATTATGGCTTCTGCTCGAGGGGGTGTCGACTGCGTCCGAGTATTCTTCTACGGAGGTAACGGCATCAAGATGAAACGTAAAAGGGCTCTTGTAGCCCTGGCCTATGCGACAGCACGGTCTTAAGTGTTGGGCCGGCAACCCTGACTTGTTTGGCAGTTCTCACAGCTCTACTAATACCACTTGAACGTGGATACCACCGGGAAGGCAAGGATACTCGCCTTGGTGGACGGCTGTCTCCAAAGGTCATTTGGCCGGATGGAGAACTTCCTCAGGATGTTCAGAGTTGAACATTTCAACGAAGACGACGTTGGCTTCGCTGGTAATCAGGAAATGCCCACTTAACCATCCATTCAGAATGTAGCACTTCATCAACGGTAGGTCGCTCCTCTGGCCGAAATGCCAGCATACGACGCATCAAATCCAAAAACGCAGCTTTCTCATTCTCATCAATCTCACCGCCCACTTTGCGTCTCCATTTCTGCACACAAATTTCGAATGAGTCCTCAAGGGATGGCCATTTATTTATCTGGCATGACTCTGTTGGGTTGCCGTGCTCGTCAAAGAACCGAGACCGTGCTTCCCAGGACTTCCACCAGTTTGAAGGCATAGGCCCGAGTACATCGACATGCTGAGCCACTATTTCATCCTCGGGTACAAAATCAGTGCTGAAGATTGCCTTCATTCCCATAATCTCCCAGATGGCCGTGGCCAGACTCCAGATGTCAGAGGGATATCCTAGCGGAGCCTGGAGTTCACACTTGGCTTCGGGGGCACGAAACGGAGTTGGTGTATGGCAATCTTGACCAAGGCGAACTTCTGATGGAGATGCAGGACAAAAGGCCTCACCAAAGTCGCTTAGCAGTGGTTGGGCGTCAGGCAATGTGAACTTTTCTGCATATTTACCTAGGAATAGTGGTGCCACTGCCTTGGCTGGGGCATTTGGGGGGAGTGGTTTCCCATCGCACCGTGTGACTGGGATTGTCTCGGGCTTCCCGTATTTTTCATATAATTGCTCGATAGAAAGATCGTCAAAGCTTGATGGAAGTTTAACCAAAACATTGTTTAAATGTATGTCTAAACAGTCCTTGTATCAGTTCACTGGTGCTAGATGCCACGGGAGTACAATCGACCAACCTCCATAAATAACGCTCTTCGAATGAGTATAAGCAACAGCCTGCACAAGTCCGAATGACAATGCTCAAGCGACGTCAACAGGGAAAAGTCGACTTAAAGAGACTTCTCTCAGGTTGCATTGCGCTGGAGGGACAGTATAGCATATATGCTTCCCATTAGGACCCTCTCAACCTCAAACTCGTCAAGTAGCACAGGTATTGAACAACGCCCACGGTGTGTAGATGGAGATGATAGGGCTTTGAGGACTTTGGCCTCGTGCGAAGACGAGTCTGTCATATTGACCTTGACGGTATGATATAGTAAGGAACCTACCCTCACAAATGCCGCAACGTATACGCATCCCACATACTGCCAAACAATGGGTACCAGTCCTCTGGTGCCGCGCCTCCCAGTCCAACAGCAACCAAAGTCCCAGTGTGATAGGCCGAATCTATAAAAACCCATGTGCCTAAAAAACTATAAAAGTAATGAGACAACACTCCGCCATCCCTATTCTTCCACATCAATATTAAAGTACCTGAAGTCAGCTAACCGCACACTATATATTGAGTCATCTTGGAGAACGGAGAGCAATAAGATATATCACATCCAGGACTAGATACTGCCAGGCTAATGTTACTGCTTGTTAAACAAGAAAGGTTGTCCGTGGGATTCCAGACTTGGCCTGTCTGGTCAGGAATCTAGGATGTTCAGGGATATTCTTAGCCTTCCATGTGTGTTGATGCCGCGCACATCAAAGAAAATAGCTGACGATAAGCGCCGTATCTGCGAAAATAATGAAGAAGAAGGCGTGATGACCCTCGCGCGCACCAGACCATCCCGGTCTACTGGATTGATAATAAAGACCTTGACAGCCTGAATCACGGCAAAGACTATTTGGGTTCCTGCTTTGCTGTAACGCATAGGGCTGACGGAGATACCATTTGAGATGCTGAAGAATTGGTAGGCCAGCCATAACGAGCATGAGATCCAAATGGGGTGGAGTTATGGTCCTTAGGGGGTAATGAGAAGCAGCAGGGTAGGAGGCACACTTTGCGCAAGACAAATAAGAATGGCGTTGGGAAATAGTGACAGACCCATGGCTGGAAAAGACATATTGACAATCTTGCGAGTGTTCGACGGTATTGGTTCCACGACGGGAACCGTATCCGGAAAATTATCTCATTTAAATCAGAGAAATCTGCGGCTGATCTTCTCCAGGATCCGCGTGGCTGTGGGCGTCTGACCTTTTGCATCGTGAACATTGAAGTCAATTCTTTTAGGCTTTGCGTATAAGACTAAGAATAAACACTAAATGTATCCTAAGAAAGCATAGAGTATGATTATTGAATTACCATGATGGAGAAAATGGTAATATATACCAATTAGCAACTGTGGTGGAGCAAGGTATTCATCCATATTAGAACTCTACTGAATAAAGATTGCATGATAAAGAACACTGAAGAAAGTCTGGCTCTCTTAAATGCGGATTTCAATATTGGAGGTATATTCTGAGCTAAATATAGAAATATCTGGCGAATGCGAGATCATAGAGCGGTGTGGTGAATTGACAGAATCTGCATGAATCTTGCATATGAATGAGGGCTTATCACTGCAGGTCTGCATTGCCGATCGCTTGATAGACGCACTACTAGAGAACAGAAGCATCCGTCTTTCAGCTTGAACACTATGTAATAATAATACATGTCAACAGTACTCAATATGATTATTAATAGGTTGGACTCCATCCGACCTGCTCTTCGCCGCCTTCTATTTTCCACCTACCAAACAATCACCTTCAATTTTATTGACTCCATCCAGGTCGAGAATGACCACCGATTCCAGCGCATATCGACGGCAAGACTGCAGGGGAGCGCTCCGCCCCTACAGACTAGCTCTTTGGCACCCAGAGCTGATATCTAGTTTATTCACGATGTGCATTCCACATACTGGAATCTCCACGGAATAGGTTGACCCTCAAACCCTAATGCAGACATATCTATCTGTAGGATACGTTCTCCAAGTCGTCAACGGGGACATAGAGAAGCTTTGCCAAACGAGAGACAGGGTGAATTATGTCATCAATGCTCCCTACGGTGGATAACTGCCAAATGGCGATTTCGGTATGTCCTTGGAGGGACTCAATGTGATGTGATTCCTCATCTAGAGCGATCTCTATTGGTAGACGACGATGAGCTCGAGTTTTACACGGATCAGTTCTTGCGGTCTGGCCCGGCCGGTCCATGTACCTATACTCTCTGGCATGATGAATGTCTCAGACAACGGACGCCGGATGGTGAACTTTTATCGTAGTCACTACAAAAACCGCCAGGAGGACCAGGTACTGTTGCAGAGAGACCAGGATGACTAAATCCACTGCCCCACTGTATGCATCTAGCCTTCGCAGGACCTCATGATCAGCCGGGAGATGGCCGAGTCCATGTCTCCCTAATCTGACCTTCGAGGAGCTCACCGGAGCTAGCCGTTATGCAATGTGGGAAAGCCGGGAGAAATGAATAATATCCTCAAGGATTGGCTGGCTGACAAGGTTGATTAGGCTAATCAAGTACCGGCTTAATGTGGAATGATTTCCTGCTTCCTGGGGTATCCACTGTTTCCCTGTATGTCTAGTGATTTCTCGGTGTTGAGGGGGTTTTCCGCTGCATAGACAGTATGCAATGTAACTCAACCAAGTGGAGCTGCCGATGCAGGGCCCAGCATAATATGCTAAATTTTGGGCGACACTCTGCCAAGCTGCGCTAAACTTTGTATGAGAAGACGGGTGGATTTTTATATCCAATTGATTAGTAAAGTAGCATCTTATATTGACTGGCACTGTCTCACTCTGTGGTAAACAAGTTACAGCTCAACATGGCGTGGTTTTAGGCTGAATGTCGTGGGATGTTCCCATCTGTCCCAAGAGGAGTAGAAACCGTCCGCTGGCTGGACCTAGTATAGACAGGGGAGCATTTCCTGGTCGGGCAATCTACCGGCTACGAAACAGTAATTTGGTGATTTTACCGAATATTCTCCCCAGATTCGCCTGTCCAAAATGGCAGACAGCAGTTGACGATGGCTCGATTACTCTGGTCTTCCGGCAAAATGCTATATGCCTATGTAATACTGTCTGTGCCTGAAGTCAAGGTAACCTAAACCCGAGGAACATATACCTCGGCATGCATCATACCATATCGTCTACTTTCAGCAATCAGTGGATATTTTTTGGAACTAACCAGCGATCCCAGTGGAGCAATTTCTTCGGCATTAATTTTCTTCGGCATGTCTCACTGCTGTCGCTGTTTCGTTTCACCCTGACTGTCGGCCCCACTATATAGATCAATTTGAAACAACTTAATCAAGCCGCCGAGTTCACCGGTTAAAAGACTTGCTTAATTTCCAGGGGCTGTTGGATATATAACACCCTTCCATCACCCTTCTTCCTCCTTCCCAAATCCATCATCATCCTGTTTCCTCATTGCCAAATCCATCAACTTCAACATGCGCTATTCTCTCCTCGCCTGTCTGGCTGCCGTCGGCGCCATTGCTTCTCCCATCGTGCAGGAGGAATCTGAGGTCTACAACACGACTCTCATTGCCCGGTCCACCCCCAGCTCCACCGGCACCAACAATGGCTACTACTACTCCTTCTGGAACGACGGTGGCGGCGATGTGACCTACACCAACGGCAATGGTGGCTCCTACTCCGTCGACTGGTCCAACGTCGGCAACTTCGTCGCCGGAAAGGGCTGGAATCCTGGAAGTGCTAGGTAAGCACCTTTAATTACTCTATTGTTAATCTATACTCATGGAAGCAGGGCCATCACGTATTCCGGCAGCTTCACCCCCAACGGAAACGGCTATCTCAGCGTCTACGGCTGGACCAGAAACCCATTGGTCGAGTACTACATTGTCGAATCGTACGGCGACTACAACCCCGGCAGCGGAGGAACCTACAAGGGCACCGTCACCAGCGACGGATCGAGCTACAAGATCTACACCGCGACTCGCCAGAATGCCCCCTCGATTGACGGCACAGCCACCTTCACGCAGTACTGGTCTGTTCGGGACAGCAAGAGAGTGGGCGGAACCATCACCACGGCGAACCACTTCAACGCGTGGGCCAAGCTGGGAATGAAGCTGGGAACGCACAACTACCAGATTCTGGCGACGGAGGGATACCAGAGCAGTGGTTCTTCCAAGATTACTGTTTCCTAGATATTTCCACTTGTATTGAGGAATCATACATTGTCTTAGCAGCTGCAAATCGTTTGATACACTCATGCGGCTTTAGGATTAGTCTTATTCTACTATTAGGGGATGAGAATTTGCACCCTCGTACCTTTTAACACTGGTATCCTATTGTGGATTGGATATAGCTATAGCATGACAGTTAGATTAAGTAAAGATAAATTAAAATGCGAAAAGGACTATCAGACAGGTATGCTGCAAGTTGATGACGCTAAGATAAACATGGTATTGCTAGGAGAAACAGATTTTGTAATATATAGGAATTAGATGGATTAAAGGGATCAGTGTCTTTAATGATCTACTGTCCCACAAGCGTATCATCCCGCTACATGCTGTCCCATATGTAGTAATCGTGGTATATAGATACTATATCCTCCTAGCTTGTCAGATATAATCTACGACTGAATTGGCAAGTGTACTGAATAGGGTAATATCTGCCTGAGTCTATTCAACCAGCATCCATACAATTCAAGATTCTTCATGGCGAGTCCATCATGTCAACCCAGCAAAAGCTTCCCTCCCAACTCCCCGATCTCAACTGGCACAAACTCTCCTCACCCGATAAGCATCCCACCCGCACCTACGGTGTCACACTCTACGCCGACATCTTCCGCCGCGTCAACACAGACACTGAAAAAGCCCCCGCCATCATCCCCTGGAGTTCATACGGCAAGACCGGCTCCGGCACCCAGCACGTCGAAGTCATAATGAAGGATTCTGGAAGTTGGTCTAGGATGGGTTTGTGGATCCAAGATACGCAGAGGTGCCGCCGGAGATGATCAGGAAGCGGCCGCTGTTTGACGCGTACTGGGCGAGTACCTGTCGTTGCTGGGCTTTGAAGCGGATGAAGTCCGGCACAGACTATCCACGAATGGCCTGAGATGGAGTATCCGCTTGCCAGAAAACAGCTCGTCAAGCTTCTCCAGATGCCTCCACAAAGACCCTGCAGCGGGGAGAAGTGCAGTCCATCTCACCGACTACTGCCAAGAACAACCACGTCAGAAAAGCTTGCAGTTCACGATAGAGGGACCGCTTTCGTCATATTCCTTATTGAACATCCGCATCTGTTGGGAGGTAGAAAGTGAGGCAAGGATCGAGCCTCCAATCCACACTGAATACTTGCGTTCCGGAGGAGCGATACCCTTGACTTTCATCGATGCCGGAGCGAGAACAGTCAATTCCTTGTGTAGTCGGTCTGGAATACCAGTCAGTCTACAAATAAATAGTAGACAGTGAAATATATCAGATTGCGCTATGAGGCCGTCAGCCCATGTGATATGCGACGTTATCATTCATCCTGCAATGAACAGTACTGATTCCAGCTAAGGTGATCTGAGTATTCGGCACGGCGAATAAACAGTAATGCAACATGAAGGCCAATGCTTGTTATCTACTTGATTTTTCCCAGCCATTGATAATCACTTAAGCGAATCTCCTATTTGATAATCAGAAATATTCAACTAATTTATAGAGCTAGGTGCATACTTGCCTCTGGTGAGAACTTGTCATAATGGGTTCCGTAACTGATATTCATGTAGTGGTTTGATATCGACGATTTTCCCTCCTTTTCAACATAGAAGCCATTGCCCCTTCTCCACATTGACGCATCCTTGCTATGAAATTAAATTAGCTAATCATTCTCATGACCTTCGTTTTTAGCAACTGTGTGGACAAAAAAAATTTTTGAGTCATGGGATCTTGATTGCAAAACTGTATAAATCCAGGAATCAACTGATGAACAAACAAACAGACAAAACCAAAGTAATGATTGAACGGAAAGATGAAGAATATAAGATAGAATAGCTACAATCAGCATGAAATTTGAGAACAATCTCAATCAGGCTTAAGTTGGTAATGTATATTGACTTGAACATTTCATATGTCGCCCAAGAAGCACCTTACCTAGTGGGAGCACTGGAATTGTATGTGTGGTTCGAGCCTTCGAATGCACTGCCACTGCTCTGGGATGAAGAGCTCCCGAAGGTCGGCTTTGGAGCGGCTGATTGTTTCGACTGGCCAAAACCCCCCGTCGAGCCAAAGCCGCCGGTAGAGCCGAAACCAGTACCAGAGGAACCATTGGACGAGGAGAAGCTCGGAGATGGGGCACCGCCGAATAAATTTGTTGGCTTGGGGGGGTTGCTGAAAGCGCCACCCGGAGAGAAATGACTTGACGACGGTGTCTGAAGGCCTCCAAATAAACCCCCCGACGTGGCAGCTGGAGTGGAAGATTTACTGAAAAGGCTGCCAGAGGAAGCGCTATTTGGAGTTGTACTTTGAGGAGTTCCAGACAACGATCCGGTGAAAATGCCATTGGTAAAAGCGCTAGCAGATAATTGAGCTTTGTTGGTTGGCGAACCAGAAGCAGCATCCGGAGTCAGTGTCGATTTGGTAGCGGTGGAGGTGCTAGCTGGGGGTCCTAAGTCAATCATTAGAGATATTCCTTTTGATGTATCCATCGACATACCAGGTGCTCGACTGGGCACTGCGGCTTGGCCATTGGAAATGGTCTTTTCAGCGGAGGGTTGAGGGTCTTGCTGAGTTTTCAAAGGCACGCCTGCTGCCTTGACTTTTGCTTTTGGTATATTAAATTGATTCAAGGCTCGCAAACCTGCCTGTAGCTTTTCCAGATCGCGCGCTAGAAGGTCTCGCTCCTCCATGATGAAAGAAGGCTCAGAGGCAAGTTCGCGCACCTGTTGATCGTCCATATTATTGATTGTTTGGCTGGTGAAGATACCACTCAACGGACCGAGAAGACAGTTTTCAATAGCAAGTGTAGCAATGTTATCGATGAACGTCGCTATAGCAGTCTGTTCTTGTTTAGAATCCACAAATTGAGGATTGTAGGTCTGTCTACTTACATCATAATATGCTTGCATCTGGTCGATGATCTCAGCCGCCGCAAACTGATTACTCGATGACTCCAGCTTCTCGGTCCCTTGCTTGATGCTTTCAAGAGTAAACTTCTCCTCTTTCTTTGAATTCTCTGGCTGGAGTGCTTGGAATAATTTGAACGCGTAGCGATCACTCCTAGCCTTTTGTACCCTTGCAAGGAAGTTGTAACTAAGCGGTAGTGGATGACCTCGTTTTTGATACGCAGTCAACTCTTCAAGCTTTCCCAAAAGCTGCGTTTGCATCTTGTCAAGCTGAGGACCAATGACAGTGCCTACCACAGCCTGGTAGGTGTATTCATCAGTGAGATGTTGCATCACCAGGCTGATGAAGAAGCCCACGGACTCCCAGGCCTTGATCAAATGATGTCGGGCGAGCTCTTCCCACGGTTTGGACTGATCTCGGAAGAGAGTGCCGACCAAGAGCTGGTTTGCATTGCCCGGGAGCTCGATTCCCCGATTTCGACGCGCGAGATCGTTGATCTCCTTTTCGATTTCTGGTCTGCCAATGTACATGGGTTGTCGGAGGTCTTTATAGGAGTTGCCGGTTTCGAAAATATTGTAGCCCGAGCCATTAACGCCCAAGATATATCTCCGACACCCTCGACTCTCCATATTTTCTGCGAAGTGCTCATTCAGATCTCGAATGACCGCACGCAGACGACGAGTATCCTGCGTACTTGACAGATCACAATTCTCTAACCCCCCAAAGAAGTCGTCAGTGTACATTCCATCAAGGGCTTGGCCGGTTATCCGCTCGAAGCCACTGCTCAAGCCGAGGAGAAATCCTCTTTGCTGCTGAAGGGTCGACCGAGAGGCGCCCAGTTTATTTAACCGGGACTGTCTGTCCTGGATCTTGTCGTTGATGTCGCTGATCAATCCGGGGAGATTATTGCGAATATGCTTGAGCAGAACACCACTCAGTCGACGCCGTAGGCTGTCAATCCCGACGCAGTCTCTTGGGATCGAGATCCACTTTCCTTTTCTGAAAAAATCTCGTTCTTGACCGTCTCTCTCATCGTCCGACGCATTGCGTGTCTCAAAGGAGCGGTTGCGCAACGCATGCCATCCCAGCTGGAGCCGGACATTTTGATTCTGGACATTTTTTAGCCAGGATTCCTCCTCCTCCGAGTGAGGTTCCAGCGTATCTGGCTGTGTGACGATACCGATGGTTCTCTCGCGAGTGGAATCGAATTTCTCCGCAATATTCAGTACCTCTTGGACATGGAGGTCGGCTTTTGCAGAAAAGACAGCGAGAATGATACTCCGAGCATTCTTCATGTATCTCTCCGTAAGGGAACGCACAATCTGAATGCCCTCTTGGCCCTGGCTGGCACTGGTAGAATAATACAGACCAGGCAGATCGACCAGGGTCAATTCCGGCTTGTCAGGGCCAGAGATTTCAATTTTCAGAATATCATCACTGAATCCAACATCGCCGGTAATCCCCATACAGTCTTTCGCTTGTTCAATCAATTCGGGCAGGCGATCACTGTTGGTGAACGCAGCAGGGGAAAATTCCTTCAGCTTCACCCGGTCGGAATCGCTCTTTCTCCATGAGCCCGGCTCAATTGTCACCTTGAAGCGCGCGATCGGTTGACGACGAAGACTGACTTCGGTAGCAAATCGCGTGCAGAGATTGCTCTTCATGGGAAATCGCACTCGCGATATCGCCTCAAGAACAGAACTCTTTCCGCTGCTCTGATTACCACAGACGATGATCTGAGGCAGCTCAACGAGACCACCAACGCCAATCGTGCGCAGCTCGTCGATCTTATCGAGCAGCCATCCTTGTTGAGCCTGTAGCTGTTTTAGTGCTTCCCCTTCCTTGCCAGTATCAGACATGTTGCAAAATATGGCTCGTGAGGGAGGAAATGAGAATGAGAGGGAGTGACAGAGAATAAACCCACGGTGATCATCTGCCGCAGCTCATGTGGTTATTTAAATTACTTCCGCTATTTAGGGGCTGCGATATTTTTTTGTTTTCCACCTGGCGCAGTCACCTTGCTCTAGTCTGGGCGTTTAGCTCAAGAATCCCTGCTACAAGGCTTCTCTCGCTTGGGGTAACCCTGCGCTTCCGTGTCAGACCCGACCCCTAATCGTTTGCTAGCAATCGATAATGTATAGAATCCATCGGGATAGAGCCCCCGACACAGCTGAAAATTTATTCTCTTGTCGCGATGCCCTGGAATTTTCGTTGGATCAAATAATATATTACATAGCATGAACAACGCGGAAGAACGCCAAATCTCAGTGGAGATACGGCGGATCGGGACAAAATCATAATAAGTATCCACCACAAGGTGATGCGCGTGAGAAGTAATTGGTCAGGCTTTCGGGCGTTATCGTACTACTAAATTTATATTTTAAAGGAAGAGTATTCTCCTAGCGCTGCCGCCGTGCCGCAGCCAATCATTCTAGTGTATTCCACTCGCGTCAGTGGCTATGTGGAGATGCTCAGCCATCCATTCTTTTTGATGGGTTATTGTAATTTGGACACGAATAAATCAATCCAGAATGAGGATGCTGGATACAGTAGTCGTCTCACCCTCGCCGGATCCCGCGGGCCCGTCAACTGGAAAATATCGTGTTATAGAACCGACATTGTTATGATCCAGCTTGTGATTCCATCTCCGTGAGTGCATCAGCCCATTCAACCGACTTCGCTCCGGCCGAGGGGCATACAAGCTCCAATTTGTCACTTTCAAGCTATCAAACGGCCAGCAAAGTGTTGTCGTAGAGGGTGCCTCTACGGAGACTGGCTATAAAAGTCTTCCATCAGAAGCTGTCTTCTGCTGTGGGCAGTAACGGAAAGCCAGCTCGGACGCGAATAATGAGAATCGGGGAGACCATGTTGTTTGAAAGGAGGTGAATATGATTCTGTTTGGTTGTGCCAGTTCTTTAACTTTATACAAGACTGGTTCTGTGTGAAGTTTTTGAATGGTTGATATATTGGTAGACGGTCTAAGCCCAAATATCCTTCAACTCAGCTCCCAGTGAAGTAACCGGCCAGCCAGTTCGTTTCTGGCATGATTCCACCAGCTCAAGAAGTCTTTCCTGGGATTGCCTATCCTGCACACAGAGTCCAGCTAAAGGGTCAGCAGATATAGATACAGTAGATGAAGGACATACCGATAAAAAGACACTGCGCGGACATGAAACTCGATGCTTCATCTGTCATAGTCATCGCCACGCCACATATAACTCTAGCACTACGCTGCAGTGCTTTCGATCGCTCCACGAATCTATCCCACCCCCCTATAGATGGCTCATTCAGACGAAGGAGAATCTGAGCGGCGTGATGGATTTGCATAGCAACGCCTGGACTGTTAACAATGACCATGTAGATAGCAGGTTACGCACCAAATGTCGCAGGACGAATCCAAATCGGCTGAAATACAGATTCAGATGAAAGAGTAGGCAATGGCTCGAATTCCACCGTCAAATGCCGTCGCCATTCATCGAGTAACCCTCGCAGTTGAGCAGCCCGCTCAATCCGCCAGGGAAGATCGCACTTTCCCTGTTCCCGCGAACAGTAATTGACAACCTGCGCCATGATCCAGACTGCCCTCGAGGCGACTTCATAGCAACACATATCCGGATACTGCTTCTTCGGCGTCCAAAAGGTAAACGTCTTCCGGCGCTCCCGAAACGCAGCCCAGATATCCTGACACAGCCACGCCCACCAGATGGCACTTTTCAGTCCCCCGGATTCGCTGTGGATTACCTGTGATCGCTGAATCCAGAAGACGCCTTCGAGATGTCGTTCCCAGTCTTTGCATGATCCGTCGAGCATTTCGTACGTGGAGATGATGAGTGTTGTCGCGAGAAGTTCGAGGCTGGTTTGGTAGGTTGGATGGCGCATGGCTTTTTGGACGTAGTGGAGTGTCTGATAGTAGTACTGTAGCGCACTGTTTCGGTCTGGTGGTTCTTCAATCTCGATGGATGGGTTGAGAGAGAGATGGCGGCATGAGAGGGCGAGGATGGCGTTCATCAAGCCGGGGTTTCGGACCTGAGACTTAGTATTGAACAAAGTATATAAGAAGGACCTACTGCTAGATGTGGAACAAATGTAGCGAATTGCTTCATCGGATCGAATAGATCAATCTGTATTGTCAGTCAGATCACCAACTGGTCGTGAACATACCCATTGACTTATCCGATTAATAAAGTTCTCAAACAACACATGTTCTTTTGGCAAAAGCTGAATCGTCTCCGGCGACTGCCACAACTCCCGCTCTGATTCTTGAGTTCGTGGTGATATCACGTTCTGCTCAACCTGATGATCTACAATTTTCGTCGCCTGCTGCAGAGGAGTAACCGGCTCCCAGACAGTGTCATAGTCGAGAAAACTCCAGTCAATACCTTCTTCCACTCCAGTGGGAACAGCCTCGCGAGCAGCATCGGTAGCCAACAGCCCAAACCAGCGGACTGCAGCCGTACTCAATGTCGGGCCGGATGTTTGTGTGCCTGCATCTGATACGTGGGGAGACTCGATCTGGTTGGATGGTGTATACGGATTCGGGACGCTGGGTGAGGTAATTGGGATCTCAACGTGTGGTTGGTCTGCATTTTCATGCAGGTTACGACCATCACATGGTGAATAAACCTGGGCATCCTGTGATTCATTCAACACAGGCGTCTCGGACGGAGAGGCGAGAGCCGTCCGCGGCGACTCAGGAACATTCCGTCTCGGTGTCTCAGTCTCGGTGACGGTGAAGATACTCGATTCAGACTCTCCGTAAACACAATCCCGGTCAGCTTTGACACAGGGACCGCACAACGGCTTAGCTTCGTCGCATTTTAGATGTCGTCGACGACAGGTTGTGCTGCAGATGTTAATCTTAGACTACACTTGGTGTTTATGATACCTACCATCCAGTCGTCGTCCGCAGACCTCGCCCTCGCGGCTTTCGAATTCTCTTTCGTCGAATAATAGCCATTTTACCGTAGCGAGCAGTAGAACCACTGGATGGTTGTCGTTGATGCATTGAATGCTCACGTGGATCCCCGATGCGGGGTACAGGCTAAATCATCGGCTACGGCTAAATGGGTAATTCATCATAATTAAGCGATGTAAATGTTCATATCAGTTTATAATATATAGTCCTAGTAAGTCTACTGCAGATTCACAAACATGCCTCCATCAGCCAATAGAGGCGCCCCATTCACATATCGACTCATCTCCTCCGACGCCAAAAACACCGCTGGCCCAGCCATATCCTCCGGACTGCCAATCCGACCAAGAGGGATTCTAGCCTCCAAGGCAGCCTTTTTCGTCGGGTTCTTCATATCATGATCCGCTAGCTGCGTGTTGATCGTACCGGGAAGAAGAGCATTGCATCTGATCTTATCTTTGCCCAGTGAAATCGCCATTGACTGCATCATGGAGAGGATTGCAGCTTTGGTCGGTGTATAGTGTGTCTGCAGACCACCGCCGACTAAAGCGCTGACAGAGGAAATACCAATGATAGATCCTCCATGGCCTTGTTTAACCATCTGTCGGGCTGCTGCTTGGCAGGAGTAAAATGCGCCTTTGATGTTGACGTCGATGCTCTGGTCCAGAAGCTCAGGTTCGATTCTACCAAGTCAGTTTACTACCTCTTGTTTGATTAGAATGAACATACTTGAGTAGCTCAGCCTGTTTAAAAACACCCGCATTGGCAACGAAAATATCCAACTTCCCCCATCGCCCAACCGCCTCGTTGATCAGTGTCTCGCTCGTCTGCGGAACAGTCACGTTGCCCGCTATCTCCAGCACATCACCAACGGACTCTCTCCCCTGTCGCAGGGTCTTGACTTCGTCTAGTAAACTGTGTCGAAGCGCTTCATCTTTCTCCAGACCGAGATGGTTGATGGCGACGTTGCAGCCTTGGCGGATGAATTCGAGGGCAATGGCGCGGCCAATCCCGGTGGTGCCGCCTGTGATGGCCGCAGTTTTGCCTTTGAGGATGTTCCAGGCTGGGAGGGCCATTCTGTTTATATTTAGATACTTGAATTGGATTGATGATATTGATATTGATGTTGGTGTAATTGTCGTGTTTATAACTGGAATGGCCCTCGTGTCGGGGCCAGTGCGGGGTTGTGGGGTGTGGAGCTGTGAATGCGCCGACACGAGTCAAGGGTATGTATCTCAGTGATAGACATTGAATCACTCCAACAGTATATATCATTAAATGATCATCATTATTTATGAATTGAATCATAGGGCACTCCTTCCCTCGCCCTGTGGCTTTGTAATCACATATATTATTGTACATGTCATCGCAATGGCCTTTAACATCATTGCTGATTCTTCTATTATTCAACGATGCATTCAAATAAATGGCTAGATATATGATTCACTGATTCCTTTTAAATAATAGCAAATGCTTCTAGCACTAACTCCCTAAAACTTACTGCGGTGGGTATAAATGTTCATAACAGAACTTCCATACCAGATACCTAGGATCCAGCCCAGACATCCTAATGTTCGTTTCGCATCGTGAGAAGGGCATGTTTTTGATGAGAACAATTACCACATTCGCTGGCGCATTTCAGGGGTGATTGTATCAGCTGTATGGGCATACTCAGCCTCGACCCAGAGCGTCCAGTCCCAGTCAATCCAGTCGAGAAAGTCCCATGCTAGGGTCTTATCAGTCCATCGCAGAAGAGGCGAGATGTATTGTCCGAAAAAGCCGGGTGTTTTGTAGGACCGATTAGGATCTCTCCCACGGTTAAATGACGTGTTGGCAAAGTCAATGTGGATAAGCCTTCCATCAGGATGCATAATCACATTCCGAGGACTGTTGTCTCGGTTGACAATGTCCGCTTGATGGAATATGAGAGTGTCAAAGTCAATGATTGACTTCATGAGCTCCTGACGGGCAGTTTGAGAGAAGTCTTTCGGGTCGGCGTCGCGCATTGTGATGCCTGGGATATGTTCCACCAGGATGAGGCGAACGGTGCGCGACCCCAACCCATCAACAGGGATATCTTCAACAGGAATATCCAGGGAATAGGATCCATAGAATCGAGGGATAGACTCTCCTTGCAGGTCGGTGAGAAGTTTGTATGCGGCCACTTCATGCGTATAGTGTTCATTGGTGCAAAGAAAGGGGTTTGCATAGCCCTCTTCATCATTGAAATAAAGAGGGTCGTACACTTTGGCCACCATTTTTTGATCTGGCAAAGCCAAGCCAGGCGTTGATGTGACAACTTGGACCGTAAAGACCTGAGCATTTGATCCATCTCCAACTCTTAATTGATCGATAACTTGCAATTGGAGAGTATCTGATCCAATCTTGCCTGATAAAGGAGGGTTTCGCAGACATCGCTCAATAGGACTAAGCTGGCTCCTTTCCTCTCTCCCAGCTTTAAAGTTACGGCAACAACCGCGAGTCACTGGTGTTGGAGGAGGAGGAATGTATGATTGGACAGTAAATCTCCAGCCCTTCAAATATGGGACTGGAGGCTTGGGGAGTTCAGTGGACGGGATATCCATGAGGGTCGAGTCAGCGTAATGCTGGCTCGATAGATTCACGAGGATAGATGAAGTGGAAAAGAATGTCGAACGCGAAAGGGATGGAGATGAAAGGACATTAACGGCTTCCGGACTTGGATATTCTCAGGGCCCACCGATAGATCTTCTTTCAATCGGAATAGACCCACCCTACTTGGCAAGGTATATATAGCGGTGTCTCTGGCTTGAAGGTATTTTAGTTCACGTCTTTCAGGTCATCTACTTCTATTTCCGGGTTAGGCGCTGCCCAATGATCTCCTTGAACGCCTGAAGACGCTTGTGTAGTCGTCTCTCGACACTGCCAGGTTGATTGGATCGGAATTATTTAGCAGTAGCACAGGTCATAGAATAACTGCGCCATCAAGTAGAAAAATCATTATCTACTTTAGTGACCATCGTAGTGCTCCTCGACGAAGGGCTTCGGAGCAAATTGCTGCTTTCTGCCAGTGATAATAACTATCTTGTTCCATAAATCTAGTTGGGCAATGCTTCTACAAACGACCAGGTTATAGACGTCAATTTCGAATCGAGGGCATTCATCTTCAAGTAGAGGGTTGACCATTTATCAGTACTTATTATTTGTTCAGTCAAGAACAGTATGGGGGAAGTAATTATCATTATCAATACATTAACCCAGGATGCTTTAGTCTAAATACCGCGAGTGGAACTGCGAATATGATCAACCATATCCAGCACCTTGGAGTAGCATTCTGTCCCATAAATGATTCGTCCAGTGGCTTTTGATCCACATCCAAGCTGTATCAGGTCAACTCAAAATGGGCCATCTAGATACACACCTTGCGGAGATGTGTCCGGGTACCTTTTCGGCTGAGTATTTTATCAACTATCATACCGCTCCCGCTGTTCCTGGGTGATGGTGTCAGCAGTATGGGCGTACTCAGCTTTCACCCAAGGCTCCCAATCCCAATCAATCCAGTCTTGAAAGTCCCATGCATTGTCTTGATTGGTCCAGCGCAGAAGAGGCGAGATATATTGCCCAAGGAACATATCTATCGTTGAAGCAAAATAATCGTCAGTCTTGCGACCGAACAAGACATTGGCAAAGTCAATGTATACTAGTTTTCCTTCTGGATGCATGATCACATTCCGGGGACTGATGTCCTCATTGCACATATCCTTTTTAAAATAAACATCTGTCTCAAAATCAATGATTTTCTTCATAACCTGCTGTCGGGCAGATTGAGAGAAATCCTGAGGGTTGGCATCTTTCATGAGGATGCCCGGAATGTATTCGACCAGGATGAGACGGACAGTCCGGACCCCTAGTCCTTCGACAGGAATGTCCAAGGAGTAAGACCCGTAGAACGTAGGAACAGCGTCCCCTTGGAACTCAGAGAGATTTTCATATGAAGCAACTTCATGAGTATAGTGTTTATCAACACAGCGAAAGGAGTTTAGATAGCCGTCATCATCATCATGGTACAGGGGATCATATACTTTAGCCACCACTTTTTGACCTGGCCAAGAAGATTCCGGATTTGACCCAATGATATTAATCACGAAGACTTGTGCATTGGTGCCATCTTTAACTTTTAATAGATGAACAATCTCTAGTTCAAGAGTAGTTGATCCTGCCTTCCCCGGCAAAGGAGGATTTTGCAGACATCGTTCAGCGGCGCTAAGATCTCGTCTTTCTTCTATTTCGGGCATGGAATTGCAGCAACCATTTTGAGTCACTGGTGTTGGAGGAGGAGGGGTATGCGACTGGACGGTGAATCTCCAGCCCTTGACATACGGGATTGGTGGTTTTGGCAGTTCTGTGGATGGAATCTCCATTGGTGACAGCGCGGATTGGATCTATATCACTGGATTATGAAAGAATTGATGATGGTGGCGGTGAAGAGGAAGATTGAAAGAAAGCGAAAGGGATAAAGGCGATGAACGAGGCCGGAGTAACGGGCTTATCTATTTTCCGGATAGTTATGCTGTACGGTGGACTTTATTTGCGTTAAGCGCCAGACGATGTGACCGAGTCGCGGCATCGCCAGATCCACCAGCCAATCATATTAAATCAGAGCCCCTCCTGCCTGGAATCATTGGCTGGGCAGACAAACACGATCCACAATGAAAGTTTATTTCCAAATCTACTCCATTCGGCAAGAATATACAATTGCGGCATATGTATGATTTGCTACTGGATACCTGGCGGTTATAATCTTGAATATAGCCCAGCATATTTTATTCATTGCCGCCAATAGTCCAGGGACCAAGCAAAAGATCCAGTGTCTATCCTCAGACCTGTAAGCGCCTGTCACCCCAAGAGCTGATGACCATTTGACACTTTTCGATCGACATGTTCGCGGCTCAAACTTGCCATCTCATCCAATACGTCCGTGGATATACACGCCACTACTATGGTCCGGCGAAAGTCATACGCACAGAGTGCAATATCCCTGGCTGAACAAGCCCAGTGTTTTGAACTCAAGGCAATTTATAAATACTCGGCAGTTCTCCAGCGCAGAGCAACATCAATCCTTCATCCTCTTCCGCAGAAACAATGCCTCTACCAACAGCTCTATCGGTCCTGAACTCTTTCGATACTAAATTGCCCAGAGACCCTGAAATCCAATTCGGTTTCAGGGAAACTTATCGAAAGTTTGAGTCAAGCGTCTCATCAACTCGCGACACTGGCGCCATCCCTGCCTTTCTCAAAGAAGACCTTTCAATCTACCAACGCATTTTCGACGACTATTTCAAGGGTATCAAGGACCGCGATGAGCTCAGTGTGCCCATGCCCGTGCTTGAAAAGTCACATCTACTCAACACTGAATCGGATGTGATGCGGCTTGCGATGCTGCAGCTCATCCACCCCGTGAATATTGCTCTCCAGGAGCTATGCCCCGAGGGTACACGACTTGTCTGCGGGAATGAGACCTCTCGTGGGTCTAACAGCCGCTTCGATCTCCAGTGGTCCTTGTATTCAAACGACGGACGGCTTCTCAAACTCCTTGCCATTCTTGAAGTCAAAAACACCCATGTCATTCATTGGGACGACTTTAAGCCTGCCGAGGCCACCGAGCAGACCCTTTACAACAAAACGGCGCAGGCCATGGCGAAGAGCATCCACCGTACACTGCTCAAGTCAAATGCAGTATGGCTGTCTAAGCAAGCAGCAAAGTACGCAGCGTACTGTAGCTACGTCGCAGTGTTTGACTGGAACGCAATATTTATTTTCAATTTCACCTACTTCAAAGACCAGACAAGAGACCAGGGTGTGAGAGGAATTCATTTCAACGAATCCGGCCAAACCAGAGGAATGACATTTCGCCGCCTGCTGTTCGCGTTTGTGGCTCGGCCATTGCAAAATCATCTGAAGAGGTAGTGTGATTGATTGCTCTTTTATTTTAGCAAATATGTATTCTTTTATTTCAATTAGTTGGACTTGTAGCTTGTCTCCTCTCTCTTCTTCCCGGAAAGAATCCATTCCACCTGTGGCATCAGTCCCGCACTCTGCTAGAAATGACAGCGTATGGGACTCCCGGCAATGTTGACTTGAAATGCTACTCAGGTGGATGAACTACTTCTGTCCTTCTTCGTTTTCCTAATTCACCCCTTGTGAAATGTTGAGCTGAACTGGTGAATGGAATGCTTGAATGTTGACCTGGTGAGCAAGCACAAACTATCTTCGTATCCAACTTAGTTGCTGGTCGAAATCCTTCCATAGCTAGCCAATGCACTTGTACCAGAGCTGCATCCCGACTACAAAATAAAGGATAATTATATTTCCAGCTCAGAACCCAAGTTGTGGTGAAATAAACATACAAAACTAGCAGGGCATTTGAGTATATTGTTATCACCCTATTCTATACTTAAATATCGCTACTACATACAACCATTTTTATGACTGCCAATATTCAACTCTGACTACAGCGCCAGTCCGTTCCCAGTTTCATACTTCCTCCTCCATCGTAACGGCGCCTCTGCTCCAACAGCCAATTTTCCTATAGGTGCATCAGGCTCTGCATCACCAACATACCCCGGAAGAGAATCAAGCAGGTCTTTCTCCGATGCCTCTTTTTCCACAGACGGCAGTGACGTAGAACAGAGCGCTGCGGTCAACTTCATAATAGCATGGCTGTCCAGGCAATCAGTCCATGGGACCTGCGCCATAGCAGTGAAACAGGTAAAAAGTAGAAACAACAGATAGAAGCCGATCAAAAAGGAAAGCCCAACCATAGCCCCTGTCGATATTCTCGGTCTTGGGCTATCCAGATGTGCCCTATGGAAAATATTCAACGAGGGACCCTCCTCAACGTCTTGCATGAAAATAGCCTGATTCGCCAGGAACGCGGCCTGACTCAAAGCAGGAACAGCATAGCTGGGCCTAACAAAGTAGCCAAGCCAGCTCGCGACACCGTTGACATAGTCGTCATCTGAAAAGCAGGTTTTTCGGCCCATCAGAAACATCAAAGGGAAGTAGTCGTAGCACACCATTTGGATGGCCTTATCTGCACCGCTTGAGGCCGTCACGTTATGAGCACTGGTATCGATAAAAGATCCGCTTCCGAATAGGGCGAGGATGAGAAGAGCGAGAGGCCCTTTGGCTGGGACGAAGTCGAGATAGAATTTGCCGTGTAAGTAGCCGTATTCCTCGCCTGTGTCCCCTTCTAGTGATGCCCTGTGCCTCGTTAGTACATTAGATGGAATGCTTAGAGGGAGGGTTCGTACGAGACATCATCGACCTGTTGACGGCACTCTCGATCAGTGCAGTTTAATGGATTTGTCGATAATAGCGGACCGACAGAGTTGTCGCGAGGTTCATTTGGCAGTTCGAAATAGCCCACTGTCGTAAACAGAGTTAATTTAAAGGTTCCATTCCCCCCGGATTCCCGTCCGTGTGAATTTGCAGTGACAAAGAGTGTTTCATTAAAGTCCTGTCGGTTTCGCGTATGGGAAAAGGGCGTATAGCTGAGATTTCCGGGCATGCAAACACTGAAAGTGAAGAAATAACCATAAAGGGGATCTATGTCCGGGCCAGCGGTATAGTTGCGAAAGAAGGTATTCCCGTCCTCACAGTTGGTCGGGAATTCATCTGCCCCGATGCTATCCCACTGCAATGAGGAGTTGACGCGTGGTGCATACTGCTGGACCATTCCCGTGGATGTCTTTGCGGGGACTGGCGACATGAAAAGATCAAACACGTCATTGTATTTCTGATCGGCTAGATTTTTATCGCCCGGATCGTTCACAGTTGCTCTCTGACAGGCGAATATGGACTTCGATCTACAGGCAAAACCTAGTACACACGAACATGAGCCGTTCTTGTCTTGCCATAGTTTGTCGTAGGAATCATCGGGTCGTGCGGTGGTGAGACTCGAGCGGAGCAAAGCTGCCGTGTCGCCATTGTCATCCCTGCCGAGCACTGACCTATCGGTCAAAGCGAGGATATCGTTCACTGTGGCGACTTGGCTATCTTTTCCGACTACTTTGGTGACGTCCTGGGTGACGACAAGCTGGTGCAGTGGACCGATGATGGCGCCTGTATGTGTTAGCTATCATCTCGTATAAGCAGGGATACATACCCATGATATGCAATAAAAGGCCCATCCACAACAGCCAAGTGCCATACTGCCGAGGCCGACAGAACAGATTGAATATCACCGCCGGGCTCGTCCATCCTTTATCTGCCAGACTGAGTGTTTGGCGCAGCGTCGGCCGCTGTCCGTGTCTGTGTGCCTGTGCGATCCCAACAGCTGCAAAGCCACACACTGCAGACGCAACAGGCAAGGTAGCCACAGTGACAATACTCCAAAGCACTCCCGCAGCCCGATACCATTTTGCATTGGCGTGGACGGCATCTTCAATGTCACTTGTCGGAAGGTAGAAATAGTCGGCTGGATTCGGCGAGGAGACAATGAGGCGTCGACTGAGAATACACTGAATTAACCATGCAGCAAGCATGCAGCCGGTATAGACGAGTAGCAAAATAGGAACATATAGCGGGGTAGAGAAGGCGACAGCGGACTTTTTGTTGTCTGCCTGATCATTCTCATCCCTGGGGGCATCCTCGTCTAACGGGTGTATGGCGGGGTGGTCAGTATGAGGGGGTTCCATGACTCAATATCGGCGAATTACCATTTAGACAGAGCCCTCTCTGCTGAATGGCGATGGTAATTGGGATATAAAACATCCGAGGGAAACCGGTGTCTTATATGTGATTTTCTCAGCCTCGTTGGACATCATTTCTTTTTTTAGGATAATGACAAGCTTCGCCAGAGATAAGATAGGAAGCGAATCAAAGGGCTCAGACGCTAGATTATGAATTAGGCTGAACTGTATCGTAGTATGAAATCGAAGCTCATTCCTTCCGTGGAGTTCTCATGCTAAGCCTAAAGAAGAACGGTGAGGCGTTATTCTAGCCGCATGTCTGTTTAGTGCTTACCCAAGAAAAAGAAATTTGGTGTCTGGTTTGAGAGGATAGGCTGGGATAGCATTATCTTATGCAGTTTATCTGTGGACTTGCATGTCATATCCACTGTCTCACTAATATCAATTCACTCTAATGAATTCAAGCCATTAGGCATACATTGATGTCAGTATTATAACACTCCAGATGTATTCATTGCCCACACTATCTATTTTCATGGGAAAGTACCATATTATGTCACCCCTGTCATGGAGACACTATCTGATAGGCCAACTACTAAGAACCCTGCAATGATCATCATGTGAGCTGGATTTACAAGCTAAGGATATGCACCAGAATGTATAATAAACAGGGCATCAAATGCATCTATTGACCAGGATATCCACGGTTGTACACAGGGTTCCCCTCATCTTCTTCAACCCCATCTGGTGATACCCCGCAAGCCACTGCCACAGAAACAAGCCCATAAAAGGCACTCATTATCCTGCATCGATTATCCATCACCCATCTATAATACATCTATCAGCTTCCTATCACCATGAATATGAAATCCGACCTTAAAGAATACAGCCGCTGCGGCACCTGCACCGGCCCCTACGCCGACAACCTCACCACCGATGTCCTCATCATCGGCGCCGGGTTCGCAGGCATTTATTGTCTGTACGAGATGCGCAAACTTGGCCTCAACAGCACCATTTACGAAGCAGGCACCGACCTCGGTGGAACCTGGTATTGGAACTGCTACCCCGGTGCGGCGGTGGACTCGGAAATCCCGCAGTATCAGTATTCGATTCCGGAGACGTATAAGGATTGGATGTGGAGTACGAACTATCCGGATTATAAGGAGTTGAGGGCGTATTTCCAACATGTGGATAAGGTGTTGGATGTGAAGAAGGATTGTGCTTTCTCAACTGTTGTCGTTGATGCATCTTTCGATACTAAAAGTGGACGGTGGACGGTCAAGACGGAGGATGGAAGAACTGCGACAGCAAAATATCTCATTGTCGCTGCGGGCTTCTCGTCAAAGAGGTATATCCCTGAATGGCGGGGTATCGACACCTTCAAGGGGATCGTGCATCATTCCTCCTTCTGGCCGGAAGAAGACATCGACGTGCGTGATAAACGATGCGCTATCATCGGCACCGGTGCTTCTGGTGTTCAAGTCGCCCAAGCATGGGGACCAACTGCTGGCTCTCTCAAAGTGTTACAAAGGACGCCCAATCTGGCCATCCCAATGCGTAAACGCGAACTTACCGCTGAAGAACAAGAGCAGACGAAATCCTTCTATCCTGAATACTTCCGTCTGCGCGAGAAATGCTTCGCGGGCTTCGTGTATACATTCTCTGAGAAGGGTGTGTTTGAAGATAGCCCGAAGGAGCAAGAAGCATTTCTCGAGCAACTCTGGGAAGCAGGGGGCTTCCAGTTCTGGGTGGGCAATTATAAAGATTATCTCTTTGAGGAAAAGGCAAACAGGGTGGTGTATGACTTCTGGGCGAGGAAGACTCGTGCGAGAATAGAGGATGAGAAACAGCGTGATCTCCTCGCTCCTGTTGAGCCACCGCATGCATTCGGCATCAAGCGTCCTTGTCTCGAATCCACATACTATGAACAATTCAACAGACCTAATGTCGAGGTAGTCGATATATCCAACAACCCCATCGCTTCCTTCACAGAGAAAGGCATTCAACTCCAAGACGGCACACACCTCGACCTCGACGTCATCTGCATCGCTACCGGCTTCGACATTAGCACCGGGGGAATGACCAGCATGGGATTGAAGAGTATCAAGGGAACAACGCTTCAAAACGAATGGAAGACAGGCCTGAACACATACCTCGGCACTACAGTCCACGGATATCCCAACATGTTCCATCTCTACGGACCTCATGGCCCTACACTCCTGAGTAACGGACCCTCCACTATCGAGATGCAGGGTCGATGGATCGCAGATGCCATCAAGCAGATCGAAAGAAAGGGAATCAAGTATATCAATCCTACAGATGAGTCTTCGAAGGCATGGAAAGAGAAAATTAACATGCTGTCTGATCGGACGTTGTTTCCTACCACCAGATCGACGTACATGGGTGGAAATGTCCCAGGAAAGCCATTTGAGCAGTTGAACTACTCGAATGGTGTTGATCGGTATTTGTTGGAAATCAGAGCTGTTCTGCCTGATTTCAAAGGGTTTGATGTGGTTAATTAATGCATAGCATAGTTCTATATCATATTTACACCGCAATCCTCTGTAGGTCTGCATAATTCTGACTTTGGATAAGACTTGAATGAAGAGTAGCGAGACCAGACCATCTCTTGGTACTCGGGCTAGGCTGAGTCGAGAATAGCAGACAATTTATAGTTGAGTTAGTGAGCAAACCATGGAAAAATTGTGATATTAACTCAGACTACAACATGCTGCTTTCGGAGAATGTACCGTATACCTTGAAGTTACACAGATGTGCATCTAGACCACATCAGTTTCTTATTGCAAACACGTTTTTCCCACCTTCCAAGACTGAAATATAATGGGCTACGGCGCCACAGACGTAGAGTATGGGGACTGAGTTAAGGAAAGAATGTGGTAGTTCAAGGCATGCTGATAGTGTCATAGAGATAATGACTAGATCATTTTCTACCCCCTCAAGGACTTCACCCACTTAAAACCAATGAAGCTTGAGTGCTACCAACAGTATTGACAAAACGCGTCCATTCAAAATAGCTGATTATAATACCCCACCGAGATTATTGTAGTTAATACCCTCAGTAGATGTTTCTCCATTCGATCCTTTCGGCCAGCGTGACGACGGACTTACTTTTGGGACTATTGCTCGGGCCACTTGGAGGTTGTCCATGGTCTACTGAATTCTGGCCACCTCGTTGGTAATCCAATCTCTGATCACACCATGAGCTTTTACATTAAAGTGTCCTTCCTTCTTCATAGGACTGTTTACCAATAAGCGACAACTTCTGCCCAAGTCTCAAACAGTGTTTTGCTAATTCCGAGCTCATCAAATCAAACGTCCTAGATTTTGTCCGTGATGAATGACTGACGAAGATATGTGATCGTAATACAGCATTTGGGCATTTTGGAGCAGCTTTCTCCTTTTATGTATGCGAGTTGATGGAACCGAGACTGGAACAGTTGAAAGTCCTGGGTAGATGTTTAAAACTGTTGCCCCCGCCTGCTTTTTGGGTTTTGAGCTCCAAGTCCGTCTTGCCGCGAATCATCTAGACAGTCAATGCTTTAATCTTGCTTCTACAGAATATAGTAAGACTCTGGCAATGGAATCACTTAACTTCCAGCCGACCTTCCTTGATCGGCTGTTCATCGGCATCTTCCACTTCATCAACAGACTCTTGCCGAGGCATAAGCTCCCCGCCTTCCTCGGCGCCTTCAACGTAGCGTCCATGCGCAGAGAGCTTCGTGCTCAAAACCTCCACGATGGGCCAGCAGGTGTCTAAAGAGTGACCGCTTCATTACTAGAGAGTAGAACACGGACACATACACCAAAGACGGGTTTCACTGGGTTCAGAACACTGGGATGAAAAAGATATGAATGCAGCATTTCCCGAAGCTGGAAGTTATTTAAAGAGTAGCAAGAATGTATCTGCGCCGTGGGAGAAGTTACCCGAGTCTGCAAAGTGCAGAGGGGCTGAGACAAATGCCCAGGATACCTCGCCTTAAGGTTGTTTCATGCGCCGCCAAAGTTTTACATTCAATGGTATTAAATAAGGCGCTTTTCTAAAATCAACTGTCCTACACCAGCCAGGGAAATCCATGGAAATGCTCGTAATATTTAAGGTTCTGACGCTGCAGCAATTGCAGTTGTATCATGATTGAATCTCTTTCCAGAGAAAGTTCTTCCGTCCTATTGGCCTATTGTCCTTCGTATTTCTAGAGGTCTGGCTCTTGCCGATAGTGACGTGGGGGATAGTCTAGGCTAGTATCGAACATAACTTAGAGTTTTCAGCCCAAACAAATATCTTTCAATTTTAAGCTAAGAGTGGTGGAAATATTTGGATGCCTATTGGTTACCCGTGCGAATCTGGGACAAACCGCTTACTTAACGGGCAGCCAGGAATGAAGAAAACTAGCCTAAACCTTCTGTAGAAGTGGGTGCGCTGCTAGATGCTAAGTGTGGTGCCAGATGAATAAGTTTTCTTTATCTGAATGCACATCACGTTTTTATTGATTTCACTCCTGTCGTCCATGCTGATTTAGAAGATCTATTATGGCAATGTACAAGGGCAGGACAGCATCTGGCTATTTTCTGGCTTTCTTTTTTGTTGCTATGACATTTGATCAAAGAACCAAAATCAGGTAGAAATTCCAATGCACTAATCAAGACGACTAGTTAATTTATAGACGCGGCACTACTCTGGATATGTGGACTTATTCGCCCTGAAAACTATAAACCTGTTAGTGGATCAGCTGGTGCAAATGAAAGCTGCTCAGCTCCCTGAATGTGTGGTAATCCAAGAAAATATTTATTCATCTAGGCACATGAACTGTTTTCCAGCAACATGTGCCTTGAGCACTCAAGTGCGGTCTAGACTACTTAATCAGGTCACCCACAAAGTCCAGCCGCCGACCTGTCAAATGAATGATGGCATGGTTTTGTCATGGATGAGATATAAAAGAGACGTGCTAGAAGGTCAGTTTGCCTTTTATTTTGCCATATCACCTTCAGGACGCTCTTTGCCGAACCCAGACTTACTCTATCCTTGTGTATGTTCCCTTCTTGGTGCGGAACAACTTCAGAACCACCCATAATGTCCACCCAGTATAAAACAATTGATCCAGAGTCTCAAGGCAGTGGGAAAAAGGAGTCCAAGGCTGTCCTGATAAAGAATCTGAAAGATCGGGTAGGAGAGGACAAGCTGAAAACCCTTGATTCCAAACAGGGAGACCTCGATCCCGAGACCAGCAACAGAGTCTCAGGAATTGTCGACTTCCAGGATAAGAACAATATCTCAATATCTGAATCCATGTATCACTGTGTAACCGATGCCCCAGACCCCTTGGGTCTACAGCTTGGCTGGGAGGGCGGCATACCCCGTTGGAAAAAGAGGAGCACTGTCCAGTTTGCCGCCTTTGCTGAGGGTTATCCAACAAGCGACCAAGCTCTCTATGCAGCCCAAATGCTTGAAAAGGCCGCAGAGGAGTGGAATGGTCTTCAACCTGAACTTGGTGTGGACTTCAAATGGGTCAACGACATCGATGATGCGGCATTTGTGCTGAGTTACGGTGGCGACGCTGGCTCAATGCTTGCCAGAGCCTTTTTCCCCAATGTTGAAGAACTCAGTACTGTCTACGTTTACAAGAAAGCTTTTGAACCAGGCAACGTCAACTTTATGAAGGATGTCTTTGTCCACGAATTGGGTCACGTCCTTGGTTTGCGACACGAACATGCACCCGAGTTAGAAGGTGACACTGTGACCTTAGGTGAACGGAATCGAGATTCTGTGATGGGATACTATCGCTTCCCGCCTAAAATGCAAGAATCCGATAAGAAGAACACAAAGGCATTTTATAATATTGAGTCTGGAAAATACAAGGGCTGGCCCATTAAAGATTTCGTCCCAGTTAACTAAGATTGTTTTCCCCTGATCCCAGTCAACAGTAATTTTATGTACTTCTGACAATTCAATTTCATCGTTGCCTCTACGTACCCTAAATTGTGGAACTTCTTAATACTACTGTTTATTTATACTCTACTGATAATAGTATACTTACTACTACTTGCCCTATCATAATAAGGGTGTCACCCTTAAAAAGTATTAAGTTTAGGGTATAATGAAGAATTAGTTAAGCTATGGCTTAAGTACAGCTGAGTGGATGGGAAGCCCTGTTCCTCACACCCTGTGGTCGTATTTACTGTCTAATTGAAAAGTAAAGATTATAGAGTGCTTTCTTTGACTATCATCTATAATAACTTCTCAACAGCGTCCCTAACAGAGGCGTTACGTTCGAAGAGTAACTCTCCTCTAACCCACCATCGTGTTAGCGCCAGTATATTGAGCGGGCCACCTTATATTGAAGGCTGTTACGGATGCATCATGGCCTGGAGAACACTGTCAAGCGTATAAATACACACCCAGATACGTGCAATATTGATGTCTTCTTCTGTGCCTTCTATCGTGGCCCAAAGCGTGTTCTTCCGTGTGACGTGGTTGAGGCAATCAAGATGGGACTATGCTGGCTAGTCTGGAGAAGAACGGGTATCAAGGCGAACTCATCATCTCATGCCAAATCCAAACTAGACAGGTCTACTAATCCAGCCTGCATTTATCTGCATCAGAACTACCTTTTCCACTACTGTCATGACATGACCTAACCAACCTAATATCCACCAATAATATTCTTTATATTTAGCAAGGATAGAGTAATATGCTAGTATAAAATCATAACCTTCTAATTTATAGATTCCCTTTAACTAGCAGTAAAGAACCAGCCTTCAACATGGGTTCAGCATATGCAACTTAACCTGGTTCACTGCTAGTATAATAGTAGTCTATTCAGCAAGACACTCAGTGTCTTCTGTGTAAAGTTACACACCCTAATTCCCCTACACATAGGCCCAACCACCTTCCCCACCTGCTTCCACCTCTCAACAAACGTCGGACGCATCATCATAGTTTATAATACATGCAGCCAACGTAAAGTCGACTGAACAAATTAAGATTCACGGCCACCTAGGTATCAACCGCCTATTATACATATTACATATTAAAAACCCCCACAGAAAAAAAATATATATACACAATGAAAGTCTAATCCCTCGCCTTGGGCAACTCTGGCAACGGTAAATCCGGCTGACTCCACGGATCCGGACGCAGGCTCTGCGTGGCATCAGAGGCATCATCCTCTTTGCACCCTCTCGATGAGCCCAGCAGTCGCGGCAGGAAGCGTGCAAAGATGGCCTTGAAGCACGGCATCGATGCAGCCAGGATACCCGTGTTGGTCTCGATGATGGACCAGTACATGGCGTCGCTGATGACGTAGGTTACGTCGGGGGAGGAGAGCATGGCGGGGATGTAGGTGATGCGGATGATGGAGGCGATGCAGGCGCTGCATTATTAGTATGCTGCAGCTGAATGGAGGGAGGGGGGCATACAAAAGACCAAAGCAGAGAATGATGAGGATACCAATCTTCTGTCGACGGGATATGTCGAGTTGCATGATGACCTTCATGGGTAGAGCGTACGTGATGACATCGGTGCAGATATTCAACGCCGCATTCGCCATATAAAACACGTTGATCTCTACACAGCTCCCCAGTGTGGTTGGAGACCACGCTTTACGGATAGGATTGCACTGGAAGATAGCCACAATCACGAATGATCCGGCCTGGCAGACAATCACCCCGAGCATGATGTACGACAGCCGGGTGAGGGTGGCATTCTCGAGATGCGTGTAGAAGACGAGAACGGAGCATTTGACGAAGCCCAGACAGGACAGGTAGAAGGTCGAGCTGACGTAGATGATCTTGAGATAGGTTTGGAAGTCGGCCAGGTCGATGTCAGACATGTGGTGGCCGAGGCCATTGTGGACAGCGGCGAGGCCGATGCCGATGAAGCCCCAGGAGAGAAGCTATACAGTTAGCAAGCAATAAAGAACAGACGGTAATCAAGAACATACTGAGGCGATTATAATGAGATCTGGCTCGTTAGTAACGTTTTGATAATGACAAAGATGGGGACATACAATCATCCAAGCGAACCTTGCGGAAGATAAAAATCCTCGACAGAATGCGCAAAGTAACCACGACAAAGGAGAGAATGGCAAAAACGACAGCCACACCGGTGACGACAGGAGCTTTGGAGTGAGCCATGTTGCTTGCTGATTGACGGGGATGTTTAGCTGCTTATCATTTATATCAAGGGATGATGTGACTGGTCCATCTGACGGATATGCAAGCATCGAAGAACCAATAAATTAGTCACGGCATGATAAAGTACGCCCATCTCTGATGTGTCACCTGGAAGAAGACCGATTTCAGCCATATTGAACCTGTCAATCACTGCTGTCTATTCTATATGTACAAATCTATGCGTTCTCCACAAACTCCTCCCTCCCCTTATCCTCGCCCAGTTTGACATTCTCAATCCCTCGCCGGAACATATCCTCGTCCTCATGCAGCTGCGTCATGATTTTCCCATGCGCACGCCACACGGGCTTAGTCTCGAATAGTCGGTCCATCGCTTCGAGGGGCACTCCTTTTGTCTCAGGGATGAGGAAGAAGACGAAGATGACAGAGAGCAGCATGAGGCTGGCGAAGAAAAAGTACATTCCGTAGCCCATGGTCGACAGCATTTGGGGGGTGAATCGGGACACTATGAAATTCCAGAACCAATTACTGGCTGCGGCTCCTGCCTGTGCGACAGCTCGCATGTTGGGATCGAACATTTCCTGTTTTGTTATTAGTTGAGGTTGTTGATATAGGGGAGAGACGTACCGAGTTCAGCACCCACGGTGTACCATTCCACGTCGGGGTATAACACGCAGTATACAGGTAGAAGAAGAAAATGGCCATAATGCCAGAGCCATTCAGCTTCAGGTCTGGCTTGTTATCTGGCTCAACAACGCAGATATAAGCACCGATCACCCACAGACAGATGGAACCCGTCACACCACCAGCCATCAACAACTTGCGCCGACCAAGCTGGTCAATCAACCACAGCAGCCAGATGACCGTCACAACCATCTTAACCACGCCAAAGATACCAGAGCACAGCGAGTTGGTCTCTCCTTTAATACCGATACTCTTGAAAATACTCGGACTGTAGTAATTGATGGCGTTAATGCCCGACCCATTCTGCCAGAAGAACAGCATGAAACCGAGGAACAGCCGCCATTTGACACGCGGGCTCTCCCAGGCTGCGATGAATGGCTTCCAGAAACCAATTCCGATCGCTGCTTTTTGTTCTTCCAGTGCTTGGTCGATGCCGCCGATTTCTTCAATCATGTAGATTTCATTCGCGTCGAGTTGGCGCACCCAGCACAGGTTGGCGATCGCTTCTTCGCGTCGGCCGCGGGAGAAGAGCCATCGGGGTGATTCACGGATGACCAGCGATCCAATTAGTAGTAGACCGGATGGGATGAGTTGGACGGCAAAGGGAATGAGCCATTGTGTGTGCGAGGGAGGCATGGTCGTATCAACACCGTACTGTCTGGTCAGTATCTTTACTATATATATAAAGAGGGGGACTCACGTTAATCCAAAACCCAACCAACCCCCCAATCTGCCATCCCAATTCATAAACACCCACCAAGCGACCACGAATCGCAGGAGGCGCAAGTTCAGAAATATAAATCGGGGTGAGATTCGACCCAGCACCGACTCCAATTCCTGCGAGAACACGTCCAGCATACATGATCCCCAGTCCACGCTGGCCATTCGCACCGAGCATCAATCCCGAGCCAAGCGTGAAGATGATACCGGTAGCGAGGAGGCCCCATTTTCTGCCCCAGAAGTAGCCGATCGGGTAGGCGAACAGAGCGCCGAAAAAGGCGCCAGCTTGGTAGAGGGAGACGATGTTGGCAGAGACCAGGTCGACCTTTTCGTCGGACCATTCGTTGAAGTGGAATTCATCTTGGAAGGAGTCGAGTTCGATGGTTTGCCCGATAAAGGCGCTGTCATAGCCGATCATGCACGAGGCACATGAAGCGACGGCTGCTAACAGATAAATCCGCCAGTTGTAGACCTGGGGAGGCGTCGGACGGTCCTCGACTAATGTGAGGAGGGTCATGGTGAGACGGTGGATGAGGGAGTGTCAGGGTGAAACATGACCGGAAGTGGGCTATATAGGCTAGAGCCACGTGGGGAAAGGAATACCCCGGATCCAGAACCCCAGACTTCATCGTTTAGCCCCCTCCGCATGTGTGGGATTGTGGAGAAATAATATCAATAAACGATCGAATGGATTGATTGCGATGGGCCGTCTGACATCATCTTCTCCGCAGGCTGAACGCTTTGCCGATTTCTGGGTCTGCGTATTGCCGTGTGGCGAAGTATATTAAGTTTACTGAACTCAATTGAAACACTGTCGGTCTGCCATTGAGACACTTTTCATGAATACTGGGCAAACCATCAGCGGTCTAATGGGAATTACTCCTGGATACGTTCAAATACCTTGACAGGAACAAACACAAATCCGATCGTGTAAAATGCACCGGATTCCAGTAATTACTGTAGACTAGATCGATGTGGTATTGGGCTTTGCGGTGATGATGATGGAGTACAGGTGGAAGACATGTTCTATAATGACAGTTGTGGTTGTCTCCATGACTTACGACAGAGGGACAGTATCATTAGTATATCAGAGTAGGGGCTAGTACATCAGGTGTGCTATATCAACTAAATATAAGTGTAAAGAATGTAATATGATCTCAACGATAATTGCAGGGCCACCACTCCCTGAGCATTGCCTATTCATTCTAACTTGTATATTTCCTAGATCGAGTCGCCAACAGTGTCACATTTAAATGACAAGTATACTAAAGCTATCTATCTCGCGTGGAATAACGGACTATTTAACAACCTCTACGCCCTACAAAATAAAACCTCCAACAAGGGCAAGCAGTGCATCAACTACAAGAACATATAAAACCGATTCTCGGGGAGTTGAAGAAAACAGAAAAACCAAGACAACGCATATCCAGACTATCAATGCGACAGGGCTGCAGATACGGTGGACTGCCTCCCAGGATCCATCTGGCCACAAGCATGGAACAAGCATAGGCTCTCTGATGGGATCGTTGAGTGAACAGACAGATTGAATCAAGTGCCGAGCGAACGGCCCTCGAGCTTACGGACGCAGGGAAACTCATCGCCAGTGATGTCCAGCCGGTGTAGAATGAGTTATCAGGCTTTAGGTCACCGCTCGTAAATGGTATAAAAAGTCACACTACTCGAAGAAGCTAACATATTCTAGATAAATGTAGTATTATTAATTCAACCTACCCAATGCATTTTGCGGGTATTCCCATATTCTCCAATTCAGATGGCCAAGACAAATCATTTAGCCCCATTGACTGGGCTACGCATTCGCCCTGCCTTCTTCCGATTCCATTGCCTCCGCTCATTTACCGTTGCCGTCACCAGTGCCGATAAATGCCTCCTTGGGAGACTCATATAAAGAAGCAAATAGAAGCCATATCATTGGATGAAGAAAAGCCGTTCTATATTCTAAACGAGGAAAATCATTCCGCTCAACACTTTTCCCCCGCCAAGGTGTTGAGACGAGATCTGCGGGGTAAAACATCCAGCATTTTCTACATTCTTCCACAGAATAAAAATTTAATACTGACAGGAATAAACATCAGGCTAAGGATTCAACCGTAACTCATTCATACATGTTCACATGGACACATCACCCTATCTACATGCTCATACCTTGAACTTCCCCCTGCCAATCCCCTGCTCAAACACCTGCCGGATCTCCTCCAACTGCAACCCCGACACCTCCGGATAGAACCAGAAGATCCACAGCCATCCCACCCCGCAAATCCCCGCGTAGAAGCCAAAGGTGCCAGATGGCGTCATCCCCTGCATCATGGACAGAAACGTGCTGGACACAATCACGTTAGTCGCCCAGTTCGAACACGTCAGCCACATGGTGCCCATGGCGCGGACCTCGAGCGGGAAGAAGTCGGCGCTCATCCAGGCGGTGTTGCCGACGGAGACGCCGTAGAAGAGCACGAACCAGATGACGAAGATGAGGACGACGATGGCGGGGGCGTTGATTTTGGCGGAGGGCACGGTCATGGTTTCTGTGTCGACGGGGATGAAGATGAAGGCGATGGCGATGGCGATGAGGCCTGCGCACATGCCCCAGGACGTGCTGAGGAGGAGTTTGCGACGGCCCAGACGGTCGACGACGAGGGTGTTGACGACGGACATGATGAGGTTGGTGCCGGCCACGACGAGCCCGACGGCCGTGGGGTTGTCGAAGCCGACGAGCGAGAAGAGAGTGGAGGAGTAGTACATGAGGGTGTTGAAGCCGGACATTTGGGAGATGACCATGAGGCCGCAGGCGCAGAAGAGGGCGCGCAGGTTGGAGGGGGTGGTGTGTAGTTGTTGGATCTTGCTCCAGCGGCTTTCGCTGCCGATGCGTTTTGCTTCGTCGCAGGCTTCGACGATGGAGCGGCGGACGGCAAGGACCTGGCCGGGAGATGCGCTGGCGTAGATTTTGCGCAGGACGAGGTCTGCTTCGTCGAGACGGTTGTGATAGACGAGGTGACGGGGTGACTCGGGGCAGAAGGGGAGCATGATGGCTAGGATGATGGATGGGACGGCACCGAGGCCCACCATGTATCGCCATCCTTCGCTGACGTTGGCGAGGCCAGCGCCAACAGCGTATGCCACGACCTGTCCGCCGGTGATGCACATGTTGTTCAGTCCGATGAGACGACCGCGTGCTTTGGCGGGTGCGATCTCAGCGACGTAGAGAGGAACCACCATGGCCGCAGAGCCAACGCCCAGTCCGACGACGGCTCGACCAACGGCCATTTGGGCGATGCTATACGAAGCGCCTTGGAGGACGGCGCCGACGGTGAAGAGGGCACATCCCATGTAGATGCAGGATTTCCGACCGAGCTGACAATTAGATACGTAGTAGATATAGGGAGGAGGGAGGTACCTTGTCAGCTGTCAGTCCAGCAGCAATGGCACCAAAGAAAGCACCACCAGAACATAGTGACGTGATGAGTTCTTTCTCATTGCTGGAGAGAGAATGCTGGTCGAGACTGTCGCCAATGTAGACGAGCACCGCAGAGATAATGCCTGTATCGTAGCCAAAGAGCAGACCGGCAATCGACGCTGTCAGAGCGACAACCCACACGAACCACGAGACAGGCAGGTTGTTGATGTCGTCGAGTGAATCCTTTTCAGGGTCTTTTTCGTCGTGGTGTTCGACGTGCTGGTCGATAGGCTTGTCGTCCATGGTTCCATATGAATATAGTACAATGTCTATGAATCTATCATCTATGAAGATACGAGATGGGCACTTATCACTACTTATGTATTTCCCCATACCCCAGATTGTCAATGCTCTCTCCTGATTGGCTGCCACTGCGGGGCACGTGTCTGGGGTATCATATTTTATCTTCATCGATTCCCCTCAAACAGCAATTCTCGCCGGGAAAATGCCTCGTCCTTTGCCTTGCAGCCACTGCAGATAAGCATCTCCTCTCCTCTCGCGTGCTATCACTGACGTACGTACAGCCCATCATCTCAAGTGCCTCCCCGCCGATCACGCCTGTCAGCGCTGTCTGCAACTGAACATTCCCTGCATCCCCTCGGCTTCGCTGCGCTTTCGTCATTTCCCTGTTTCCTTCCCTACCGATCAGCCCTGGTTCAACCGACGCGCCCTGCGTTTTATCCAGGAATCCTCCGATGACATTGCGCACTATCCCGATGACGAAGGCAGCAATGATATCACCCCGCTGCCCAAACCATGCAATACCCGGCTGTCTGCCATTCTGCTGCGCTTCTTCGCCAGCGACATTGCCGTCCGGTTTGATCTATGCGATCCGCAGTCGCATTTCTCCCGCGTGGTCCCCCAGCGCGCCAGATCCTCCCCCCCGTTACTTCACGCCATCCTCACCACCTCTGCCCGCCATCTCATCCGTATCCCGCGGTACCGCAATGCCGCCGGCGTCGTCGAATGGCAGGGGCATTGCCTGCCCGATCTGACCGAAGAATCGGCCGTCCGGTATCACAACGAGTGCATTCGGGATCTCCTCGCCCTGAGCATGGATCCGGTGCAGATCCACAACGACGACCTGCTGGCAGCGGCTATCATTCTCCGGACGGATGAAGAAATGGACGCCCCCCTCCGTGAAGAACCCGAAGACCACGAGGTTTTCCTGCGCATGCTGGCCGTCTTCATCGCTGCCCAGATCGCCCAGCCCGGCACGGTGGGCGGATTCCGCGAAGTCGCCTTCTGGATCGCTCTGCGCCAGGAGGTGTTTACCTCGTTTGTGAAACAGCGGGCTCTGAACTTCCCCCTCGCGCACTGCGAGGCGTTCCGCTCGCTCTCCCCCGCCGAGGATCCCGTCTGGGCCAATCGGCTCATCATCTTCTGCGCTGACGTCCTCGAGTACTGCTACGGCAGTGGCGAGGTGGCTCCCGAGCACAGTTCGACCCGGTGGTGCGAGCTAGTCGAGTACCAGAATTTACTGGCGCGCCATCTCCCCGCGTCGTTCGAGCCGCTCTACAACCGCAGCCCCGATCACGCAGCCGGGGAGGTCTTCCCCGAGATCTGGCATCTGGACCGCTGGCACGTCACGGGGGTCAGCCATGCCGAGTTGGCGCGGATTCTGCTGGTGGTCTTTGACCCCATGCGACCGCGACTAGGCCCCGGATCGGCGGCGGGGCAGCGGGCGATGGCCGAGGAAGTGCGGGGGATTGTGCGACGGCTATGTGGGATGGCGGTGTGCAATCGCCGACTGCCGCCGGTGTTCAACACGGCGCTGATGGGGATCGTGACGTGCGGGGAGTATTTCGAGGAGAGGCGAGAGCAGGAGGCGCTGCTGGGGGTGTTGGGGGTGATGCAGCGAGAGCACGCGTTTCCTACGTCCAAGATTGAGGAGCGATTCGACTGGAGTAGATAATTAGGATGATTGGTGGATAATTTGGTCATGTGCCGTCATGTGCTGTGGAGATGGACATTTGGTGTTTTTCGCCGACTATTTCTACTTTAGCTAAAAGAGTAATTCTCGCCGGCCATTGCCATACTATATCTGCAGTATACTTTCATCAACAGCGGTCAGCTATAACCAGGATAGCTATAAAAATGTCTTTCAATTCTCTTTCAGCTCGTTCAATTACTCTCAATTCAATTCAAATCAATTCAACAGCTCAAAAATAATCATGTCCCTCAAAGTCGGCATCGCAGGCCTCGGCCGCATGGGCGCCCGTCACGCCCTGCACTTCCACAACTTCACCCCCAGAGCCCAAGTCATCGCTGCTTCATCGCCGCGGCCAGAGGAGCTGGAATGGGCGCACAAGAATCTCGTCGGCGCGACCACGTATGCAGACTTTGACGATATGTTGAATGCGCCTGGTTTGCAGGCTGTTGTTATTGCGTCTGCCACCAGTGTGCATGCCGAGCAGGCCATCAAGGCGATTAAGAAGGGACTCCATGTGCTGTGTGAGAAGCCATTGAGTACGAGCATTGAAGAGGTATGTCTACTGTCTTTTTAGTATATGAATATACTAATAAAGTCAGTCCCAATCTGTGGTCGACGCCTACCGCACCTCCATCAAAACCCACCCCTCCCAAAAAGTCATCTGCGGATTCTCGCGCCGCTTCGACGCCTCCTACCGCGATGCCTTTGACAAAATGACCGACGGCACCATCGGACGTCCCAGCGTCTTCCGCTCGCAGACCTGCGACAAGCTCGACCCGAGCGGTTTCTTCGTCGAGTACGCCCAGTTCTCGGGTGGGATTTTCGTCGACTGCTCGATCCACGATATCGATCTGGCGCTGTGGTTCTTTGGTGAAGATTCGACGGTCAAGTCGGTCTCTGCGGTGGGTATTACTGCTGTCTCGCCTGAGTTGCGCAAGTATAACGATCGGGATAATGCGTTTGGCATCATCGAGTTCTATGGGGGGAAGATTGCGCAGTTGTTCTGTAGTCGGATGATGGCTGCGGGTCAAGAAGACTGTAAGCTCCCTCACCTCTATATGACGACACTATACTAACAGGTCAGGCACCGAAATCACCGGCACCAAAGGCAAGCTGGCCGTCAACACCCAGCCGGCCTCGAACCTGGTCAACATCTACGAACCAACCGGTATTCGCCGCGAAATCCCACCCCACTACTACGGGCGATTCAGAGAAGCCTTCATCACCGAGGCGAACGAGTTCACGGCCTGCTGTCTGGACGATACCGAGCCGCCTATGCGGGTTGAGGGGGCTGTTGCTGCTGTTCGCATTGGCTGCGCATTGCAGGAGAGTCTGATTACAGGCAAGAAGATTGAGTTTGATGAGCGGGGAGAGAGAATTGAAAAGGCTAGAATTTAAAATCGATAGATGTGATTATGTTAAACTAATAGAATGATTCGGGGTATATATAACATCAGTCGTTTACATGAAGAACGCAGCAACGAGGACACCAACGCCAGCGAGGAAGGAAGTTTCCTTCATTGAGACGGCGCTGTTTTCGTCTGTTCCGGTGGCAGCGGCAGATGAAGTTGTTGCGGTGCCAGTCGAGTCGGCAGTGGATTCGGTGGAAGTGCCTGTGGTGGTGCCAGTGGCAGTCGATGTAGTCGCGCCAGTGGTTGTAAAGGTAGAAGCAGAGATGGAGATGGAAGAAGTAGCATCTACATCGTTAGCATAATTCGCCCATAAATATCAGTCAACATACTAGTCTTCCCCTCACACAACGTATTCAACTCATTCCAGGCAGTCTTATATGCCAACACATCCTTCGCCGAGTCTTTACATCCCTTGACAATACAGTCAGACACCCTACTGGCCTGCTCTTTGATCTTGCTCGCATCACCGGTGGAGCTGCAGATACACTTGAGGTCGGCCTCGCTGGAGCTGGTCTTTGCGTCTTTGCTGCAGTTGTCGCCGACAATGTCGGTGTAAAAGTCGCTCAGGCAGGGCTGGACACACGTGGGGGCGCCTCTTATGATGTCGTCGATGGTCTTGGGAGTAGCTGCGGCCACGTGGGTGGCAGCCACTGTCAGGGCGAGGAGGGAAGTGGAGAGATGCATTTTGAATGTATAGATAGATAGATAGAAGATAGAATATGGTTGATATGATGATGAGAGTAAACACGAAGAAGAGAGATTTATATCTCCGCCAAGGACCCTGAACGAAACGCAGATTCAAAGGATTTGGGGGCCATTCTATACATGCCCGATTAGGAAACCGGCAGGCGCAGTCTGACCAATGGTATAGCTTCATATCTCCTTAGCTTCACATTTAGCGTCGTAAGTGGGTCATCACGTAGGGCAATGAAGGCTGTGTAAACAAATGTCTCATGAGCCTCTTAGGTAGTCTTGGCTATATGGAGGACTCCCATTGACTGTTCTTGCTAGAGTCGAGTACATCGCCCTGCTGCTCCACTCTTGGCTGCACTGCAATTAGCAGATGGACTTTTTCATAACATATTGGCTATCAGGCTGTGTTTTCTGTCCATGTCCTTTGTTGGTCTCGTTCTTGGCGAATAGGCGCAGACGTGGGTGAACTCAGCGTAGCATTCATCTTCAGTGAGTGCCATCTCTACAATCTGAAAGGAGAAAAGATGCAGATAATCATTTATAATTAGCTTTGAAAACATCCCACCTTCTCACGTGGAGGAATGCCGGTGGTTTTCCAGAACTGCTGTTCCACAAGGCAAGGGGCTGGTATGTGGTATCTGCAGGATCTGGAGGCTTAACGGTCAGCCTCACGGATTCATGCCCTGCTATCGTTTTTCAGTGACCCACGCCTAGAAGATGACGTCTGTGGCAGTGATGGCGGTTCGATCCTGCCATAAACAGCCATCCGCCAGACCTACTATGATAGATCATGTTGATAGCAGATAGATAGCATGCCTTAATATGGTATAATTCTCCATCTTAGATAGTTTCAAGCCATGAGGTAGTATGACGTAGTGAGACATGATCCATCAGATAGACAATTTGACATTGAAGCTGTGCCCCCCGGAATATGTCCGAATTACTAATATTCTATTGATTACAATCTAATTCACAGCCAGGATTCCTATCTTGATATGAAACTATTCCAGCATCATTAAGAGCCTCATCAATTGCACGCAGCTAAATTAAGGACCTCCAGACAACCTAACCAGTTAGATAGAATCATGAAGTCAAAGGAAATGCTGCTTATCAACCAATCAGGTCCTGTAGCTCAGTCGGTTAGAGCGTGGTGCTAATAACGCCAAGGTCGCGAGTTCGACCCTCGTCGGGACCATTTTTTTGTTTTCTGGGACCATTCATTCCCCAGCTACATGATTCTCTTGCTGCTGTTATTTTTGTCGTTTTTTGTTTCTTTCGTAGTTGACATAAGACCGGGTAGTATTGACAATCCGTGTCAGTGGAAATGACATTTTCCCTCTCATCTCACCACGCTATACCTATTCCGGCATCGCATTCTATGAATCGAACGATCGATGTCAATTCTCAGCAGTAGTCGTTTCACTACCTTCGCTGAATACACTAGACATGCACTCTATTCAAGGCTACTCAGGAACCTATCTTGAACAGTTGCAGAACACGCGTTGGGATTGTCGATCATCGGTCTGGATGTCCGGAAGAGTGAAAGTCTCCGCTCGGAGATAATAATGGAGTCGAGTGTACATTGTATGGGGTGTGTTCTACACCTTATTCCGGCTCTTATTCTTGATCCTATGGCTTCGTTATCTTTTATTATGCTGGGATTGGTGTTTATCTGTAGTTTGGGAATGGTTGTGTGGTAAGTGTATAGCTGTATAGCTGTATGTATAACTGTATAGTCGTAGCACGATAGTCAAAGTATAGTGGTGAAGCAGTATAGACTGAAGTATAATGCATAGTTATCTGCAGACAAGGATAGATGTGGATACCCCACCAGATACTTAAATTAAGCTTGCGTGTGTTCGTCCTCAGTCCATCATATAAAGCTCTCCTCATCCATCTTCCTCATCCATTCTCAGTCATCCTCAGTCACTCGTTCATCATGTTACCCAAACTCTCCCTCTTTCTAGGCACCCTCCCCCTGGCCCTAGCCACCAAAACACCAACTCCCCAACTCGTCGACTTTGACGATGAAGGCGTCCTGGGCGGCCTCTACCGCCCCCTCAACAACACCCCTCGCTCCAGAATCGGCGTCTACGTGATGCACGCAGAGCAAGACTACACCATGTTCTCTGCCTGCCACGAACTCCCTCTCCGCGGATACACGACCTTCTGCGCAAACAACGAGGCCAGCAAGAGCGGGTACATGTCCGATCTCAACTTCGAAGACATGCTCTCCAACGTCAACGACGGCATGAAGTACCTCCGCAACCTAACTGAGATCGACACGGTGGTGATCTTCGGCCACAGCGGCGGCGGCGCCATGATGGCTGCGTATCAGAATGTCGCCGAGAACGGGGCTAAAGCGTGTCAGGGTGAGGAGAAGATCTACCCGTGCTCGGATGCGATGGATGGACTGGAGCCTGCGGATGGGTTGATTCTGGTGGATGCGAATTACGGGATTGGGACCATGGCTGTGATGAGTTTGAATCCGGCTATTATTGATGAATCGTCTGGGATGAAGCTGAACCAGTCGTTGAATTTGTTCAACCCGGCGAATGGGTTCAATAATAATACCATCTCCAACTACACGGCGGAGTTTAAGAGAAACTTCCAGGAGGGCGTGGTGGCTCGGAATAACCGTGTTCTGCAGCATGCGCAGGACCGTCTGGCTGCCATCGAGGCTGGCAATGGCACCTACAGCGACGACGAGCCATTGACTATCCTCGACACGCTGTACACCGGCTTCAACAACAAGTTCTTCGCCCAGGATACCAGATATCTGCACCACACCACGCACGCCTGGCCATTGCTGCACAAGAACGGCACCACCGTGCAGGTTGTCCCGTCCGTCCGAGTGCCAGCCAACTTTGACAATCTCGCCGCAGACTGGCAGAACGGTGCCTTGAAGACGACCGTCCGTCGGTACCTATCTACGTTTGCCATCCGACTCACCGACGACTTCAACTACCGGGCTGATGGCTTCGACGGGGTGGATCTCGAATCTACGCAGATGGCACCCGCAGCAGCCATCAAGGGCGTCACTGTGCCTTTGTTGACGATGGGCAACACCGGCCACTATGAGTATCTGAATGCGGAGAAGATTCATCTCAATGCGAACAGCAATGATAGTTCGATTGCGTTTGTTGAGGGGGCGCAGCATACTCTTGATACTTGTACTGCTTGTGAGAGCTATCCTGGAGAGTATGGGAATACGCTGGTCACTGCTTACAATCATATTGGGGCGTGGTTGGGGAAGAAGGGTCGGTTTATCCAGTAGTCTATGCTTTCTATGTAGTATCGACTGTATCATAGCATTGTTACTATATATATTTGGTCAGAGGGAGTAACATCTTGACTCATTCTTTATAAACATAGATGTTCCTGATATCTGATATTTTATCTTTCTATCACATACAATTACATATTCTTATTATCCAATGATAATAGTATCTTGCAATAGAGTATAATATCATCCAGAAGCTAGACTAATCAGGAAACCCAATATCGGAGAAAAGTCCGTAGACACGTGATAACCCCACCATCCCACCATCACGTGCACCGGCAGCGTCCAGCTCTCAACCCCGCATCGCAACCGGCCCGGTGTCATTAATGCTTCCTTAAAAGGATTCAAACAGATCAATTCGTCAATTCGACACCAAATACACACTCCATTCACACCAGAACAATGCCATCCCTTCTTGAGAGCAAAATCGCCTTCCTGGGCGGAGGCAACATGGCCTCGGCCATCATCGGCGGCCTCGTGAGCAAAGGCGTCAACAAGCAAAACATCTGCGTCTCCGAGCCCTGGGAAGTGAATCGGGAGAAGATCGCCGCTGTCGGCGTGAACACTACGACTTCCAACGTCGAAGCCGCAGGGGAATCGGATATTGTCATTATCGCGGTGAAGCCGCAGGTTGCCAAGACGGTGTGTGAGGAGTTGGGTGCTGCGTGGGCGGGGCGTGAGTCGCTGCCGGTTGTGGTTAGTATTGCGGCGGGGATCACGCTGGAGAGTCTGCAGGAGTGGTTGAAGACGGGCGATGGGAGGATTGCGCATGTTGTGCGTGTGATGCCCAACACACCGGCGCTGGTTAGTGAGGGTGCTTCGGGGCTGTTCGCCAGCAAGGATGTCACGGGTGAGGAGAAGGAGTTGGTGAATGCGCTGCTGAGCAGTGTGAGCAAGGCGACTGAGTGGGTGGAGAAGGAAGAGCTGCTCGACGTTGTCACTGGGCTGTCTGGTGAGTCTCTATCTTATACGATCCAATTGATGCATACTAACAGTACAGGCTCCGGACCTGCCTACTTCTTCGCCATGGTCGAGCACCTCATCGCCAGTGCAACCGCTCTCGGTCTACCAAAGGAACAAGCCACTCGTCTCGCCGCGCAAACATGTCTCGGAGCAGGCAAGATGCTGGTCGAGTCCTCTGATGACCCGTCCCAGCTGCGCAAAAACGTCACCAGTCCGAACGGAACTACCTTTGCTGCTCTGCAGAGCTTCGAGGCAGAGGGATTCGCTGAAATCGTGAACAAGTCTGTCAAGGCGGCGACGAACCGCTCGGCGGAATTGGGTGGTGCGAAGTAAATGTCATAATGTATTAAACTAAAATCTTTTATCTGATGTCGATGACTCATGATGTTAAAATAATAGAATCCTCTGAATGTTTCAGATCTGATGTTTGTACTGTAGCTGCCATGGCTGCAGATATCATATGATATATCATGAAAAGTAATCCGAAGACTTTAGACGCGTCATGTGCGACTTCATGCGGCCTCATGCGGCCTCATGCGGCCTTCTGCAACCGTCCCTTGCTTGAAACTAAATCTCAGTCAACCTACACACCGCATAACAGACCGATGGATTACAATTTGACGACTCAGGGATGAAAATCTGACGTGAAGAAATACTGCAGAAGACTCCACCTCTTATGTCGGAACGAGCATATGACGGTCAAATATCCCCTTGCCACTATTCCCAAAACTTAAAATGACTATTCTATGGAATGACGGTCAAGAGCTCAGATTATGATTCACCGCAACAACCGTCCCAGATCCATCTCAACCCCTACGTTCAAAAGGGGCTCTCAGCTAAGCCACCCGCTGCATCCACTGCAGCCAGTTCTCGTCTTTCGCCAACAATTCAGAAACCGCAGGAGCAACCCACATCACCACCTCCTGTCCACCGTGCATGCTCGGCAGAATCGCCACGTATCCATCCATGAATGCCGGAAAAGCAAAACGAACCGCCTTGATTGGTCCCAGCTCAGACCCCCATTCGGACTGCCCCTGTGCATCTGCGATCCGTGAAGGGCTGGTGATGAGTAAATCGTGACCCACCCTAGGCAATACCCTGTTGGCTACAGATGGACTGTTGTCGATTGTGCCAGTCAGCTCCCAGATTCGATCTGCTGTCCACCAATTGACTGAAGTCACGATCTTGTGCGCCAGTGCGTACAGAGACACTTCATCGGTTGAATGGAGCTCCGTGGAGGCTGCATCTGCTCTGGAAAGAACAACCGCATTGCCGATATATTCGTCTGGGAGCTGAGGATCCACCCGCCGACGAACATTAACGGTACTCAGTAAGGCACTCGAATCGACGTGTATTCCTGCCTTTTGTCGGGCCAGGGTGGTGTGCTTCCATAAGAGTGCCGAGATGAGGGCATTTTCCGTCATAGTGGGGAGGTCTTTCGAGGGAGGCGCAGCGAAGTTCTTGAGTCGATCGAGTGCCGCTGGTGATATGCGCCAGTGAGACAGTGGAACGAGCTGTTGGAGACGATCGTGATATCCAGAAACGGCACTTTGCAAGACTTCCTGCTGTGTGGACTCGTAACGATTTTTTGAAGCTGGCCGATACGGCGGAAAGTCTGAGAGTGCGCGTCTCGTACGCCCTCCAAACAGGCTTCCTCCATCCAGGGTGTCGGGAGACAGTCGTTGGCTACAGAGAGCAAGGAGGCCCTTAGACTCGGCATCGACGTGCTTGGCCCATGTCTGGCAGAATGTCCCGAGAGCTTGGGCATCCATAACAGCATGATGGCCATTGAATGCGACCACGACTCCACCCGTGATGAAGGTGGCTTGCACCGTCAGGACTGGGGTTCTGTTCGAGTGGCCGCGAGGCTCAGGCACAAAACGAGACACCGTCATTTCGGCAAAAGGAAAGTCACGAGCAGCGAGAGCGTCGAATTCAACTTCAGGAACATCCTTTTCGTAGAACCAGACGCCGGAATTCTCCTCATATTCTAGCTGAATTGTGTCTCTATCCTCGCACTCGGGGACAACGTTGGCCGCTAAGAAGCCAATCTCGTCAATGGTATGAGCGAGGCCGACTTGAAGATTCCGCAAGATGGTCGGCCGATGGCTTTTCCAGTCGACCTGAAAGATGCATATCATGGGGAAAATGACCCGCACCATATACTGGTCCAACGGAGTGACTTTGGCAAAGCCGCCGGGGATGGGGATTGTCGGGCGCACAAGTGCTCGTTGCATCGTTATTTGTAGATATGAGATATGGTTTTAGATTGAAAGAAGGAAAGGTATAATATTGTTAACATGGGAGAAGGAACCATGGTGTATTCATGTCTATATCAATTGTTAAGTGTGAGGGAGCGGTGTATGGGCGGCATATCCGTCATATGCATCCTGAACTCATATTAAAGTTACAAGGGATCATCAACGCAGAAGGCATTGGTTATTACGTGGCGATTGGTTCGGTTGCATGAAGTGACGCAACGCAGCATAGAGATCAGTGGACAAGGACGGACGAAAACTTACTTCAAGGCAGTTGTTTCCCTTTTTTTCCAACATTAACCAACTTTCTGACCAATAACACCAATATGCCAATCCCAACGCCTCATACACCACCGGGTAGTGATGCCCCAGAACCGATTGCTATAATTGGACTGTCATGTCGCTATTCCGGCATAGCTGACACTCCCGATGGACTGTGGCAGATGCTCTCTAAGGGCATGACCAGTTGGTCTCGAAATGCCCGCAACCGCTTCAATTTAGACGCGTTCTGGCATCCCAAAGGGGAGCTGGCGGGTTCGGTAAGAACATTCACATTCCTTTCTCGCATAATCTAACATTGTCGTCTGTATAGTTTAACCCCAGCGGACTCCACCTTCTGAACCAAAATCCGGCGGCGTTTGACAATGGCTTCTTCAGCATCAACGGGGCTGAAGCCAAAGCTATCGATCCCCAGCAACGGCTATTGCTCGAAGTAGCATATGAAGCAATTGAGAACGCTGGAATCCCACTGGAGCAGCTGGAAGGCTCCCAGACCGGCGTGTACTGTGCAAACTCTTATCAAGATTATGATCAGATTCTTGGTCGGGACCCAGAAGTATCTGCAAGGTAGATCGCCCAGTATTTTTTTTGGATTCCGCCAGCTGATTGGCATCTTTCATAGCTACCGCTTTACGGGAACAGGCTCGTCGATATTGGCGAATCGAATCTCATATGTGTTTGACCTACGCGGACCAAGTATCAGCATCGACACCGCTTGCTCGAGCACTCTGGTTGCAATCCACGAGGCCTGTCGTGCCCTGCGCATGGGAGACATGGAGCAGGTGATTGTCGGCGGCGTCAACATGATTATGGACCCGGATAAGTCCGCTGTTCAGTCCTCCATGCAGTACCGACACCTTCCATATGATAGAGTCTGGAGAACAACACTAACAATGACTGTAGATTTCTCTCCCCAGACGGCCGGTGTTATTCATTTGATTCCCGTGCAAATGGGTATGGGCGAGGTGAGGGGGTGGCAGTGATCTTTCTAAAGCCACTGAGTGCTGCACTTCGAGATGGAGACGCTGTGCGAGCCGTGATCCGTGGGACATCTATTGTATCCGATGGTAGAACCCAAGGAATTACCATGCCGTCTGGAGAATCTCAGCTGGCCACCATCCAGAAGGCCTATCAGTATGCAAGACTCGACCCCAGCGAGACACTATATGTAGAGACACACGGTAAGGATCACGCGACCAGTCAAGACACGATTCTAATTATAGGCAGGAACCGGCACAAAGGCTGGCGATAAAGCAGAAGTCACGGCCGTTGCCAATACATTTTGCAAGAATAGACGGGATCGCCAGAAGGTATTCATTGGGAGCATCAAATCCAACATTGGCCACACCGAGAATGCATCTGGACTGGCCGCCATGGTCAAAGCAGTGCTCATCCTCGAGAATGGTATTATTCCCCCAAACCCGACGTTCAGCCAAGCGAACGAAGAGCTTGCCTTGGATGAATGTGGTATCCAGGTAGGGCTTTCCCAATGCTGTGGTATTTATCTGTCTGACAAAGCCTCTAGGTCCCAACGCAGTGTACCCCATGGCCAAAGGATATTGTGCGCCGGGCTTCCGTGAACGGTACTGGTTACGGCGGGACAAACGCGCATGTTATACTGGAAAGACCGTCGAGTGTATCACCAGTTGAGACACAGCTACTAGGACAGTGCAGCCAGACGATCGAGACACAGCGACCGTACACCTTTGTGTTAACACATAAGCACGATGGAGGTTTGAGCAAATGGGCTCGGAAGCTGAAGCGGCATGTCTTGGGATCAACCCAGCATCCTGAAACGCTGACGCTCGAAAAGCTGGCATTTACGCTGGGAAGCCGACGATCCCATTTCTCATACAGAGCAGCCATCACTGCGTCGAAATGGAACGAGCTCTTGGATGGTCTAGACCGACTTGCGAGCGGCATGGACCAGGCCACAAAACATGTCGGGCGACCTCGAATCTGTTTGGCATTTACCGGTACGATACCATACACAACAGCCCAAGTTAACTAAGCTAACATTAGAAAGGCCAAGGAGCTCAGTGGGCAGGTATGGGCCGTGAGCTGCTCGCAATATACCCTGTCTTTGCTCGTTCTATGCTGGCAGCTGAAGAGGAATTCATCTCGCTTGGTGCAAACTGGAGTTTGCTATCAGAAGTTACAAAAACAGACAAAGAATCCTTCATTAATGAGGCTCGATTGGCACAGCCTTGCTGCACAGCTATTCAAATTGCACTTGTTGATCTGCTGGAATCATGGGGCGTGAAGCCGTCCACTGTGTGTGGTCATTCGAGTGGGGAGATCGCCGCTGCGTACGCAGCTGGTATTCTCACGGCTAAAGATGCGTTGCGAGTGGCATACTGTCGAGGATATGCAATTAGAAGACTGAAGGAAGTTCACTCTGGTCTTCATGGCAGTATGATGGCTGTAGGGCTATCAGAAGCTGCAGTCGAACAGCATATTCATGAATTTGCGGGACAGGTCGTTGTTGCATGTATCAATAGCCCATCTAGCGTCACCCTATCTGGTGATCGAGAGGCCATGGAAAAGGTACAAAAGAGCCTTCAGCAGCAGCGAGTTTTCAATCGGATGTTGGCCGTAGATGTCGCGTACCATTCCCACCATATGGGCCACGTTCGCCAAACATATCTCTCATCTCTTACGGGAATCCACGCGAAGACATCTAGTGAAACACTAATGATATCATCCGTGACTGGTCACCTTGTCGATGGGAAGGAGTTGGGTCCGGAATACTGGGTGCAGAATCTGTTGTCTCCAGTTCGCTTTTCCGACGCCGTCGTTGCAGCACTTAAAACAAGCAGGAATGCAATGATGACAGCTGCACCACCAGTCGTCATAGAAGTTGGACCGCATGGTGCTCTTCGTGGCCCCGTCTTGCAGATATTCAAGTCTTCTGCAGCTGGAAATCCAACCAACTACCTATCCGTCCTGACACGGAACGAAGACGCTGCAAGGTCTGTCATAAATTTCGCAGGAAGCCTGTTCATTCGAGGCGTACCTATACAGTTCAACGCTGTGAATCACCCAGGCGACCGACAATCCACGCAGGTGCTTACGAGCTTGCCTCCATACCAGTGGAATCACGATACGCTACACTGGCAGGAATCCCGACGAAGTGCCGGGTATCGATTCCGCCAGTTTCCCAGGCATGAGTTACTGGGAACACCTGTTCTCGACAACATTGATGCAGAGCCAACATGGAGAAACTACCTTCGCCTTTCGGAGCTGCCGTGGTTAAATGGGCATTGCATCAGTGGACAGATCGTGTTTCCAGCAGCAGGCCACATCACCATGGTCATAGAAGCCCTTCGACAGCAGTGTCTGATTGCCGGTGATACACCATGGAGGAATACTCACATACAATTCCGTGATATTATAATCGGGCGCCCGCTGCTAATCACTGAGGGAAACACCTTGGGCACAGAGACGTTCATTCAGCTCCGTCCTTACACATATACCACACACGAGCCATCCACATCCTGGAAGGAGTTTCGCGTTTTTTCAACATCTGCAGAGGGGAAATCGACTGAGCATTGCAGAGGCTTGGTAATGACCAGAGAGACACGCAAGTCCCAATTGAAACAAGTGGCAAGTGATGAGGGACCCAGATACCGGACACTAGACCCGAAGAATTTCTACAAGGAACTGCACTCGTTGGGGAATGAATATTCCGGGCTCTTCACTAACCTGTCTGAGATAGAGGCACGTCCCTGGGAATCTCGATGTCAATTTCCCATTCCAGATGTCGCGGCTTGTATGCCTGCTGGATACTGCCAAAAGCACACTCTCCATCCAGCAACACTCGAGGCCTGCTTTCAAAGTATCTTTCCCGCACTCAAGATGGGGGGCGAGTTGAAGGATCCAGTTGTACTTACTGCAATTGAAGAACTCAATGTATCTTCAGACTTCGCAACCGACCCGGGAACATATCTTTGCGTGGAAGCTCAAAATCGCCGCTTCGGAGCCATGAAGTATTCAGGGACGTTGCAAGTAATTAATCCCGAGGACCATGAATCACAGCCATGCTTGGAGGCAAAAGGCGTTGTTTTCACTGCGATAAGGCAAAGTCGAAGTAACCCTACGAATGAAAAATCATCTGGTCTATGCCATCGTCTGGAATGGGGCTTAGATCTGTCTTGTTCTTCTCCAACAAGTATTGTTGACCACTGCAAACTCGGTGTTTCACAATTTGGTCCGCTGCATTTGAGAAAGAATTGTGATCCGCTGTGTTTGAGTTGGATTCATCAGACGTTAGCCGATCTCTCACCAACCGAAGAGCAAAAGATCTCCGGTCATCTGAGACTCTTCCTCGACTGGCTCCACTCCAACGCACCCAAAGAGCCCCCTTCACTAGACAAAGGCTTCGAGGAACACGTAAAAGGCGTCGGCGCAGCAGGCCAACTCGTTGCCCAGGTGGGCCCTCACCTTCGCAGTATTCTTCTCGGAGAGGTCGATCCTCTATCGATTTTATTGCAGAACGATCTGCTGTACAATCTATACTTCGATGATGATACGCTAAACCGATGCCATGTTCAGCTGATCAACTACATTAAGCTTGCTCAGTTTAAGAACCCAGAAATCCGGATTCTTGAGGTTGGTGGCGGTACCGGGAGTCTTGCCATTCCTTTATTGGAGGCTCTCCTTGGAAATGATGATGCTCGATTGGGCAAGTATGTCTTCACAGACATCTCGACTGGATTTCTGTCAAACACACAATCCAAGCTGGACAGATACCAGCCGTTCGTGGAATTCAAAAAATTTGACATGGAAATCTCTGCAGAGAAGCAGGGCTTCGAGATTGGATCGTTTGACTTCATCGTGGCGTCCAATGTTGTCCATGTTACTCACAGCTTGACCCAAACTCTGACAAACCTGCGTGGCCTTCTAAAGCCTGGCGGCCAGCTGGCTTATGTGGAAATCACAGAGCCTTCCTTGCGTTGGACTATGCTTGGCGGCCCTCTCCCTGGCTGGTGGCTTGGGGCAGAGGAGGGTCGAGTGAGCTCACCACTGTTGAGTGCTGCAAAATGGGACCATGTCTTGAAAGCAAGTGGGTTCTCTGGGGTATCGCTGGAGATGAAAGATTATGATTCGGAAGAGGACCACGAGCTGAGTGTGATTATCACTACCTCCACGTCAACACCAGAGCCATTGGAGCCATCGCCTGTGGAGAGTGTGTCGATTGTCGTAAGCCCTGGGAATTACCGTGTTTCCCAGCAATTGGTCCAACAGATGAATTCTCAGGACATTTCTGCTTCTGCATCTTCTTTGATGGATACCGTGCCGGGCAATCGTACCTTCATCATGCTAGTGGAAACAATAAGTTGTGGATTCTTGGCTTCGCTATCGCAGGAGGAATGGAATAGGGTCCGGGAAATTTTGTGTCAAGCAAAAGCTGTCCTCTGGGTCACACGAGGCGGCACCGTCGAATGCTCCGACCCTCGACACGCCCTTATTACTGGAATTGCGCGGAGTGTGCGCAGTGAAGATGATCAGCGCAATGTCTTCACCATTGACCTCGATCCCGCCGTGACTTTGGAGTTTGAGATTGCAAATGGAATCCATAAGATGTATGAGTATACCCTGGGTCACGGCCCTTCCCTGTCAGCAGAATCTGAGTTTGAGTTTGCATTACGAGGAGGGAATGTCATGATCCCTCGGTTAATGGTGGACCATGAAAAAAACCAGTACATCAAGGATATGGTTTCCGATTATCACCCACAGTGGAAACTCGATGTTGCACCGAGCCGTTGTCTTCAGTTGCAAATTCAGACACCTGGTCTACTGGACACTTTGTACTGGGCTGATAGTTCGGCTCATACAGCTTCCGTCAAGCCACATGAAGTTCGTGTTGATCTGAAGTATCTGGCTATAAATCACCGAGACGTGATGACAGCAATGGGTCAGCTTGATGGGCACACAACTTTGATCATGGAGGGTAGTGGGACAGTGATTCAAGTTGGTGACGCTGTCCAAGAACAGTTTGCAGTGGGCGATTCGGTTTGTGTCTTTGAGCCGGATGGACTGGCGACAATCAGTAATGTCGATGCCCGACAAGCCTTCCATATTCCACTCACAATGGATCAAACGACTGCCGGAGCTGTTCTTGTAGCCTATGCAACTGCGCTGTATAGCATCCGAGACGCAGCCCATCTGCAATCGGGTGACTCAATTCTTATTCACTCAGGCGCAGGAGCAGTTGGGCAGGCTTCAATTGCCCTTGCGAAATCGTTGGATGCGGGTGCAATCTTTGTGACGGTGGGAAGTGAGGAAAAGAGAAATTTTGTCCGGGAGCGATTTGGAATCCCAGACGAGAATATTTTCTCAAGTCGCGATCTTAACTTTGGCCAAGCAATTGATCACAGAACCCAGGGTCATGGGGTTGATATCGTTTTGAGCTCCTTGACTGGAGATGCGATTCGAGAGAGCTGCAGAGTGCTAGCACCATTTGGTCGATTCGTGGAGATTGGAAAGAAGGACCTGGTCAACAACGGTCGCTTGGAAATGAGATACCTGAAGCAGAATATAACCTTTTCTGTGGTAGACATGGCATTACTCGCGAAAAAGAAGCCGAAAGCATTCCACCAGCTTGCGCAGGATGCACTCGCGATGGCGTCCAACCCCGGTACCCCTGACTTGGGGCCGCTCACTACCAGTCCAATCACGGAGGTAGAAGAAACATTCCGCACCATGCAGACTGGCAAGCACATCGGCAAGTTGGTTCTCGAGCGCAGCCCCGGTATGTCGCTCAGGATTCAGCCAGCCAAGCCACAGCCGGCGGCCCTCCGCCCAGATGGCTCGTATCTCGTGGTTGGAAATGATGACCTTGGCAAGGCAGTAGTACGATTCCTCGCTCGACTAGGGGCAACTCGAATCATCACACTCTGCAGACCCGGGCAGGAAGAACTGGGGGGAAAAGAGTTGGCAGAGGAACTGAGAGAGATGGATGCGAACCTTGAGATCGTTCAGGGCAGCATCATAGATCCACATGTGGTTGAACGTATTCAGAAGCTCGGGGCGGAGTGCCCACTACGGGGAGTGATTCAAGGTCCCACGTATAGACGAGTAAGTGTAGTGTTGGTCCAAGGATAAATCCCCGCTTACAGAGAGATAGGACGGCATGGTTAAAAACACAACATTCGAGATGTGGCGTGACACCATCGAACCCAAGATGGTCGGAACACCGAACCTGGACAAGATAATAGGCTGTGACCTCGACTTTGTGGTTTTGATTTCAAGTCTCACTGCGATCACGGGCGGCTATGCGCAAGGAGGTGATAGTGCAGGCAGTGCATTCCTCGACGCATTTGCCCGTCGGCAGGCAAGCCGAGGGCTTCCAGTCCACAGCATCAACATTGACTTGGAGGCTAGGGAAGGAGTCAGGGCAGAGGCTGAAAAACTGGCCAACTTCCTCGCCGTCCTCCACCATGTGATCCAGCATCCCCAGGCCCCGACTGTGGGCGCAGCTCAAGTTATCTGTGGCGCGAGGCGAATTGACCCCAAATCTGGGACAGAGGAGGCTGCGCGTCAGCGTGCAGACGCAAAATTCTGCCACACCTATGCCAGGACAGACGCCGTTCAGTCAACGACTGGGAAAGAAGGAGCAATGGACGCACAGAGCGAACTGCGAGCAGCAACCAACGCTGCAAAGGCGATCGAGGTGACGCACAAGGCACTTCAACAAAAGGTCGCGCAACTTCTGCTGGTGCCGGAGCGAGATCTTGACGCGAGTCGGTCGGTGGCCAGCTATGGGGTGGACTCGCTCATTTCGGTTGAGCTGCAGAACTGGATCACGGCACAGCTTGGTGGACACGTGCAGACAGTTGAGCTGATGAGTTCGATGGGAATGGTGCAGTTGGCAGAGATGATTGCGCAGAGGTCTCGACTGGTGCCGGCAGGTGTTTTTGCAAAGGAGTGAGGGGAGGTGAGGCAGGGTGTCAGGTGATGCATCTGAATGAAGTAACCAGGAACAATCCACGATGACACATTGAATATTTATTTATCAGATATCCATGACTCATGAAATTAAACAGAGATAATAAAAGCAGCGGCGTGTAACATCTTTCAGTGCCCTCATGTTGAGGATGATGCTATCAAGGGTGTGGAAGCAATAGAGAAGCAACGGTCTGTTTGAGATGTGTATGTAACTAAGAAATACCTCTATAGATTAGCAGTCTTCCTTCCAGCATTCTCAGTAAACCCCCCATGAATCAACCCATATGGATCCCATTTCCTTCTAATCTCCATCAATCGCTCCGTATTCTCCTCTGACCAGTATCGTCCGCGACGCAACCCAACTGTCTCGCCCATATACGTTCCCGCCGTATGAGGTTCAATTGGCATCATGACGCTCCGTAACCATCCTTCACAGCGCTGATCATCTTTCTCGTCCTCCCACATGGCATACAGAGCAAAGTAGTCATCAGAGTGTACACTCAGTGCCATATCAGCCATCTCATCCCGTCGACTGACTTTCCGCATGGATGTCCAAAATGCAATCGACTTTCGATGCGGAAGTGTCAAAAACGCCTCTTCGAGAACGGCAGACACATCGGTGTCATTCTTGAGATATGCATTCTCAGTGCAGTACCTCAAACCCTTGGGCATGCCTTTATCCTGAATACGAAAAGACTTTTCCAGACTCTTTTCCGGTCGACAGCACCATTCTGCAACTGTCCCTGTCGGTCGGGTTTGATGGATTGATTGCAGGACGGTTTTCGCTTCTTCGGGGGTGTTTTTCCAGCTGGTGATATAGATTCCAAAACAGATCTTCTTGCCGTGATACTGCACCACGGCCGTTGACGTTGTATCGCTGTCGATGTTCGGTTGGAGACTCCGAATCCAGTCAAACGCCTCTCTGTATTTCTCTCTGGGGTATACATATCCAGATGTGTGGATTGCTTTTGGATGAGGAGTTGTTTTGAGTTGGAATCGGACGACCAGTCCGGGGAATGCTATTCAATCAGTTATGAATCGCATAGATGACAATGAAAACTCACCAGGTCCGGCCCCTCGCACAGCCCAGAAAAGATCTGGATTGTAGTCCTTGCTGCAGTGGACGAGTTCCCCTTGGGCCGTCACGACATCCGCTCCTTCGATGTACTCACACGCCCATCCCAGCGTCTACATACAATAAGCCACTGACAGCTCCGTGGAATACGATCAACTCACCTCTGTATTCCAGCCCATTCCACCCTGAAGCAAAAACCCACCCATTCCGACACTGGGACAATGTCCAACCGGAAACGTCAATCCATCAACAATCAACCGATCGTACAACGCCTTACTCTCGACGCCCGGAGTCACTGCCACGAGTCCCCGATGAACATCAACGTCAATCTCCTTCCAGTCGTGCAGATCGACTAAAATAACATCATCCTGTACACTCAACACACCGAATGAGTGACCCCCGGAGCGGACGGTGATGCGGCATCGATGTTGTTGGGCGAGACGCGTCGCTGCGATGACATCATCTGCGCTGGTCGCTTTGACGATCGCGAGAGGAAGTCGTGTTGGACGGCGGAAATTGAATGCGTTGTCGATGCGGGCAGATTCGTAAATTGCATTTTCGGGTGAATCGCGCCACGTTATATGCATTTTTCTATTGGGATGTGGTTATCTGGTAAGTTGGTTGGATCAAGGGGGAGGCGAAGATGAGATGCCGAGGATTACCCCGCGTTTTGATTGGGGGCGGAGAATCAATTGATGGTGTTTCTATATCTGTCCATCTTGAGGTGTATAACTTAGTTTGCACTCGTTGTATATATATATATATATATATAATCAAGATAATAAACCATTTGGATGTAGGTTTCAACTGCTCAAAATACATAAATCGACTACCTCAAACCCAACGTACCTTGATTATTCGCAACCAATTAGTGATACGCCGATGATGATACACAATGTCCATGTTCTGGTGTGCAAGTCCATCTGCGTACCAGTAAGTAGGCTCCAGCCTTGCATCAGGCATGAGTTGATAGAAACGGACATCTCGACCATAGGCGATGGCGCCAAAGAGGCTCTCGCTGTATGTTCTTGGCAGGTGTAGCAGGTCTCTCTTCAATTCATCCTCCCAGGTCGCCAATGTATCGAGAGTCATATCGTCCGGGTTGCTCGGTTTCTCTCGAAAGTGGAAATAGAGAAAGTGGGTGTCTGTAAATATACTTTGAGTGAAAACGACCGATGCAGTCAACAACGGCAATCTGGACTCGAGGTCAACCTGCAGTTTGTATTTGGGTGGGACATGAGGAAACTCAGGATCGGGCGAAGTAGGGAAGAATACCTCGAGAATGCTAGTCCAGGCGAGGCATGATTCGTATTTTGATGCATGGGAATGGAGGGTATAGAGCATCTGTGTTGTTTCGGCGCTGTACCTCGGGGTCTGAGATGATTAGCATTATTCATGACTGAACTGGAGGACTTACCGGGTTTCTCATCACTGGAATGTTCGGCATGGTTGATCGTAGATATTCCAATGAAGAGATGGACGAATGCTGGATGAAGAGTTGATGAATGGGCAGAACACTCCTTATATATCTCATCAACAACGGTCTTCTGGAGTCCTGGTGGCGTATGATCTATGAATAGTCCTTTGTGAACGAATAAAGGTTGATGTTTTATATTTCTATAGTCCAACAAAGGGAATCTCTGTACGACTCGAATTGCATGGAACAAAGGAAACCACTTTTATCACCGACAATGCGGCCAAGGACTCTTCAATACATGATGGCTATAAATAGCATTCTGATATGCAGTAGACAACATTATGTATACAAAGATGTTATTTACCTTCCTTTGGCAGGAAGAACTGTACCTCCATCAAGTGTAGACCGAAATAGGCTAGCGTGGTCACGTCGGCTAATCAGCATGGTCTCAGTTAACTGTCCTCATTTTGTCACGTGATGCAATGTCGACTGAGCTCGGGCCAGAATTACCTTGTTTGGTCTCGGATAATGGTAGTTCCACTCTCGGCTGACCAAGATGACCTCACCTGGACCATCACGTGAGTCCACATGAGTCGATCAGATCGAGTCGGTGCGACCGTTGAATGTGATACATGTTTGTGGAAGCCATGACAGGAATATTTTAGATGGATAGAATAGAAGCCTTTATGAGTTAATTAGTATATATTTGTGAATATTCAAAGAGAAGTACTCAGTGGTATGCCAAATCCGCAATAACCGTGATATATTTTACCAAATGCACACTCTAATTAGCAGCCAATGAGAACCGCCCCCTCAATCACGATGATCAGATTAGATCACCAGATAACCTTTCTTTCCCATTCTTCTCCCACTTTCTTTTCTTCCTCCAGCCAAAATGCTCCCATTATGGCTGTTCCTCCTCATCCCCTATGTCTATTCCAGTACTCTTCTCCCTGAGGAGCGCTGCGTGACGGCCGTCTACACAGCCTACAACTACATTTCCTTCACCGGTCTTCCCGCCGAGGGGTTCTGGGAGACGCGATGTCAGAATCCCCTCAAGGTGACTTCCATCTATGCCGCGTCGCAGGTGTACTGTTCTCCGCTGGAACAATTCCACGGCTTGAATCAGTTGGAGTCGTTTTGTCGGGAATTCGGTCATGTGGGATTGTTGCCTCGCGAGCAGCTGACCGACAATCTGACCGATGATGCCGTCGATCGTATGATGGTGGTGGAGTATCGCCAGCTGCCGAAGAAGGAGGCTGTTGATGTTCCGGTTTTGATTTCGAAGGATTATTATGATGTCACGTTTAAAACTATAGTAAGTGCTCTGGTTTATATTATTTGACATACTAATTGGATAGGATATTCTGGATTATGAGCGCTGGACGCAGGAAGCATCGGGATATGCCATCTACGCTTTCTGGACTGTCATTCTGTCTGTTGCAACTCTGCATCGATTCTTTTATCATCATCTTAACATTCGACCACGCTCTTTTGTCCGTTCCATCTATCATTGCATTCAAACGCATCTTCTCGTTCCTGCTCCTCTCTCACATGGTCGAACTTTTCTCTGGTGCACTCTTCCCACGCGCATCGAGGCTATCATCGTCATACTCTACTATATCATCAACACCATCCTCTCCTGCATTTCATATCCAGTCTTTCCAGGGAACCTCTAGTAAGCCATTTCTACTCTTCTCTGACATATCTAACTATTCAGTTGGCCCGAACCATCCGACCAAATCCTGCGATACGCCGCAGACCGCACCGGCATTCTCTCCTTTGCCAATCTCCCTCTAATCTGGCTGTTCGCAGGACGAAACAACATCTTCTGCTGGACGACTGGATGGAGCTTCGCCACGTTTAATATCTTCCACCGCCATGTTTCGCGGGTTGCGACTGTTCAGGCCATTGTGCATACGGTACTCTATCTGGTGATGTTTCTCAAGCGTATGTTATGCCTATTATGTACAGTATGTGTGCTAATTATGTAGGGGGAAATGCGTGGCATAAGATGCAGAAACCGTATCTTCTCTGGGGAACGCTGGCCATGGTGGTGATGATCTTTGTGCTTGTCTTTTCGTTGGATCGTATCCGACGCAGGACGTATGAGTTGTTTCTGTTTGTTCATATTTTCTTTTCTATCATCGCTCTTGTTGGATGTTTCTAGTGAGTCTTTCCATCAACGAAATATAACATCGCTGATAAACAGCCACACCATCATCTTCGAAGCCCACGACTACTGGATCTATCTCTGGCCAACCATCGCCATATGGGTTGTGGATAGACTCCTCCGCCTCATCCGCATTGTCTACTGCAATCTCCACGTCAGAAACACCCGCTCTATCCACCACACCACCAGCATCGCCACATACAACCACGCAGCCGATGTCATCCGCCTTGAAATATCCCCAGCTTCATCTCTTCAACCATCCCCGGGGCAGTATTACTTCCTCTACCAGCCCTTCCGTCTAACAGGCTGGGAAAGCCACCCCTTCACCCTCGGCGCCTGGTCCTACGACTCGAGTTCATCACTCGAACTAGCCCAGAAAACAGTCGACATATCCCATCTCCCTCTCCTGTCTGAATCTTCAGACTCTACACCTGCATCACCAGTCGAGCTCAAACTCATCTTCTGGATCCGCCCCTTTGACGGCTGGACCCGCCACCTCCGCCAACAATGCATACACTCACCCACTCACTCAACCCAATCTACCGTCCTCCTCGAAGGGCCGTACGGCGAGCACTTTCCCATCCACAAATACGAATCCATCCTTCTCATCGCCGGGGGAACGGGTATCGCCGCCGCAGTCCCTTACATACAGGATCACATTCTGCGGTCGGCAATCGACGATTCAGTCATCCGTGATATACACCTCATCTGGACCAGCAGACAAGCAGCGTTCATAAACGAGGTTGCGTCACGAGAGCTGAAGCAGGCGTTGACGCGGTCGGACGTGAGGGCTTCTTTTTACGCCACCAAGCCTAGTGCTGGAGATACAGATACAGAGATGGAAATTAAGCACGGCCGACCGAACCTGCACTCGGTTATCCTCGAGCATGCCCGTTCTGCGCGGTTGAGTGAGTGTTCAGCTGCGGTGATGGTGTGTGGTCCAATGGCGATGGTGGATGAGGCCAGGGAGGCTGTGCATGAGGCGTTGAGAGGGGGGTATTCTGTTTCGTATATTGAGGAGTCGATTGTTTGGTGATATAGATAGAAATGAATACGAGTATAATATACGATACGAAGGGATGTCTGTAAGGGGGTCGAGGGTTAGATTAACGGTGGTCTAAAACATTGATCTTGATCTTATTCAAATTTAGATGGTAGTATAGACGATGGAAGCAGCATAGAGGATGATAAAGTGATTAGTCTGATAATAGTTTATGTAACTGTATCAACTTATATCGAGAATAACTTGTACTCCGTAACCATGAATAGAATATAAACCCCGCACTTTATCCCCGTGCAGCAAGATCTGATATATCACATCCTCGATCCGGGGAAGCTGCAGCAACAGTCTCTATTATGTATTGCATTGAATATCTGTATGTTTATGCACAGATTGAGTTTATTCCTGTCTCACTCTAATCTTCTTCAAACAATAGTTCCTGGCTAGGGATGAGAGGCTGGTACATGAGTATGAAACACGATCAATGATGCAAGGGATTATGTTTCTCGAGGTTGGTGTATAGCAAGATAATAACAGTCGCGATATAAAGAGGATGAATCTGCTGCTTCAATCGCCATCATCAACCACTCATTCTCGTCCATCCAGTCATTCATTCATCCAGTCACTCATTAAAAGATATACACTCCTTCAAAATGAAGTTCTTCACCATCGCCGCTCTCGCCGCCACCGTCGCTGCCCTCCCCAGCCCCCAAGTCAACAACAACGACAGCGTCCGCTTCCCCGTCGGCAACGACGTCGACGTGCACCAGGCCCAGGCCAAATGCGGCGACCAGGCTAAGCTCTCCTGCTGCAACAAAGCCTCGTACTCGGGCGACACCACCGCCGTCAACAACGGTCTGCTCTCTGGTGTCCTGTCCGGTCTGCTCGGGGCTGGCGGCTCCAGCGAGGGCCTCGGCCTGTTCGACCAGTGCAGCGAGCTCAGCGTGACGGGTGAGTTTGAACTGTGGCATCTTGTGCTGGCGACGAGTGTGGTGGCGGCGGTGCTAACGAACAAGTAGCTCTGCTTGGCTTGAACAATCTCGTCAACCAGCAGTGTAAGCAGAATATTGCTTGCTGCCAGAACTCCGAGTCGAATGCTGTAAGCCTTCCCTTATCTGAGTACATCTATACGGTATATCTAACACCGATAGAATGGCGGCCTCATCAACGTTGCCGTGCCCTGCATTGCGCTCGGCTCGATCCTCTAAACTGCACATACGCCTGGACATTTTGGATTTGCTGTATATTGGCATCTCTCGTGTGAGAGGATTACTATCGGATGGGTGATACGCTCTTTCGTCTTTCTTTCTGTATCAATTTTCCCAGGGATTGTGGATAGCACTGTTATATAGTGTGAATAACCATTTTATACTATCTTCTTCAGATATTGTAGAGATTAATGATCAAGACAACTCCAACCTCAACGCATCGTACTGCACATACACCGTAGCAGGTAAAATAGCAGTCTCCGTATCCGTTGCGTTATATGGCAAATGCAGCGTGAGCACATTATCTCCCACTCTCAACCAGTCTGCTGGGAACTGCATTCTCGATCGAACCTGGTAGCAACTCACGGCAGAGCGTACAATACAGCTACTCGACTGGTTGAAGCCAATCAACATCGTCAGTGGCTCGCTCTGTTGGTTGATGTAGCTTTCCAGTGCTAGGTTGTTGTATTCTTCGTCTGGGTTGTAGACGTCTGTATTTCCTGATGCGGTCTTTGCGCCCGCGAGTTGGATGGTGAGCGTTGCTGTATCCTTTTTGCTTAGTTGCTGCTCATCGAGAGAAAAGTTGATCTTCCAGTCATGCGTTGTATCATATTCCACAGCTGGATTATCAGGCGTACGCCCGTATACAGACCAGTGGACAGTGTTAAAGTCCACCGCTGGATCACTATTTCCAATGGTATAATTCACACCATCTGGAAAGTCAGACTGCCAATCATAAGCACCCCAGTAGATAAGATATTCAGGGGGATACAGTGGATGTGTGGTGTCGCGTGTATTGCCGTGTCTGAATTCTCCTGATGATTTATCCGGCACACCGAGACGCCAGACTTCTGTTCCTGCGGACTCGGGTGTCCAGTTCTCATTTATCTGAGTGGTTCTTCCAGCGTCAATGGTAATGCCATCTTTGGTGAAGTCGCCGAATATACCCTCTGCATAGACTGTCAGTCTATACTTTCCTTGTTTGATCCGGTTGATGTGAAAGGTCCCATCTGTGGCGATGTCTGTCCAGTATTGGTGTGAAGAAGCATCGATTGAGTTATCCTGCCAGTACTGTCCGTCTACAGTGAGAATGGCAATTGGATTGACGGCACCGTCAGGCAGGTCGATATGTCCATCTACACTCCCACGCTTGCTAGACGGGATGTACCCAACGACATGTTCAGCGATGGAGTCGTAGAACTCTGCATTCCAGTTCGGATCGGCGTAGGCTTCAGCATCGGATCTTAATTCTTGCAATGTTGCAGACGATGTCTTCCCCCCGTTGAAGACGTAGAACTGTGGACCAAAGGTTCTGTCAAAGCCGTTTGTTATGTTGGGGGTTCCTTCGCCGTGGTGGTTGGAAACTATGTAGTTGTAGACGATGCCGTCGACGGTGAGGTCGGAGTGGAGGGGGCCCTAATCTGTTAGTTTTTATATACATTGGGTGGTAGACGTACCCCGTAGTATGTATCCTGTAGAGTTAGTATATATATCTATGAGAATAAGAATAAGAGTCACCTTTGTGTTCATCACCAGCCACGCCCCGTATGTAGAGCCATTCGAGGTAGATCCATCACCATACAGTCCGTGAACGCTATTCTCACCCCACACTACATAATCAGCTTGATTCCAAACAGGATAAGAAACTCACTATTGGAAAATGTATATTTGGTAAAATACTCCGAAAACTGCGTATAATACGCATCATCAGGTGTATTATTAAACCGCCACGTCGCATCCTGCACCACAACCTCATTCTTAATCGCCTCCTTACTCGGTAATGGCGCAGTCTGCATCTCACTTGACGAGAGATGCGTCCACAGTTCCGTATTCGGGCGGAGGAGAGTCCTGAATTCTTGCAGATTGCGCAGATACGGTGTTGTCTCGTTGTGATATGTCAGCCTGCTGAACATGTGTAGTCCTGTCTCGCCGTCACGAAGAAACCAGTATTGCTGGAACTGCTGACCGGTAGGCGTGTATGTGTCTGTGAGGATCATCCCGCCGTAGTCTGTTCCTGTTGAGTCGGTCCCCTGCACGACAGCCATGCGGGGTGTTGTTGCGCCGGCTGTGTAGAAGCCAGACGGGATGCAGTAGCAGTCGAGGTATGGTCCGATACCAGTTGACCCGGACTGCGGGCCGAGAAGGTCTTGTCCGTCGAGATAGAGATCGATGACTTGGCCGACGCTTTTGTCGAGGATGGCGGTTAGTCGGTCATTGGCGAGGGTGATTGTGTTGTTTGTTTCTGTGAGGGTCACTGCAATTGCAGCCGTGGCCCACAAGGCCGCGCTCACAAGGCTGAGACGCATCTTGTCGTCTAGGGGTTAATCTAAGGAAGTGTGGAACAGGGGAAAGTCCAGCTTCACTTTATATGCATGACTACTAGTCCGGGATTGAATGTCCCGAGATAATTAGGGCTCCATCGTGGTGAGAGAAGACCTGGTATGGTAATGATGCATACATCCATCCATAATGAATACCAGGATGGAGATGATTAATCTGGGGAAATGCGGGGAAATGCGTTGGATTGACGGAGAAATTACGCGACGGTGTGAATTGACCCGAAATGCTGGATTGCGGGGGAACATCACAATTAGACTGATATTGGTCTAAGCAGAATGTAAGTCTTTTTGATCTGTACTTCATGGTCAGACTGAGTGGTAATCTGCATTAGATCCACAGTAATTATCCGCATTCCATGTTTGAATATCCTGATATTTGAAACACTAGGAATAAGAGATATTCAAGCTTTGTGCCGTCTGCAAACAGTCTCACCTATCAGGTAAGAGATATTTCTGCAGCTAGACAGCAGTTCTTCCGTCAGAAAGCATGTACCTTCACAGCCCGATATTGGCAGATGCTTGAATTATCTTGCTCAAATCTTCTGTCTTGCTCTAAGCAGTACTTGGTTCTCTCAATTTTGGTCCTTCATGGCTTGATTGTCTGTGCCATTTTCAGTCAATCATCGGAAGCTAATGGCGTCGAGAGAAGCTTTTAGATACCCCTGCTTTAACTTCATATTTGGACTTAGCATCCGAAAGTTATCAATATCGGCATCAAGCTCCCTATCTCATCGGATTAATTGTCGGTAGCTGGTAATTTCTTACCAAGCAGACATAATTCCTATCCGATTATCATCGTCGCAGCATTTGACTCCGAGTGTATAATGCATTACGGAAGCTTCACACATCCATTGTTCAGAGATCTCAATACCACAACTTCCACATGGGATACATCCAACATAAATCCTATTTCAACACACCCCGCGATGGATAACATCCGAAATCTATGACGGCGGGGGGCTTGCCACCGGAGCACATTCCGACCCCCTATCCGACGGAAGATCCAACAGTCACGGATTCCCACCCGAACTCTCCACTACTACTGTTAATTCATGCTAACCTCGGGCTGGATGGTCTGGGCGATGATTTAATATGTCAATCTGCCTGTCAGAAACGGAATACTGCCGTGGATGAGCCAGTCGTCACGGTCCAGCCATACATGTGCTGTGTAGATGGAATGTGGGCACCCCCTAGTTTTCTCCCCATGGGGTGTCAAGTGGGACCTCAGGCCTGGGGGATTTAAGATGAGGATGTTTCCACTTTAGGAGAGTCAGTTTGAAGATAATCTCTGCACACGAATATGGACAGAGAGGTTATCACAGGGGATTCGACTCCGGTCGACAAATCGTCCAATATGAAAGACAACGGGTCAGAAACATCCATGCACCTAGAACATATACCAACACTCCATGAAGGCTCTGATAGTTCTTCCTGGCCATCCAATCCTCGAGATCCCCGCAATTGGCCAAAATCGAAGAAGAACACCCAGATCATCATGGTTGCCTTCCATTCGATGGTGTCGACCTTTATGGCGGCCGGTATCATCCCGGCTTTTGAGGTTTTCGCAGAGGAATACGGCGTCACCGTCCCGGAAGCGAGTTATCTGACTTCCATCCAGGTGTGTTCGTCACTGAGATCGCAAGAAAGTACTGACCATCTAGATTCTCCTGTTAGGAATCTGCCCCATCTTCTGGAAACCCATCACCTGCGTCTACGGCCGGTATCACGTCCTCATGTTCTCTGTCGTCGGGAGTATGGTCTGCAACATCGGCGGTGCTGTATGCACATCCTACGGCGCCCAGATGGCCACTCGCATCCTCACGGCTATCCTCATTTCCCCTCCCGTCGGCCTAGGTAGTGGTGTGATTACCGAACTCTGCGAGCCAGGCGAACGCGCCCAGAAACTCGGCTGGTGGACGCTGATGATCACGATGGGCACCCCCGGCGGACCGTTCATCATGGGCTTCGTGACGCAACACGCAGGCGTGCAGTGGATCTTCTGGATCTTCACCATCATCAACTTCGCCCAGTTCATCTGCTATCTCATCTTCGGCGACGAAACCATGTATCACGCAGACCACCAGCCCAAAGCCACCACCCCCAGCACAGCCTGGACAAAGCTGATCCCCCGCCGCATCGATCCCCGTCCAATCCAGCTGAAAGAATTCCTCGAGCCGCTCCTCTTCGCCCGGTATCCTCGCGTCTTCATCGCGGCCTGCGCTCACTCCATCGTATTCTGCTACGCCAACATCGCCCTCATCGTCGAAATGCCCATCGTCTTCGGCAAAAAGTTCCACTTCAACCCCCAACAGATCGGTCTGCAGTTCATCGCAATCATCATCGGCTGCGTCCTCGGCGAACAAGTCAGCGGGCCCATGTCGGATTGGTTCTTGAGGACGCTTCACAAACGACGCGGTCACACGTGTCCTGCTGATCGGTTGTGGCTGGCGTATATCGGGTACGCGACTGTGTATGCTGGTCTGCTGACGTGGGGATTTCAGCTGGAAAAGGCAGACAGCTGGAACGTCACGCCGTGTGTTGGGGCTGCGATTGCGAGTTTTGGGAATCAAGTGTTGATGACGATTTTGATTTCGTTCGCGGTGGATAGTTACAAGGAGACGGCGACGCAGGTTGGGCTGTTTATTAATATCTTTCGGCATATTATTGGCTTTGTAAGTCTTCTTTCCTAGATGGAGAGATTCCGCTAATGATTGCAGATTGGGCCATTCTATTTCCCACCCATGTTTGAGACATTGGGTCTGGGAACGGCGGCTGGTGTTATGCTGGCCATTATTGGGGGGTGTGCGTTGATTCCCACGGTTGCGATTCAGTTTGTTGCTTCTCGTAGGAAGTCGGGATGATGCTGTCATATTAAGTGGAAATTTTGGTGACATGAACATATAGAGTGAATATACACATACAATGAGATGTAACGCCTAGTCTATTATCTTGTCCGGAACAATCACATTCAACCTGATTCAATGGTCGATAACCCTGTTATCTATCTGCATAGCCCGTTCACAGCCTCGCTCATCCATGTCACCGAGTCATGTTGACAGGGGGTATGGCTGATCAATCCAGCCTTGCCTACACCGCAATTTCCTGGTTCTCATACACGTAGAATAATCTCTGGGGGTGGAGAGATGCTATTAATCAAATAGTCCCCAGGCTAGTCCTCTCATATCCTGTAGCAGCGTCCATCACGATATTTTATAACTTTTTCTGATGACCGGTGTATACCTCTACAAAGCTGATCATGAACTCCTCCAAGATGACATCCGACCGTTTCATCTCTCGAGCACTGTTAGTTCATGCCTCGCAACCCCCAAAGATATTAGCTGGGTTTATTAGGATAAATCAGCAAGTATCATCCTTTATAAATTAGTCTTATATATAATGGATACGAGAACACACACCTAGATACAACATAACTATTGGGTAAGGAGTCATAGGTACAGTAGGCTATTTGTGGAAGCCTACACATCCTTTAGGAGTGATCCAGGTAAGTGAGTTACAATACACAGACAGTATAATGGCACTTTGCCATCACTGCCGGTGACATGGCCACCTGGCAGGGAACTGTAAAGATGGGAACTCTACATTGGTCGTAATCGCACATTTCTCACTTAACCTTCTCTATTGTAATGCTTCAAATATTCCCTGTCTGATATGATAAAATTATTATTAATCTCTTCAACGTGTTAAGTATAACAAAAAGCCATCACTATATCGAAAGAAATGGAGTTGCATAGGGCGGGTTCTGGCCTTAGAACTTCTAACAGGGGTAATTGTTCCTTCGAAAAGGGAAAGCAAAAATCTGCACAGGAGATTTTGTTTCCACACACCTTCGGCTAACCCATCACTGTTCTTATATTGAATATCATCACTTAGGCCGGTATTGTCATGGATAAAGTATCAAATACCAATTCCACTAATTCCACCAATTTCCACGCAGAAGCAGAGTTCGGTGCCTGAACACGTATCATGATGAAAGCCTTGTTTGAATCTCTATTTCATTGGATAGAGTTATGACACGTCGACGCGGGGTAAAGTAGAGGATTACCAGATTGGGATGGTGTGACCTGCAGGGGAGAAGATAAGAAGGGGATTTTTGGTCGCCGAATTTATGATCTTTACAGGTTCAGTTTTCGATGAGGGCTTGGAACGGGCTTTATTCGCATAACGGAAGTTTTCTTGTCTATGGTTTGAAATCGACCACTGCGATTATTGTTACTTGGTAGGTAGACGGAGAACGGCGTGAGAGGACGTGTGGTAAGTTCTTCTTTTGAACCATTTGGCAATGAAAGAGTGAGGAACATAGTGACTGATGACAGTGAAGGGATAATTAGTGATCAGTGGCTACCAAGTGGCGGTCCGGATGGATAAAGCAGCGAAACGATTGGAGATGCGTGAAGTGGTGGCTTTGCATCCAGAATTCTTTGGGGGGAAAGGGGGTTGTGGTTGTGTCGAGAAGGGCGCTTTTGCTGGCTCAGCCAGATGCGGTGAATACGGGGCTGTGCGGTATGTGGATAAAGGCAGTGGTCCAGGGCCGAGAGCAGAGGATTGTGATGAAGTACGCCGTGTGAAATTTCTCTGTTGTGGTTGCGTGGTCGAGTTCAGGAAGCTTGTCGAAGACTGGGATGGAAACGTGAACATGGTGGGTGCTGACCACGAGCGTCACCAAGTTCGGTGGGTTATGAATTTGATTGACGGGGTAGAGCATGTCATTTTGACTGAAGAGCACTTGAACGTCCTACTACTCAATAAAACACGTTTCTTGATAAATTTTAACTATTCTTTGTTTTGTGAGGAGTCCAGCAGGTTGAAGACAGGGCAGCACTGGGTCGAGGATAAAATGGATATGAGTGATGGTTGAGTACTCACTCGCTGGGCTGGTGTTATTTTACAAGGATCCCGTATCTGTCGGGGGTGGAGGGAAACGCTGGTACTGGTATACATGGGAACGGAGGATGGCAAGGATGGTTTTGATAAAACGAGAGATTGCAGACAATTTGGATTATTCTTCTTGATAAATAATAAATCCTCGAGGTATGATAAAAACAAGTGTGCTGTTACACAAGCAGTTGGTCACTATCACATATACCTTATTCTGAAAAGGACAGGAGGATCCGGAGCTTCCTCACTTCTGTACAGGCTAGATGTAGGTCTCAGTGCAACCAGTGTTCTTCTATACTACGCCACCATTAGAAAAGATAGCATCATTAATATAAACACACCTCATCGCACTGCACTTTTAAAAGTAAACATTGAGGACCCTGACTGAGCTCTCCAGCTTTAAAACAAAGCCCTAGTTCCTACTAAATATCTATAATAATAGGGGAAGCAGATTAACTGACTTGACTAATACACTGTAGTCTTTCAAGTATCAATAGGGCAGAGAAACACTGCATGGAGGCCATCTTTGCCCATGAACGACTCAGAAAACAGGGGTATTGCTCTCCCGGGTATAGAGGTGTTGTGGAAACGTTGGCTTATCTGGGATATCTTTACAAACATCACGGGCAGCAAGAAAGTGCAGCTCGGTATTTGGTGAGAGCAAAACAATGCTATAGCTGTATCGGCCTGTTGGATCTGGGGATAGCATTATTATTAGTCCATATGATTGACCAAGATGCCTCTTAATTTATTCATCAACTAATGACAATAGATCTTTCATGTATACATCGTATTACCTCATACGTCAAAAGACTGATCAAAACAGATTACTCGGTACACTATTCAACCAAGACATATCCTGAAAATCAGGCAAATCAAACCCATCCAGCAGAATCGCATTCATCCCCTCTCCCAGCGACATATCATGAGGCGCATTCGACGTGCCTTCCGGATGATTATTCGCGGGCTGGTCAGTCAATGGTGGTCCCTCCGATACAACCCTTTCATAAAGAATCTCAAGCGCAGCCACACACCGTCTAGCGGATGAACTGTAGCTTTGGTATTTACGGAGGATTTCTAGTGCGCAGTTCCACGATCGCGCAATGGCTCTTTCTGTTACTTCGGCCAGAATGGCGGATCGGAGGCGGCCGGCTATTAGGACTGTTGCGGCTGTGTATACGTCTGTTCTGTTAGTATTTGTGTTCATTATGGGGGTATTCAACTTACATAGAATGTTATACCACCAGGCAGGAAGGGGACCGGAAGATCCATCCATGGGGACGTTGTTGTATATCAATTCGATAACCTCCTGGGCCACCTTGACACAGATAATGGAGCACTGTAGTGCAACGCGGTGGGGGAAGGAGTCGTTAAGCGTGATGAGAGGATCAGTAGCTGTTATGTCTCGAGCAGTGCAATATCTTGATAAAGTCGGTCGAAACAGAAGTACCCGGACGTGTAGGAATCTGTTCATCATGAGCCAAAATCCCTGATTTCGACCGAAATGACATACCTTGCTCTTAAGACTACGCTCTGTCGGTAGAAAATTGGATCCTCAGACTCTGGAGAAGATATCCCGCGAAGGTGAACAGGAAGGCTACGCGTCCATCTAGTAAGAGCACGGTCAAGTTCAAAGATCGTACGTTCCCCTTCACTCGTCTCCTTGTTGAAATAAAAGTCGTGGATATCTTCTAGGCTTTCTTCCGACACTGGCTTGTACAGACTCAGAAGGACATCGTTCATGATTTCATACAGTTCGAGCGACTTGGCGTAAAAGTCCATCATTGATGGACGGTCTGCCGGCTGCGATGCCTCGGTTCCAGAGGCTGTGGAAATGTACTCTTCGTCCACAGATGCTGGCAGAGGAACAGATCCAGATGAAGCTTTCGAGATCATTGCAGGACGACCGAATGTCATGGAAATTACCCTGAGAGTGTTAGCCCGAATTTTTCCCAAGCGGGACGTGCCTACCTATCCATCAACACGCATCCATGCCATATCTTACGTGCTAATTGCTGTTCTTGAAAACTCTGAAGACGAGCAAGTGTTTGTGGCAGGTGTAATCCCAAACTCTGGGCATTACGAATAGCCAACCCTGTTACAATCCAGCACTGATGGGCTGAATCAGTACTCTGGAGATACTGCGCCATCAGAAGGAGACATTGAATCAGGCCAGCCGATCCGGTATTCCACAAGTTGAAATGAAGCAGATCTTTGGCACGCGAGAAGAAAGCGTCCGCAGAAGCTTCCCGTTCTTCCGGTTGGATGAAGTCAGCAAGCTGGCAGGCCAGAGCAAATATGACATTAAAGGTGCACATGAGCATGTTCTCGTCTGAATTCAAGCTATCGCCTGTCCAGATCTTCGCGTATTCGGCTCGCATATGTGTGCTGTCGACGAATGGGTATAGTGGGAATACCCTAGTCCAGTAGACATCCATGAGGCTATCCGCCGTCTTTCGCGGAGGAAGTACATAGTTTGGAATTGTCGAAGGTCTTGCCGTCCGCGTTGACATCAAACTCGCAGGCGGCACAATTCCCATGACCGACTCTGATGTCCGTCGATGTGGCGACGACACCCGTTTGTCGACTGCTGTCTTGATTTGTCGAATGAAGCTGGCTGCACTGGAACTGCCAAAAAATCCCTGCGTGCGCTCTTCTTCCACTGCGCCCATCATCGCATTCACCCCGTCTGCTCGTCCACCTGCCAGCGGTTGTCGATCAGGAGACCGATGAGATGAAGGCAATGCATGGCCATGATTGTCCTCCACATTGCTGCTTCTTGGCTGGTTCTGAACAACACTATATGCCGGCGAATGGTGTTCCCCGCCGCGACTTGATATGCTTCGTTGTCGTTGGTTCACAGGCGTTACGAGTGAGGGTGAGAAAGCAGGAGGATGGGTATTTATACTCGTGTCGACTGGGTCATATGGTAAGACCGATTGCTGTATCTGTCAGACTAGCTCGCCTTATGTGTCATTCACGCAGGGCTTCGCACAGGAGTATGGCCTGATGCCTGTCCGTCATCTGATCCAATTGTCCCCGGAACATACCCCGGGCCCGGACTTTCAAGATGCTTAATTCGACTCTCTAAATTTGCAATATAGCTGCATGCATCAATCAGTATGATCCATCATTCTGTTCATCACGCCAGAACTGGTGATGAACTCACTTCCGCATCGCCCGCTTCTTTTCCGGCTCCCCCGTGTAGGCGCATTGGACGGTCGGATCGGCCCTCTTCGCACACGGTCCACATACTGCACAGATAGTCGAGTCAGCCATGACGGAGGTGATTCCGGGCGCGGAATAGACGGAGACACATACCGGGTTGCACCCCGTCGCAGCGAACCTTTCTCGCACGACATTCATCACAGGCGACTGAGATTTTGCGACGTTTTGGGGCGCGATCAGTGCCGCTACTGCGGTTCTGATTGCGCGGTGACGCAGGAGAGTCCATGGGGGATGGAGGAGGTGGTGGGGAGAGATGGTGATGTTGTCGGTGGAGTTTCCGAGGGAAGAGAGGATTTGGTGGAGCGGAGATTGTTGTGGGGAGAGTGCCTGAGGCAGCCAGACATCCACGGTCATTATGGAGATGAAAGCATACAGAGTACGAAAGATGCGGAAATTCAGTTTATTATTGGCTGCTGTCATCGAAATCTAATATTTCATTTATTCAAGGTAGTCTAATAAGTAGATAATATGCGGAAACTATGCTTTTCTAAGTGCGAATATATATCATCTTCATTGGCGAGAGTACTTGATCAAATTGGTAGTCGAACTTCCAAACTATATAAAACGATGAATTGAAGTAGATAAATGAGATTACAGTAATCTCTCTGTTTACAATATGGACTAATATATATTAATATAATAAAACACAGTAACTGCACAGCAACGATATCCTGTAGAGTGGACCTTACCCGGAATACATTCCGGTCGGATCCCCGCAGTTCGGATGCAATTCCAAAGTGGATCGGAAGTGGAGGAAGATATTGCTACGTGATATGGAGAGTCAGGCAGTTTCAAGTAAATGCAGTACTCCATTGAATAGATAAAACGCAACGGTCTATAGTTCTAGATACAGGAATCACACAAACAGTCTATAAACATGAATAATAATGTCTCTTGGCTTTTTTCTTTCCTTCTTTTTTAAGCCAACGAAGCAACAATGGCTTCAATCTCAAGTCCAATGTCCGTCACCAAAGAATCAACTTCATCTTCTGCCAGAAGACCTCCCTCAACACGAACACCAAATCCAATTGAATCCGTCTTGGGATCCGGCCCAATGTCAATGTACACATTCTGGTTGGGAACATACGATGTGTCCAAGTCAGCCACCGATGTCAACTTGCCTTCAGCATCTGCCAGTGGCTCAGAGGGAATGAAGTCGGTCGGAACTCCAATCTTGAGGGGCTCGAACAATTCACGAGGGGCTCCCTCTGCGGCTTGTCCCTGCTGCATCCACAAGAGGTTAACCCAAGTGTTGAAGAGCGGGGACTGGGTTCCCTTGGTGCTTGCCCAGCGGGTGAGGATATCGCGGATGGAGCTCTGCTCGTACATCACGCGCTCCGCAAGGGAAGTCTGGATGGATCGGGCCTTATCCAGCATGGTAGATGCTGTTTCGCCATCATCAGTGATAGGACTGGAGACAGTCAAGGGCGTAACGTTCAAGCAAGGACCAGACAGGCGCTCAATCTCAGAGAAAGAGGCAGATCGTCCAGTCTGGTACAGACCCATAGTTGGGCTGTCGACACCGGTCTTTCTAGCAAGGCATCGGGAAACGGCGAGGAGGACCATGGTCTGAAGACCAACACCGGCAGAACGGCAGGTGGCTTCCATCTTGGACAGGTTCTTGACCTTCTCCCAGGCACCGTAGAATAGCTGTTGCTGGCTTGGGGACTCGCTTCCATCTTCAGTAGGAGAGGAAACGACAAGACTCTTGACCATTTCCCAGGCACCGTAGAAAAGTTGGCTGAGCCTATTAGGGTCGCGTCCCTTGATCAAAGTAGGGGCGCTCGAGCCGACGGCGGAGGTCCAGTAAGCCTGCTCATCCAGTTCGCGCAAGGATCGAACAGAGTAGTCGACAAAGCCTGGGAAGTCGGGGTTGAAAGCAGAGTTTTCGCCACGGTAGAAGTTGGCGAGATCAGACACAAACATGGGCATTGACCAGGCGTCGTAGGCGGCGTGGTTGATCAACACGAGCATTCCGTCACGATCGCTTGCCTTGATGAGGCGGAGTCGAACAGGAGGAGTGAGGAGGGAAGATGGACGCAATGCTTCTTCCTTTGCCTGTGCCTGGGCTGCTTCAACGATGGGTTCCGAAGAATGAATGACCTTGAAGGTGTCAGTGGTGCGGTTGGCTTCTTTCATCACGACTTGGACGGCCTCCGATGGCGAGATGACCGCGAAGCAGGTTCTAAGAGTAGGGTGTCTCTTGCAGAGTCGGAACCAGGCATCCTCTAATCTTTCAGCATCGATCCGTTCCGTGGTGACATATGGCCAAGCTGGCTCAAAGAGCTTTCTGCCAGTCTTCAGCCAGCTGGCAAGGTGGTACATCTGACCACTGAGACAGGGGAGAATCGTCTCAATCGAGCCCTTCTCAACACCAAGTTTCTCCAACACTGTCGTTTCAACACTCTGATAGTTGGGAATAAGAGCACCCTTTGGCTGGACCTTGTTCTCAGAGGTGGACTTGATGCGCAGACTGATACCACGCAAGGTGTTGCCTTGCAAGACGTCAGCGACACCGGCCTTCAGGCCCTTGGATCGACAGGTTGCGGCAATCCTGATGGCGGAAAGTGAATCCAATCCGATGTTGAAAATGCTGGTATTAGGTTTGATGTTGTCAAGAGACACACCAGCAAGCTCAGCAAGAACGTCACGAACAATAGACTCGTGGGCTGGGGCATCGGAAAGCTCTTCCACCGTGGACTCTTCAGAGCTGGCCACGGACAGGCGCAGGGGCAGCTCTCCCAGGCGATCGGGAACAACGGTGGCGCATCTAGTTGGGTGTTCGATAATATCACGGAATGCAGAACCGAAGTCTTGCAGAATGCTGTCGAGAATGTGTTGCGGGAAGTATTGTCCCTTACAAGAGGCCCGCACCACGATTCCATCGCGTGCATGGTCAACCTCAATGTTGAGTTTGTGCTCAGCCTCTGCTGCGTAGTCATCGGCTTCGTAAGGGGTCCAGATTTCCTGGTTGCCAAGCACACCAGCATCCAAGTCGGCACTCTTCTGGAAAACAAAGAGGGTATCGAAGAGCGAAGCAGCCTTCAGACCATCTAGCTGTCTCAAGGAGTTCTGAACCATTCTCAGGGGTGCGTGCTGGTGAACCTGTGCATCAGCGGTAAGTTGCTGCAACCTAAGAGCCATAGCACGGTTGCTTAGGAACTTGGGCTCAAAGGTAACTCTCTGCGCCACGGTGTTGAACAACGGACCGATGGTTCTTTCAGCACCAGGCGTGGGCAAAGAGCGTCCTGCAAGGACTTGTCCGAAGACAACATCGCGTTTGCCGATGAGACGGGCAAGGATCTTAGCATAGGCCAGGAGGGAAACGCTTTGAACAGTAACTTCCATCGATTTGCAGGTTTCGACGACCTTCGAGATGTCAAGGTCGACTCGGTGCTCGGACAGGAACATCTTCTCCGCAGATACTGTGGTTGAATGCGGTGGGATCTCGGCGATTTCGTATCCCATCAACTTGTCGGTCCAGAAAGCACAGGCCTGCTCCTGTCCTTCCAAAACGTGGTGGACAGTGTCGGAGAACTGGGATCTCTTTGTCAATTCGCTGCCCTGGTAGGCCAACGCGAGATCCTCAAAGACGAATGGAAGCGAAGCACCATCATAGAGAGAGTGGTGCATAATAACGACCAAGAACTTGGCTTCTCCTTGGTTGATCAGGAACGTACGCAGGGGAGGGATTTCGAATGCAGACTCTTCGTCGAGTAGAAGACCCGCAGAAATTTCGGACAGAATATCAACGCCCGAGGGGATGGTGATTTCCTTCCATGCGAAGGGTGGATTGGTATGGACAGCACCGACCCAGGAGAAGCCAAGCTCCTCGATAGAGTGGAAGGTGGTGCGAAGGATGTCGTTGTCTTGAATGACCTTGGAAAGAGCATCTCCAAGTCGGGGAATGTCAACCGACGGGGAAAGTCGGACTGGGTGGGGATGGGTATAGACCTGGCCGTCTGAACCAACGGTCTGTGTGATCATGGCAGATTGCAAGGGGGTACATTGGAAGATGGAGGAAATGGAGTCATGGGGGCTGAGAAGGGGAATCTTGGATTTGTGGGCATCAACGGAGATGGTAAAAGTCTGCTTGTCTGCGCTCTCCTTTGCAGGCTCAGAGGAAAGTTCGTCGAAGTGCTTGGATAGAGCACCGACACAGGAGAATCGCATTACATCAGCAGAAGAAGCAGTGAAGCCCAAGTCGCGCAGTCTGCGAGCAAATTGGATGGCGGTAACGGAGTCGATACCGAGACTGAGGAAAGAGGCACCCTTTGACACGGTAGTCAGGTCAAGGTTACAGAAGGTGGCGACGAGCTCCTGGATCTTTGATTCCGTGGCCGACCAGGTTGTTTCGTCCCATTGAATCGACTTAGAGGACGAACCAGGGGCCTTGGACAGAGAGAGATTGAAGTTGTCCAAGGAAACCTCTTCACCAGACGCGATGCTTGACAGCACTGCATCCATCTTTTCGAGGAACTCCTCTGCGTTGTAGGAGCGGGAGAATGCATGAGTGGCAACGCAGTTGAGTTGAATCTTGTCCAGAGAGTTGTTCGCCTCAACTTCAATAGCAAACGGATAATCTGAGGGCATATCCATGTCGAGCTCTTGCCAGAAGCCATGCTTTCCTGACTCGGTAGATCGGATGTAAGAGAATAGGCAGTCAAACAGAGGGGTTTCCGAGTTGACCCAGCGCTGGATGTGTCTGAGGGAAGTGTGTTGGAACTCAAGAGTGCGCACAGTCGACTTTTGGATAGCACCAACCACATCGTTGACGGTACTCAAACCGTTGGCGTTAAGCCGTCCGGGGACGGTGGTTATGCAAGGGAGGAGGACAGATTCTGCACCAGCAACCGACACAGCTCTACCGGAAAGCACAATACCGTAGGTAACATCTGATGCGTCGACAGTATCCGCCAACAGAAGGGCGAAGACTGCCTGCACCAGAGAAGGAAGGGTGGTTTGAAGATTGGCTGCGCGGCGTTCCAAGTCGGAGAGCTTGCTGCCAAGCTGCTTGTGTACAGTCTTGGGGCTCTCCATATCGCGAGAGTCGGCACGGAAGGTGGTGGGGTGGCAATCGGCGAGTGACTGGACCCAGTGGTCCTTCGCCTTCTCGAGATCCTGCGAGTAAACATGCTCGATGAAAGCCGATGGGGATCCTCTCTCGGCGACGGGCTCTCCAGCGTAGCGTGCCGCGACTTCTTCTATCAGCATGAAGAATGACTCACCATCGTAGAGAGAGTGGTGAACAGAGATGAACAGGACGAGTGGCTTCTTGGTGTCTGACGATCTTGTCAATTGGAATCGAATTGGAGGAACAGCAGAAATGTTGGCGATGATATCGCGAGCGATGTCTTCCTTCTGGGCGTTGTGCTTCTCAATGGACCCCTCAGCGCTGGTATATTCCTCCTCCACCCACTGAATCTTGTGCGAGTCGGCGGCGACCACGGCTTGGACGATTTCGTTACCAAGAGGAGCAAAGAATGTTCGGAGGATTTCATTATCAGCAACAGCCGATGTCCAGGCAGATCTGATGCGCTCAGCGTCGACAGATTCGTTCAGCTGCAAGGCAATGTGGTTGATGTAAAGCTGAGCGCCCTCGTTGTTGATCGATCGGGCAACCAGACCCTCTTGAAGAGGCAGGCAAGGTCGAACCGAGGCGACTGAAGAAGGATCAACTCCATGTGGTGGGTTCTGGTGGAACTGGGTTTGCATCTCTGAGAGCTTTCCACGGAGCTGAGCTTCGGCGGCTTGTGCCTTGGGGGAGCTCGAGGTTCTTGTCAGGCGGGCAAGCTGCTCAACAACGGGGTTGCTCATGACAAGGGCGACGGTAACATCGTAACCAATGTTCCTGAGCTTGACGGACAAACTGATGGCACTCAAACTGTCAACACCAACCTCGAAAATATTTGTCAACGGTCCCATGATTGAAGGGTCGGTCGAGACGACAGAGCAGATTTCCTTGACCACGGCCTCTTCATCGGCAGTCATGGGTCGTTTGGCCAAAGCCGAGTCCTGGGACACGGCGTTGTTGCCCTGAAGAACGGTCGCAAGCGGCAGGTCTGAGAATAGACCCTGAAGCTGCTTGACATTTGCCTTTCCAGACATGGGAGCCAAGGGAATGGAAGTGATGGGGAGAACGATTTCAGGAACCATGTATCCAGGCAGCTTCCTTTTGCAGGCGTCCTGAAGTTCCTTGCCCAGGGTAGCAAAGTCGGAATGCATGAACATCACATCATTGCCCTGTTCACGCTGTCGGGCATCAGCTCGTGCAATGAAAGAGATGAGTTGCATTCTTGAGAGACCAGGGTGTTTGGCGACCGTTGTAACAACGTCAATGCCGATAGTCGAAGATGAGCGCAGAACTTCAGAAACTTCACCAAGTTCCATTCTTTGTCCACGGATCTTGGTCTGGTCATCGCCACGTCCCAGATACTCAACAGTGTCGTCCACCATCAAGCGTCCAACATCACCGGTTCTGTACATCTTCTCACCATTGGGGCCCTTGCAGAATCCAGTGGCATCAGGACGGTTGAGGTAGCCCTTTCCAACAAGATCACCAGTGAAGCAAAGCTCACCGGTCTGGCCACGAAGAGCATAGGTCAGAGTGCCTGGAAGAAGGACATGGCCAACACAGGCGGTCAAAGGCGCACCGATGTTTCGAATGGTGGTTGTCTTGTCAATGAGAGCAAATGTGCAGCCGATGGTAACTTCAGTTGGGCCGTAGGCATTGACAAATGCGACACCAGGAGCACCAGCCCATGTTTCCAGCACACGTTTCGAGATCTTCTCACCTCCAACACTAATGTACTTGAGCTTGGGGCAGTGTTCGGGGAGGATGTTGGACTGATCGACCAAGGACGGGACGAAACTGGCATGGGTAATGTCCCATTTGGAAAGGGTCAAACGGAGGTCATCCAGGATCATGGTTCGGGCTGCTGTAACAGTTGCCATTCCGTGTCTCCAGGGCATGAACATTTCGACAAGGTGGACATCGAAAGCTCTACTGGCCTGGGCAAGGTATCTTCCTGTACCACCCAGCTTCAGGGTGTCGGGTGCAACACGGCAGGTGAACTCAGAAAGAGACTCGATGAACGACGAAAGGTTGGCCCGGGTAATCATGACACCCTTGGGCTTACCTGTTGATCCTGAGGTGTAGAGAAGGTAGGAAATGTCCTCGGGCTCAGCTGGGTAGTCGCGGTCTTCCGTAGGCATTGCTGCCAGCGAAGCCGGCAATTCCGGCTCATCAAGGCAGAGAACACGACAAGAGTCAGGGACATCAGAGAAGGTTGCAGAGAAAGCCGTTTCTGTGAAAACAAGAGGGCAATCGCCATCCTCAATCAAGAATGCCTTGCGGTCGTTGGGAAGGTTGTCATCAATCGGGAGGTAAGTGTTTCCAGACTTGAAAACACCAGCAATGATGGGATACGATGGAATATGACGACCGAGACAGACAGCGATCATTCGGTTTCTGTAGCCAAATGAAGTAATAAAAGCAGCGACACGGTTGGCCTCAGCATTGAGTTTACCAAAGGTCATGCTTTCTTTCTCGATTCCATGCTCGCTGATGGCGCTTGCAGTCTCAACAGCAATCCATTCAGGATGCTCTCTGGCATACAACTCCAAGTAGTAGGTAGGGCTCACGTTGACAGACTCGAGGACACCAGCACTAACATCCTGTTTCGAGATGGAAAGCAAATCACTCGGCAAGTGGTTGACCAAGTTCACGATCTGCTCCTCGGGGTGTGCGACCATCGCGCTGACTAGAGCATCGATCTGGCGAGTAAACATGACCAGCTGCTCTCTGCTCAGCACAGAGGCGTCCGAAGAGGCTTCCACGACAAGAGCGCCGCTCTTCTTCTGGAAAACGTTCAGCGCCATGGGGTGCTCGACTTGGAGGCCGATGTCATCTTCCATCTCGGTCCAGAGGCTTGGCCCGGAAGAAGCATCCGAATCCTCGCTGGCTGCGTGGAAGTTGAAAAGTCCTGGGTAAAGGGCTTCGCCACGGGGCCGCTTGAGCATCTTGCGGACTTCACGTGCATGGACATGGCGATGCTTCCAGGACTGAACCGACAATCGATGCTGTTCGGAAAGGACGTCCCGAACAGTTCCCTGAGGGTGGAATGGAATAGGGACGACAGACAGCAGTGGACCGACACCGTCTTCGAGGTCCGCGTGAAGAACACGGTCTGAAAGAGTCTCAGCGAAAACGGTTCCAGGGGCACCAAGGTAGGTCAGGGAGACGCAGCACCAAGCGGCACGAATGATCGAAGCAATTGATGAGAGACCAAGTTCGCTTGCAGCAGCTTGCAGCTTTGTAACAGGTTCAGTCAACATAATTTCCTCTGCGATGAACGAGTGATCTGGCTGGGTGCCAGGCGGCAATCTGATTCCAGTGAGATCAGGCCACACTGGAGCATCGAGATCAGCAAACTTGGCGAGCTCGGTCTTCCAGAAAGATCGGGTTTCTTCCACTCGCTTTTCCGTTGGCAGGATGATGGAGAGGGCGTCACGGAGCTGATGTCTGGTAGGGGCCTTGTAGGTGTAGGCGGATCGGACATCATCCATGATGAGATTGAGAGATGGTCCATCGTAGATCGAGTGGTGAATGGTGAGAACCATGATGCGCTCCTCGCCCTGATCCAAGATCGTAACAGCCCATGGGGGGTATCGGAAGTAAGTTCCCTGCTGTCTTGCAAAGGTGTCCTTGTTGCGAATGTCGAGTTCGTCTCTCCAGCTCTCCTTGGTACATTCAGAGTACTTCCAGTCGACATCTGGGACATCGTAGATGAGCTGCAAGAGAGAGAAGTCAAGAGTGTCTTGGCTTTGGCCATCATCGACCTCAGCGACAGGGATGAAACCAGTTCGCAAGGCCTCGGTCTTTTGGCAGACTGCAATCCAGGCTTGTCTGAGGCGGTCCAAGTCGACTGACTTGTCAAGAGCCATAAAGTGGTTGCTCCAGTAGAGGTTGGAGGTACCCATTGTCTCACTGAGCAAACTCTCCTGAAGGGTGGTGGCTCGTGCTGTGAAGAAAACCTCCTGCACCTTTTCTGCGGTCGCTGCATGCCAATGGTCGTTGAATGACTCCAGGTCGAACACGTCTGTGTTCTTGTTGGCACCAGAGGCAGTGGAAGCGAGCTTGACGAGATCATTGACGGTGACACAGTTCAAGACCTCGACGACAGAAAGTTGGTATCCAGCCTCGTTCAACCGGGAGGCAAGTCGAATGGCATGAATGGAATCGATACCCAAACTTCCAAGTCTGCTGACCTTGGAGATAATGGAGGTAGAGATGTTGGCCAGGGTAGCAATGGTCTCGACGACCTTTGTGGCTGTGGCAGCGTCGGCATCCTCGGCATCATCAAAGGTGCCATTGTCGGGGTTCATCTTCCTCTCCCAGTCTTCAATGTCAAACGAGGCGTAAGCCGCTTGGAGTGCACGGCGGTCAGTCTTCGCAGACTGGGTCCGTGGGATATTCTTGACAACCAAGTAGACGGACGGAATCATATGGTCGGGGAGGACAGTGTGGGCCTTGTCACTGGCAGCACGGGCAATTTCGACGGCGGTGTCGTTAAGAAGTAGCAACTCTTCATTATCGCTTGAGGGAGCTTCGGGGGCAGCGAGGAAGGCAACCACCACCTTGGTCGGTCTATCGGGGCGGTTGATAATCTGGGTCTCGATGTTCTCAACCATGGAGTGGCATTCACCGAGAGAGTAGCTGATCTCACTCAGCTCAACACGGATACCACCAAGCTTGACCAAGTCATCGACACGGTTGATGTACTCGAGAGAGCCATCTGCAAGCATACGGACCAGGTCACCGGTGTAATACAGCACCTGGTTTGCCTCATCGCTCCAGACGTATTTGGCCTTGGTAACATCCTCTTGATTGAGATACCCAGGAGACAATTGCGGACCACCCAGTGCCAACTCACCAACGGCATTCTTCATCACCATCTTCTTGTTCCTAGTGACAAAGACGGAGAGGGTTTCCAATGGCCAACCGATATTGGCACTCTTTATATTTTTACATTCGTTACCAAACTCGCGCACAGTAGACACGATGGTGGCTTCGGCGGGACCATATGTGTTGAAAGCCCGCATATCGGTTCCCCAATCATCGGCAACAGCGGGGGTCAGCTTCTCACCAATCATGGTAATAACCTTCAAGGTCTTGCACTGTTGGCGAGGAACGCCAGCGGAGAATGCAGGCGTCAGATGGGCATGGGTCGCGTTGGTGATGTTGGAAAGTTTGGCGAATGAGCCGAGCATGATCTCTCTTGTCGCAGAGATCAGGACACCTCCCAAACTCCAAGTATAGAAGATATCTTGAATAGACACGTCGAAAGTGTATTGCGAAAATTGCATGCAACGGATGACGCCTCCGGGCACATCGGTCGGGATGTCCTTCGCCAGTGACTTCATACTCGAGACAGCACCAGAATGCTTGATAGGAACACCCTTAGGGGCACCGGTTGTACCACTAGTCCAAATCAGATAGGCCATGTCATCTGGGCTTGCTGGATTCTTAGAAAGATCCCGCTGAGTTTTGGGGAGTCCGTTTGGCATGATACCGGCAAACTGGTTGACATCCACGACTTCAACATCAACAGGAATAGCCTCTGCTGGTTGGGAAGCGTCGGCGCTGGAGATAAGAAGAACCTTCGAGGCAGTACGGACCACAAGGTCGTGACGACGCTGCGCAGGGGAGAATGTATCGATAGGACACCAAGCACCGCCAGCTTTGACGATACCAAGAATGGCAACATACAAAGCAGGGCTTTTCTCAATGCAGATGGGGACGGCGGAGTTGGTGAAATATCCGTAGGTCTGAACAAGGCGCTCAGCAAGAGCATCAGCCCGTGCGTCCAGCTCAGCGTAGGTCCATTCAATGTTGAGGGGGCTGTCTTCATTGTCGATATCACCCTTGAAGACCAAAGCGACATCGTCAGGGTGGGATTGGGCATGTTCTTCGAACTTGGAGTGGATCAATGCTCCCTCTGCCACCTCTGGAGCGAACTGTGGGTTGGTGTTCAGAGAAGACTTTAGGTCGGCGTTCGTGTTAGACGAGGCGTTTTGGAAGTCCTCATCAGGCTGGTCGAGAATGTATGCCACGATCTCACTCAGCTCCTGCAACATCATCTCAGCAGCGTCGCGATCAAGCTGCGCATGGTTGTAACTAGCGCGCAGGGTAAGAGATGAGTCTGCACCGGGCCAGACCTCAATCATAACCACAAAGTCATTGGCCATGGGTGGGTGCTCGATGGAACTCCAGATCTTGCTGTCGCTGGAGCCGGCATTGAAGTCTTGGTAAGCAATGAGAGTATCATATGGTAATTTTCCGTCCGCGGTCACCAACGAACCAAGGCGCGGCTGCAGGTGCGAGAGAGTCTTTGCGTTGAACGATGTCAAGTGGCGCGCAACGGATTTGTTGCTCCAGGCTCCTTCAGTCTCCTTCGCAATCTGGTTGAGACCAAGTCTGATAGGAACAGTTGTGAATGTAGGACCAATACAGGCCTCGGACTCGGTGTCCAAACGGCCAGAAACAACACTACCCATCACAACATCCTGGTCGGGTGTGCCTGTGTAGGCCAGCAGAATCGAGCCCCACGCTGCCTGGAGGACAGACAGGGGAGTCGATCCCATCTTCTTTGACTGTCTCTTGAGGTCATCGTAAGTGGTACGAGCAGTAATTTCAATGGAGTCCGTTGATTTGATCGAGGAAGGGCGATGGGGTATAACGGAGGGGAAGGCGACCGGGGAGTACTGGTCCAGGTGTTGCTGCCAGAATTGTGCGGTGGTAGCGTGATCAGCCTGGAAGTGGTGCTTGACAATGTGGTCCAGGGAGGTCCGCTGTGCAATAGGCTTTCCATCGTAAACAGATGAAACGTCTTCAAGGAGCAGTGCCAATGAACCACCGTCGAAGATTCCGTGGAACATGCTCAGAATAAGAGTGGTCTTCTCGGGGGCGGAGATCATCGAGATAGCCCACGTAGGTCGGCTCAGCTCGATAGTGTCCTCTGCATGGCGGAGGGCTGACTGGAAAGTCTCCTCCGAGGAGCCAGAGTACATGTTCCATTGGAGCTCGGAGATAGCCTCGGGTGCAAGGATACACTGTGCAAAGGGGGCCATATCGTCATCCAGCCAGCAGAAGACGGTTCGGAAAGAATCATAGCTGCCTGTCACAACATTCCAAGCGTTCTTGAGACGTTCAACATCCACATCCGCCTCGAGTGAAATGACGGTGTGATAGATGTAAGAGCAAGCTGCAAACGACTTGTCCGCAGAGCTACGCAGGAAGCTAGTCAACATACCGGACTGCGTAGCAGTAGTGGGCAAAACTTTGCTGATCTGGCTACTATTGTAACCAAGTCTCTCTGCGCAAGTTGCAAGGTTCCTGTCACCAAAAGCGGCGAGGTTCTGCTGCAGCACTTCCTCAAGCTGGGAACCGTTCGCCTGGCTAAGGTGGCGGTTGGCGATCATGGAAACCAGTCCCTTGGGTGTCTCTGCCTGGAGGACATCACCAACAGACAAGCCTTCGATGGCACTATCCCTCAATTTTTGAAGGAAGCGCATGGCACCGAGACTGTCCACACCGAGGGAGTACAAGTTAGCACCAGGGGAGATTGTCGATATTTCCTCATCAGTGGTTTCCGCAAGGAGTCGCACGACAAGTTCCTGGAGGGCAACCACATTGGCATCGTCTGTGGGCTCCCACTCTTCCTGGATTCCGTTCGACACTGTTACCTTTGGTGGAGCAACAAACTCGATACCACTACCCGCACCCTGTAGTAACTTGGCAGAGATGGCCTTGCGGTCGATCTTTCCAGAGCTGGATCGAGGGAGGTAATCGAAGAAGGCATATGTGGTAGGGCACATATAAGACGAAAGGTGCTCGTGGGTGTTTTCATTTGCTTCACGCGCAATTCTCTGTCTTTCATCCTTGTCGCTAGACACAAGACAAGCAACGATCTGCTCACTACCTTGTGTCTGGGGGTCGCGCTTCGACACAACCGCAACAACCTCCGTCACACCAGCAACGGTCGCAAGTACCGATTCGATTTCGCCAAGTTCCAATCGACGACCACTGATCTTGACTTGGTCCGAGGTAATTCGGCCCAAGAACTCAATGACCTGGCGGCCGCTCTCGTCCCAGACAATACGGGCCATGTCGCCAGTTCGGTACACAGTTCCGAACTCTGGGCTGTGGACGAAAGCCTTGGCTGTTTCTGTTGGGCGGTTCAGGTAGCCCTTGCTGACCTGTGGTCCACCAATTGCCAACTCACCAGCCAATCCTGCTGGAACAGCTTTGGGTTCGTGGACTTCGGGGTCAAGGACGAACATGGAGCAGGTAGGAAGGGCTTCACCGATGATTGAACCGCGAACGGAGAATTCGACTGGAGCAAGGAAGGTACAGTTAATTGCTCCTTCAGTGGGACCGTAGGCGTTAACCAGCATTCTTGAAGGTTGGTCGGCGGTAGCTGGGTTCTTCGAAAAGTTCTCAATAACAGTACGGTTGAGCTTCTCTCCCATGGTCCAGAGAGATTCAAGGGTAGTCAAACGAGAGGGTCGGAGGAGTGCAGCCAAACTGGGAGTGGCCATCATCACTGTAGCTCTAGCTTCGTTGATCGTAGCCTCCAAGTCGGTCAAGGTCAGGCTGCGATCAGCCGAGCAGAGGGTTGCACCGCTGCTCAGAGTCACGAATATCTCCATCAGCGATGGGTCGAATGTTGGTGAGGCAAACTGGAACCAACGGAAGTTTCCGGCAAATTTGCCTGGGAGTGGAATGGCTGTAGAGTGGGATTCAATAGAGCATGTACCGGCGAGATGGCTGACTTGGACACCCTTTGGTTTTCCTGTAGATCCACTGGTAAAGAGGAGGTATGCAACCTGGTCATCGCTGATTTCCGGGGCTTCGAGAGAGCCATTTGCGACAGATGCTGGGGAGGCACCGTTGTCCCCGCTCATCTCTCTCCATCGAGTGACTTCAGGGACGTTGACCCAGGTAGATTTCACTTGTTCATTGTCGGCCGGATACCAAGGACCGGACGAGGGCTCGGGAACATTTCCGAGGATGATAGGACAGCCAATGTCCTGCAGAATTTCCCTCACACGCTGTTCGGGGGCATCTTGAGGAATGGGGGAGAAGGCGAATCCAGCCTTCAAAATAGCAAGATAAGAAATATACAATTCAGGAGAAGTAGACATGTAAACCGGGATAATGCGGCCAGCGGTAGATCCCGTCGACAAAAGGGCTCTCATGTGCACAGCCAGATTCGAGGCTGCCACATCCAGAGCGGCATAAGTGAGAGTGCTGTGCTCAGCGGGGGATGAGGAAGAAGCCAGCGAGTGCACGAAGTCCAGCGCGATAGTATTAGGCCTTCGCTGGGCCCAGCCCTCGAAGGCAGCGTGAAGAAGAGACGGCTGCGAACTCTTGCGCTCGATGTCTTGCTGGGAGTCATCGGGGCGGGGAGGTGGTGTCATTAAAGATGGGAAATTAATAATGGAAAGATCTGGGGATTTTTGTGTTTCTGTAGAAAGGAAAGAGTTTGAGGAATCCACGAGGAGGGAAACGAGTGTCGTCAGCAACTGCTGGACCGCAGCATCGGGAATGAGGCGTTGGGGATAGGCAAAGCTGACGGACAGCCTGCCCTCATTCTGCTGAACAAATAAAACGAATGACTGAAGCCGATTAGTGTGTGTTTGTTCACCGACTATTCCTGCTCCACCCACCTCATCGTGAGCATCGGAAGGCTCGCCATTTTCAGGTCCAGCTTCTTCCAAGCCCAGCTGTAGCGAGAACTGGGTTTCCTGCGTGCTGTGGTGCGTGTAGGGCAACTCGCGAGTCGCACACTGCGAGCCGGTAACGGAGGCGCAAACGACCCCGCGCGAGGACTCGGACCCCGCGACGAAGCTGGAATGCCGCGAAACGACAAACGCGACTTCTTCGAGGCCGGTAAAACGAGAGACAAAACGGGCGTAGCCCTGAACGAGGGTGTTTGCAAGGGTTTGAGAATCGCAGCTGGCCGACAGTTCGATGGAAGGGCTCTGCGCAGTCGCAACGACACTCGAGCGGTCGACGGCATACGAGTCGATCGTATCAAGCGCAGGAACCTTGGTAACGGGGAGAACTTCAAGAGTGTCGCGATGACCTTCGGAGAGGGAGGAAGGATTCACAGAATCCATAGAGCTGTGTAGCTCCTCCGAGCGGGAGATTGTGCCTGCCATGATTTTAGTAGATTTGAGGATAAAGAATGCGTACCTGGAGTTCAACACAGAGAAAGCGTGAAGCTCTTGGGCAACACTCTAGAGCAGAACACACGCAACTCGAGGAGCTTCACAGTAAGAGAGAAAAGGTATTTGACTTCAAGGGGACATTCAAGGGAAGAAAAAAGGCGATCAAGTCCTTGAAAAAGCGTTGAAATTCATGCAGGCACCATCGGAGCTCCATCCAACCCGCGTCAACCGCGGTGGAGCTAGAGAGGCCAGAGGGAGCGTAATTGGGCCAGGGCAGTGGGGGGGAGGGTTCATGGACCATGGTGTGTAATGAGAATGACGATCGTATTCAGGCAGGGAAGTCGAAGTGACACTGTGTCGGGCGTGGGCGACACAGTGGGAGGGCGTGAGAGACGGTGAGTGGGAGAAGGCAGTTTGGGAGGGACCGCCAAGGCCAGTCAGTGGTGTTAGTCAGGCGAGGGGCTCCGATGGTCGGGCATCTGATTAGATGCCCCTGTTGATGATCTGATTAGATGCATATGGTATGCGCTAGTACGTACGGTTACGATACGTTCCACCCGACTTTTCCCAGGTTACAAGTAGTATTTCATCTTACTGAAATGTATTATTGTCATACATTATTCCTCAGCTGTAGAATTAAAGAATTAAAGCAATAATGATCCTCAGAAGATATAGAGCAGTGAGTATCATGGATATCTTTTGCGGCAAACGTCCGTGTAAACCGTTCAATAAATTATAAATAAATCAAGGTACGGAATACTCCCGATGGAAAAAATTCAACTGAAAATTGCAAAGTACGCAGTTTGCAAACTAGTGTTTCAACCCCTTCTCGAATCTTCAACCACGCCAGTCCCAGATATAAATCCCCAATAAAAAGTCGTCCTACTGTCTTTTGTCGGTCTGCTCAGTAATATGTCCGAGTGAATCCCGGTAGAAGTGGTCCTTTTCCTTTACAGTATTTACGTCCGATCGTGAACCATGCTGCTAATTCCGAATTCCGAGAGCTGTCAAGCTTCATCTTTCTTTTGGCGATCAAACATCAATGAGACAGCCATTGACTGCATTATAGCAAACTGCATGTAGAGTATGCAGCTTTCTCTTCATAAGCAATGAATAAGCCACTAATGGTTGTCCCTTGCATTTGTCCGGTCATCCGCCATGGCGTTGTATATATATTCACAATGACAGGGATCTGATAAATCCTTGATGCCCCACTACAACACGCCACTGATTGATATCGGCAAGTCGACTGCTCGCCACGGATGCGAAGTTGCTTTTATTAAAATCTTATCAGATCAAATCAAACAATATTGCTGAACCAAGGTAACAGCTTCCGCATGTCATCATGCTATATCTTTACGCAAGTTCGGTCCACCAGCTACTCCACCGCAGCTATGGAATGGCATATCGGATTTGAGACAATGGAGACTAAACGATGAATTGAATCTTAATTCTCTCTCGGAGATGGTCAAGTCAGTCAGTCTGGGGCGGACTGAATACCGTCGAGAAGGCCTGTTGGGGAAATATCGGGTGGTTCCGCAGTCGGAGATGGATCAGATTAGGGCTTGACAAGGAGTTGGAGAAGACAGGATGCATTGTCCAAGGATTCGGTAAAAGGCTTTTCAGATGAGGGGTATTGAGTTAGTTTTGATAATGGAATGGAGTGTATTAATTAATAGTGGAGGTTCTGATGGTGATATGGCTGGGAGCACATGTCCGATGTCAACTTATCCGTCTATTTACGGAGGATTGCAACATCAGGAATTCTGCAGCGTGCAGAAAAGGGAAAACACGGGATGAGTGTCTCCATGTTTGAAACCTGCCCTATGTGATGGATTTACAGCGAGTGCCAGGGTAGATTGATAATCCCCAGGGCTCTTCGGAGATCTTCATCCCCACAGCTTGATAGACAATCAAGTGATCTAAACGGTGGTTGTCTCACTGATATTGCTTGTATGCCGGTGCCTCGGTAATTGTTATCTTGATATGAATTATGATGATGTTGTCAGTCTTGATCTGATCTATCAGGGAAGTACTGTACTGCTGTACATACAGTCTCAACTGTCATAATGCCACCATCTCTCTATATAATTTAACCGACTGAAAAAAGAGTAATAATAACCATAAAACTATAAAGAATACACATCAGCTCATAAGTGGAAGTGATCGGAACGATGCGCCAGTGGAGCCCATCCGCCCCGCCCAGTCCTCGGAGCAATCGAACCAGGGCCTCTTTGGAGTCAGGATGTCTCTGCCTGCTGACGGCCAATGCTGGGCAAACAGCGGAGACTAAACTGGGTATTGTACTTATTCACGAGGTGATAGTGGCCAAGCCCTGTTGGATTGCTGAATGCTGGAATGCCTCTTTCGGGCACCGATAGCCGAGGGGTTATACAAGTCGCTAACTCCGAGTTGCGGTATAAGACGCCTGAGATCGTGTCTGTGGGTGGCGGCGGTTGCTTTCTTTTTCTTTTTGATGCTGTACATAGCTTAATACTTTACATTCGTTTTATTGAGTTAAAATGACGACTATCAAAAACAATGCGCAGCAGCGTCTGCAGCAGACTCTCTCTCATGTGCAGGCACCTACTACGCCCACTCAGCTGTCGATTGTGCAGGGCCCAACAGAGCCTGGTCTTTTGAACATCACTCTGGGCCAGCTTCTGACTCTGCAGAGTCTGCAATACGGTGACTATGAGTGTCTGGTGTTCCCCTGGACCGGTGCCCGTTGGACCTACGCCGATCTGAAAGATGAAGCCGATCGGGTCGCTCGAGGCCTCCTGGCGATGGGTATCCAGAAAGGCGACCGGATTGGCATCATGGCTGGAAACTGCGAGCAGTACATCTCCATCTTCTTTGCTGCTGCTCGTGTTGGAGCCATCCTGGTGGTGCTCAACAACACCTACACCCCCTCGGAGCTATACTACGCTCTGGACCATACAGGTTCGTTCCCGACCGTGATGATCCCGAGTCTGTAGCTCACGCCGATCCTGTTGACAGATTGCCGAGCATTATTCATGACACCTCGCATTGGCCGACACTCGCTGGAAGAGGTGCTGGCGACGTTGGGCCCGTATCCCAAGCGGCAAGGATCATCCAAGGCGCTGGAAGAGATCGTCGTGCTGCGGGGGGAATACCAGGCCTTTGGGACGTACAGCGGCGTGATTCAGCGCGGGGTGTCAGTCCCTAGTGATGCGCTTCACCAACGAGAAACGCAATTGAGCCCTGACGACGTGTGCAATCTGCAGTTCACCAGTGGTTCGACAGGTAATCCTAAGGCAGCCATGTTGACCCATCAGTACGTACCATCCCATCATCTATCTCATCTCTGCTAACAGAACAGCAACCTGGTCAACAACTCCTGCTTCATCGGCGATCGCATGAACCTCAGTTCCTTCGACATCCTCTGCTGCCCTCCCCCTCTCTTCCACTGCTTCGGGCTCGTCCTAGGCATGCTGGCCGTCGTGACCCACGGCGCGAAGATCGTCTTCCCCAGCGAAACCTTCGACCCCAAAGCCGTGCTGCACGCCATATCCGACGAGAAATGCACCGCTCTCCACGGCGTGCCCACCATGTTCGAGGCGATCCTGGCCGTCCCCAAACCAGGCGCCTTTGACACCTCCAATCTCCGCACGGGTATCATCGCCGGCGCCCCGGTGCCGCGGCCGCTGATGAAGCGTTTATTCGAGGAGTTGAACATGACTCAGTACACGAGTAGTTATGGTGATTTGCCCCCAGTCGATCTGAAGCAACTCTATTCTAACGTCTACAGGCCTCACAGAAGCATCCCCTACATGCTTCAACGCCCTTACGACCGACTCGATCGAAACTCGCCTCCGAACAGTCGGCAAGGTGATGCCTCACGCCCGCGCAAAAATCGTCGACGCAAAAGGAAATATCGTCCCAGTCGGTCAGCGCGGGGAACTCTGCATGTCTGGATACCAGCTGAGCAAGGGATACTGGAATAACCCCGAGAAGACGGCAGAGACACTCGAGACCGACGCAGAGGGCGTGACCTGGTTGAAGACGGGCGATGAAGCCTTGTTTAATGAGGAGGGTTACTGTACAATCACCGGTCGTTTCAAGGATATCATCATTCGAGGTACTACACCCACTCACACACCCTAACTTAATTGAAAAGTCTAACAAGATAGGCGGCGAAAACATCTACCCCCTCGAAATCGAAGAACGACTAGCCGCACACCCCGCGATCGAAGTCGCCTCCGTAATCGGTATCCCCGACCACAAATACGGCGAAGTAGTCGGCGCCTTCATCGCCCTAGCAGACACCACGCATGCCAATGCACGCCCTTCCGACGAAGAACTGCGCAACTGGACGCGCGAGACACTGGGGCGACACAAGGCACCGCAGCATTTCTTCGTGTTTGGCGAGGAGGGCGTGGATCGGACAATTCCCGTTACGGGGAGCGGCAAAGTCCGGAAGGTGGATCTGCGGAAGACGGCGGCGAGGGTCTTGGAGGGGAGGAAGTAACTACATGATAAAACGTTTGTTGTATATAGTAATACCCTTTTGCGATCAATACAGTTCAATTATTTCATTTTTTCAATTGTAGAGAAAAGAAAAAAAAAAGTATGAGTGTAGCATCTTCACTTGGTGAAGGTGAGGTGAAGTGGAAAAAAAAGAAAAAAAAATAGAAAAGTAGAAAATGCGCCAATAAATCCAGGTAATCTCCGGATATAATTCGTTGTCATAAAACCCATTATCAATCCAATCAGATTAGATACTCATCTAATCAGATGGGTCCTGTGCTGAACTCGCCAAGCTAGCGCCAAGGTATTATTCGAATTGGGTTATCTGATTGGCCCCCAACCTCGGTTTGTCTCACTTTAAACCGATCCACTGGAATTTTTTTTATCGGTTCGGTTGGATCAGGTTTTTTTTTTGTCTTTTTTTCCCCTGACTTTTTAATTTAGGATTTTTATTTAGTCATTTCTCATGAGTTTTCGTGTTGGCCAGATTAATACGGACTGTTGCGCTTTAGGAAGGAGTAGACGAGGTGAGAATACGAGAATCAGAGTTTATCTTTTCTTCAATACACTGAATTAAAACAATCGTATCATTGTACATCATTATCACTGTCTACGTAAATATCAGTTACAGCTTCAACGCCCGGAACGGATTCCGCTCCAAATGATCCGTCCCATCAAACCGAAACGGCGCAATATGGAAGAACTTTTCACGGCGACATTTCACCAGCGCAGACCGCTTATGCGGCAAGTCCACTAGTTTCTCCACGTTGAAGCCCATCGCGTGGTCGTAGGCGAGCGGGGTGAGGTTGGTGAACTTGGGCTCGCCGACGATGTGCTTGGTGCGGGCGTCGTCGAGGAACATGTAGTGCATGATGCTGCACCACCAGACCATGACACGGTGGGAGCCGCGGAAGCGTTGGTCACCTACGAGGCTGTGGCGGCCGCGGTCGAAGTCGTCGGCGTCGTAGTGCGCGCCGAGGTGGTCCTCCTATTTCTGTTAGCATACTATATTTCGGAAGTGTATGGATGTTGGTGTCGGGTGCGTACCTTGGCCCAGTAGATTTCATGGTAGGAGAAGAAAGTATCATTAAACTTAGCCAACACGGTAATCTGGTGCGGATCCTCGTGGATCTTGCGCAGATACTCGCGGTGTTCGTCGAGGGTGCCCGTCTCGTTCCACCCCTTTGCTACACGGGGATCATTCTGCCACTTATGGAAGAGCTGCAGATGTTCCTCGTTGGTGTAGTCCAGCGCCCAGATCGAGAAGAACTCGTCCAGGTGGGGGATGTACCGGCTGTAGATCCGCGAGCCTGGGGTTGGCTTTGCGGGGCGGACGGGATGGGTGGCATGGACGCGGACGTCGGGGAATTTGGTGGTTAGGGTCTGCTGGACAGGGAAGATGGGATAGTTTGTCAAAGGACGGCGCATGGAGCTGTAGATGTCTGCGTCTGCGACCCAGGCAGGACGTGCGCCAAAGGGCGATCCAGCGCCCTGCCAGAAGGTGCTGCGGTAGAAGACCAGCTGGCCATGGTGAGACACGGACTCGGGGATAGCCTGCCCTGGTGGAGCAGAGGGACTGGGATGGTCGACGGCGAGTCCGACAGCCTGCAGTTCTTTTGCGAGCACGTCTCTGCCAGGGCCGGAGAGAACGGCACGAAAGATTTCATTCTCCGAGCGCAGCGTCAAGATGGCATGGACGGTGTTCCAGATCTGACCGACAGAGGGCGCCTCGGTGCCTGCCCAGGTGAGATAGGTGAGCGGGCTTCGCTGTGCTCGGGCCCAGGCTGAGTTGTTGCCCTCGGGGGGAGTCTGCGATGGATCGGGGCTGGCGAGATCGGTGAATTTCAGGGTCTCGTGGTGCAGTGGTTCTGGAGGAGGAATGCCTTCGTCTGGGCGAGGTGATCGTCGTAGCTGGAAGTGTCTAAGGCCGTGCTGGACGGCGATGACTTGGAGATCGTAGGTGGTTTTGTAGGGCTCGGGCAGTCGGACCCAGGGCAGCACTGATTCTGTAGTCATTGTGAATGAACGATATGAGAGGATTCTTTGAATAGACAGTTCGTCTCACTCAGAGACCCTGAAGGCGTTATATACCCTATCATCCTGTTGCCTGTATACAGACATGGGTATACAATATCATTATCGGATGATGCCGCCATCGGCCGAGATTACCACGAAAAGAGATTCTAGTCGAGCTGAATCAATCTGATATCATGAACCTCGGTTGCGCAGATATGACTACTTGAATCATTCTTGGAGTCATCTTCACCGTCTCCATCCATCTCATGATAATACAATAATGATAATATAAGTGTTATTTTCAAAAACACAAATACACCATCAGATACCACCATACAGTAGCTCCGTACTTACAAAACAAAACACAGTAACACACTAGCGGTATTCCCATCCACGGTAAAAACCGCCACTAACACTACCACACTACACCCAATCGGGCTAGTTCTCACGAGTGTCCAGTGCCAACTTTTTTTTTTTAAAAACCCTCGTTTTGTATGCTGTAGTGGCTGCGTAGCGCGGCTTTTGGTCTAATCATCCCACCGACGACCCGCTTTTCTGCAACAGGGCGGTGGGGCGCAATCCGAAACTCGGAATCAGATGACAATTTCATCGTCGCGGCCAGGGATGCAAGCGGAATCAGCCGCTTGCTGAAGGGGGAATGATCGTTGATTTGGTTATGGGACGTATATACCTAGTAATGCATAGCTATGCTATAGGATCCTGCTTGACTGTATGCTGTACAGGTCTATAGTTGTGGTGTCCTTTCATAAAGATGTTAGGAATGAAGAAAGTAGTGGTAGTAATACTGATATCATGACTAAAATAGAATTTGAGTTGACTCTCTACTTTCACGTGCGAATCAAGGTCTCTGAATGTGACAGTATAGTATTAGTCGTGCTATAGTTCTATAGTTCTTAGTAGGACGACTGGTATAAGACCATCTTATATATAGGCTAAATATGTTGTTTATCTAATCCACGCCTAGTAAAAGAGTAAAGACAGCTTAGTTGATATGTCAAAGATAGCCGAGGGACCGATAAGCTTCTGAAGAGTATAAAATAGATGTATGTACATAGATATATCAGACCGGCTGTCATAGTCACACCTACATAAGAACTAGCTGTTGAGGACAATATCCATGACTAGCGTTAGCTATAATATGCCAGATTTAGTGAGAAAGCATCTACATAAATCTCCTCATCTCATAGTCCAATGTCGTCTCTTTATACTCGTCTGTGGGGATACTTCTGCAGGGACTCTGTGATATACCTGCAGAGCTGCACACCCAGTGCGGAGAGCAGTCGAGTTTATCACAACTGTCGATCTGTGATGTGGAAATAGAAGGATTCCAGAATGCAGATGACCAACAGGGTGTGTTCGATAGGTGGTTTACCAGGGTGCTAAGATGCAGGTTGTCCTTAGTTCTGTCTTATCATACTTTGATATATGAATATGAATATGAATATTGATATAGAGTCGATAGTATCTATAATATATAGGTATATATTATACATTCTATATTAATTGTAAAAGATAATAGTCTTGTGACATGGTAGCACAGACTCAGTCGACAGCAACTGACCAGGATCGGGTCGGATGACGACGGAAAAAAGAATCCAGAACCGAGTTCCGAGACCTTTCTGATGATGATGATGATATTGAGAATGACGATGATGAATGAGTACTATTGATGTGATCAGATAACTTTACTGGGATCGGATCAGATAATGAATCCATCCGGAAAGGATCAGCCATGATGACACCACGTCAACCGGGCGGCCCTCGGAGCGCCAATGCCAGGATCAGATAACTTTGTCGCACACGAACTCGCTTGGCTTCGTGTTTCCATTCCTCCTTCATTTCCTTCATTTCTTGTGAGACATTGCCGAGAATCCGATGTCGCTTCCATCAGATAAGATGTGGTGGGATTGGGGTGGATAGACTTGGAGAAGAATAATATTAATATCGAATGGTGGGGCAAACAAACAAACGAACTCTTCCCTCGGTTTGATTCTTTTCATCATTCTTTTTCCGCTTCTGAAGCCCCATTCTTATTCTGCTCGCTGCCTCTTGTTTGCCTTTTTCCCCTCGCTCACCGTCGTTTCATCCCCCCTTATCTTCTCTCTCCTCTCCATCCCTTCTACCCCTCCTCCCTCACCTTCATATCCTCACTTTTCTCAATCACAAAATGCCCTCCAACGAAGGCCTCACCCCTACTTCCCCCGTCTTCCGCGTCCTTATCGTCGGCGGCTCATATGGAGGCCTCTCTGCTGCCCTGACGCTGGTCGACCTCACACGAGGAAAACTGGCTCGTTTCAACTTCAACCCCGAAGCCAAAGCATGTGGCTCTCAAATCCCCATCCAGATCACCGTCGTCGACGAACGTGATGGCTACTGTGAGACAATGTGACACTTATCCTTATCTTATCAATCCGCTAACATTATCAGACCATCTTATCGGCTCCCCCAAGGCATTGGCATGCGACAAGTTTGCACCCGTAGCGTGGACTCGGTTCGGCGATATTCCCGCCTTGAAGTCGCCTAACCTGCGCTTCGTTCAGGGGAGTATCAGCTCCATCGATCCGGCGCAGAAGGTCGCGAAGATCCTCGATGTCCAGACAAAGGAGAACAGGGAGGAGAAGTACGATTACCTCATTGCGAGCTCGGGATTGCGTCGTGTCTTCCCGACCGTCCCGCAGTCGCTGAATAAGGATGAATACCTCATGGAGGCGAAGAAGCATATGGAGAATGTGCAGAATGCGCGTGAGGGTGTCGTCGTCATTGGTGGTGGTATGTCTTCAATCAATGCATAAAGCAATTCAGAATTGCTAACTCATCAGGTGCCGTCGGCGTGGAAATGGCCGCTGAGCTCAAGATCCTCGACCCCCAGCAAAAGGTCACGCTCATTCACTCCCGGGATCTTCTCATGTCCGCGGAGCCATTGCCCGATGACTTTAAGGATAGAGTCGGTTCCGTCCTGCGCGAGTCCGGCGTGGAGGTTGTCCTCGGCCAGCGTGTCGTGGACACCACGGCTGTCGACATCGAGCGCGGCCGACGGATGTGGAACATCACCCTGGCGGATGGTACCAAGGTCACTGCAGGACATGTGCTGAGTGCTATCTCCAAGTGTATCCCTACATCTTCGTACCTGCCAAAGGATGCGCTGGACGTAGAGGGCTACGTGCACATTCACTCTTCGTACGTCTTCGTAACGATCCATATATGACATCGACTAACCCATTGTCACAGATTGCAATTCCAAGAAAAAATCCCCAACGCCGAACACCACTTCGCCATCGGTGACCTCGCCTCGTGGCCTGGTATCAAGCGTTGCGGACGCGCCATGCACATGGGCCACTACGCCGCGAACAACGTCCACCAGCTGATGCTGCAACAAGCCACCGGCATCAAGCCCGAGTTTCTCACTCTCCAAGAAGCGCCTCCTATGATTGGAATCGCTTTGGGTAAGAAGGCTGTGACGTATAACCCTGTTGAAGGAACACGCGACGGCGAAGACCTCATGGCTTCGATGTTTGGCGAGGATATGGGCAATACCGGTATGTTGACTCCACCTTGTGCAATGTAGTATAAAACTAACATAATCAGTGTGCTGGAACTACATGCGGTTGGGAGAGCCGTGCGCTGCATGATTGATGTATCATTCTTATTCTTATCTGGTTCCATCCAAAGCAGGTCTTTGCTGGCTTCCTGCTATGTTTATGATTTCATTCTTACTGCACCTGAGACAGAAAGTGAGAATCGCTACTGTCTGTAGGTTGATAGTCTGGTTACCTACTTGATTTGATTGATGTTATGGGCCTACAGGCATTGGCGTTGTCGGGATTCTGAGATTCTGTTAAAAGCATTGATTAGCATAGTTATTCAATACGTATGATTTCTTTCATTTCATCTGTGCATAACTATCATTATCAAACATGATTCATCAATCTACTCCCTATTCTCCCAACGCCTGTCTTCTTGACTTGGACTGCGTATCAAGATATGGTGCCTCTCCTAGACTACAGACTCGATCCCCAGCTCGTGCTTCTGCATAGTCGTATGTCGCACAGTGCCAGGTCGATCTGTTATCCCAGATTGCCATGTCGTTTCTGTTCCATTTGAACCGCACCTGTGCGTCGTGGTTTTGGGTCACGAGCTATTCATTAGCATCGCAATATCTATAGGTAGATAGATGACATACATTAAACAGATACTGCAGCAGAATATCTGACTCGTCCTTGGTGACGCCGTTGATGCGCCGCGTAAAGCCTCTATTCACGTACACTGATTTCCACCCAGTGACCGCTTCTCCTGTTAGCTTCATCACACACACACCAGTCAGAAAACTCACGATTCGTCCGAATAACCGGATGCACAGCCGTCAACTCATCCCCCTCATTCAACGGCGACCCCCTAACCCCCTTCCGCAACGGATTCCCCAGTCTCCTCGCCTCATCGTGAAAGAACCTCGCATCATGCGTCGCCGTCAACCCCTCCAGAAACCTCGCCATCTCCCCCGACAACCGATCGTACACTTCATACCCCGACGCCCAGAGCGTGTCGCCGCCCGTGGGCGGGAGGGTGTGGATTTTCAGCATCGCGTAGTCGGAGGGCACGCGCTCGAAACTGATATCCGTGTGCCAGCCCACCGAGGCGAGACGGCTGGTGTCGCTGAGTTGGTGCGTGAGGCCGCCGCCTTTCTTTTGCTTTTCGCTGCTGATTACGCTGATTTGGTCGCCGAGTTCGCTGCCTTCTTCCGTGAGGGGGTGGACGTGTAGCCCGGAAGATTCGGGCTGGGGGTTACGTTGTTAGTTTTGATGTTTTAAGTGAGAATGGTGAGGCATACACAGCCAGCGAGAGAGGTCAGTTTCTCCCCGAATTCGCGCATTTGCTGGGGCGTCAGATCTTGATTGCGCAGGAAGACGACTCCTCGTTTCGAGACTATATCTATCAGTCTGATATCAATAAAGCTTGAGTGTCACACGTACTCGTCACAGCAAGATCTCTGATGATCCGATCACATTCGTCCGATTTCAGAACCTCTGCTATCTGCAGCCCGGAATACTCTCTACCGATTACAGGCGTCAGGTCTCCTTGGGGACAAGTATCCAGGGATCCTGAATATTCGATCGGTTGGGAAATACGAGGGCGAGACTCTTCATGGCCGCCTCGAATGGACGATGTGGGTGCGTTGACGATTGCTGGCATGGTGTATACGCTGTCTGAAAATATTCACGTTAGGTCGCAGATTCAATATATGTCAGTTTACAATGACCAGGTGGCTATCACGCCATTTATAGACCAACTGGGAATAATCTATTCAGAAACGCGATTTACCAACGATAAATCACCTCCTGACACCGTCACGGAGACGCAGTGCCTCCACCATGGCGTGATAATGCCACAAACCACGACTGGATCCGGATTCTACGTGGCAGTCTAGTTCCTGCTCTTCCAGAACATGCATGATAGCATATTCCCCGCATTCCACAGGGCCTTTCATTCTTCCCTTCGATCGACGATGAGCGAGAGGGGCGGCGCTGCTGTCGGCGGGGCTGTCGGCGAAATTCTCGGAGACGCTTGGGCCTGGCTCTGTGGCGCTGACGAATTATCAACATGACCAGTTATTGATTGAGGTCTTCTTTCCGATGTCTGTCTGTTAGCTTGGCACGGATCGAGGTGAGTTGGAAAATCTGGGGAAATTGAAATGCGTTGATTCAAGAGTACAATGAATTCCAGCAGGCTGTCTACAACTACAAAATATTTATCATTTATCTAAAAAGAACAGATCCACATTCAATCGATCTATACCAATAACAACATCCAACCCAATTGGCTGGCTAAATGATGCCGCATCCAAGCAGCCCTAGGCGATGATGTGCTCGGGCTAAGTTGTTGTGCCATACTTAGCTTGTCCGTCTGGTGCGTGCATAGAACAAACAGGAAACATATGGTTGGTCAGGCCAGTCTTATAGAAGACATATTATACAAACAATATCCATCAAGGGTGTTGTGATTTAGATATAATTGCCTCTGCCCCTGGTGTTGTTTGCTTCATACAGTCAGATTGAACAACATGGACATCGAGCAGGGTAAAGGCTCTACGCACAAGGATGACGAGGACACGCAGTCATCCAAAGTGTCGATCGGCGTTGGACAGGAGCAGCTGGCTGGTGTTACTCCTCCGCATGAGTCGTATGAGGGATATCATCGATTCGATCCGACCGCTTCATGGACGGAAAAGGAGGAGAGAAGCGTGGTTTGGAAGACGGATTTGATGCTGTTGACCTGTATCTGCTTTATGGTGTGTGATGTGCATTGAAATATTGAGTATTGACTAACGAGACAGTTCTTCGGTCTGCAATTGGATCGTGGCAATCTGTCCAATGCCCTGACGGATCATCTCCTGAAAGATCTCAACATGACCAGCAACGACTACAACAATGTAAGTATACGCATCAAGTGAGATACTCAGCTAACAAAACAGGGAACAACAATCCAACTCGTCTGCTTCCTCGCAGCGGAATTCCCCGTCCAACTCCTCATCAAACGATACGGTTTCCGCCGCGTCTTGCCCATCATGATGCTGGCCTGGAGTCTGGTCTCCTGGACACAAGCCTGGATGACAAGCCGGGCTGCATTCTACATCACTCGTGCGTTGATCGGTGTTTTCGAGGGCGGATTCATCCCCGGAACGATTCTATTCGCGACTTACTTTTACAAAACGCGAGAGCTTTCTGTGAGACTTGCGTTTTTCTGGTCGACGCTTAATGTATGTGCATCTATTTTATGAACTGGATGAATCTGACAATGCAGGTTGCTCGTATCATCTCGTCACTTCTTGCAGCGGGGATTCTGCAAATGCGTGGCGTTGAAGGAAAGACAGGCTGGTTCTGGCTGTTTCTCATTGATGGACTGTTGACTTTTGTCATTGGTCTTTTGGTATGCTTCACTCTCTCCATCAATATATAGCGACTAATAAATGCTCTTCAGAGCTATTTCTACCTCCCCAGTTCACCCACAAACACCAAAAGCCTCCTCTACCCCCGATCCTGGTATACCGAGCGCGAGGAAGTCATCATGATAAACGTACGCTCCCCGTAATCATAACACCACACAAGTATACTAACAAGATAGCGCCTCCTCCGCGACGACCCCTCCAAAGGCCTCACGCACATCAGCGAACACGCCACAATGCACGACATCCTCAACGCCTGGAGCGACAAATCCATGTGGGGACTCTACCTGATCGGCCTCATCGCCTACATCCCCCAAAGCCCCGTGCAGTCCTACCTCTCACTAACCCTAACCCGACTGGGCTTCTCAACCTTCGACTCGAACATGCTCTCCATTCCATCCGCGGTGCTGCAGATCATCGTCATGCTGATCCTCTCCAAGAGCAGCGAGTACTTTGGCGAGCGGACGTTTCACTGCTTTCTGGGCGAGTTCTGGTCAATACCGCTGCTGGCTGCGTTGCTGGGACTGCCGAGTTATGGGTATAATTGGCCGCGGTTTGCGATTTCGACGCTCATCTCCGGGTATCCGTATTTTCATCCGATTGTGTCGGCGTGGATTTCGGAGAATACGTTTGATGTTAAGAAGAGGGCTATTACGGCTGCGACGTATAATGTTGTCGTGCAGGTTGGGTCGGTTATTTCGTCTCGTGAGTCTATCTACTGTTGCTGTTTGAGGGTGGTACTGACGAGTATAGAAATCTATCGTTCCGAGGATTCTCCGTACTACTATACCGGCAATAAGGTTCTTATCGCCATTTGCGCTCTCTCGCTGGTGGTGTTTGTCCTTCAGCGCCAGTTTCTTGTTCATCTCAACAACCAGAAAGAGAAGAAATGGAGTGCCATGAGCTCTGAGGAGAGAGTGATCTATCAATCTGACCGCGAGGCTCGTGAAATGGATGGTAATAAGCGGCTGGATTTCCGTTTCAAGTACTAAGTATAAATTTGCACCCTCTAGCCCTGTACGATAGATGCATACTTGACATATCTCATTCAATTTCATTATTCAGTATGAAATGCTTCCCAAACTGGTCCAATCTCCCATACACAAAAGCTGTAGCATGCATTATGGCCAGGTCGTCAAGCCTGATTGGCATCCACAACCTCCCTCGTAAAATCGTCACTCGTCAGAAAGCTCCCCACCGTACTCTCATCCGGGAACCTTCCGTCCGGGATCTGCGATATAAAGTCCCCAATCATCATCTCCACCGAGCTGTGGGCTGGCCAAGAAGGTGATAGCGTGGGCGTATTCCCCGTTTCAAGTATTGTAGGTGGGGACTGTGCCATATAGCCAGGATCTTGACTGCATGCAGGATAAGCTACATAGGACGGATTTAGCGTTGCTTCGCCAAACCCGCATTCCGTTGCATCGTTTAGTGTGGTTTGGTAGCTATGATCATCATGCAGCTGAGTCTGTCCTAGCTGCAGATGCCGTTGCATACGGGTAAATTCATCATCACCCGGCTGAAGCGAAGGATCTATTCTATGGGCCGGTGGTGTTTCGATTACAGCAATGAAGTGCTCAAATTCACAAGGGTCAGGCTGTGTAAGAGCAGTTTCTTCGGTTTGTGAGGGACCGTCAGAGGCCAACTCGTTCCGGGTCGACTGCTGTGGCACTCGCAGAGACTTTGCCAACAAAGGGCCACTCCTCGACTGAGCTTCTGCCATTTTTCTATACAGCATATCGACCAGGGTTTTATTTCCTCCCCCACGAAAAGTGGAAAGAATCGAGTGTAGTCGAGATAGGATATTACTAGGACGGCTTTCAGAGTCCCAATCGGGGGCCCGAGGGAGCATGGCCAGATTCATGACAGCATCCGCAAGAGAGCTGGCAATTTCGTATAGCTTTAATTCCTTTGAATGTGGATTAGCGCTGATCTGCATCTGATTCTATTGAATACTCACCATTCCAAGCCCGTGGGCCTCAATGGCTGGTCGAGGCAATTGAGAAACCATATTCAAGAGTTCCTTAGCCACCGCCACAGGAAATGATGGCGATGTAGGCCACTGGGATGAAGAATATAGAAGGTTCTTCTTAAAAGAAAGCTTCCACAAGATCATCCGCATCCAGTGTCTGGTGACACACAAGTCGGCTTTCTGTACGTCGGAAATGTGATCAAATAGCACAGAGCTGTCCTGCAACTTTTGCTGCAACATCTCAAGAAACCCGCCATCGAGAATGCCAATATCATCGGCAATTGATTGAGTCTCTGGATCTTCATCCTCAATTATATCGAACATTTTGGACTGTTCAAAAAGGCGAAACAAATTCAGGAGTTTCAGGAATGCCGGCAGGACTTGCGGTTCATCGTTCGCATCGGCTTCGGGAGGGCGAATGTTGGTTTTGAGGACTACAGGAAGCTTATGGAGGATACACACTCCCCTATCTGGAGTCAGATAAATCGATCAGCTTATAGGATACCACCTACCGCTCAGTAACAAAAAGTAGCCATAGCACACGGCGGCGGATTTGCTTTTCATCCTCTGAAAGACCCGCATAGGAAGCCTCGCGATGTAAGTTCATCATCTGGGCAAGCGAAATAGCCTCTCGTAGATATAATAACGACTCACTCCCCCCAGATTCTTGGTTCTCGTAGTAAACGTGCAGGAAAAATGCTGTACGCACATTGTCCAGACTAACCTTGGACCTGTATCTGCACGAATCGCGTGCCCGCAAGCATTCAGCCACGAGGGTATCGGCGGTAATGGTTTCATCAGGAAGGGAGCTCTGTCCCAGTCTCAGCTGAGCGATTGTAGCAGCTGCAACGGCCGTTGCTAATGCGTATGTCTCAAGACTCTCGCCTTTGGTGTCTTGAAGTGCCGATACAATGCCCTCGACGTCGACGATGGGCCAGACAGGGTACATGCGTACATGGTATATATACAACGGTGGTGCGATAATATTATTTGGGATCCGAGATCTGCAGCGCATTATATTTAGTGAGAGATCAAACGACAAGCTATACCTCATCATACCTTTCTGTTTTGCGCCGCTTGGATGAAGGCGGCAGCGCGCTGTCAACTCCAAGCAACTCTCCGCTCTGAGAGCTGTCTTCAGCTTCAGAGTCACGCTGTGCTTGCTCAATCAAATATTTGGTCGTGGAACGTATTCGCTGCGGGCCTCGAGTTTGCTGGACTCGAATATAAGTGCATTTGATGCGTGCGTTGACACAAGCCGGGCACGGATTACCACCACCGCAACGGATTTTTCGAATCTTGCATCCATCGCAGGCGCGTTTCGTCACATTCGATCTGGAAGACATATTGATAGTTGCTTATGGAGCAGTTGCATCATGCGCATCGTCAGTCGTGCCCCTGACCAGTTGAAAGACCGTTGACACGGTGGTCAACCAAGTCCAACGTCGCCAATATTCTGCAAGAAACACCGAGGATAAAAATCATCAGAAGCAAGAGGGGAACAGAGAATGTAGGAGAAGCTCCGGCGATGATGATCGTTCCCTGTCCTCTGCGGGGCAAGGCAGCGGCCGGCCAAGAATGACTCGACACGAAGCATTGTCGAGTTTTGAAACCCCCGATAATATCCTCAAAGGCGTCTTTGGCTATTGTCTTGTCTATTGCTGCTGGACTTTTTCTTTCGGTTCCTGTCGAATGCCACAACACTATGGATAACAACCTGTTCATGGCCAACCATCGTCGAGTTGGCGGTTGCGTTTTTATCTCCACAAGGCACGCCATCATCCAGCCCCACCGAGATTGTCTGGACCATGGATATCGAAGCCATTCATCTCGAGGTAGGAACAGGACCAGGGGATTTGAAGCAGGGAAACGAATTGTCTGCAGCAGAGGAATAGACACAGTATCATGAGGGTTTCTGGGTGCAGTGCTCTCGAAATGTGAGGAAATGACTGCCAGTCATCAACTGTCGGCGATCTATATATCCATGTGACCGGAGTAGATCGTGCACAATTAACTGATAATCGTTTATCCATCAATTCAGTGAAGAAGTATTTGAGAAAGGACAGAAAGAAAAGATGAAGAGAAACTGTCGAGTTGTAGACTGCCTGATTTGGAAGTCACCTGACGGGGCTTCATTCACTGTACAGCAACCATCAACTCTTCGTTATCTCCATTCTTTCTGCGCGATTTCATCCATCTTCTATCTAATTCATTCTTGATCCTTCAACCTACAGAGCTATTTTCAATACTTGGACTATTCCACAATCGTCCACTACTCCAAGACGGCCCAAGACTAAAGCATCAAGACCCTCCGAGTATTCCTCCGAACCCTTTCCTTCTCTCCGCACAAGCCCCGCGTCACCAGATCCATACCATGATTGGTGCTGAGTGTAGTCGTGGCCTCTTTTTTTCCACTGCAATCATGGTTCGACTTGGTTCCAAAGCATCTGTGTCGTCAATGGCTGTTTGTGGATCACGAGTTGACCTTCCGGCACTCTGTTTGCTAATGCGACAGCTGTCACAAGCAAGTCAATAAATTGGCACGACTGCCCCTCGTTTTGGGCGCCGTTAAAAATCGAATTTCTCACGGAATTATACAAAAGGACATTATTCTAATCCCTATCTGAACCATGGCCTGGCCGAATAAGAACCAAGATATGCTGTATCGCCGGTTGGGCAATTCCGGTCTTCATGTTTCTGCAATTGGACTGGGAGGATGGTTGACGTGAGTTGAATTTGATCAATCTACTACAGTCAAAGAATCGTTTCAAGCTGACTCTTATTGTTCAATACCTAGTTTTGGTGGTCACGTCGGCAACGGTATGGATATCCTCGATTTCGCGCGATGATGAATATCTACAGCAGTTTCTAACAGCAATCGCATGCTACAGAGGTTACATTTAACTGCATGAAGCAAGCATACGACTGTGGTGTTAATTTCTTCGATTCTGCAGAAAGGTACAGACCATCTAGTTTGTAATTGTTTTATAGTGCAAGACACTGACCATATCAGCTATGCTGGCGGACAATCCGAGGTGGTTATGGGAGAGGCGATTAAGAAATTTGGCTGGAAGAGAAGCGATCTCGTCATCAGCACCAAGGTAAGTCAAGATCGCAATTCCCGACACTAATGCGATAGCATAACTAATTGAATCTCACCTCCAGCTAAACTGGGGTCTTGCAAACGGCGAGATTCTAATCAACAACCACGGTCTCTCGCGAAAACACATTATCGAAGGCACCCGCGCATCGCTGGAGCGTCTACAGCTCGAATATGTCGACATCATATACGCCCACCGTCCCGATCGATTGACACCCATGGAGGAAACAGTCCGCGCATTTAACCATGTCATTGAAAAGGGCTGGGCCTTTTACTGGGGAACATCAGAATGGTCGGCTGATGAGATCAGTGAGGCCTGTGGAATAGCCAGAGCCCTGGGCTTGATCGCCCCGATTGTCGAGCAGCCTCTGTACAACATGCTGGATCGAACCAAGGTCGAGGGAGAATTCCAGCGTTTGTACTCGCGGTGCGGAATTGGTTTGACCACTTTCTCTCCTATGAAGATGGGTTTGTTGAGTGGTAAATACAACGATGCCACAACACAGCCTCCACCTGGCTCTCGATTCGCAGAGAGCAATGATAGATTTGCCAGCAGTGTCCGGAAAGACTGGGAGAATGAACAATGGGCGGGAACCATTAAGAAAATCGTCAAGTTGAAGGTGCGTATAACATTTACTCGATATCCCCTCGCAATGACACTAACCATGAATGCGCAACAGGAATTGTCAGACAGCCTTGGCTTCAAGCTGTCTCAACTGGCCCTGGCATGGTGCCTGAAGAACGAGAACGTCTCTTCAGTCATCACCGGAGCTTCAAGGCCAGACCAAATCATCGACAACGTGCAGAGTCTCAAATTACTCCCTAAGCTGACTCCGGAAATCATGGCTCAGATCGATGACCTGCTGCTCAATAAGCCTGTGCAGGATCCTGCACGACAGGATTAAAAATTCCCATAGTATATGACTTCTTTATATAGACAATTATGACAATTCCAAAGTGCAGTGCATTCTATTTGATATTATAAGTTCATATAGCTTAAGTAAGATTAAATCATAACACATATCTAAACCCTTTATTTTCAAGTTCTGTTTGGTCCTGTGCAGAGTTAGCATCATATCATCAATCATACGTAGACCAAAGTATTAAACTCACCAGCATGCCAGCTTCGACTCCATCACTGACAGCTTCACCTCCAGCTTCACGATCACGACGCTTGTTCTCTGTGTACATATAGAGGTACAAAGCGACGATCATGCTGAGTTTAACCACGTACCCAACCAACATTCTGATAAAACGTCAGTTACCACACACAGTTAATAAGACACAGGCGAAAACATACGCAATATAGGCACTATGATACCCAGGCGCCTCACTATCCTTGAACGTCTGAGGCCCGATGATATTCCCAACACAGTATCCAATAAACAATATCGCACTGGTGACTTGCTTCTTGGTGGATCCAGCAATATTAGAGCTGACGATGACCAAACTCATACTGAAGCCCAATCCCTGGAAGTAACACAGCCAGAGCGCCACGAGACGACCCCACTTATTCGAATCCGGGAGACCGACGAGTAATCCTGCGCCGATGATGCAGATCGTATTGGCGACTATCATGCAAGCGCTTCGTGCGTGGAACTTGTCGGCGCACTTAGTTGCGACGATTCCTCCGCCTAGGAGGGCGAGGAACTGGACAGCACCACCGGGGATTTGGAGATATTGGGTACCGAGTGTGTCAAAGCCGAAGGATTTGACGATGATTGAGGTGAACTGGATTTAAGATCTGTTAGCGACTTGACTGGTTTGGTACAAATGATGCACTTACACTTGTGAGAGCTGAATTTGGCACCTGGGCCCCGACAGCCATGATGAACAATAACCATGTTTTGGGATCGCGAATAGCTTGCCAGACTTGATCCCACTTGAAGTGATGGTTCTTAATGCCTTGTCGGTTCTCAGCGACACGCTCAACAGCAATCGCTCTCTCCTTTTCCGTGAGAAACTTTGCCGTGGATGGGAGATCAGGCAGCCAGAGCAATGCAACGATACCGGTAGCTAGTGAAATAGCACCGAAGATGAGGAAAACATACATCCACCGGGGAAGCCCGGTGGTAATGTGGCCGACGGCGTAGCCGATAAGTCTGGTTGATATTTGGTAAGTATGATGGCAAAAACTGGATTAAATAACACTCACCCTCCGAACATTGTAGCAATGCCGTTTGTGCAATAGTATGCCTCTAAGCGTAGCGGCTGTTCTTTGGCAGTATACCACACGCTCATCATCAAGACGAATCCGGGATTAACAATGGCTTCCACGAATCCCAGTAGGAATCGGTTTGATGCTATGCCCGCAAAGTTGTGACAAGCGGGAGTTGTCATGAGTAGGCCTCCCCAGACTAATTATACGGTTAGCTATTGTCTAGTGAAAATACACAAGGAAGTCTCACTAAACGTAGTGATTCCTAGGGTCTTCCCAAGTGGCAATCGCTGCAAGGCATATCCTGCAGGCAATTGAGCAACAAGGTAGCCGATGTAGTAGATAGAACCTATTATCAATTATTAGTAACGTAAATATAGACATGGTAGATATAACTTACTCAACCAGGAGTAGTCCTGCCCTTTTAGTTTCGTCGCCGTCTTCAACCCATATACAGACGCGAAGTTGATGCTGTTCTTGTCCAGGTATTGAATCAAGTAAATAACAAAAAGAATCGGCACCACACGCACGTCAATCTTGCGAAGGACTGCCTTGGCTTCTTCTGGTGTGTAGTCATTTCCCCGGTATCGCTTATAGATATCGTAGCTGTCATCGCGTTCCTGAGAATGGGTTGAGGATATGGACGAATCACCCGCTTCGACGTTGTTGTCCACGGTATACGAATGCTTTTCTTGGTCCATGGTGCTTGATCTGATGGACTGGATAAGGAATTTTGGAGTACTGGGGATTTTTTGGAGGAATTCTGTCGATTTATACCTCGAGTCTAGTCCGTGCAGGAAGGCTCAACTCCATCCTTGATATCGTACAACTCCACGAGGTGGCTGTTTTAGATTAAATCCACATCTTCTCCACACTGTCATTATGGGAGTGATAATTAGCGTTTATGATGCCTGAGATGCCGGGTTTTTGTAGGGTGGCCATGCAGCCTTTCGATGCCGAACGTGGTCGACACCCTGTCAACCACCAGTCAAGAGAAGACAAGACCCATATATCTAACCTAAACACAGCTGGCAATAATTTTCAAGGCCATTATTGGTAGATATGGAAGCATGGATTCAAACAAAATATTCACCGACCGGTGATCGCACGCTGCTGTGCGCAATCACGACATCGACACGAGGATGGCGTCTTGCGTCAGGGAGGAGAAATATTGCGCAACCCAGCAGCATTGCGGACAGATACCGATATTACTTATATTCCATCGGATATCATCCATCTGCGCGAAAAATGCCATCAGGGTGCTCTCCTTGATGAGGTTGAGTCTTTCCATCCGATATTCACAACGATCTCACTAAGGGCGGGGTGCTATATAATGACGTCGACGGCCACTGGATATATGTCCTGAGCTTTTGCTCTCGACCAAAACAGTTAAAAATTGTGCTTATAACCACACAAGTGACTCAGAAAGAACTGTCTGCTGTGTTTATTGCATCTTTGGATGAATGGTCGGGGCTTGTCTTGCAAAGGCACACTCGAGTAGCCTCCAGTCGAGATTCTTTCTGTCTCAGCCACGAGGAAATTGCACGTTCAATTCTCATAATAGATGCGATATTGAGCGATTGTCTGAGTGAAGGTATCTCCAGAGCAATTTCGTGTTCAAGCTGTCAGCGAAAAACTTGACCGAAGCAACCAGCTCAAGAATGAGCTGATATAGCATCATCTTCCTCTTCCACATCTAAATATCCCTCGAATCTTGCAGTTTCTCGAGGTACCTCGTCTTCTGATAGCATCGCTCACATTCAGACGTCTCCCTGTCCAAACGATCATACGCACCTCTCCCGAACTCCTTGCAATAGATACAAATCACAAACAAACAACCCTGGATCACAATCTGAGCGCCGGGGCCATATCTCGCATTGCCATCATCTCTCGGCTTCAATCCGCATTCGACGCAGAAGCGTTTATGCACGTCACGGCCGTGTAAGCTTCTTCTCCTTCGATGCATTCTATCAGCGAATCTCCATGCCGGACGTAGCCGTAGACAATAGCGACATGTATACAGCTCTCTTTCAAGTGCATAGTCAGATTCCTCTGCTAGGAGAAGTTCGCTGTGTGAGAGTTTTGGGATGAGATCGTAAAAATATGTATTCGTCATTTTGAGGTAGAGGATGTCTGGAAAGCAGAGGTTCCCTGCAATGAGCAGGTGTATCTCGGGAGGTAGCCCAAGGAACGATAAGTTTGAGGTCATTATTATCGCAAGATCTTGCTGTTTGAGGTGTCTGAGGTCACCATAGAAGGCGCATAGACTGGCCACTGTTTGAAGGCATCGGAGTTATCAGCGACGCCAATCACCCCGCTCGGAGATATTGATAATCACGGCAATGAGCTTGATTCAGGGATTTAAGCTTAAAGCACAGACCCGGGTTCTTTTCTTGTTGACGATAGTTGTGATAACCCAGTCGATAACTAAAGGAATAGGGAGGTGAGTTGGTGTTGGAAGCTGAAAGCTGCCTGGTGGTCACGGGGTCGCGGCCTTCGAGCAACTCTATCGATATCGATCAAATATATCGCGGGTTCTACTCTGCAGATGGTATACCACCATCAACAACAATCAGATTCGGTATTATTACAGAGCTGAAATTTGCAATAACTCAATCATACCAAAGAAACGAAGCTAAAATAAGTCGAAATAAATAAAAAGCAAAAAGCAATACTAGAACTGCAGAGCACAGACTTCGTATATTCGCTGTCGGAGACATGAAACAATGCCTCACATCCCACGTACACGTGGGAGGATCACCCAGTCAATTTGCTCGCATTTCAAATAAATCTCGTGCATATGAAATGAAAAGAAAACATCCATGTCGTCGCATCCCATCTCATGATACTCGTCGTTCCTCGAATGATCTTGTAGCTATTTCAAATGAATCCCACCAGTGATACATCCAAGACATCCCCCACTATGCGACTCCTACCCCGCTTGCTTACCATCCGCATTTGTAATCAGCATCGCCAACTCATGACCTCCCAGTCATCCTCAGAGTTCTCCCTTATCTTTTTTTATCATCCTTGATTATTCTCATTCTAACCTAGAATCGCAACATCTCCTTTCCCACCCCACGGTCGTTCATCGAATCATCTCCCCCTCCACAATGGCACCATTCGGAACTATCTTCTCATACCCCAACAACCCCCGTGTGTTGAAGGTAAGCCAGCAGCCCAACACAGCACCTACCTCCTGCACAAGCTTTGAGATCGGCCCCTCCACAAGTACTGATGTACATTCGTTCCTGGCTAATATCATCCTCAATGTGATAGGTCCAAGCCGCCGGCAGCCTCAATGGCCTCGAAGTAGTCTACGCACCCGATTTCACCATGGGCAAGACCAACAAGGAATCCGAATTCCTCGCCAAGTTCCCACTGGGCAAGGTCCCCGCGTTCGAAAGTGCCGATGGCCTCAAACTCTGGGGCTCGGATGCCATCGCTCAGTATGTCGCTGAGAGTGGCCCTGCCGCTACCCAGCTTCTCGGAGCTGATACCGCCCAGCGGGCTGTCATTAGACAATGGGTGGACTTTGCTGAGGGCGAGATCATGGCTTCCCTCGTTCCGCTGCTGCTATGGCGTGTCAAGTTGACCCAATACAATGAGACTATCGAGAGAATCTCGCTCCAGAACGTGGAGCGCTGCTTGGCCACCCTTGAGCAGCATCTCAAGGGCCGTACCTGGATTGCTACCGAGGACAAGCTGAGCTTGGCCGATATCAGTGTGATCTCGGCTGTCTACTGGGGCTTCAGCAGAATTATCGACGCTGAAATGCGTGAGAAATACCCTACTTTCGTGGCCTGGTATAACAAGGCCACCGAGGCTGAAGAGATCAAGCACATCTATGCCGAAAAGTCATTTATCGAGAAGCGTGAGGCCTATCAGGGTTAAATTTGCGCTTTACACATGTGTAAATAGCGTTATAGTAAATTAGAACATATCATGAGACATGAATGAATGCAGTGCATCCCCTGTTGCAGGCTACACATCCGTTTATCCTACGACAATACCTGATCATAAACAGAGTAAAGGTGTCATTATGAATATACTAATAGAACGTGTTAAGGATATCATCGGCCTCTCTCCGGCAGTAGCAATATGTACACATGCTAGGTCATGTCAAAATACACTCAAAGGCGTGCCATCAGATTGCCATCGGTCGCTGGCTTCTCCATCGATTTGGCAATGTTCCTGCTGGCGAAATCTGCAATGGCCATGTTGGTTACCATCGGATTCACGCCGCTGGCACTAGGGAACACAGATGCATCAACAACATAAAGGCCGTGAGTGCCCCAGACCTGACAGTCTTGATCAACCACACTAGACCTTGGGGATTTGCCCATGCGGCAAGTACCCATCTGGTGGGCGCTGGCAAAAAGTGTTCTCTCTGGGTCAAGGAGTGGCAGACGTCGTAGTTCCGAGATCCATGCCTGAAGTGCTGCGTTGTTCGTACCTTCTGGGGAATCCGGGTCCGAGTCTTCAGCGGGACGAATAAAAGGAGGCATCTCCCGCCAGGACGAGTGGAACTCCTTAGCACCAGAAATATACGCAATCTTCGCAGATGCAATCAAACCTTCCAGTATATGCTTTCGGTCAAATGCTGAGACTGTGTAGTCGATTCTGCATCTTCCATCGACGGGATCGGGGTACACACGTCCGGTATCCCGGTCTTTGGTGAGTGTGATGAAGCCAGCTAGATGGGCCATCCGAGAGGCCAACATCTTGTAGTCGAATCCATCAGTCCAGGTTAACAACGGAATAATTGCGGCTGGAATCATCGAAAGAGCTTCAATCTTGGTTCCGTGTCCACGTCCATCCATATCTTCAAATTCATTGACAACTGTCGTCAAAGCACCACCTTCCCATGGCTTGATTTCCTGCTCGAGGAAGGCACCAGCGACAACGACTGATTACGCATTAGTGATTATCCAGAAGCGAGGCATTTGAGTAACTTACCTGGGTGAAGATGCAGGTTGCGGCCAACCTGAGAATTTTTGATTCCACTGCGTAGTAGTAGCAAGGGGCTGTTCAGAGTTCCGCATGAAACGACAACCTTCTTGGCCTTGATGATGACTGTCCGCTTCACCGCGTCTTGACTATTTGTACCCAGATGCGAGTCTCGGGAAGTCCATGTTCCTTCCACGCCAGAAGCAACAAGCCCACCCTTTGTCTTCGTGAAAAGGACTCTCTTGGCGTTGAATCCTTCCATGAATGTCGCGCCCGCGTTGGCAGCGTCAGCCAAAAAAGACTCACCAGGCCCCTTCTTGCCAGCAGAGTGGCAGCCCAACGTGCAATGCCCGCAGTAGTGCTCGCCATTCCCGGTGTTCTGTGGAACCGGCTTGGCTGCATAGCCCAATTTTCGAGCTCCGTCCAGGATCATCTGGTTTGAAGGGTTGTGCTCGATGTGCTCAGTGTTGACACCCATTCGATCGCAGACACGATCCAAGGATTTCTGAAACTCAAAAGACGTGAAGAACGGCAAGCCTGCATCTGACCATTCCTGTCGGACGTAGCCCTGAGTTTGGAGGGCAGCAGACCAGTTTACAGTACCACCACCTCCCCAGGTTGAGCCTGCAAGAACTGCCATTGAACCATCGTCACTCATAGCTGCACCACCAGACTCGAATAAGTTAACAAACCCCTCATTGAATTTCATGGGGAAAGTCCTAGATGGGTAGTGATACGACTTTTCCACGACAAGCACCCGATGGCCTGCTTCGGCGAGGTTTTTGGCAGCAACACCGCCACCGCACCCACTGCCCACAACGACGACATCTGTTTCGATCGTTTCAGGTTCGTCACCCGGGGGAATCTGCAAAAACTCGTACTCGAAGCCATCTGCTGGCTTGCCATGGACCGGGACCCGGGGGAAGCCGATTATTTCGCAGATAGTTGGACTCAAAGTAACCCATGTCTTCTTTGAGATGGAAGTAACAGCCCTGTAAATGGCACGAAGAGGACCCAAACGGGAAGTTTCCCACCCGCGAATAACTTTCTCCCGAACCTCGAATGGCTGGTCCTGGAGCAGAGTCGTTGAGCCTGTCAGGATTAAAGAGCCTGCTCTCGAGCTGTGCGCATGATATGTTAGTCATTTCACGATGCCTGGACGGAGTACACCTACTTGAGAGCATTCAAAATGAGACCAAGACCATTTCTTCCTTCTTCGTGCACGAATTGACCGAACAGCCGCTGAAGAGCGGGCTTAAAATGAGGGTTTGATGACGGCGCTTCCTCCAAGTATTGTTTTGCAAGACGAGCTGCGTCGGGGCCTTTGATTCGCGAAGCCAATACTGCAACAGCAGCATCCCATTCAGCAGATGGGACGACCTTCACCAACGAAGACTGATCGGGTTCTGGAGTGCGAATCGAAGGGATTACGGTATCGGCTAGCACCAAAAGAGTTTTCCATTGCTGTTCGGTGTAGAAGTCGGCTGCAGGAACAGGCGGGACAGGCACGTCCAAAGGAGTGTAAGTATCCACAGCCTGATCAGCCATGTTGAGTAGTTGAATGAGCGACTATCTGAGAAGAATAGTACTTGTCTGGAGATATAGCAACGAACGAGGCCACGAAGGCGATAAGAATGGAATAAGCGGAGTGACCCTGTCGAGGAATGCAGAGATTGGATAGAGAAAACTTGTTGGCAACAAGTCGAGTATGCGGTATCGTCACTGTCGGGTGACTGGTCACTTCCTTTCCAAGTAGCTATCCCTTCCAAAACTCTATGCAGCTTCCTTTGCGATGCTTATATAAAATATCTCTGCCTGGGACTCGCAAGCTCTTCCTTCCTGGTCGATGTCAATCGCTAACTAGCGAGTGGTGGGGATGCAGGTTAAGATAGGCTCGTTCATCTCCACATCGGGGGGAGGAGACGAGATGATATTATTATAACCACGAACGATCCATGCAGCCGAGGCAGGCCATCATCCTGAGGCAGCTGAGCTGAATTATCGGGTGGGCCGGAATTCAACATCTACGAATAAGATTCCGCAACGCCAAACGGTTTGTATGGAACTGACTTGCTGATGGTCTGATTCGAGAGGAGATCGTCGAGGCCGATCGCAGACTAAGAGCGTCAGATCCGGTCAGTGTTGGTAAAGGAGAGTTGGCGCCCGTCCGAGGGTGCGGGGAAGGGAGACGAACCGAGATTTGAGTCCATGTGAAGGAAGGAATGGGAAGACTAGAGGTAGAAGATTGAAGGTTTGAAGAGTGCTCAATTTTGGATCAAGATGGAAATTGTTGGTGTGGACAGAAATAGATTAATAGAGAGAAGGGATGACGCATTAGTTGGCAACTGTTTCAGTGTTTCTTTTGCTTCAGACCGGCATAGAAGATAAGCCATATTACTATTTGTGTCACTGTACACAGTAGAAGGCAGGAATAGAATCAGAATCTGTAGGAGTCTGCAACGCAGCAAAAGCGAGGCTGTTTCTGATCGCCAGCTCTGGCAGACTAACGCGTACTATCACCACTATCGATGCCTCAATCTTGGGCTTCTAGACAATGTCAATCATACTTGAAAATGGATCAAAAGACTTTTTTAAAAAAGAAAATAATAGATCGTCATTGATGGATTATTGTGGGTAAATCGACCTCTGAATTCCACAGATTCAGTCAATCTCATGGCGATGACAGGATCTCAAGAATTTCACTGAATCGACATTCCAGTATGAAAACAATGCTTCATCTCACTGCAATGGATAGAAAGATCATCCTCGAATCACTCAATACAAACTGCTCTCTCAACATGCCCCATAACTAAGCTCCGGCGGTCCACAAAAGCTCAGCTCCGACTCCAGCCTCTCCGCCGGTCGCATCTGCAGCTCAACAACAACACTGTCGCGACACCAAACACTCCTTGATTCACTCTGCCATGCAATAGCTGCAATCCTTAATATATTCAATCTCACCACTATTAAGATTCTAACAGACGTGAATCACCCTGAAACGACACGACCTCGAAATCAACCACTATCCCATTATTCCCAACCTTGCATCGATAATACACCACGGATACTTGGATTGAGCTGGGATATACGGAAATAAAGACCTGAGGGAGGAAAACATGGCAAGCAAAGAGATGTGGCTGCAGGAAGCCAGCGTCCCCAGTGCGGCTTCACCTTCAAAGAAAGCGCCGTGCACCCTGCCACCAGAAAAGGTCTTTCCGATCCAGATAGGGACAGAGCTCTTTCGTCTCTCGGGAGCTTCAATTGCGTCTGATGGTCAGTATCGATCTTTACGTGCTGAACGGTCCAGCTAAACGTCTTGGAGCTCCGTCGTATTTCTCCCAGTTCTTCGAGGAACAGTTGCGCCAAAATCCAGATGCGACGAATCTCAGAACACTGTACATCGATCGCGATCCGTCGACGTTTCAGGAGATTGCGAGACATCTTCAGGGTATGTCAGATTGTGTGAAATAAGGTGGCTAGGGTTAACCAAGTGGACAGGATACCACATCCAGCCCAAGGATGGACCGCAATTCGTGAAACTATTCGCAGACGCCCAGTTCTACAACTGTAAGCCTTGCATCTCATTCCTTAAATCGAGTTGCAAACTGAGTATGCAGTACCCCGATTAATATCCCAGCTCTTTGAGTCGGAAATCTTCATCCAAATCGGCGACCGTCACTTCCAAATCCCTCGCGACATCTTCTCCGGCCCCGGGGACTCCCCTAATTTCTTCTCCCTAGGCTTCGCTGTCTTCTTCGCCTCGCCTTCCGAAGTCTTCCCAGGCCTCAATCGCAAGGGCCTCCTCCGACCCCCCGCCATCACCCCTCCCTCTGTCCCAAATCGCTCCGGGGACGTCTTCGCGGAACTCATCCACCTCCTCCGCGGCTATCCTTTACACATCAGAAACGACACGCACCGGGCCGAGCTCCTACGTGACTGTCGCTATTTCCACCTGCGCGGCCTCGAGCAAAAGCTCATCCCGCATCACCTCAGCTATAACCCCATTCGTGAGAGATCAGAGATCGTCATCCGGCTAGACGACGTCCGGCAGTCTGGACTGCAGTTTGCAGATGCAGATACTGACTCCAGTGCGGTGATGTACGCACGGCCTTTTGTGGACAACACACCAAACGACTTGATTGTTGAGATAGCGGCCGAGACTACCATCATCGATCGAAGTGCCATGCGCGCGACGTTCTCCGGCCTAACCAAAGCCCGCGTCAACAGCTTATACCAGATCCTAGCTGGGAAGAAGAGCCTCCCCGCCCAGACACCTTCAGAACAGGGCTACAAGATCCGCTTCGACGACGAGACAGATGTGACTGTTGACGGCGATCTGCATACCGACGCATCACATACAGATACAGCTCAGACTGAACTTTCCGGGCCACCACCAGCGAAGCGCAAACGAGTCGATAGTTCAGATCAGACTCAGCAGAGATGGATCGTGCGGAACGGGCAGTGGCGTATACGCGTCGAACCGCAGACCAATGCAGACGGGGTCGATATGGTCTTTACCGCGGTCAAGTTGGATGTATATACAGATCAGAAGATGCGGAATCGGTCTAGAGCGTTTCTTTCCTAGACTAGATTTATGATATATGTATGAATATGACGAAGATACGACTTGGTATTTCCCAACGTACTATCTATCTATTTATCTAATCAGAGAATCCACCCCATTCGTCGTCATCGCTTGCATCAGAGCCCGATGACTCTGCAGCAGGCTCAGCAGTAGTCTCTACAGGACGCACTGCAGACTCATCACGAACAAATCCAGCAACAAAGAAGCCACCCAGACCTTCAGCATCACCCGCCCAGCAACGTAAACAAGCATCCAGCTCTTCATCCGACAGATCCACCGGCGGCACATCAGACACGGGCGTATCCTTCCCATCAGCCGCCTCAGTCCTCACACCCCGATGTTTCCACTTCCTCAATCCAACCGGTTGCTCATCCCTCCGCATAATACGCCACCCACGCTGCTTGGCCACATCCGACGCCAGAATGCGGGAAACGACAGCCTCGTTCTCGAGCAGATGGATGGAGCAAGTGCTATACGTGACGCGCGACGCAGCAGGGAAACTCAACGCATGTTCGACGATCCGAGCTTGCAGGTTCGACAGTTTCGTTAACCGTTCGTGGGTGATGGTTCCCGAGAACTCATTTTCATCTGTAGCTGATGCAGCATTGGGCGTGGGGTTAGTAGTGTCGTTATTAGGGGTGGCAGTAGCTTCTTCCTCGTCTTTGGTGGTTCCGCGTTTGCGTTTCTTCGCTTGGGGTCGGGGTTGTTTTCCGGTTCCCGCATCCGGAAGGGCGAATTTGGGGACGTCGTCTCGGCCGACAATACCACTGCCCGAACAGCTGGGGTCGAGGAGGAGGCCGGAAACGGATTCGAAGCGGGGATCGGTAGGGTCGAGGGCGAGAAAGTCCTGTCCAGCCAGGACGGTGACGATGTTGTCCGCGCCGGCGGATGAGACCATCTTTTGTAGGGTTTTGGAGCGGGTTTTGGAGGCGTCCAGGGAGTAAATGCTAGCTTTGGGACTGCTCTTCTTGTCTTTCCGGTGCTTGGAAAGCAAAGATGCAAGATGGGTTGTTTTGTTACCCGGCGCAGCACATCCATCTAGTAGACCACCCTCCCAATCTTCATCCCCGACCAACAGGTACGCCGGGAAACAAGAAGCCTTATCCTGGAGAATAATCTCCCCATACCGATAAGCCGGCGAAGAAGAAAACTCCACCCCCGGCGCAACAGCCACAAGGTCCGGGATATTCGGATCAACAAACAATCGCGGCTCATCCCCCGCCACCAACTCCGGCAGCGATTCCACCTGCTTATACCCAGCAAACGTCGTCTTCATCTGCGCCGCCAGCGTCGTCCGGACATTATTGATCCGCACCCATCGCGGGTAAATCGATTCAGCAGCCTGCGGGCCCAGCTGCGCCTTTTTCTCCTTCAACACGGCAGCTTTCAGATCCTCGATAGTCGCACACCCGCGGCGCACACGCGCCTTGATAAACTCCCCCCTTAACCTCGTCTTATGTCTCTCGACGGCCTGGCGGATGGGATGGTTGGTCGGAGCGGCAATGCCATTTTTCGATAATAGGTGGTCGTGCACTAGCAGCACAGCAAGAAGAGGGTAGAGCTATATTCACACGAACTTGGTCAGTCAGCAGGTAATTTCCATGGTGCGCAAACTCAATTACGCAGAAGACTCACCTTAGGCTCTAGTTTGAGGATTCCTGCTTTCTCAATAACTTCCTTGAGTAGAATATCCCATTTCGAAGCTTCAATGATCAAGGCGTAGATTTGCGCGGGTGTAGCTTTCGAAGTGCGCGAGTTATAGATGCGCGATTTAAACGAGCCCCCAGTTGAAGCGGGGGCTGTTAATATCGACACAGCGTCGAAATAGAGAGACATGTATTTTGAATCTGATGTGTTGACGTTGGAAAATCTACGAGCAGATATGAAGATTGCGATGCGATAAAATTATGGCAGGTTTGCATTGTGTGTTTTGTTTGCATGGTTTGCAGCTCTATCTATACAATCTACAATGGCGTGCTCTCATCAAGTGCTGAGGATGGAGAATTAATCTATTTACGCCCGGATAACCGAGTCTTAAAATAGGTAAGACAACATGTGCTAGTTAGATGGAGATAAGACGAGTCCTATATTTCAAGCATGATGCGCTGTCTGTCTCCAGCGGCCAAATCTCCGCATCTCCACCACCCCGCCATACAAAACCACCAGACAACAACATCATCAAGTAGCTCCAACACGACAGACTCAAAATGACCAAGCATACGTTTAAAACATCCCTCCTACCCCCTCCAGGCCCAAATCAACCTCTCACCGTACCCACGGAATCAACCCCGATCCCAGCAAACCCCGAAATCTTCAACGACGCCTTGACCGTCCGCATTAAAGTCTTCATCGACGAACAAAAGTGCCCCATCGAGGCCGAAATCGACACCGACGATCACCGAAGCTGGCATTGGGTTATCTACGACACCACGACTACCACCGCCGGCAGTTCCGATGGTACTGACAATGTTAATCTGAATGGCGAAGACAAAGCGCAGACGCATCCCACACGGTTGAGATCGGGGTTGAATGATGGTGATGATGAAACGAGTCCGCATAGACTTCGCCGCCCCGTGGCGGTGATCCGACTCGTTCCTCCACCCCACGCACCGCATGAGAAATACACACGGCCGGATCTCATCGCTTCGCTCCCCGCGTACGATCTACAGAGTGAGCCCTGCGTAGTGCTCTCCCGTGTCGCGGTGTTACCTGAGTACCGGGGGTATGGGCTTGGGCGGGAGTTAATCCGCACAGCGCTGGACTGGGCACGGGGTCATGGGGTGGAGATCGACGACGCATATGCAAGGGTGATCGGGGAGGCGGGAGAGAAGACGGGGAAGGGGAAGGGGAAATGGAATGGGCAGGTGTTGATTCATGCGCAGGTGGCTGTGGAGGCGATGTATAGGAAGTTTGGGTTTGAGACGGATGAGGCCCTTGGGAGGTGGGATGAGGAGGGGATAGAGCATGTTGGCATGTGGCAAAGAGTGGACGTCATCGATCAAATCTGATCGAGATCCTGATAACACTAGAGGTGGACAGGCTAAACACTACTCGTTGAGATATTCTACGATTAGGTTTGAGTTTAACATAGAAACATAGATATGATGTATTGAATGTATTGAATTCTGAATCTGAATGCTGGAAGACCGGTTTGTTCAACCCGTGTCACTCCTTCGTAAAACGCCGTGTAATCGGACGCACATGAAACAAATCGAAAATGAGATCGCCGCTCAAGAGCATGACGGGGTATCCTGAGATTGAAGGGGAAAAAAAGAAACTGAAAATGAGAAAACCCCCGCCTCTAACGTAATCGAGTGGCATGAATGGGCAAAGCAAAACACCCGTGGTATGAGAAAGAAATCCGTAAACCCGTAAAATCCTGGACGAAACTCGAAAAAACCGGAAGATGCTTGAAACAAAATCCCGAACCAACCAGTACTCCAAACAAATGATCGAAAAATGGTAAAAGACAATGCAAGTCAGCTCACACAGCTCGTTGGCGCAAGATGTTCTAAAATCGTAGAAAAGAAGAGAAAAAATAGCCGGGTCTAAAGCGAGTACACCGACCGGAGATAATAAGCGCTCGAGTGGCGATGACTGAAAAAAATGACGAATAGTGGTGTAAAGAATTAGAAGGTGCTCCAGTTCCAGCCTCGAGGCACACTAGCGGCAATTTCAGTGCCTTGGGGCAATCCGGGAGGAGTTGCTGCGGACTTGGGCTGGGGGCCTTCGTCGTCAGAGCCATCCGAGCTGACCTGAGAGGCGTCATCGCCAGTCTGCTGGGCGTCGATGACACTCTGGATCTTGTTCAGACGATCGCTGCGGTTTTCCTCCCAGCGGTTGTAGGCGCTCCAGCAGAGGTCGCAAGCCCGAGACTGGACTCCCTCGGGGTGGAAGCGAGCCTGCTGATCAAGAGGAACGGTGTGAGGAGTGTGGGAGGAGCAGAAGACGTGACCACAATGACGGCAGTGGTGTCGACGCAGGAAGATGCCAAAAGAAGAGCGGCAAGTAGGAGAGTCACAGTTGGGAGAGGCAGAGTCAGCCTGGTAGTAGGTTAGCATCATGAACAATCAAGACGTGCGATCACGCAATCGTCGACGAGCTTAGGCGACATCGCCGATCGCGCTTGCGCAAGAGGAGCCATATACAGGCATATAAAGGCTCACTCCCCGGGAAGACAGGAGGATACTCACTTTCCAGTGATCTCTGGTAGGAAGACCAGTCACCAAACCAAGGTGTTCCTTCTTCATCCACTCATCCTCAGCCAGCTTGCTGATAGCACCGGCACTCGAGTTGCTCTCCATGGTGTTGCGGCGGCTAATGGGTTCAGCGGGCTCACCGTCATTCAAGCTGTCGAGGGAGCCATGCACGCTGCGGGGAGGAGTCGGGGGGGAGTGTCTCTGGGGACGCTCGGTCGGACGCAAGGCAGCGGGAACGTAGAGAGGAGCCTTGGGAGGACGCAACTGGCGGTTCTGAAGGGGAAGTTGAGAGGGGGCAACAGTCGCCAGACGAGGAGAAGTAGGAGAGTTGTTGCTGGGGGTGGTGGTGGCCGAGCTAACAGGAGAGGGGTGGCCGTAGATGGAGATCTGGTTGGAGGGGATGACGGGGGCGGTAACAACGTGAGTGGCCATTTGGATGGTCGGAGTGGAGAGTGTAGAGAGTTGGGAAGAGTTGAGAATTGAAAGTAGGAAGAAAGATAGAGAGGAGATAAAGTAGAGAGATAGGAAATTAAAGGATTAATATTATTTATCGAGTGAATGGCTGGATTTAGGAGTCGGAGTGAATCAAGCCAAGGACGGTGGGACGACAGTTAAGCATCGCTCACCGAGAGCAGTCAGAGTGGTAAGAATAGTAAGAGGGGAAGAATAAGGTTGGACGATATGTCAAAGTAGCAGTAGTGTAGATGTAGTATCGAGAATGGGGAGTGCAAAGGATGATGCTACGAGGGGGAGCCAGGACTCAAGTATGTTTCCAGCCAAATGTACTCCAAAAGCAATGGAGGCGACAGGCGGGCCACGATGGGTCGTGGTGATTAATATTCATGTGGAGAGAAGCAGACAAAGTAAACTAAAGTAGAGTTGAGGCTAGAAAGTCCCGAAGAAACGCAGAAAGTGGAGATTAATGGTGATGATCGGAGGCGACGAGAAACAGCAAAGATAATCATTCATCCACCCTTGGTTGGTGGTTCGGAGAGTTGTGGCATCATCAGTGGCATCCTGGCATCACTGTACTTATCTCTATCATACTCTATCCTGATTCTCTCTGTCAAATGTCAATATTATTTCAGATGAATATGAAGAGATCCCCTGAATCTCCATGATTGCTTTTTCTCTTTTTCTCCAGACCTACTAAGGACTATCCTCCGTCTCCTCCGTCTCTCCGTCTCCGTGAATGTATCAGAAATGAGCGGCCGGCATTTTACCGAGGACCAAAGACTGGTCTCTCGGGGCTTCTCCTTCGCCTTAGGAATGCGATGAAACCTAGGTCCAATCATCCACGATCAATATAATCCATCGTGCTACATGGTACAGCGCGCTATCTCTTCCCAAGTAAACTACGCCCTACTAGGCTTAACCAGTTGATTATTCTTCTGATGGAAATATTGGCTATGTGTTCCTAATGCGACCGGGATGTAACATTCTGCCGGCAACAACTGTTTATCCCCCCCTCCTTTATCCCGATCTTCACCGCTTTTTTGCCGAGTCACTCGAGACGAGCCTATGAGTGTCAGTCTGTGAGAATAATCGAAGGATTCTCTTTCACATCCTTGTAGAGAAAAAAGCATGTATCTAGTCTATCTACACAACATCTACGTAATGCTGTTCTCATGGACGTGACAGCTTTCCTCTTTCAGTAGTCTCCAATCTGCATCCCCATCCTCCCCATCATTTTCTCCAACGGACTCCAGTCTCAGTTGCATCGTCAAGAATTCTCCGCCAGGACCGCCACTGGACGCAGCAGACGGCAGAAGTGATAATAATACTGTTGGATGTGATTGGCGGAACCAAGAGAGGTCCACCTTGGCTCTGGTAACCCCACTTGAACCACCCTTGCCCGTGATCTCCAACCCATGGTCCATTTCATACACAGGAGGTAGCATAGACGACTTCCATTCCACGGCATGCGACATACAGATACATGCCGCTGCAATATGACCCTGACTTAATTATGATAATGAAGTTGTACAACAAGGAAGTACATTAGTGAGGTACCTGTCATTGTGTGAGGAGCTAGGTCATAATGACCAAACAGCATGTAAGATCCCCCCTGTCGCTGTGCAAGCCACGCATCGGGAAACCAATCACCCGTCGAGAACGGTCATAGTACCCAAAGCAGCGGCTCCTCAGCGCGCCTCTGGATTGGTGGCCACAGGATCTTGTTATCGCTCCGTGCTGATTGGCCCAAAGACACCGAACACGATCCCATTGGCCAGTGCTGCCCTCCCTTGCACGGACAGTGCCCGAGAACCAGTGAACCGCCCTGAGTGCCAGCCATTCGGGCAAACCGTCGGGTTACCTAACAGATTCGGAACATGGTATTCTTCCATGTTCAGGCCGCGGTTCATTGCCTTTCCTGGTCACTGCGCTACGCCCACTGGGGATTAGGTCAGCCACTGGCAGCTCGCCGTTGAAGTTACTTTTTGTTAGTGCTGCTCCGTTGTCGCCTCAAATTCCTCGAAACTTCCAGCAATCACCGTGCAGGCGTAAAACGAGGATCTCCTAGTTGCCGTTGGCCGTTGCCGCCGTTACTTTCTCCATGGACGCAATTCATGTAAAACATATCGATAGTCACTGATGGGCAACAACATGCATACAGAACCGGCGTAGATCCGGCCCGGTTGGGAACAGCGGTGGCTTCAGGAATCAATAGTCTTTGTTATTCGGACTTTCAACGGCAGATTCACGGCTACAGAAAGGGACAACGGAGTCTGCCCGGATGAATGATCGACTACGCAGTCTGCAGTACACGCTGTTCCTCGGCTGACGGTCCATTGAATGAAATTGTGATGGCTGACTCGAAATTAACCCGTTCACTATTAACCTGCGAGATTATCGTGGAGCGATCAACATCCGCGGAGTTCCAGTCAGTCTGCAGTCTACAGAGGCGCGTACAATCAATTCCTCTCACCGACTGCTGTGTATGTACGGTGATGCATGATCTTCTGCAGTATTGCATCAATCTACTCCTTACGCAGTAAGCAAACATTAATCAATCATTAATCTCTCTGCATACTACCTCAATAATATATGTTTATATCAATGTTTATATTCCCCTATTTCTATACTTCTACTTCTATATCACTACTCCACCCCATTATCCATAACTGCCCGTGGAAATGGAATCGACTATTAATCCACCTCCCATCGTAGATCAGACCAAATCCAGTCAAGCTGATTATCAATCCATCAGCCAAACAGACACGCGACAAAAAAATGCTTCTCCAGCTTGTGTCCACCGCAGTCACCACTAAGCGCATTCTATCATTCTATGAACCGTTCTTCGCCATGGATCATTGCTCGGCCCAAGCGTGGCAATTCTCCACGACTCACTCTCCAGGCTCCACTTGATTCATGTCATATGTAATCGGAATAAACAGATTAAACCAAATGGGGCAGTTTTCGGTGTGACTGCGGTGGATTGTGTGCAGCTTGGGCCCCCACGGTTATTTTGTCAGGCATCTTTTATTTATTGTGGTGGAGACTGGTAGACTGTCCTCCGGGCTGAACATACGGAATAGAGCGAAAGGGAGGGAAATAGTGTCTCGAGTTACTGGAATAAGCAACTTATGCGTCTACTGTGTGCTACTGTACTATATGGCAGATGGCTTGCATCAATTAGCTCTGTCTCTGAGCACTATAACTAGTATACCACTGTGGATTCAATAATCCCCGGTCAGACAGTCTGGAATCCTCCATCCCTGCAGCTGCAGCAGTTCTATCTGTCTTGTTTTCCAGAGGGGCTGGGTTAATGCCGGTCTATATCAGTGCTGATATGTCGGGATCTGATAATAGTAACAGGTCCCTCTCGGCTTATTCAGAGGATTTGCGCTATTTTTCTACACTGCCATCTCATCCTGATCCTGATCGATAGACCGTGCTGATCGCTCGCTGTGAAACACTTTTATATAAGCTTATCAAAGACCTGCCACTTGTACAGATGCAGATGGAATGTTGGGTATTCTCGGTGGTATCAACTACTGTTAACATTCAAGACAAAATATCTGGTCAATTCATATAATACATACTAGTGCTGCTAATATCTGTTCGTAGATCTATAACATCCTAACTACCAGGGAACACAATATTCTGAACGATATCTTATAGCTGTATAATACATCTAATTCTATATTCTGTTCAGTTTAAAGTTGCTACGCTACTCTATTCAATCCTACCTTGTCATATAAAATGTTCGATGTTAGGGTTACAACAGCTACGTCATGCATCTACATCAATCCAAACATGAACAGACAAAACCATAATGATTTCTTCATTATCATTCTCATTCTCATTCCAATCCTCATCCTTATTATAATCTTACTCCTCATCTCAATCCTTATAATCCTCCTCAAAAAATGAAACTAGCCATCTTCAGCGCAAAATCCTACGATAAACAATACTTCGAAACCACCCATCGCCACAAATATCCCTCCCTCTGCGAAACAACCTACCACTCCTTCGCCCTCACCACCGAAACCGTCTCGCTCGCCCAAGGCAGCGACGCAATCTGCGTCTTCGTCAACGACATCCTCTCCGCCCCCGTCCTCCAAGCCCTCCACTCCTACGGCATCCGCGCCATCCTCCTCCGCTGCGCAGGATTCAACAACGTCGACCTCCCCGCCGCCGAGAAGCTGGGCTTCTTCGTTGCCAATGTCCCATCCTACTCGCCTGAGGCGGTGGCAGAGTTCGCAATCGCGCTGATACAAACGCTGAATCGGAAGACGCACCGCGCGTATAACCGCGTGCGAGAGGGGAACTTCAACCTCGAGGGATTCCTGGGTAGTACGCTCTTCGGGAAGACGGTGGGTATTATCGGGGTGGGGAGGATCGGGCTTGCGCTGGCGAGGATCTTCCACGGGTTTGGGTGTGAGGTGGTAGCGTATGATCCGTTCCGGGATGGGGAGTTTGAGAAGTATGGTTCGTTTGTCGAGTTGGATGCGCTGTTACAGAAGAGTCATATAGTCAGTTTGCACTGTCCACTGACAGACGGAACACGACATATCATCAACGCGGGTACGCTATCGAAGATGAAAAAGGGCGCGATCCTAGTCAACACTTCGCGCGGGGGGCTGGTGAACACCAAAGCGGCCATTCACGCACTGAAAACGGGCCATCTGGGCGGGTTGGCGCTGGATGTGTACGAGTCTGAGGGGGGATTGTTTTATAATGACCATTCGGCGGAGATTATCCATGATGATCAGTTGATGCGGTTGATGACGTTTCCGAATGTGTTGGTTTGCGGGCATCAGGCTTTCTTTACGCGGGAGGCGTTGGATGAGATTGCGGGTGCTACATTGGCGAATTTAGAAGACTTTGTCATGAAGAGGCCTTGTAAGAATTCGTTGGTGAGGGAGGGCCATCTTTTGGTTGAGAAGGATATGGAGCCTGTGAGGTTGTGATATATAACTGGGGGTAGGTGTTCATTAAGGTAACTATATATATCTGATAACATAACTGCATAATTCATCAATGACAGCAAAGCTGCTGAATAAAAGACAAAAGATTATTGATCATCTCCAATCCTCGCGGTACGACTCGATTTCCGTGAACGATCAATGGGACCACGGAGATCGTCCACATGAAATATACAAATGCGAGGGCAAAGAGAAGTCGCACTTTTTCGACCACCGGGAGTATGCCCTTGACTGCCTGATATGGAAGAGATGATTCATCCTGACTTGTCTGGCTTTGAGCTCGCTCCTCGTACGCATCTGCGATTTGCCAGGCTACGCGCCGGTTGATCTTCTCCCAGGTTGTATCGTCTGCGTACTGTCGAGCTGCCGTGGCCAATGTAGACTGTAGCCTGGGGTCTAACGACACTCGCTGCACCAAGTTCACGAACAGTTCGAGGTCATTCGGTGGAACTAGATACCCAGTCTGCTGGTCGCGCACGATATCCGACGGTCCTCCTTGATCGCGAGCAATGACAGGGACCCCACTAGCCATCGCTTCAAGAACCACCAAACCAAACGTTTCAGTAATAGAGCAGTGCAGAAACAGATCCCCAGAAGCATAAGCGCGAGCCAAAGGCGCACCGGTCAGAAAGCCGGTGAAAACGACATGGTCTTTGACGCCATCGAACAGACGATGGACTTGTCTTTCGACACCTGGATTACGATTTCCCCCGACGATGAGAAGTTTGAATGGGACTTTCTCCTCGACTAGTCTGGCTGCTACTCGGGCCAGAAACTCGAATCCCTTCTCAGGAGCGATACGACACACGCAGATGAGGATGATTTCTCCATTGGGAGCTATCATTCTCCGGTAGGCTTCGTCACGGCGAGCTGGGTGGAATAGGGCAGTATCGACACCTCTTCCAAGCTTGACAAGTCTGTCAAGCGGTGCGCCTGCCTTTTCCAAATATCCTCGAATGCCAGAGCACGGATAGAAGATGGTGTGTACCGCTGGGTGACTGAATAGAAAGCCCTGCACTGCGCCGAGTAGCCAGATAGCACACTGGTCTAATGGCGCGGGTAGAATGATTTCGCTGTAGGATGATAGATCCGTCTGGAAATTCAAAAGCACCACCGGAGGACGTGTGAGTTGCCGGATCTGCATGAGCATTTGAAAGCCCAAAGAAGCCGGACTGGCCAAGTAGACAATGTCGGGCTGAAAGGTTCGTTTGTAAACGTCGTCCAGGTGGAAAGGATAGACCACCGTCAGATCAGGATTGTAAGGCAGTGGATAGCCAGGTAGACGCAGTTCTTGGGGATTTGCCTTCTGTTGCTTTCCCTGTCGCAGGCCTTCAAATTGCGGTGCCACAATCACCAACTCGACTCCATTGCGACGGAGATACTCGACCAAACTCAAAGTCGTACGGCTGACTCCATTAACAGGGCCCAGTGATTCAGTCGCCAGTAGCACTCGTCGTCCTTTGAGGACACTGGGAAATTGATCCCGTCTCATCGTGGTGTTGCTGATGTTGGAAGTAGAAAACGCCATGTCGCAGCGCCGGAATCGCCCGTGAAAACAATCATGATGGCGGGAGCAAGAGACTCAACCCTTGAATTAATAGGAAGGACGAAAATTGGACAAAAGCTTCAAGATGGGATGGTGGTTGAAGACAATCTCGTGCCTCCGTCTGAGAAGGCGTCGTGGTTGCACGTGGGCCAGCGCGTCGCCCAACGGCTTCAACTGCGCCAACCAACAGCAGTCTTTTATCAGCCCCGCGTGCATCAACGCCTTGAGTTGTCTGGGATTCCTGCATTTGCTGAAGATTTCAGATCCGGCTATTGCATTTTATCTTTCACCTCTCTTTCAATGTGGCGGCGCCATGCGGATCAGTTGACCCCCTCATTGATCGTCCTGATAAGGATGGGATAGTCGGAGGGGTATAAACGTTCTGCTCCCTTTTCACCTTGTACTCTGCCAAAGACAGATACGTTCACCGTCAGCAAGAGTCGTGGAAATGGCAAAAGACTCAGAAGATATTCCAATGGATCTTCTATCTTCTCCCCTGGGCACTTCCGATGAGAGCTCTTATGATGCCTCGACTGGTCCTACGACTCCTGCTTCCAGTCCACTGTTCTGCTCGTCCAAGGTGGATGATCTCACTTTGTCTCACTTTCTGCATTCTCCTGCGTCCTACAGATTGGATGCGGATGCCAGTCCCTGCGATACCCTGGGTTCTGCATCTTCATCCTTTCAAAGCTTCCCGGCATGGGGTCCCGTGAAGAACGTTTGTGTCGTTGGAGCGGGCTATGTAGGTATGACTTACGATAGATTCCCCTGAATTTACTCCTACGGTTAATGGGTGTGGCTAACTTGGACAGGGGGACCAACCGCTGCCATCCTGGCACTGCATAACCCATCTATAAAGATCGAAGTGGTGGATCGGGACCCGCGTCGTATCCAGAGATGGACATCACCCCATCTTCCTGTGCATGAGCCAGGACTGGAAAACGTTGTTCGAGTGGCCCGCGATGGAGCAGATATTACCAATCACGACGCTAGAACGGACGTACATGTTGCTCGTCTCAAGCGTCGTCCCAACCTGTTCTTTACATGCGACTCTGCGGCCAGTATCTCCCAGGCAGATATAATCTTCCTAGCAGTCAACACGCCAACGAAGACATTTGGTCTGGGTGCTGGGAGGGCTACCAATATGACGGCGCTTGATGAAGCCGTACGAGGAATCGCACGGCATGCAAGGCCAGGCGCAATCATTGTTGAAAAGAGTACAGTGCCTTGTGGGACTGCGCATCGCGTTCAAGAAATCGTACGTACCTACCGCCAATACCAAGACTGCTAAGATGCTAACATACTGCAGTTGGCGTCTACTAAGCCCGGTGTTCCATTCGAAGTTTTATCTAACCCCGAGTTCCTGGCCGAAGGATCAGCCATCGACAATCTCACTACTCCTGATCGTGTTCTTATCGGTTCTTCGGGGACTGAATCAGGACGTCAAGCAGCCAGAGTACTCGCCAGCGTGTATGCATCATGGGTACCATCATCGCGTATCCTCGAGATTAATGCCTGGTCATCGGAGCTTGCAAAATTGGTAGCAAATGCCATGCTTGCCCAGAGAATCAGCAGCATCAACTCCATCAGTGCCATCTGTGAGCGGACAGGTGCTGAAGTCGACCAGGTAGCCAAAGCCATTGGCCTTGATTCCCGCATTGGATCCCAATTCCTCAAGGCAGGCCTCGGGTTTGGCGGTTCCTGCTTCCGCAAGGATATTGCCAGTCTGACATACCTGGCGGAATCACTAGGCCTGGACGATGTGGCGTTTTACTGGCGACAGGTCAACGTGATGAATGAAATGCAGCGCAATCGATTCGCGAGGAAGGTCATTGATCGATTTGAAGGCAATTTGGTCGGACGGAAGCTTGCTATGCTTGGGTTTGCATTCAAGAAAAATACCGGAGATACTAGAGAGTCTCTTGCTATCGACGTCATCCGGTTGCTCCTAGAGGAGCGGCCAAAGGAGATAGCCATTTTCGATCCATACTGTCGTGAAGAGGACATTCTTCGCGAGTTGGAGTCCCTCGATATCCATGAGAGTAGCTCGGTCAAGGTCTACGCGGATGCTTACCTTGCCTGCTCTCAAGCCAACGCTGTGCTCGTTGTCACAGATTGCGATCAATTTCGGAATGCCACCGTCCAACGACATGGTGATTCTCCTACGTTAGGGCAACAGACGCCCTGCAAGATACGCCATATTCCAACCATCTCAAACAAAGACCTTGTCTGTCACGAACCTGGAAATCAGGACGAGACATGGGTTTCCAGCGGGGTATCCTACCGGCTGACACCCCAGGATATGTGTGCGACTGATTGTACGGACTGCCACTCGCAGTCCAGCCGCCCCATCGCCACTGATCCTGTCGAGTGGGCGCGCGTTGCATATAGCATGAAGGACCCGAAATGGGTGTTTGATGGACGCGGAATGTTGGATGTCGTCGAGATGGAGAGATTGGGTTTCCGAGTGAATGCTGTTGGCAGGCGGTCTGCTGAAGGCCTTTGTGGTATTTCGGCTTAGATAGATGGCCCAGGCTGCTGACAACTTATTTCCTTTATACTGGTGATACCCTTTTATATGTCTTGTGTTAAGGAGGTTTGAATTCTGTTTCATTTATGCTTTCCTTTTGTTTTTGATAAACCACTAGACTGCATGGACTACTACTAATTTTATTTATATACAGACTGGTTAGTGATAGTATTTTGTTTCATGTTTATCAAAGCCTATGACGGCGAGTATGAACATTTCCAAGGCCAACATACGAAATTAGAGGTCCAATAACATCCAAATTAATAATAAAACACAAGTATCAATCTCGTGAACATATGAAACATCATGACAAAACATTCACATAACCCATGACCCTTGATCACTTAAGCAAATCACATCGAAGCCTCAAACTTTCCATCCACCTGTTCAACCTTAGCAACAGCCCGCTTGTACGCCTCATGACCCTGCAGTGTCTCCGAGTAAGCAGCTAACTTGGGGAACTTATTCGCGTCCACCAATCGAAGCGTGGCCGCGATAACAGGGAAACTCATCAGGATGTCGGCAGCGGTCAGGTCCTTGCCGCAGAGGTACTTGCCCCCGTTGGGCGCGGTCTTGAGCTGGTCCTCCAGGAATGCAAAGTGGGCGGCGTGGTTCCGGTTCAGGAATGCCTGCTCGACCTTGGAGGCCACGATGTGTGTGATGGGCTTGAGGAAGAATGGGATGGGGGCGTCTCTGATGCCTGTACGCGATTATCATCAGCTATATCCTGGGAGGAAGAAGGAAAAGGCCGTGACTAGACTTACTCTGCATAACCAGCTGCATAACCAACAAAGGCATCAAACTGCCCTCGGCATAGTGCATAAAGTACCGGTATCGCATCCACTCCTCAGTCTCGCCTGCGAGCTGACCCTCCTTGCCATCGACATAACGCTTGGGAACGAGTCTCTCGCCGCCAAAATGGTCACAGAGGTACTCGGTGATCAGGCCGGATTCCGCCAACACCATAGGCTTGGAGGAACCGGGGATATCGATGGAGATGACGGGGGATTTGCCCAGAGGATGGATCTCTTTGAGTTCAGGCGGGGCGAGCTTGTCGGCGCCACGCTTGAAGGTTTTGAGCTCGTAGGTCAAGTTAAGTTCTTCGAGGAGCCAGAGGATGCGGTGAGAGCGAGATTGCTCGAGCCTTTGTTCGTCAGTATAGCTGGATAGTATATGCTAAAAATTCAGAAAACTAACCAGTAGAGGGTGATTTTGGCACCCTTGTTAGCATCCGACATGGTGGTCTGATTTAGATATTATTGATTATGAAGCTATGGTTATAGCGTAGCAAAGACGCGCAGCAGGACTTTGCAGATAAGAATGAGGAAAAATAATTTAACAGAAGACTATAATTAGTCTTATATCTAGACCCAAAAGTCGAGACCGTCTAGAATCCCCTGAACAGCTCTGAATTTATAAACTGGAAAGTACCTCGGATGAACCAGCGAACCTGTGAAACACAATCTCTGGCGTCATTGGAGATAGAGTGGGTCGACGATCAGGTTCGCCCATGAAATGGATGCAACTCATTTTCGAGTGCAATCCAGACGGTCATGCTGATTTTTGAATATGCCCCCAGGATAACTGAATTTTGAAATAGAAAAATAGCAATCGTTATACCGCGTAAATTGGACGCAACGCTGCATCGTAGCTGTGTTAGTAATATCGCAGCCGTCGAGCGATCCCCAGGCTGCTGACTCAGCGGATTGGAACACCACGTGACTTTGACCTCACCTTGACGGACAAGCAAAAGCGACAATTGAGATATCATCGTCCACGCCTGTCTATACCGCAACCATGGCCGGTCCTAGCAAGTGTGAGTGCTAAATGAATTCCCGGATTGACACTGCATGATGTATACTAACAATTGACAGCCCTGGTCCTTGACCCGGCCCTCCAGAAATACTACGGTACTTTTCCCTTCCCCGACGACATGCCCCTCTCGATACCTTGACTTTCTGCCCCATGAATGGAGATAATACGCCGGATGGGCAATCGAAACCATGGATTGCACTGCTAGTAGTGAATTTCCAACTAACGTGCGATAGAACTCAACGCAAACCGCTACAAGTACTTCCGCTGGACACCGCGTCATGCTTGGTTCTCCTTCCTCTACATGGCTCTGATCCCCGGTGCATTGGGCTACATCACATACAAGACCGACGTACGTTCCCTGCAATTTTAATTTTGGGTTGGACATGGTTACGTGAATGGATTTCTGACATGGGTTATACAGGGCAAATTCGAACTCCGCGGAAAGAGGAAAGGCGATACCATTGCTGAGTATTGAGCCAATGAAGATGTGTTTTTGATTCTGCTTTCACAAGTTCGAGCGTGCGGTTAGGAGAGGACAAGAAACCAGCGCTTTTTGAACCCGACTATCCGGCCGACGCTCTATCGCTGGACGTGTATTTATTATAAGAGTATACCGCACGAGTTCTTTTTTCAAGTTAACGGGTATTCCATTGTGGTCATTATATGTCCCACTGATCTCAGATCAATATTGTAGTGGAAGGATTCTCGGGAGCCAGGATTTGCCCTGCCTCAAAGCTGCAGTCAATGCTACCAATTAACCTTGATATCTTATTATTCCCTATTGATCAGGTATCAAAGACCAACACAAGCTGAGCATATGTATCATTGAAGAACCATTGCTTCTCCGAATCTGGGTATTCCAACCATGGCTCCGGGATTTCCTTTTCATTCACCATCACAACTCCATGCAATTTGAATACATAATAGAACAAGCCAAACGAAAGGTGTCCTCCTAGCTTAGTACGGAGCCCATCCCCTTCTTCCAGGGCCTCCAGGTCCCCCGCCCCCACGTCCTCCTCCCTCTGGTAGTCTCTCTCCCCGCCTCCAATCTCCAAAGGGCACCCCACGATCGCCTCCCCGGCCTCGCCCCGGTCGTCCACCAAATCCATTTTCTCGGAAGGCTCTCATTCCTCCTCCGGGAGGTCCGCTCATTGGTCCCCGTCCACCATTAATCGGCGGCGCAATCGATCCATCCTCGAGTGGCGGGAGAATTGCACAATCCACGTAGTCCCCAATCACGAACCGGACGTCCTGCAAGGTCTTCTCTGCTTCGCTTCCCTGCATCCGTAGTGCCCGAGGAGCCACCGGATGGCTGTCATCGTCGTCGTTTTCATCGCGGTGCGAACTTTCACTTGGCCCAACCACCACACTACCGATATCCTTGCTCAAGTACCGACCCTTCGCATCGGGTCCCATGGTTGCCGCCCCTCGCGTATCCGGGTAGATAAGTCGGAAACACAGTCGCGTGCCCACAGCTGGGTTTGGAAGTAACGATGGGAGCGCCGAAGTGAGCAGCTGCGACAGCTCGCGCAGAGTGCATGACTGCCAGGTATAGATCTGGAGATGGGAAGGGAGTTGTGTCGGAGGGGGCGAGCGAGCTCTGATGGCATTGGGACCGCTAACGGGCCCTCCAAAGGAAGAAGGCGTGGAGGGGATGGCAAAGTCGGCAAGATGGTGGTAATTATTCACGCGATAGAAGAGCTTCAGGTGGAAAGGCGTGGTTGATTGACGGTCGATCTGCGGCTTGGGCGCATCTCGTGCGGCCATCGTGAAAAGATGAGGGGGGAGTTGGGTTCGTTGTCGTATATGCTAGCTATCACAGTATCCAGGGTTTTGAGGTATCACTGGATAAAATATCACGCAAGAGACAGTGGTGGTCAATGAGTGTGGTGGGGAGTTGGTCGATTGAAATACGGCGGATGTTGACAATGGCAGGTCTTAGCTCGACTGCAGCTAAAAAGCTTCCCTGCGGAGGTCCGGCCTTTCCTACACCACCAGCCTATTTGGACGACAACTCTCGTCCCCATCGCCCACGAAGCCATTTGAATTAATGCGCTGATTTAAGTTACTCATCCTACTCGATATATAGCCCTTTCTGTTTCTTGATACACCCGCAGCCATGGATTTCGCGGCTCTTATGTCGAAGGAAATTTCCAAGGCCAAAGGTCCCGCCACCCCCAGCTCAGCATCATCAGAATCAGAAAAACCCAAAGCCACAGGAAAGAAATATGCTCGTCGCGGAGAAGAAGAAGCCGCTCGAGTCGCCGCATACAATGAAGAACAAGAAAGACTGCGACGCGAACGAGAAGAACGCTACACACAAAAACGCAAACTGGAAGAGGAGGAGGCAGACCGTAAGCGTGAACGCGAGGACAAAAAGCGAAGACTGGCCGAGGAATCACGCAAGAAGAGAGAGGAGCAGGAGGCCAAGGTGGAACGAGAACGAAGGAAGAAACTGGGCTTGCCCGAGCTGCCTACCCCGAGCGACAAGGACGACACCCCGCTGGCCGATGCAGAGGAAGACATACCAGATGAGGAACTCACGGAGAAGCTGCGAGAATTGAACGAACCAACCCTCCTCTTTGGAGAGAACCACAACACCCGTCTGCGACGCTATCGCAAACTCGTCGAACGTGCTGCGCAGCCCAAATTATCCGACGGACCCATCCCCACGACCCTGGAGCTGGTCCCTGAGATCGACATGAAGATTTCCAGTACAGTTCCTAAAGAAAAGGAAGCACGCCACTTCCTCGCCAGGCAACTGGCTTCGTACTTCAACATGCTCCTTTCAGAATGGGAGATCGCCCTGGCAAAACGCGACCTGTCAATCAGGGAGAGCTTTCAGGGTAAACAAGCCTACAATGCAATGGTGCAGTCAAGGGAGAACATGAAACCACTGTTTCGGAAACTCGAAAAGGAGGAGCTCGACAAAGGTGTTCTAGAGCCGATTGTTGAAATCGCTCACAAGGCTCAGCAGCGGAGATATGTCGATGCAAACGATGCTTATCTACGATTGAGTATTGGAAAAGCGTATGTCCCCTATTTCTCTATCTTTCCTGCATTTATCTGCTTCCATGGATATCAACTAACTGAAACAGAGCATGGCCCATTGGTGTAACCATGGTTGGTATCCACGAGCGATCAGCACGAGAAAAGCTACACCAAGGCGACCAACAGGCACACATTCTGAGTGACGAGCTTACACGCAAATACCTCCAAAGCATCAAACGGTGTCTGAGCTTTGCTCAAGTTCGGTGGCCTCCAGATGACCAGCTGCAGATGATGGGTTAGTGGATATAATCTTAGTGGGTTGCTTTTCAGAAAGGAAATCTGGCTTGTATAGTAAAATTATGGTAATGAACTCTATGCCCTTTATAATTCTTTGCGGGGACAAATACATTTTCAAGTGTTGTTTCCAGACGTCGGTAGAGCTTTTGGGTATCTCGGGCCAAACGTTGGTAAACATTGCGAAAGCGTAGACATATATTGGCACATCACGAGTATAAATATGGACAACGTAAAGAAAAATGACTCCGCCAATATCAAATCTATGTGTATATACAAACTCGTGTCTATATCGTGTCATCTCATTGCCACATCCGCACTAACGACCTCAGCCATTCGACCAGGCCAAGGTTCTCAGTCCTAGAGGTGCTAGGAACATCGCTAGTTTCTAGTCGGCGATGCTTGTTCCCGTTAGCATAAACGTCGTGGCCATCAATCCCATTCATAACAGGAAGAGAAGGTCCAATAGACCTGGAAGCAGTGAAAGAACTGCTGCATGTGCTACCCGTCTCATCTTCGCCGGCGTACGCGCGAATCAATCTGCCCGCGGTCTGGATGCAGCCTCCGTGGGAGAAACGAATGAGGGAGTCACCCGTGAGGCTACCAATGATGAAGACATCTCGGGCAACCTCCATGTTCTCAAATGCCTTCCCACGTAGAGTTTGGCTAGAGATGGCGGGATCTATCTCAGTCCCGACATCGTAACCAAGTACTTCTGAGAGCAAGGGATTATCGAGATAGCCCAGTGTGCCTCGTCTACCAGTAGCATAAACCAAGCCACGAACTTGATGAGACAAGATTGTCCCATCGGGCTGGCGAAATGTTACTGTAGCCATATCGCCTTGCGGTTCGACGTGTATGATCTCTATATTAGGGAGTCCTTCATAGACCTCGCCCCAGTTTCTGCTTTCTAGAAAAGGTGTAGACGTCACTCTTCTGTTTTTGGAACGTTTTGTGGTGGTCGGCTGCGTGGCCGACGCTGCCCGCTTCATCAGTCTGTATACACCAGCATACTCAGGGTACGCTTGCTGATGACAGCCGCGCAAAGGGGATGGTCGACCTTCCGGATCCCACTTGAAAACATGCAAGATTTTCTGATCTTTCGGTGCTGAGATCATAACATCTGCGGCTGAAAATCCAGACCCAATGACAAGGAAGGGAACATCTGGCGTCGGTTGAAGCGACAATAAAGGGGAAAGCATTGGAAGAGGTCTTAATACCTCAGAGAAGATCCCGCTTGCCAGGACCAGATGTTTGCAATAGATGTTATGAGATTGGATGTAGAATCCACGCTCCGTTCTGGAGATGTTAGCCAAGGTCTCATGAGACCGGAACGCGTCGTCAATTTTCACTGCCTCGGGGTATGCACGAAAATAGTCTGCAATCTCCAATCGGCTGGGTCGGGTATATGCAGGAAGGTCCTTCCCAGTAACCTTGCGGTAGTGCTCTGCATAGGGATATCCCGGAAGGGATAGCATAGTTGCATAGCTCAAGGTCTGGATATCCCAGCTCGACGGCATTGGGTTGTCAGTCCACTGACCGCCAGGCTGTGGTGCATTACCAAACACCAGGTGCGGAACGGCCTTTTCCGGCGCATAACGCCATTCAACATTGGTAGTGCTTTCTGTCTCGTCCACATCGACACTAGGACGGACGAGCGTATCGAGGAGGACATTTACAGGGAGGGCTTGAGTGGAATAAGAGAGTCGAGAGGCGGCAAAGTGATCCGTCAAAGCGTTGACATCGGCGTCGAGGAGTTCGGGGGAGTCTTTCAGTTTGCCGTGGAGCAGAGGGTCCGGATGCGGGGGGTTTGGGGAATAGTACGGGAGATGACCATGCAGGATATAGGACAGGATCATGGCAGAGGGGCCGTTCCCTGTCAATGGAAGTTTATACTCGTCAACAACGATGGCCATTGGTAGAAGATGACTCCAGAAAATGAGAGGTATGGCGACATACCGATGATGATGGTGTCAGTCTCCATTGAAGGCAGATTCTGTGCCACCGGCCGCCCAGCGAGCGCGGGGCATTCTGTACAAGACATGCGACGACAGAGAAGCTTATTTACTCTTTCAATCAGTGGGTCCCGTGGAGGGCAAGCAGACTACCTTCTCATGAAGGATAAACAATGTGAAGGCCATGGAGAGTCTGCCATATGAGGAAGAGAGTGGGAATCAAGGAAACGGTCGTAGGAGGGGAGATCGGATTCCGCGAACGTCGGAGGGATCGCTGACAAAACATCCTGGTAAAGAGGCCGAAAGTCCGAGACCCATGGAAAGCCTTAAAAAGGCATGCATCTCACTAAAAAATAGTGAGGAGCAAGGCGGACCGTTGGAACCGCTGGAGACAGTTCTAGATTAGCAGGCCTGGCATCATTTCGACGTCAAAGTAGTCTATTGAGCCAATAAATCTTGATGCTTTTCGCATCTACGTGGAAATGGAAATGAAGAGAAGGCATACAGGCACCGACTTCGATCCCCCGTTAGCAGCAGAGATAACTAATTATCACGGCCCTCGAGGCTCGAGCCTTCAAGAACGACGGAAGGTTCCGAATACGGGCACTGACCCAATGAGGAACCTAGGGCACGGGGCTGCGGGGCTCTCTCAGCCCTATGCCCTACCTTCCAAATACAGACGCGGCTGACACGTTGGACTTAGGCTGTTGGATCGTCGTGGTCAGATTGAAAGCAAAGGAAAGAGAAAGAAAAAGAGAGTGACTGGAAACGAGAGTCGGAAGCCGATAATAGAGAATCAGAGCCATGACATGATATTCTCGTCTGGCATCCCTTGGTTACGCTTGTTCTGATTGGAAACATCTTAGAGAGACAGCGTCCGTCGGAGTTGGCCTGGACTCCGCAGGACCTCCGACCGCAACTATGTACCATCTGGCCAAGTCATTATATCTCTATGCCACCAGCAAAGAAGGTATGGAATAGTCTTGGTCGGTTAATCGAAGCAATCGCAGTGACTGACGCATTGGATTAGAGTACTCCGTTCTCCTTCTGGGCCTAGATAACGCCGGCAAGACAACGCTTCTCTCTCAAATCAAGGCCCTCTATCAACCACGTCCCGATGGCGCCCCTACGCCTAACCCAGGCAAAACCGTGCCTACCGTCGGTCAGAACCTTGCAAATATCTCGCTACCGGATATGTACTTGAAGATCTGGGATGTTGGGGGTCAAATCTCGATGCGAGGGCTATGGCAGAGCTATTACGCCAGCTGCCATGCGATTATATTCGTCGTTGATAGTGCCGACGTGGGCCAGGATCCGGATATCACCCGTCTGTCATCTGGTCGACGGGCTAGCTCTGCTTCGGGCCCGTCAGGAGGTGGTGAAGATACCGTCCAGGCTTTCACTGAGCAGATGGTGGGCATCAATGCGCCAAGCAGTGACTTTGGACGACTAGCAGAATGCCGCCAAGTACTGGAATCCGTACTGCAGCATGCAGAGGTGGCCGGTGTACCGATTTTAGTGCTTGCAAATAAACAAGATCGGGAGGACTGCGTGGAAGTCGTCCGCATCAAAGAAGGCTTCGTGCGCAAGATCTTCGAGGGCGAGAAAGGAGGCGGCATTCGGGATAGTCGCGTGCTACCAGTCAGTGCACTCATAGGAACCGGAGTCCAAGAAGCTGTCGAGTGGGTACAAAGTCGAGTGAAGTGGAACAAGGAGGGAAGGCCTCCGGTCATGAAATGATTTGTTCCATACTGAATGGGACCTTGATGGCAACATCAACTGTGATGATACTACATATCCGCATATGTAACGATAAGAGAGGCATGTTTTACAGGGGTAAGCCAGGTTTGGAACTGTTTTCTATCCTGGTGCTAATTACCCCCCTTTTTCTTGTTTATTGGGATCGATTCAGGCGCAGGGGGAATTTTTGTCTGCCATACCCAAGATACCTAGGTAGTTATTTTATTTATCTTAATTTCAATTTTCTGATAACTACACCCCGAACGTTCACATGAACAATAGACTGGATGTATATTTTGGATGACGCCAGCTCCGTCATGATATATTTCTACACCAGATGAATTGTACACACGAAGTTGATCATATCATCACGATCCACAACACAACTTAATTCAAGACGTGATCAACGTATTCTAGACCACGGCATCTGAATCCATCAGTCAGATTTGTCGTGGGCTGTTGCTTCTCCACCCCCAACCCGTCAATTGCATATCCTCCACAATCTTCCCGGATACTGGAGTCTAACCCACGTCACACTGTCACACCAACAACGATTGAATTTCAAAGTTACCACAAAGATTTCGTAGAGAATCAGGCTATGCTGTCCACAGAGAACAATGACTCTGAGAAAGGTGGAGAGATGAGATGATTATGAAGTCAACTTCGATCAGCTTGACGTCACCTCCCAAGTTACTCGCCCTTGGTCACCCAAACAGAAATTATGGGACTTAATAGAAGATTATATAAAGTACTCCAAGAAGACCAGTTCAGAGCATATATTAGTTGATTTAAATCTAATATTTCTACTATCAAAATATCGCGTATAGTTCATTTTATACACAACTTCATCACTTGCCATCATGAGCACACTCGAGAACGTTGATTCCGTCGCGAACCCTAACCAGGGGGAATTTAAGCCTGCAAGACAGGGAACTGGTCCATTGAGAACGGATGGGGTACGTATATGTAACCTCCTTTACGTTGGCTACATATGCTAACAAAATGACGCAGCACCAACCAGGACGAAAAACCGCCCCAGCAGACTATGTACCTGAATTCCATGCTCAAACACTTCCTCCCGGTACCGCCCCTGCCAGCAACTCCTACACACCAAACCCCATTTACGACACTGGCAGCCAAGCGTTGAACCCAAATGTTGAACGGGCCCACGGCAAGGAGTCCGTCAAGACAAGTGCCAGCGACGCTTTGGGAGGCACAACATCGAAGGATGTCCACCAGGGTTTCGGTAATCCAGGATCTGGACAGACCAAGAATGAAATTTATCACGATGGCCAACACCACCGAAAGCACGAGCGCGCCGGTCTTGAGGGCGTCGGTAGCTATCGACAGGACAAGTTTGAGCGAACCCTTCCAGAGCAGCGTGGACTTGAGCGAGAGGAAGCTAGAGGTGGCCAGCATGGTAACAAGGGTGTCTCGGCTGCTGAGGATATTCCCCCACAGCCAGCAGAGACAGTGGCTGCGGGGAGGTAAAAGCCTGGCACCAAGAGGGACTGAATAGCATAGAGGCTCGGGCTCTGTGTTGAATCCCAAAAACAAGGAAATAGGGTATCTCACTATCATGTATCAATATCTCTGATTCGCATGGGTATCACATTAGTTTCTCGTATAATACATATTTTCAAGACAATATAAGATTAAAATAAAAAGGAGGAGCTATATCGGAACTTGCCCAGAAGAAAGCCTTCGCCTTTATGAAGCAGCTCGTCTAGTCGCATTCCCAAGTCGATTCTTTTCATTCCGCCCGATTAATTTCTTGGGCCAACTGCGTGCAATGTCGATGTTTGCTCGAGGGAACCACATCTCCAAGAACACATATAGTAGGAAGTCAATCACGACACACAAGCAGAATAATTTCCCAGCCCACACGCCGCAGCCATAGTGGCGTTTAAGTCTGTCGATGAGGGCGAAACTTCGTACTCGATCGCCGCTGGCTTCCCACCCTTCGCCGGGGTAATAACCATAAAATTCTTCTGGGCTGATATCGCCGGAAATCCCCTGATATACGCGTTCCGTCCGTTGAGCGACATCAGTCCATGAGTACATCATCTTCACCTGATCATGGAATCTATCAGTTCGCACTTTGTTCGAGCGCAATGAAGCTATCGCTTTGCCTGTAGCCATGACCAAATCGTCTTCTTCTGGCTTTGCGAATGTCGTCATGTGTTGAGGAAGCACTTCCGGAATGCCACCCACACGAGTACAGACCACGTACAAGCCACAACTGGCAGCTTCGACAATCACAGTCCCAAATGCTTCTGTCAAGCTGGGATGCAAATAAATATGACCTCGGACCATAACATCGCGAACTTCTTCATGTCGAACAGGACCAAGCATTTCTACCTTATCTTGAAGCACATTCCTTTCCAGCATCTGTTCCAAGTCGATGGCTTTGGGCCCTGAACCAGCAATAATGAATCTTACATTAGGGTGGGATGCAAGGATTCTGGGGATAGCGGCAATGAGGAGGTCTGTGCCCTTGTTGTAAAAGAGGCGCGAAATAACAACTATCGTGATTATATCATCAGGTCCCATGATTGTTGGGGCCAGCGGCGGATCTGGCGCTCCCGGTAGACGATCTTTTGCCAATGGACGAAAGTTCTCTGCAACGACTGCATTGGGAATCACCGATACCATAAGAGGATCTAATGATGCTCGGAGTACTGTGTTCTCCTTGCTGTCCGTCGTTATTATCTCGATTAGCCAGTATAGATGATGGTGCTTACCATGTATGGCTCACGCAAATTACATGGTCAACGTCACTTAGAATAAACTTGAGTAGTTTATTAGTGAGAATTGACCCGGCATCGGCGAATCCGAAAAGCGAGTGATCGGTGAAGACTGTACGTAAACCCATTGTCCGGGCATGAAGGATACCTTCGTTACAGAAACTGCTCAGACTAGCATGCCCGTGAACTATCTGGATCTGCTCGCGAATCACGATGTTGCGGAAAATCGGGAAGAAGGAAAACACGGTGGGCATAGTCGCCTCGCGAAATATAACGAAGAAGGGCACATGGTAAACCTTGAGCCCATTTGTGAGATATCGCACACCGGTACGGCCTTTGTACGCATGGGTGATAATGATGACTTTATGGCCGCGGTCTATAAGTTTCTATGCTTGTATGAGTATTGGCGAGCGCTGTGTAATGAAGGCGCTCTCACGGTTGACAACTGGTAAATGTGACTTTCAATTCCACCTTTAAGAATTAGACTCTGAATTTCCACAATTGGAAAGTGATCCGGCAACTCACCTGGCTGAGGGAAAAAGAAGTCACAGACCATACTGATTCAATTGTATTAGATCGCGATCTTGGCTTGGATGCGACACACTCACGCAATGTTGTAAGGCATGTTGGCTGCCGCTCTCGCTCACGGAAGCTCCAAACGTTGATGTAAGTTTCGCACCCACTCTGTCCATGGCGGACAGTATCACCTGGCACTGGAATTGATCTTCATTCAGGGGCTCGTCTTTGCTTTATGGACAGCTGGTTATCATCGTCTGTCCCGAGGGAGTCCAGGCCCTGGCGGCATTAGAGGCGGTGTGGTGTTCTGCCCGTCGAAAATTATCGTCCCCAATGAATTTTCCCCGCTGGGAAGAAATATTCGGGACTTTTCTCGCAGAGTCGACGAATCGCCTTGTTTCTTATCTCATTGGATGCATCGACGCCGTGAAGATGGGCGGTGATAAGGCTTCACGATATGGTTCTTCCAAAAAGGAACCAAGTACTCCTCAAAGTGCGAAGAAATCTCACAAGAGGAAGAGAGACCTAGATGGCTCCGCCGTCGCTACCTCGACACCAACACCGACGAAGAAACCAAAGAAAAGTCAGAGTCCCTCGTCAACCCCCGTGCTTCAAAAGGAAAGCTCGAAGAAGGGAAAGCGATCCAAAACCACCGCAGAGAGCGGTGTTCAAGAAGATGCGACCACGAAAGAGAGTGCTGTCTCGCCGGATGGCAGCAAGGCGATCTCTTCAAACGCGAATGACCACATCTCTAAGGCCGAAAAGAAATCAAAGAACGGAAAGCGACGAGCTTCAGGAAACGATATCGATGCTACTAAAGGAGCTTCAAATATAGATGAGTCGAGCAAGGACCTGAAAAGCAATGCGAAGGGGGAGTCAAAGGTTCGGAAGAAGATAAAGACCTCCGATGAAACACCTGAAGAGGAGGATGGCTCCAAGTCTACAAAACACAAATTTTCTGGTATCCTGTCGAAATTTGAAAGGTCGAAGGAGACAGCGAAGGGAAAGAAAGAGGATGCGGAGGGAACAGAAGCTGCGGAGACAATGACTGCCGAGCCTGTTATAGCTCAAGGTCTTGAGCCGTTGCCACAACCAGAAGCACCGCCAGAACAAGTCGAGGCACCAACATATTCATCCCTTCCGCCATGGCTAGCAAACCCTCTTAGAACATCAGCAGAGGAGAAAACCAAATTCTCTGATCTCGGAATCGACTCCAAACTTCTCGGTGTTCTCGAAGAAAATGGCTACAAGGAGGCATTCGCTGTGCAATCTACTGTCATTCCGCTGCTGCTACCTGGACCAAAGAAACACTCGGGAGATCTGTGTATTTCCGCTGCAACTGGTTCTGGAAAAACCTTATCTTATGTGCTTCCCATGGTCACTGCATTGGAACAGGTCCCAGCCCCCAGACTACGCGGTTTGATTGTGGTGCCGACAAGAGAGTTGGTGAAGCAGGCCAGAGAAGCCTGTGAGCTGTGTGCTGCTGGGTCCGGTTTGCGGATCGGGTCAGCCGTAGGAAACGTGGCAATTAAGGATGAGCAACATTCCATAATGCGTGCTGATCAGGTTTACGGCCCTGAAATCGTCAAGCAAAGACAGCAAGTCAAGCTGACTGGCGAGGATTGGACAAACTTCAACCTCCAAGATTATATTTCGGAAGCAGGGGATCTGAATGAATCCTTGCCCGGCTATGTCCATAAGCCAGAACCCAATGTGGACATCCTGATCTGTACCCCGGGTAGACTAGTCGACCATCTTCGCTACACCAAAGGCTTTACTTTGAAGTATCTGCAATGGCTCGTGATTGATGAGGCTGATCGATTACTTAATGAAAGTTTCCAGGAATGGGTGGACGTGGTGATGAATTCGTTGGATGCGCGAAAGGCGCCAGAGACCTTTGGTTTCAGTGGAAAGCTACTTGCAGACCTTGGCCTTCCTATCCAGAGCAGAGAGCCTAGAAAGATTATTCTCAGTGCCACCATGACAAGGGATATCTCTAAGCTGAACTCACTTCGGCTTGCCAACCCTAAAATGGTGGTCGTCGGCGCAGGAGATCATGCTTCTGGCGATGGTGAGAATGCCATTGCTCCTTCGGATGAGCAATTTACACTGCCCCCGACTATCAAAGAATATGCTATTTCGATTGATGATGAGTCGAAGAAACCGCTCTATCTTTTGCGTCTTCTGCAGTCGCACATTAAACTTGATACCAAGACGAACACCAAGAATGTATCGCCCAAAGCGTCGTCAGACTCCGAAGACACCAGCTCTGAAGGTTCAAGCTCCGACGACACTAGCTCTGATGACACTAGCTCTGATGACACTAGCTCTGATGACACCAGCTCTGATGACACTAGTTCGGATGACATTGATTCTTCGTCTGATGAAGACACTTCGGATTCAGAAAGCGACTCATCCGAAGATACATCGGACTCTGAGTCAGAATCAGACTCGGACTTGGACTCTGAATCTGAGTCTGAAGAAGAAAGCTCTCACAAGGATGGGGATAAGGCCCAGCCCGCTCGTAACACTGTTTTGATCTTCACCAAATCATCTGAATCAGCATCACGACTTTCTCGTCTACTTTCCCTCGTCAATCCATCATTAGCCAGCTGTGTTGGAACAATCATCAAATCGAACAAGTCGTCAGCTTCACGCAAGACTTTGACTGCTTACCGGCAAGGCAAGATTTCCGTAATTGTGGCCACCGATCGTGCGTCGCGTGGTCTTGATCTCGAGTCCTTGACTCACGTTGTCAACTACGATGTGCCCCCCAGTATCACGACCTACGTGCACCGTATTGGACGAACGGCTAGAGCAGGAAAGGAGGGATCGGCGTGGACACTTGTTGCGCATCGCGAAGGCAGATGGTTTACAAACCAGATCGCAAAGGGCTCTGACGGAAAACTCACAAGAGCCGGCAAGCTCGAAAGAATGAGCATGAAGCTTAACGACATGACCGACGTCAAGTCCAAGTATAGAGCTGCATTGGATGTGCTCGAAACGGAAGTGAGGATGGGTGGCAAGGTCAAGTCTTCAAAATCTGAAGAGTAGGATGATGCAGCCTTGAGCCACATGGAATTATATCAGCATTTGGGATCATCTCCATTTCTTTTTCTCGTCTTATAGAGTTACATGTTTCCAGGACAGGGGTTTCGGGTCCATCCAGTCTTTGCGTTTCTTATGTCTTCTGGAGACACTGATGTCTTCCAATTTATCATACTACTGTACATAATTGTCACGGTCGAAACATCTACAATTTCAAACCATTGAGGATATATATCGCCAGTACTTTGGATTGCCTTCTCTGTATCTGGTGGTCATCAGTTCTTCACCCCGCTCTAGCATCGGGATACTAAACTCCGCACGATAATGCTAGACAACGACGGATCGTCGTCAATGGCCTTTGATTTACCCGCAAGTCCAATCAAGATGCTCAATGCGGGGAAATCGAGAAAAATAAGAGGCAGTTTGTAATTCTTCAGAACCACACCAGACTGCGCGTGCCTTCAATTGCAAGATGACCTGGCTGTCTGCCAGCATCCTCCACGGCCTCCTGGCCTGTGTCTCTGTCTCTGAAGCAGTTATTTTCAAACCACAAAATGAATTCCAGCCCATCTCTGCAAAGAACTCTTCTTTTCCGGTGGACTTGAAGCAGCTCTTCAACAATCGTGCATTTGGGCTAACACCCAACGAATCCAACTTTGACGGCTATGGCAGTAGGTTCTATCACTCGACATGATTATACGAGACTAATTACATGCCCAAGGTGCCTATCCTGCACAACACATGCCCCCAGAATCCTTCACATATGGCGGCTTCAACTACAAATTCCCCACCTACAACGCATCCGGCTTTGACAATGTCGTCTCCCTCGGCCAGAAGATCCACCTTCCCAAGTCAAAGTATTTCAGCGTCCAGATGCTGGCAGCTTCTGAGTCCGGCATGGCTTCGGCGACTATCAACGCAACCTACGCTGATGGAAGCACCGCGTCTTCGTCTCTTCTCGTTCCTGCGTGGTGGAGCTGGCCGTATCCTACTGGTGGGGATTTGGTTTTCCCTCACTACCTGACTAACACATCGATGGATTATAATCGCACGAATATCTTCCAGACGGTGAATTGGTTGGATTCTTCCAAAGAGCTTGTTTCTCTTACTCTTCCGAATGTTACAGGTGGATCTGCTACATCTCCTGGGGGTGCGTCTATCGACACGAAGCTGCATATTTTTGCCCTTTCCGTTTTGCCGGTGCTTGAGGCTTCCGCGCACAAACCACAATTGGAAATCCAGTACGCGCGATCAGCACAGAAGTGGGTAGAGGGGAGCAACAAAACGCAGATAATCGAAGTTGCTGTCAACAATGCCGGATCTGCATTTGTGCTGAGAAACAACACCGTTCATCTTCGAGTTGAATCACCAGGGCTAGAGACTGTTTCTGAAGCTACTTTGAAGCGACTGGGTCCGGGCGATCAAGCTTTGGTGGAAATTGGTGTCAGGAATAAGCACGGTATTGATGCAGGTAGCACAGGGCCTGCTACGATTGTGATCTCAGGGAAAGGTGTGGTCAGCAGTAACTACACTTTTAACGCGACGTACGGAATCCAGCCGTATAAAGCAACTTATGAGTCGGTGTATGCTCACGAATCGCCCAACTGGTATAATAATGCTAAGTATGGCATCTTCATTCACTGGGGCGTATACGCAGTCCCTGGATGGGGAAACTCTGGTCCCAACGAGGCTTACGCAGAATGGTGAGTCGTCGATGCGATGATCTTGATACTCTGACTGATTATACAGGTACTGGTGGTATCTTAACGAAGGAGCAAATACCTCAATCGGCGCATACGAGTATCATCTGAACAACTACGGGCCAAACGTGGTGTACGATGACTTCATCCAGAATTTCACCGCAGATGCATGGGATCCAAAGGAATGGGTAGATTTGTTTGCAGACGCAGGTGCCAATTACTTTGTTCAAGTGAGCAAGCATCATGACGGCTATGCATTGTTCGATCTTCCGGCCAATATAACCGGACGGACTTCCGTTGCTATGACTCCGCATCGAAATCTGCTGCAGGTGGGTGATGTGGTTTTGTTGAGATATATCAAACATTGACTGTTTTAGGAACTGTTCGATGCTGCAAAAAAGTACCAGCCGCATCTCCATCGCGCGGTGTATTACTCTCTCCCAGAGTGGTTTCATCCGGACTACAAGAAATACGGGTTTGGAACTTGGCCAGGAGGTATGAAATCTGGACGAACCATGTCGAACCATATTGACAATGATAGGAAATGCCACTAATCCCTTTACCAACGAAACACTCGAATATCACGGCTACGTCTCTCTTACAGACTTCATCACCGACAAAATGATACCCGAAATGAACACATTAGCCGACATGGGCACCGAGATAATGTGGTGTGATATCGGCGGCCCCAACCGGACCGCTGAATTTGCCTCATCGTGGTACAATCGCGCTGCCGCAGAGAATCGTCAGGTCGTGATGAACGCCCGCTGCGGGCTACCAGGCGACTTTGACACACCCGAATATGCCAGCTACGACGCCGTCCAGGTCCGGAAATGGGAAAGCAGTCTGGGCATGGATCCGTATAGCTACGGGTACAACCGAGCAACCCCTCTGGCAAGCTACATGAATGCGAGTGACATTGTCACTAGTTTGATTGACATTGTGAGCAAGAATGGGAACTTCTTGCTTGATATTGGGCCGATGGCGAACGGGACGATTCTGGATATTGAGGCAAGGCATTTACGGGATGCGGGGGCTTGGATCAAGGGCCATGCAGAGGCTATTTTCAATACGACGTATTGGTTTGTGACGCCGGAAGAGGGGGATAGCGTACGGTTTACGGCTAGTCAGGATGCGTTTTATGTGCATTTGATTGCCAGACCTAATGCAACTGTTGTCTTGAACAGCCCAGTTCCTTGGGCAGAAGGAGACCAGGTCACGGTGGTTGGAGGGAAGATGCAGGGCGCCGTTGTACCCAGCCAGCGACTGGACAATGGGAGTATGATGCTGAATGTCAGCGAGGATGTTGCCAGCTCTGATCAGTATGCGTGGGTTTTTAAGATATCCTACTAGGGAGCAGTTGAGACATGTTCACTGTCTAAGTATTGATGCCAGTGCCTGAAGATAAATAGACTGACTTTCCCTTGATACTTCTATCATCTCAATGCATTATACACATATCCCATATACAGATCTATTCTCAGTCAAAATACCACTAGGCTAAAAATGTGCCCGGGCACAGAATTATGCATTATGTGTATATTTCAAGGTCCATTTTGTTTGACATCTGTATGTCCTGTATCAGACAAACCACCTAGCATTCACTCCCACATAGGGATCGCTATCCGAGTCCCCTTTGATTAGTCTGATATTTCATACTATTACAACCCCACCCGTGTGATTGTCAAGGCCTGAGCACTATCTGAATGAACAGGGAAATAGTCATGTCACATCTTCAGCAACCTCATCACACAGGATCCGAGAAGCAAAGCTGATTGAGCCTGACATCCAGCCCCCCACCGTTCAGCTCGAATTGACTCCTGGACCAAACAATTGCCTTTGCTTAATACGAACGATCTCCCTAGCGAGCATTATGGCCCCGCATTTATTACGTCGATGGGCGTGAGACTAATGCAAAACTACGACAGACCTTCAGCCGCAGCTGAGAACGGCGGATAACACAAACACAGTAGGCGAAGATGAAGATCAACAGGCAGAAAAGCTGGCCCCGCTTCTGCCTTTAAGATCCGAGACTTTTATTTTCTTCTTTCTCCCTCCATTTGGCCCGCGTATCGTCTCGTCATTGACCAAGACGAAGAACACTGATTAACCTCTTCGTTCCAGACTTTTTAGAATCTGTCATATCCGACCATGAGTGAAAATAATAGCAAAGACAATTCCACTGGCGACGTTGCCCCTGTTGACTCTCCCGGGGCTGGCGCTGGTGAGAGTACTGGCGGTAAGCCTGAAAACGCTGAAAAGCCTAAGGGAACAAAGCCTGATGGAACAAAGCCTGATGGAACAAAGCCTGATGGAACAAAGCCTGATGGAACAAAGCCTGATGGAACAAAGCCTGATGGAAC